CGACGAGATGATCACGCACTTCAAGGACGGCAAGCGCCTGCCGCTGCGCTATGCGTGGCAGATCATGCTGGGCGCGCAGCGCGCCTTTCTGCAGGAGGGTGAGTTGTGTTTTTGGGCAGGCGCAAAGCCAAGCGCATGAGCGTGCGAGAGGGCTGACACAGCGCGGCGATGACAACCAGGCCCGCTGGTCGAGTACAACATCCCCGAGGGCCGCACGATCGATGTCATTGGCGACACGCATGGACAGGTGAGATGCACGCGCCAGTCGTCAAGGCCTCCCTCCGGTGCTGACGGCCATGAGGGGGCGGCCACAACCAGTTCTACGACTTCATCCATCTCCTCTCCCTCACGGGCCACCCGTCGGCGTCGCACGCGCTGCTCTTCAACGGCGACGCCGTCGACCGCGGCTCGTGGTCGTGCGAGATTGTGCTCACCATCCTCGCGTACAAGTGGCTCTTCCCCAAGTCCTGCTTCTTCAACCGCGGCAACCACGAGACGCACGGCATGAACCAGGTGTACGGCTTCGAGGGCGAGTGCAAGGCCAAGTTTGGCGGCGACCTGAGTGAGTGAGGCAAGCATGAAAGGCAAAGGCATTGCCAGTCTGCTGCAGCGCATGGGGCTGCTGCGGGCGCACGCGTCTGCCCACCTGCTGCGATGTATGGTGGCTCTGCCCACCTTGCCGCGGCGCAAGACTCCACACCACCTTTACTGCCACTTGCCTTCGCTGACCACCAACACCTCGCAGCATACAAGATCTTCACCGAGCTCTTCGTCGCCCTGCCGCTCTCGACGCTCATCTCGGCGCCGCGCGCGCCGCTGCAGGGCGCCGACCTGCCGCAGCACTACTCGCAGGCGCAGCGCTCGCCCATCCTCTCGCCCGAGGGGCGGAAACGCTTCTTCGTCGTGCACGGCGGCCTCTTCTCCAAGGACGGCGTCACGCTCGAGGATATCAAGGCCATAGACCGGTTCAAGGGCAATGGCCAGCCTGGCAGCGAAGGCCTCGTTGTTGATATGTTGTGGGCTGATCCTCAAGCGGCTAATGGACGCGGCCCGAGCAAGCGCGGCGTGGGCCTTGGCTTCGGTCCGGACATCACGAGAGCTTGGTGCGAGCTCAACGGCGTCACCGCTGTGCTGCGCAGCCATGAAGTCAGACAAGAGGGCTACTCCGAGGAGCACGGTGAGTCAAATGTCTCCTCCTGAGCCACGAGACACCTTCCTGATGCTCTCCCGACCCTATAGATTCGCTCTGTGTCACGTTGTTCAGCGCGCCTAAGAAAGTTGATCAGGGGGCTCCTGAGGAGGCAGAGGAACTAACCCTTGACTCTCCCTGCAGCTACGTCGACCAAGTGGGCAACAAGGGCGCATTTGCACGCATCGACGACCAAGGCACGATGACGTGTAAGCCTGCAGAGCACCGCTCTTACCTCCTCTCTGTGCGCTGCGTGCTGATCACTGACATGCTTGCTCGTCATCAGACCAGCAATTCTCATGTCAACCGCACCCCGACATCAAGCCGATGGCGTACACGCAGCCTTCCATGGGCGGCATGCTGTCGTAATAGAGTTCACCGATCCAGCACACACGCATCCGTCACCGCCAGCCAGCTCGTCGACGCTGGATCTCATCGACTGCAGCGCTGTGCGTGTGCAGGTCGGCGGCATCAACACCCGCGCACCCTCAAAAGCAGCGCGCCGCGCGATGCGAGGCCACGCGTCGCACGACGCACGCTTCTCCTTCGGCCACGTCCCTCCCTCTGCAAGTCCGTCTCTGCTCCTCACTCCATCATGCGTGCGTCATAATGCTATTGTCTTTTTCACGGGTCACGTCCAGCGCGATCCACGATGCGCCTCTGCAGCGCCACATGTTCGTGCACCGCCGCAATATCGCGCGCCTGGCGCTCCTCGTCTCGGCGCTCCTGCGACGCCTCCGCCAGGGCGCGCCGCGTGACGCGGTGGCCCGCCTGCCCGTCGAAGCGCCGCAGGCCGCCGGCGCCCCACGCCGCGACGAGGAAGCGCGTGAGGAACTCGTGCAGCTCGCGATAGGCGCCGCGCGTGCTGATCGAGTGCGCCGAGTCGGTGACTGGCAAGAGGGGTGAGCTGGACGCGCGGAGGGCGTGCATCTCCAAGGGACGCACACATGCGGAAGGAAAAGTTGCGGATCTTGGCGGCGTGGAGCATGTCGAGCAGATGTGCCGAGCTCTGCGTCGCCGTCAGCCACCGTCACAGATGCACCAGCCCTCGGCTCTCACCTCAAAGTGCACATTGTCGTCGCCCGAGCCCTGCGCCAGCAGGTACTGGGCGTGCCGGAAGCCGTCGGTGATGTGCACCGAGGCATTCTCGTAGCCCTGCCGGTTGTTGGCCGGCTGCTTCATGTAGCGCTCCGTGTAGATCGAGTCGTCTGGCAGACACGTCAGCCTCGTGCGCAACGTCGATCACCCTCTCGCACTCACAGAACTCCCAGCGGCTCACCGGCGCCACGGCCATGCCGAGCGAAAAGACGCCCGCGTCGCGCTCCAGCACCTTGCTCGTGAGGTAGCCGCCGAAGCTCCAGCCCCAGATGCCCGCGCGCGCCTCGTCGACGTACGGCAGCTTGCGCATCTCGCGCATCGCGCCTATCATGTCCTCGGCCTCGACGCTGCCCAGGCGGCCGGTGACGGGCGTGCGGTATTTGCGGCCGCGCAGGCCCGTGCCGCGGCCGTCGATCTTGCACACGACGTAGCCGAGCGACGAGGCGAGAAAGACGCCCCAGTCACTCATGCCCCAGTCGGCCTTGACGACCTGGCTGTTGGGCCCGCCGTACGGCGCCAGCAGGACCGGGTAGCGCGTCTGGCCCGACGCATCAAAGTCGTGCGGCCGCATCTCGTGCACGCTCACCTCGGCGCCGTCGGCCGTTCTGACAGTGTAGAACACGCTCTGCGGCCGCGCATAGCGCGCAATCGTGTTGCGCAGCTCCACGTTCTCCGTCAGCACCAGCTCAAAGCCGGCATCATCGATGCCGCGCACGCGCACCGACGGCACGTCGGGCCCGTTGTTCGAGAGCAGGTAGTAGGCGCCCTTGGGGTCGAATGTGGCGTCAAAGTATGCCGGCTGCTTGTCGTCGGTCAGCGGCACGGGCGCCTTGGCGCGGTAGCCCTCGCCAGCGCGCTTGGGCAAGTCGACCGAGTAGACATGCCGGCTGGCCGGCGTCGGCCTCGCCGCGAGGAAGTAGCTGCGGACGCGGGTCAGCCAGCGGCAGATACACAAGGTGCAGGCGACTCACGCCTTGTGCCGCGTGACGTCGGCGTGCAAGAGGCGGTCAATCTCCCACTCGCCCTCGGTGAGGAAGAGCGGCGTCTGCTGCGTGGCATTGGCAAAGTAGGCCAGGTGCCGGAAGCCAGCTGCGTCTGGCAGCACGTCGAGATAGCTCGTCGAGTCGGCGCCGCCAAGCGCGACCTTCTCTTGGCCCTGCGGTTAAACGTCAAACGTCAGGCCACGGCCGTCACGCGTCCGGGGCGCAGCACTCACATGTGCGATCCAGCCCGGCTCCTTGCGCGTATCCCGGCGGCGCACAATGCCACCGAGCACTGAAGAGCCTCTGCCAGCGCTGCGAGACAGGTCGAAGTGGACGAGCCGCGCAATGTCGCTCTCGCGGTTCGTCTCGCGCAGCAGCAGGTCGTCGCCTCCAGTCCACGTCACCTCGGCAATCAGGCGATGCTCATCGTCCACCGCCGTATCGACGTCCGCGTCCTCCTTCGAGGCGCGCATCCGCGCCGCTGGCGGGCTGCGCAGCTCGACTTTGGCCTCGTCTGCAGTCGCGCCGGACGCCAGGCGCGCAACGTCGACGACGTGAGCGCTGACGATCGGATTTGGGAAGCCGGGCTTGGGGTACTTCATGTCTGTCTGCGAGAGGTACGGCGTCGTCTGGCCGGCCATGCCGCCCGAGGGATTGTAGATCGGGAACGAGTAGACTGGCACCGCAGTCTCGTCGAGGCGCAGATACGCCAGCTTGGTGCCGGACGGCGACCCTGCACGCCGCGATGAGCATGAGGCGAGGCGAGTCAACCACGACACACTCACACCAGTATGTGGTGTCCGCTGCCACAACCTCCTCCTCGTACACCCAGTCCGGCACGGCATTGAAGACCTGCGACGTGCCGTCGTTTGTGACGCGCAGCGGCTTGCCGTCCGGCATCTGCACGTAGAGATCGTTGCCCATGACGTACGCCAGCGCTGCATCCGCCTTGCCAGTTGCGCCTCGTGGCGCCCACGAGGCCGTTTGAATGCGCGGCGGATAGTGCGGGCCGCCGCCGAGCGGCTCCGTCGTCTTTGCCTGCACGTGGTGCAGCCAGACGTTGGAGCGCGCAGAGTGCCGCCACTGCTGCGTCCGGTCGGTGAAGAAGAGCACCTTGGTCATGTCGGGGCTGATGAGGAAGCTGTTCCAGTTGATGTACTGGCCGTGTTGCTGCCGCCAAAAGATTAAGCGATGCCGCAGAGCTGCCACGATTGTGGGCACACTCACGTCCTTGACGTCCTGGCGGCGCACATACGTCACCTTGCCGCCGCCCTTGGCCACCTCTCCCTTGCCCGTGCGGTTGCGGCGCAGGTGCGTCACATCCTCGAGGATGATGTCGCTCGTGGCGGGGTCGATGTAGCTGAAGACGCCCTCGTCCGGGTCTGCACGTTTTTCAGCACGCTGCTCTGCGCTGCGTGACGCTTCACTCACCCTCGGCACACCACGTGATGCTGTCCTGGCGCGCAGAGAACGTGCCGTTGAACACCTCGTCCATGCCGATGAGCTTGAGCTTCTTGTCCTTGGACACAGAAGTGCCCAGCTGCGCATCCACGCCGGCAGCATCACGCCAGCCAGGCACGGCAAAGTCGAACTTGAAGCTGGGCGCGTTGCCCAGACCCCACTTGCCCGCCGCGTCGTTCGTGCTGGACGGCACCTTGCTGGCATGCACTCGCGGCGGCCGAGCGCGCGCCGGCGTGGACAGCAGCCAGCTGTCGTCCGGCACAATGTTGACCATCAGGCGGCGCGAGGTGCCCGACGAGAGCCACGTGAGCACGGGCACGGCTGCCAGCAGCACCAGGATGACGCCGCCAAAGACGAGCAAGCCGGTGCGCCGTGTGCGTGCGAGCTGCAGCTTGCTTGGCGGTTGCTGCGTGGGGGCTCAGCGATGCAGAGAGACATGCACACACTATGCATTCACCTTCTCGTCGCGTGCCGAGCGCATGCTCTCGACATCGCGCTCCTCATTCAGCAGCGCGCGCTCCTCGCCCTCCTCCTCCTCCTCGTTGTCGCGGTACTTGGCGCCGCTGCCCTGCTGCGGGTAGGCGTGCAGCGAGTGCAGCGTGGCGTCGTCGTCGTCGTCGCCGGCCAGCGTGGCGAGCGAGTGTGCCGAGGCAGAGGAGACCGTCGAGGCTGCCGACTCGCGGCGCTCCATCTGCGACGGCGAGGGCACGGGAAAGGGCGCGGGCAGCGACATGCTGGCGCACCAGGCGCTGCGAGGCTGGTGTCAAGTGCTGCACCGGCGCAGGGCGGTGAATGGGCGCCTGGTTGCTGCGAGCTTCGAGTGTGCGGTCAGTAGTGGAGAAAGCGTGCGAGCGTGGGGTATCGAGAGCGAGGCGAGGGTGGTAGCGGTCACGAAGCAGGTCTGATGAGGGGCATGGCGCGCACGGACTCGAGGCAATCTTGATTTGGGCGGCGCAACCTCAGCGGTGGAGGCAAATACAGATTCCGACGGCCGGGTTGTACTCGCGACTACAAGTCCGAGGCCAAAGTGCCAATGTGGCGCTAGTGTGGGCGCAGCAGGGGCGCACTTGCGCCGCCGTGGGGCCTCTCGGCGACCTCTCCCGAGTCCCCGCAACGAAACAGATTGTTCGGTCGAGCTATCTATAGACTGCTCTGAGAGTGCTTGGTGAAGTCAGCTTCGATGCCAGCGCTGCAGGGGGGAGGTTGAGAAGCCGAAGAAGGACCTTGGCGGTGCAGTCGCGACGTCACGTGCAGCCCCGCACCTCGTCAGGCACGGCCTCCCTGGCTCGCAGTTATTTCGGGTCGCAGCCCGAGCGCGCGACGGCCTCCTTCTCGCGCTCCTCGCAGCGGCAGCACCGCGGGAAGCCTCTTGCGGGCGGCCGCTTGGTCGTCGGCACGGTGCAGCCGCAGAGCCTGTTGCTGCGCTCTGCATGCTGGAGGGAGAGAGATGCGCAGGAATGAGGAGGTGCATCTCTGCGGCCGCAGCGCTCATGCGCCGCGTCATGCCTTGCCGGCGCTGTGGCGCTGTGCGAATTTCCGCGGGAGCGAGCTGGAAATGCCGCAGCGTCGAGGTGAAGCGGCAGAAGAGAGGGAGAGCGAAGGCGAGACATGAGATGGCACGACATCGGCTCATCCGCGGCCGATCCGCGGCTCGCTTCGTGCAGGGCAGCTTTCAGGGTGCAGCCACGCCTGCCGCCTGCGCGCTGCGCCGTCAGCGCCCAGCCTTCGCAGGACACCGTCAGCGCAGATCAGCTGAGCGCTGCTGGCACCGAGACGAGATGTGCGGCCGCAGCGAACTCGTCCGCAACGTGAAGCTCTCTTCGGCGCCTGCGTGCCGTCTTGGGCTTGCGGCCGGCGCGGCGCGGGAGCAAGCACGCCTCCGGCCGCTGCGTTGCCGTCCCCCTCGCGGTGCGCGCGCCGGTGCCGAGCAGCATCTTGCTGCTGCCGCTGCAGCGGCGCGCGGCTCGGCTGAGTTGCGAGCGAGCGCGCACGTTGTGCCTCCGCCCCCCTCCGCTCCCGCGGGCCGGAAGGGCGCTGCCGGTGCGGTTAGTCATGGTGATGCTCAGCGCTGCAGGCACGCCGCAGCCGCACACACGACGTGCCGCGCTGCGCATGCGCTGCGCACGGCGAATGGTGCTGCGAGGGTGCCGCCGAGGAGGAGCACGGATGCTGGATCTGCATGCTGCAAGGGTGCTGAGCGAGGCAGCGCGGCCTCTGTGTCAGCGCCGGCACCGCGATGCCGCGCGTCCGCATGCCGCCATCCCGCGGACACTCGACTGACACGCCGCGCCCGCCGAATTCACCTCGTGCCTCTCTTGACTGACCGATTCGGCGGCTGTTCAGCCGGCCCTCTCTCTCGCCCTTCCTTCCCGTCCAAGTACTCACCCTCCCTCAAGCAACAGCCCGGCGCCGTCACTCGCCTTCCCAGGAGGCATCCTCTCCCCCTGGTCCGCGCCCTGCGCACACCCACCGCACACACTCCTCCACCTCGGCGCACGCCGCCATGTCGAGTGCGCACCACTCCTCGGGCGCCGGCACGTCGCCCGACGAGGCCGAGCACCTCGCCGACGGCTACACGGGCGCAGCGCGCGCCCAGCCGGCACCGGCGCTGCGCCGCCAGGAGAGCCGCGCGAGCCAGCGCTCCATCCCCATCGGCTCGCTCGACCCCGCAGGTGAGTCACGGCGAGCGCGGCTCTGGCGGAGAAGAGGCGATGCTGCGGTGTCTGTCGAGCTCCTTCGGTTCGTGCGAGAACAGCAGCACTATCGGGCAGATTGATGCGCCACACCGCCGCGGAGACACAAAGTGCCCGCACGGAGGCTAGCAGCCGGCGGCCTGATGAGCAGCGAGCGGCGTGTCCTTGGCGCAGAGCGCACAGGGGCTTGAGTCGCACCTCGAGCCCCTGTGCGTCACCGTCTGATGAGCTCACGTGGCGCCGTCTTGCCGCGCCATCTCGAAGCGCAGAGCACCGAGCCGCTGCAGCCGGCTCGATGGCTCTCGCAGCAGACAGCTGACCTCTGGCGCCCAGGCACTGCCGAGCTCACGCGTCGCCTGACGGAGCAATCGCGTCGCTCCGCCAGCGTGCATGGGCAGAATGTCGACGAGCGCACCAAGCACCTCGAGCAGGGCGAGGCGCACCTGACGAGCGACCCGTTTGACGCCGACGGCACGTTTGACCTGGAAAAGTTCCTGCGCGACCTCTTCCAGCGCGGCAGCGACCGCGGCAACGAGACGCGCACCATGGGCGTGGCGTTCCAGGACCTCAAAGTCACGGGCTTTGGCTCGGGCGTGGGCCTCAGCTCGAGCGTCGGCTCGACGCTGCTTGAGCCCGTCACGGCGCTCGGCAACATCCAGGCGCTGCGGCACCCGCCGGTCAAGACGATCCTCGAGGGCTTTGAGGGCTGCATCAAGCCCGGCGAGATGGTCCTCGTGCTCGGCCGCCCCGGCAGCGGCTGCACGACGCTGCTCAAGACGCTCGCCTCGTACCGCGACGGCTTCCGCTCCATCGAGGGCGAGCTCTCGTGGCAGGGCTGGGGCCACAAGGACATCAACGGCTCGCTGCGCGGCGAGGTTGTGTACGCACCGGAGGACGACGTGTGAGTGGCAAGAGGGAGCGCCGGTGCGGCGGCAGCGCTGACCCTCCACTCCAGTCACTTCCCGACGCTGACCGTCGGCGAGACGCTCGACTTCTGCGTCGCCACGCGTGCGCCGCAGGAGCAGCGCCGCGTCACGCTCGACGACAACAACTCGCGCGACGCCTACCGCGGCCTGGCGCGCGAGGCGCTCGGCACGATTCTCGGCCTGCGCCACACCTTCAACACCAAGGTCGGCAACGAGCTGATCCGCGGCATCTCGGGCGGCGAGAAGAAGCGCGTCAGTATTGCCGAGCTGCTCTCGACGCGCGCAAAGGTGGCGCTGTACGACAACTCGACGCGCGGCCTCGACAGCAGCACGGCCGTCGAGTTTGTGCGCAGCCTGCGCATCGCGACGGTGCGTGACATGCATGTGTGCTGATATCGCTGGCTGGCTGACACTTTGCCCGCAGGATATCGCCAAGCTTTCGACGGTCACGTCGATCTACCAGGCCGGCGAGTCGCTGACGCAGATGTTCGACAAGGTCGTCGTGCTCGCCGCCGGCCGCATGATCTACTACGGCCCGCTGGAGCACGCGGCGCAGTACTTTGACGAGCTGGGCTTCGAGCGCCACTGGGGCCAGACGACGGCCGACTACCTCGTCTCGGTGACGGACGAGCACGCGCGCATCATCCGCGAGGGCTTCGAGGACCGCGCGCCGCGCACGCCCGCCGAGTTTGCGGCGGCGTTCCGCAACTCGGCCGCCGGCCGGCGCAACCACGAGGAGGTGGAAGAGTACATGCAGAAGCTGCGTGCCGAGCACACCGTCGAGGCGCAGCGCCACTACAAGGAGGTGCAGCGCCAGGAGAAGGCCAAGCACACGCGTGCCGGCTCTGCCTTCCTCCTCTCGTGGCCGCAGCAGATCCGCCTGGCCATGCGCCGCCGCGCGCAGATCCTGCGCGGCGACATGATCACACAGTACATCGTCACGGGCGCCTCCGTCTTCCAGTCGCTCATCATCGGCTCGACGTTCTACATGATGCCGCAGGACACGAGCGGCTTCTTCTCGCGCGGCGGCGTGCTCTTCTTCGCCATGCTGTTCAACGCCTTTACCGCGATGACGGAGGTCGCCGCCGGCTACGGCCAGCGGCCCATCGTCATCCGCCAGGCGCGCTTCGCCATGCTGCACTCGAGCGCCGATGCCATTGCCAACACGCTGCTCGACATTCCGCTGCGCATTGCCACGAGCCTGCCGTTCTCGATCATCCTCTACTTTATGACTGGCCTCTACTACAGCGCCGACGCGTTCTTCATCTACCTGGCCGTCGTGCTGCTCGGTGCGTGGCGCTGCTCGTCGCCAGTTGCCGTCTGCTGACGCTCCCTGCAGTGACGTTCATCATGGTTGCCGTGTTCCGCTTCCTCGCCGCCGTGTTCCGCTCGGAGAGCAACGCAACGATGGTCGCAGGTCTCATCGTCATTGACCTGGCGCTGTACGCCGGCTACGTCATTCCCCGCAACTCGATGGTCATCTGGTGGAAGTGGCTCAGCTACTGCAACCCCGTGGCGTTTGGCTTCGAGATCCTCATCACAAACGAGTTCCGCAAGCTCAACGTGCCGTGCGCGCAGCTGGTGCCGATGGGCCCCGGCGTGGAGAGCGCGAACCAGGTCTGTGCCGTCGCCGGTGCCGCACCGGGCGCGACGATCATCGACGGCAGCGCCTACGCCCGCGCCAACTACGGCTACGAGTTCAGCAACTCGTCGCGCAACGCCGGCATTCTGATTGGCTTCTGGATCTTCTTTGCCGCCATGTACGCCATCGTCTCGGAGTTCCAGACGGACCCGACGGCGTCGGGCGGCCGCATGATCTTCAAGCGCGACCGCGCGCCCAAGGCTGTCGCCGATGCCGCCAAGGCCTCCGGCACGGACGAGGAGAAGGCAGAGGAGAGCCTCGGCGGCACCACGGCCGAGGAGGACCGCGTCGCCGACGAGGCGCTCCACAAGCTCGCCGTCAGCTCGGACGTGTTCAGCTGGTCGCACGTGAACTACGACGTCATGATCAAGGGCAGCCCGCGCCGCCTGCTGGACGACGTGTCGGGCTATGTGGCGCCGGGCAAGCTCACTGCGCTGATGGGCGAGTCGGGCGCCGGCAAGACGACGCTGCTCAACGTGCTGGCGCAGCGTGCGGGCACGGGCATCGTCGACGGCTCCTTCCTCGTGGCCGGCCGGCCGCTGCCGCGCTCGTTCCAGGCCGACACGGGCTACTGCCAGCAACAGGACACGCACATGTCGACGGCGACGGTGCGCGAGGCGCTGCAGTTCTCGGCGCTGCTGCGGCAGCCAGCCGAGACGCCCAAGGCCGAGAAGCTGGCGTACGTCGAGACGGTGCTGCGCATGCTCGAGATGGAGAGCTTCGCCGAGGCCATCGTCGGCGACCCGGGCAACGGCCTCAACGTCGAGCAGCGCAAGCGCCTCACCATTGCCGTCGAGCTGGCCGCGCGTCCCAAGCTGCTGCTCTTCCTCGACGAGCCCACGTCGGGCCTCGACGCGCAGGCGGCCTGGTCCATCGTCCGCTTCCTCCGCAAGCTCGCCGACGCCGGACAGGCCGTGAGTGTCGCACTGCCTCCTTGACACGTCGCTGCCGCTGACCCGCATCGGGATCTCATAGATTCTTTGCACAATCCACCAGCCATCAGGCGAGCTCTTCAACTGCTTTGATAGATTAGTGTTGCTGAAGAAGGGCGGCCAAGTTGTGTACGCCGGGTGAGTTGCGCTCACGGCCATCATGCGCCGCTCCTCTCACACTGTCCCGCAGCGACCTCGGCAAGAACTGCTCGACGCTGCTGCCGTACTTTGAGCAGCACAGCGGCAAGAAGTGCGCGTCGACGGACAACCCGGCCGAGTTCATGCTCGACGTCATCGGCGCCGGCGCGACGGCGACGACCAAGTTCGACTGGCACAGCCTGTACCTGCAGAGCGAGATGCACCGCCAGCTCGTGGCGGACCTGGAGGTGTACGCGCATGTGTCGGACGGCCAGCAGGTCTCTGCCGAGGACGCCGAGCGCGGCAACCGCGAGTACGCCACGAGCCTCGCGACGCAGTTCCGCCTCGTGCTGGCCCGCAATTTTGCCCACTACTGGCGCTCGCCCACGTACATCTACGCCAAGCTTCTGTGAGTAAAGAGCACTGGGCGGTGCGCGGCCATGCTGCTGACGCGTGTGCGCCTGCCAGCCTCAACCTCTTCGCCGGCCTCTTCATCGGCAGCAGCTTCTACGGCCAGGGCATCAGACAGACGACGTCGTCGCTGCAGAACAAGCTCTTTGCCATCTTCATGGCGCTCGTGCTCAGCACGTCGCTCGCGCAGCAGGCACAGCCCATCTTCATGTCGTTCCGCAACCTCTACGAGGCACGCGAGCGCCCGTCGAAGCTCTACGCCTGGCCCGTCGCCATCGTCGCGGCCATCCTCGTCGAGATCCCGTGGAACTTCGTCGGCACGACGACCTTCTTCATCCCGTGGTACTTCTTCATCTTCCACGACGGCCTGGGCGCGCTGCGCGGCTTCTACATGTGGCTGGCGCTCATGTTCTTCGCCGTGTACTGGCACACGTTCGCCACGGCCTGCGCCGGCATTGCGCCCAACCCGCAGCTCGCCTCCGTCCTCTTTAGCGTCTTCTTCTCCTTCGTCATCGTCTTCTGCGGCGTCGTCCAGCCGCCGCCGCTGATGCCGAAGTTCTGGTCAAGCTGGATGTTCCCCTTGTCGCCGTTCACGTACCTGCTCGAGGGTCTGCTGGGCAACGTGCTCGGCGGCGAGGCCATCGTCTGCGCTGCCAACGAGCTCAACACGCTCAACCCGCCGGCCGGCCAGTCGTGCGAGCAGTTCCTCGGCGCGTACTTTGCCAGCGGTGCGCCGGGCTACTTCGTGCAGAACGCCGACGGCAGCTGCGGCACCTGCGCCTACGCCCAGGCCGAGACGTTCCTCTCGAGCCTGAGCACCTCGAGCCTGACGCTGAGCTCGTCGCACAAGTGGCGCAACCTGGGCATCATCGCCGCGTACATTGCCTTCAACTTCTTCCTCTGCCTCGGCCTCTTCTGGGCCTTCCGCATCCACCAGTGGAAGGGCAAGAAGAACGCGCCGGCCAAGACGCACGCCTCGGACCCCGCCGCCGCCGCACCCGACGCCTCGGCGCCGCAGACGGCCGCCGCCGCGCTGGACCCGCACAACGAGAAGCCGACGGCGCCGGCCAAGATGGCCGCCGTGCAGGAGCAGGGCGAGAGTGCGCTGCCCACGGCGGCCGCCTCGCCCGCGCGTGGCGCCAGCCCGGTGCAGGAGCAGCGCACGTAGGGCGCATCCGCGCGTCTGGTGTGCCTTCCGCTCTCACAGTACATTGCATAGACCTGGTGTATTTCCTCGTACCCCTCCACCTCTCTCTCTTGATCGGGTCGCAATCAGTCATGTCGTCTAGTCCCAGCCGTGTGTGAGAGACGACGAGAGGAGGCAGCAGAGGGATGCGCGGCGTCACGTGTGTGCGGTGTTGTCAGGGGGCAGACGCGTCGTTGAAGCGCGTTAATGGACGCGTGGCGACGGCCCGGCCTTCTCGATGTGGCTCTTGGACGCTCGCGTTCAGCGGGCGCAGCGCCAGCTCCTGCATCGGGCAGTAGACTAGTCAAGCTTCAAGCCCCTGCTTGCTCTGCTCCGGCGAGGCCCGATGAGGCAAGTCACCGTGCTCGCGCTGGCAGGCCCTGCAGGCTTGCGCTGTGCTCTGCGCTCGGCACAGCGGCGCGCGCACTGCTTCTCACCCAAAGACCTCCTGCGCCGCTCTGCTCTCGACCACGACCACGACCACCACCACCACCACCACCACCACCACCACCACCACCACCACCACCACCTCTCGTCTCCATGATCATCTACTCTTACACTCAGGACCATCTCGGCAATTGGTTCGCCAGCGCGCCACCTGTGCAGTACGGCCCTCCGCTCCAGAACTACGTGTGGGAGCGCAACGCAGGCCGCTGGGTGCCCATTTTCGCGCTATGGGCTCCGCCGCCGGCGCTTGTGGCAGCGCCGCTGCCTCAGATTCTCGCGCCGGCACAGCCCGTCGGCCCGGCGGTGCAGTGTCGATGCGCAGCGCAAGCGCAAGTCCAGCAGCCGCACGCTCAGATCCAGCAGCCGCAGGCTCAGGTCCAGCAGCCGGACGCTCAGGTGCAGCAGCCGGACGCTCAGGTGCAGACTCTCCTCGATCTCCGTGCGTATAACGCATAAGCTCTTGAGACTAATGCTGACACTTCGGCCGACTATAGAAGAGAAGGCCGAGGCTACGGCCGCTTGGACTCGTCGTGCTCTTCGCGCAGCTCTTCCGCCCGTCGTCGCGCCGCCTGCGCAGAACGCGGCTGCTGCGCTTCACGAGCCGGCCGTCGCTGCAGCTGCCGCCGATGCTCCACCGTTCGCGCACGTCGTAGAGCTTGACGAGGAAGCGGCTGAGCAGTCGCCTGTGCGCAGCGAGTCCGGTCCCGTGCGCCGTTGTGAGGCTACGGCAGCGCGCGCGCGCAAGCCGTACGAGCGCGCTCCTGGTGCGTCGGCCTCGCTCATCCCTGTACGAGTCTGGTGCTCACAATGCGCAATGAACAGAAGCCGCGCGCGCTTTGCAAGGCCGCTTTGACGAGGTACTCCAGCAGCGCGAGGTAAGCAGCTGCTGGGCCTGCTGTCCCCGATCGTCGTGTGACGCAGAACTGACTCCCTTCTGCTGCAGGTGCCGCAGGCGCAGGCGCGCGCTGTGAAGGCCGAGCGCAAGGAGCTGCGCCACTTCAAGGAGGAGTGATGCGCCGGCTCTGCCAGTCTCGCCATACATGCCCAGTGCATCAGCCCAAGGTGCAAGCAACGGGCCGCCTCTGCGGCGCCGGTCTCGGCCATCGAGCGTCTGGCTCGCGCATTTCACGACGATACCATGTGTCCCTCTCCCTACGTCCGCACTTGTCACGTCTCGCCTCTCTCGAATGATCATCTGTTTCATGTTGTCGTCCGCCAGAGTGCATCGAGCGTCATTGCGAGGGAGAAGAGGGCAGAGCGGTGCATGTCACGTGTCGCCCGGTGTTGTCAGGGGGCAGACGCATCGCAGGCCGTAAATGGACGCGCCGCGCGCATGTCCGCCGTTGCGCACCTTCTCGATGTGGACGCCCGTCCCTTCTCGGCCGTCGGCGCGCAGGCGTGCAGCGCCAGTCTTGGCCGCTGAAGCATGGGCGCTGCTTCGCTGCGCCGCTCTGCTCTCGACCACCACCTCTTCCCCGCTCGGCAGCCCCTGCCGCAGCTGCCGTCATGGCGTTCAACCCGTATCCCGAGCTGCGCTACGACGCAGACGGCTGGATCGTACCCCTCGATCCTCGCTATGCCGCTCCACCTCTGCCGTATGCTCCAGCACAGCAGAACGGCTGGCAGCCGCCGCAGGAGGAGTGGCTGCCGCAGGAGGACTGGCTGCCGCAGGACGACGAAGAGTGCGTGTGCGGGCGCTGCTTCGATGCACCGCCGCAGGGCTATGGTCCTCCGATGCAGCAGCGCTTCGATGCTATGCCGCCACAGCGCTACGATCCTCCGCTCCCGCAGCGCTACGCTCCGCCGCAGCGCTACAATCATCTGCCACCGCAGCGCTACGGCCCTGCTCCTCCACAGCGCTACCACGCTCCTCCACAACAGCAGCGCTGGGAGTCTCCTCCTCGACAGTGGCGCCGGCGTTCTTCCTCGCCGCTGCAGGATCAGTGGCGCGGTCCTCCTCCGCAGCGCTGGGATCCTCCGCAGCGCTGGGATCCTCCGCAGCGCTGGGATCCTCCGCAGCAGCAGCAGCAGCAGCAGCAGCAGCAGCAGCAGCTGATGAGGCCAAGGGCGCAGCGCTACGACGAACCTCAAGAGGAGGAGTGGGACATGATAGTGCCGGATCAGCTTCGCGGCCCGATGGGGGTGCATCATTACGCCGACTACGGAGAGCGCCCGCAGTCGCCTCGCATCCGAATGCAGCTGCTGCTCGACTACGGTGCGTGGCTCGCAGCGTCTCTGAACCTAGGCGGCATGAAGCTGACCTGATGCATACAGACGAGGCAGCCGATGTTTTCGAGCTCCTCAACGTCCGGGCTCATGGACGCCGTGAGCCGCCGCTCGCGCTAGCTCGGCACGCTGCTGCTGCGCCTCGCCAACCCGCCGCTGCCGCCGCGGCCGAGCCTCCTTTCGCTCGCGTGGTCGAGCTCGACGAGAACGACGCTGAAGATCTGCCGCCGCCTTACGAGCCTATTGGACCAGTCCTTCGTCGCCAGATCGCGCCGTTGCCGCAGCGTGCACGCGGACGCAATGAGCTTGCTCCTCGTCCTGGTGCGTTGGGTCCTCGCTGCCATCGCCTACGAGCACTTCGCTGACTAGTACCCTTGCCCAGCCTTCGCGCGTTCAGACGAAGACGAGCGGGCTGACAGGCGGCGCGCTCGCCAGGTCGAGGTGAGCATGTGCAGAGGCCGTTACCATCGCCACGTCGCCGATCTGAGCCTCCTTCTGCCGCAGGCCGCGCAGGCCGCGCGCCGCGTGCGGGCACTCGCGCGCAACGTCGAGCGCAACGACAGCCGCATGGAGGAGGACTGATGCCGGCCTCCCGTAATTCTGCTGCTCACGCTCAGATGTCGAGCACTAGGCGAGCAGGCCGCTGCTGCGGCACACCTGTCGGCGGGCGGGCATACTGAATCTCCTCGTTTGACATTTCCCGACTACGTCTTGCGTCCCGTCTCCCATCATTCCGCTTTGTCACACCATCAGTCTCGCCCCTTTCTGTTTCTTCACTGAGCAACGACTGTTTCGAGAGCTTGCAGAGTGCTATGAGCGTGATCCGTCCGGACACCTGATGTGAGAAGCGGCGCTTGCTCCGAATGCGCACTGTGGACTCGAGGCGGCGAGGCGAGCAAGAATGCCTCGAGCGGCATCGTGCAGCGCAAGAGAAGAGCAGGATGAGGGATGTCGGCTTTTGCAGTGCATCCAGCTGAGAGGAGCAGGAGACGCTGCTAAGCTGTGTTGTTGGCGCGGTGTTGCTTTGGTGGCAGGTCAGGGGCCTTAGGGGCCCGTGCGGCGGCGCGCGATGCGCTGCACCTCTCTCGCTCCGCGCGGCGTGCCTTCCCGATGAGGATCAGGTGCGAGCAGCTCGGCTTCCTTCATCTCCACATCATCCTTTTCGCATCGGTGGCCGCTGCCGCGAGGGACTGCTACCGCCCATCCTACCGCCGCCACCACGCACCCGCCGACGACGAGCCGCTGCCGCAGCAGCAGTGGCGCGCCTCGCCTCCTCCTCGCTCGCCTTCGCCGCTGCGTCGAAACCGCTCGCGCCGCCGAGAGTCGGAATCTACACAGCGTGAAGCGCGGCCAGTCCAACCTTCGCCACCGCATCAACAGCCGCAACGGCAGGCAGCCGCACCGCCGCTGCATCACGCTGGCATGGCAGCGTTGGTCGCGTTGGCTGCGCAGCAGAAGCACGAGATGGCACAGCTGGCGGCGCAGTTCCATGCGCAGATGCAGCAGCTCGCTCTGCAGCAGAACGCTGCGTTTGCCACGCTGGCCGCCCAGGTGCAGATGGCACAGCTGCAGGCCGAGGCGCCGAACATCCGGCCTGCGCAGCCGGTGCCGCATGCACCGCGGCTGGGACGCCAGCGCGAGCACTCCGCGCAGCAGCCGGAACAGGCACAGCAGTCGGATGTAGTCCAGCAGGCGCAGCAGATCCGCCAACACCTCCAGAGAGAGCAGCAGCTCCGCGAAGAGCTCCTCCGCCAGAGTTTGGCCGAGGACTCACTGCGCGGATAGCCGCAGCAGCCGGCGTCGTCGAGTCTGCGCTCTGCGCAGCTGGAGCAAGGCAGCTCTGGCAGTGAGCAACAGCACGAACGCAGCTCAGCAGTCGTCGCTCCGGCTCTCGTGCCGCTGCAGCAGTGGAGCTCGGCGAACGAGGCGCACAGGCCCTGGTTGCAATCTGGAGCGCAGCATCATGCCGTGCCACAGGCGGACGATGCACTGCAGCCGTTGGAGCTTCCGGCGAACTTGCTGGAGAACTTTCGCAGGGCTGCAGGCTGCCGGGCTGGAAGCGCCTCGCACGAGCAAGGTACGTGTTCTGAAGCGGCTGCTTTGCGCAAGGCTTTTGGCCCTGGTGCCGTCTCTTACACCTTCCCCTCAGCTGCCGAAGAGGCGCAGCCGAGCGGAGGCAAGACTGCTCGCAGCAAGCCGGGTCCGTCTAAGCCGTACGCGAGACAGGAGGGTGAGCTTGTCGCGTCTCCGGTTCGCCCTGAGCTTGAGCTGACGAGCCTCTTGTGCTTGCCCACAGCGCGCAAACGGAGGTCGCAAGCGGTCTACTGAGCGCGACACGTCCGCTTAACGATTCCGTCATGAAGAAGTCAGTAAGGGGTGCAGGATCGACTATATGCGCTGGCGCTGACTCTCCTCAGGCACGAGCGGAAGTAGCTCTCTCTGTCGTTCCGCAACACCCTCGCATCCTTTCTCCGCGTCACCTCGCACGACATCCGTCCCGCGCGCAGTCCCGTAACGACCCTCTTTCCGCGATACCTCACTCCGAGCAAAGCACATGATGAGCACAGATGCGTGAGCCGAGATGCCGCGGCGTCGATCACACCCGAGTGAGGTGTGCGTGGCCTCGGGCGTGGCTCGTCTCTCTCAGCGTCGCCTGCAGGGCGGACTCATGACGCACAGGAGCATAGCGATAGTACAGTAGATCAAATGCTGAGAGACGGAGCAATGCGATGTAGAGCGACAAAATGAAGGGAGCGAGGCAGGTCCGAGTCCAGATGCGAGCAGAACTATGCCAGGAGAAGCGCGCTCGTCACGACCGCCGCCAGGCCGACAGCGACGCATCCACTGCTGAACGCTGCGGCGCCACTCGTGGCAGCCTTGGTCTGCGCAACCGTCGTGCTGCTGGTGCCCGAGTTGAGGCCGTCTGCGAGTGCTGCGAAGCCGACGCGTGCGGGACTGCCGTTCTGGAGAGGGGCAAAGCATGGTCAGTGCGACCGCTGAAAGGCCAGGCTTTGCGTGGCAGAGCACTCACCTGGAACACCGAGTACACGCCCTTGAGGAACGCATCGCCGACGATCCACTGCAGCGAGCGCGTGTTTGCGTCGCTGCCCACGTCGAAGAAGGCGCCCATGCACGTCGTGCCGGCGCGGTTCGTGGCGCCGGCGACAAAGTCCTGCGTGTTGATGGCGTACTGCTGGTCGCCAAAAGTCATGGTAGTGTTGACTGCCGTGTCGCATGGGAACTCGTAGTATCCCTGCGAGGAAGCGCTGGCTTGCGCGCCGGGGATCTGCGCGTACAGCGCAGAGATGACAGAGGAGGGACCGCCGATGAGCGTGGTGCCCGTGTCGATGGCGGCCTTGTTCGTCGAGCTGACGTCGAGCGCCGTCGGAGACGCCGCCGAGCGTGATGAGACGGAGACGCCGCCGAGCGTGATGAGCCAGTAGGCCTTGTTGATTACGTTGCTCCAGTTGATCGCGCCCTGGTAGCTTTTGGAAGTTGGAGTAAGTAAATGAATCACACAACAGATCTGAGTCAACGTACAGCGTTGAATTTGCGCCGCCGAGAGTGAATACGCCGCCGTACTGCTCGAGGTCGCTCGACGTCGTCGCCGTCTGGATCTGCCGGTTGAGAAAGAAGGCAAACTCCTCGGCGCCGCTCGTGAGGCCGACGTTGCTCCACAGTGGCGGCGATTGACTGGTGCTGAGGCTCTGAAAGCCGAGGCCTGCAATGCCGGAGATTTCGCTGTTGAGCAGACCGGCCGTCACGGCAGTGGCGAGCGCAAAGGTCTGCGACGAGGCCGTCTTGCCGGCAACGCTCATCGTGTCGCGCACGAGGTAGCCATCGACAGCACCCGAGCCGTATGTGATGTCGAATGCCGTGCTGGCGTTGGTGAAGGACGACGAGGAGCTGGGCGAGTAGGGGCTCCGTGCGCCCGACGCGATCCCTGAGCAGGAGGTCAGCTGTGCTGCACGGCGTGCCGCGCAGCCACGACAGACGCACAGATGTCGGCCGAGCCCGTGTCGAGCACAAGCGGCACCTGCTGCGCATTGCTGCCCACGGAGAACGTGGCCGTCCAGCTCGAGTCGCTCTGCACGTTTGCGAGCGTGGCCGCTCCCGCCGTGTCTCTGCTCTGCACCTCGTCGGCGGCGTCGTCGAGGGCATACTTGCGCCGCAGATGTGTGCGCTGCGCATTGGCCCAGGCGTGGATGCGCTCCGGATCGGCGGCGGCGGCGGCGCCTCGGCGAGAGATGGCCTGCGAGACGCCCTCCTGCGGCACATCGCGGCGCGAGACGACGCTGGGCGCCGCGTCGCTGAGCGTGGCGCCGAGGAGCACGAGGGCAGAGACGAGAAGAGAGTGCCGGACCATGCTGAAGAAACTGTGCTTGATGGCTTGTGGCGGGGCTTGCGGGGTGCAGCAGTTGCGAAGCACGCTGCTTATGGCCTCGAGAGGGGCGAGCGCTCAGCGGCAGCTCAGGTCCCGAGAGGGGCGGTGCAACACAGCGCGTGCCGAAGTGTGGCTTGCGCGCTGCCGCGGTGACGCTGCTTACACGTTGGCGCGTCGGCCTCGGAAAGTGACGAGGGGTCAGGGACCACGACGCGCACTTTGCAGCTCGATTGCAGAGGGTGTAGCTTTTTGCGGCGTTAAGAAAGGAGAGTGGGCGCAGAGCAGGGCACGGCGAAGCGACGCCGCCTGCTGCAGCTGCTACGAGTCGAGCCTGAGCTCAGCGGCGTGCAGGTGCCGGAGGGGCGAAGAGGCTGTGCGGACGCACGGCAGCGCGCGGAGCGTGTGGAGGCGCACGCGGCCAAATCGCCGATGCGGCGCAAAGGCGGACGGACGAGGTCAAGCACAAGGGCGCGCTTGGTGCGACGGCGGAGGCGCTGAGATGCCGGCGGCTCGAGCGTGCCGGCGGCGCAGGAGCGGGCCGAGGGTCGCCTGCAACTGTGCGACGTCGCTCGAGAGCGGCGATGCGAGGGCTGGATCAAGGAGTGTGCGGGCCGAGAGAGCGAGGGTAAGAATAGGAGGCTAAGAAGATGTGGGCACGGAGAAGGATAAAGATAGGCTGGCCAGCAGCGCGACGAAGAGAAGAAGAGGAGAGAGGGTGCGCGGTGGGGGCATGAATGCGACCCGGCCTTGTCTTTTGAGCGCCTGGCCCTGGCAGCGGTCAGCCGGCATGGAGCGCACGCATCGAGTGAGGCAGCAGGCAGGCAGGAAAGCATCGGTGCTAGTGCTGCTCTGGACGTCAAGCGTGCGCGATGGCAAAGTCGATGCGGCGATGGAGCGGCGAGCAACAAGAATGCGGCGCCAGCCTCCGTTCTTCGTCATGCGTCTCCGAGCTGTGCGCTGCGGCAGTCGACGACGTCCTGGGTCCTTCGCGCGCTTGGTGGCGCTTGCCTCCGCGATGTTCCGCTGCGCTCTGCCGCCGGTGCCGCAGCGGTGCTCGGCGGCGAATGTCGCTCCGGACAGGGAGCGGCAGCTTTTGCCAACGGTCGATGTTACCGCAGCGCGCTACCGGCGGCGCCAGAGGCGCAGATGCAGCGTTCAGGCGGTGCCGCGGCGCGGACGGTGACGCGTGAGCAGCCGCGGCGGGCGGTGCAGCGCAAGCGGCGAGGCGCGAGTCGGCCGCTCGGCTGCTCCCACGCTGCGCGCCTCCACGCCGGCCTCGGTGCCGATCCGATAGCGCACCGGCCTCTTTCGCCCCTCCCGCACCCTCCGCTCGCTCCTGCCTCGCCGCTGCGCACGCTTCAGACAAGCGCGTGCGCCGGCGCCTTAGCTGCGCCCTCTCCGCATCGCCCTTGCTTGCCGCAGCATCCACGGCATCGGGCACGATGCAGCGCTTCCCTCGGTGCGCCGCCTCGCTGCGCCTGCGCCCGCTGCGGCCCGCGCGCCTCGAGGCGGCGCCGCGCCGCCTTCGCGCACTGCACAGCTCGGCGCAGCGGCACGCTGCAGCAGCCGCGAGCAGCGCGGCACCGGCGCCGCTCTATCCGCTCGTCGAGGGCCGCACGCTGGCCGCGGCGCCTGCGGCCGGCGCGCTGCCCGAGGCAGAGGTGGACCACGTCGTCATCGGCGCCGGCGTCGTGGGCCTGGCCGTCGCGCGCGAGCTGGCACGCCGCTGGCCCGAGCGCAGCACGTACCTCGTCGAGCGCCATGCGCGCCCGGGCGAGGAGACGAGCAGCCGCAACTCCGAGGTCATCCATGCCGGTAAGTGGATGCTGAGCGCTGCGGCGTCACAGGTGGAGGCTGAGGGGCGTGGGCTGCCTGCCAGGGCTGTACTACCCCGTCGACTCGCTCAAGACGCGCATGTGCGTGCGCGGCCGCGACCTGATGTACGAGTACTGTGCGGCAAAGAACGTCGCACACAAGCAGGTGACGAAGCTCGTCGTCGGGCCGGCGAGTGCGCAGGGGTACCTGCAGAAGATGGTCGCGCACGTCGATGCGCTGCCCGCGGCGCACCGCCCGCAGATCCGGCTCGTCTCCGGCGCCGAGGCGCGGGAGATGGAGCCGGACCTGAGCCCTGATGTCGGCTGTGCAGTGCACAGTCTCAGCACGGGCATCGTCTCGTCGCACGAGCTCATGGCCAGCTTCGAGCGCGACATTCTCGAGGCCGAGTGTGCCGAGATCGTGTACGGCACGCGCGTGCTGCGCATCGACCCTGTCGTGCCCGCAGCTGGCGGCTCGAGCAAGCGCGGCGCCAGCGCAGACGAGAGCGGCTGGATCGTGCAGACGCAGACGGGCGACAGCGAGCATGTCGACATGCTCAAGGCGCGCGTCGTCATCAACGCCGCGGGCCTCAATGCGCCGTCGCTGCTCAACGGCCTCTTGCGCGACGGCCACTTTGGCAGTGCGCCAGCCGACTGGGCGGCTGCGGGAAGCGGCGAGGGCGCAGATGAGCAACGGCCACTGGCGGCGTACTACATGAAAGGCAACTACGCCACATACAAGGGCGAGGGCGCACGCAACGTCTCGCGCCTCATCTATCCCGTGCCGTCGGGCATGGCCGGCAGCAACGACGCACACAAGCACACGTCGCTCGGCAGTGAGTCGCAGAGGCCCATTAGTCCATGTCCACAGCATTGACATGCGCGCAGCGCACCTCACGCTCGACCTCGACGGCAACGTGCGCTTCGGGCCCGATGCCGAGTGGCTCTTTCCCGACGCCTCTGCGTCGGCCGACTTCTGGAGCCGCTCCCTGCCGGCGCTCACGCCCGTGCCCTTCTCGCACGAGCAGGGTGCCCAGGAGGCACGTCTGGACCAGATGCTCGAGGCGATCCGCTCCTACCTGCCCGGCGTGCAGCGCGAGGGCCTGGCGCCCGACTACGCCGGCATCCGGCCCAAGCTCGTGCCGCCCGGCGCGGCGTTCCGCGACTTTGGCGTGCTGCTGCACGACAGTGCACGGCTAGAGCAGCAGCGCATCTGGCAAGAGGCGCTGGCCGATGCGGCGCCCGGCACCGTGTCGGGCGCCATGATTACGCTGGCAGGCATCGAGAGCCCGGGCCTGACGAGCAGCCTGGCCATCGGCGAGCTGGTCGCCGACCTCGTGGCGCGCCGCGTCTGGGCCGACGCTCGCCGCACGCGCGTCCTTAAGCGGCAGAATGTAGACCACGCCGCGGGCCTCGACGGCTGGGCTTGATGCACGCACCCCCCAATAGATGGAGCTTGGATGAGGTATAGGCATTTACTTGAGTTCTGCGTCCTGCACGCCGTTTGTCGCTGCATCGACGGCCGCATCCTGCTGTGCCGGCTGCGCGGCGGCGGCCGGCTGCTGAGGCGCAGCGGGCGTGTCCTCGCCGACCTCCTCCTTGCTCGGCGCCGGCGTGGGCCCGCCAATCATGCGCTCCAGCAGCCACTTGACGACGTCCTCCTTGCCCGCCATCTGCGCCTCGCTCATCGGGCCGCGCCCCGCCTTGTTGCGCGCATCCCACGGACTCCGCTCCGCCGCCTTCTCCTCGTCCTCCTCCTCGTCTGCGCCCGCGCCACTCTCGACTGGCCGCGGCGAGAGCTCCTCGATGCGCTGCACCAAGGCCTGCACCGCCGGCAGGTGCCCGTTGAGCGCGGCCCAGTGCACGGCCGTGTTGCCGGCGTCGTTGGCGCGCAGCACGGCGTCGAGCTTGAGCTTGGGCAGCAGATACGAGAGCACCTCTGCGCGTGATGGCGTGAGCACTGACGCGGGCTTGGGCGGGCTGGCAGCCGCGGAGCACGTGGTGCCGACGCGAGCAGCAAGCCTCGGCGGGAGGCGCCAGCGTGGCACCGTGCTCTCAGCTGGCGTGCCCCGAGCAGCGGGCGCCACAGCCGCGTGGCAGAGCTCGACCTCAGCTCGGCACTCACCCATGTGTCCGTTGGCCGCCGCATACAGCAGCGCCGTGTTGCCCGTCTCGTTTGCCGCCGCGTCGAGCGCCTGCGCCAGCTGCGCGTCGCTCAGCGGCGCCGCGCCCTCGGCGGCAAAGGCGGCGAGTGCGCTGCGCAGCTCGTCGACGTCGCCGGCGCGCGCGCTGTACAGGACGTCGTCGATCTCGTCGGCGGTGGGTGTGCGCATGGTGTGGTGGTGCGGAGGGCAGTGAGGTGGCTGCGTGGACACGACGTACGCGCGCTGCTGAGACCTTCGCGCGCGGCGGGTGGAGCAGGCAGGCGAGCAGTGTCCGCGCGCCCTACGCTGCCCGCCCGCCACGCCCAAATTTTGCTCGGCCGAGCGCGTGTCGCGCGCCGCTCGCGGCACCGACGACGGCCGCTTCTCACCACCACACCACATTCAGCAAGCATGGCACCCGGCGCAGCAGGCAAGCCGAAGCGCAAGCGCGCACGCAAGGCGCGCACCGCCGCCGCCCTCGACGCCTCGAGCTCGTCCTCATCCTCGTCCGACTCGTCGGACAGCGAGCCCGAGCCGGCGCCGGCGCCGGCCGCGGCCGCGCCCATGGACGTCGACTCGGACAGCGACAGCGACGCGAGCTCCAGCTCCACCTCGTCGAGCAGCAGCAGCAGCAGCAGTGCCGCATCAGCCAGCTCCAGCCGGGCGCCGGGGCCGTCGTTGCTCCAGCCGGCTGCCGGCGCCAGCAGCAGCGTGCCGGCGTTCAGCCAGCGGCCGCGCGCCTTCTCGCCCTCGCCCACGCCCTCGCTCGACGGCTTCTCCGACGATGAGCTCAAGCCGCGCCGCGCTGGTCGGACCCGGCTTCCAGACTTGCCGCCGCCAGAGCTTCCGGCGTCTGTCGCCGCCACGGCCGCCGCAGCACCGCGGCGCACGCGCGAGGAGGAGCGCGCCAAGCGTGAGGCCAGGCGTCTCGAGGACGAGGCGCGCCAGGAGGCCGAGCGCGAACAGCGCGCCAAGGCGTTCCGCGGCTTCTGGATGGAGATGGTGGCGGAGGACTTTGGCGAGGAGCTCGACAAGATGCGGAAAGTGAGTGCCGCGCGCAGAGTGCGTGCTGCGCATGTGCAGCGCCTGCCGCCAGCCGATGTGCGGCCCCCACTTGCCTGCCTGTCTGCCCCCCTGCTGACTCTTGCGTCCTCACTAGCGCGAACCAGCACTGGCAGACAGCTCGGCGAGCGGCCGGCTGCCGCTGCTCATCGATGCGCTCGGCTCCGGCGCCGAGCTCTTCGCGTCGCGCAGTGCCGCCGACGCCCGCACTGGCGCGGCACTCTTTGGCGCCTCCGCCGCGGGCAGCGGGCGGACAGGCGGCGGCGTCGACGAGATCAGCCTGGCGATGGGCGCTCAATGACGATATCACGCTTCGGCACTGGGTACAAGGCGCGCGCGCATGTGATTTGAAAGATGCAAAGGGAAGGGCCCAGAACTGAGGCGCACCGTCGCTGTATGGAGACACATTCAGAGGGTGGGGGCCTGAGAGCGATGCCGAGACGTGTAGTGCGCGCAAGAGGGGAAGAACGGCGAAGTGAGACGAGCCGCAGTGTGCAGAGCCCTTGCGCGCGAGGAGAGTAGAAGGGGGACGAGATGCGAAGACTGAGCGGCACAGGGGCAGGTGGGAGATGACATGATGAGGAACCAGAGGCGGCAGAGGACGCGCATGCGAAGGGGAGCGCAGGAGGGAAGGGTGCATGCGCACAGGAAGAGGCAGGCGAGGCCTCAAGGCGCATCAGAGACTGACTGCGATCCAGAAAGACTGCGTGGAGGGCGGAGAAGAGGCACGGCCAGACCGACTGCTATCCTTGGCGCCAGCTGGCGCCGCGGTCGCCGCCGCCCCAGAGCGCGCCGATGAGGTCGCGCGCCGTGTTGACCATCTCGACGGCGCGGCCCACGATGCCGCCCTCGTCCTCCTCGACATAGTCGTGCGCCAGCGGCACGCGCACGCCCGCCTCGCGGTCTGCGCCGCTGGGCGCCACCAGCGCGCCGGTGGCCGACGTGCGCCGCGGCACCGTCGGGCTCGACGGCGCGCCGGCGCCGCTGTCGCCGCTGTCCTTGGAGCCGCCGCGACGGCGGCCGCGCGCCTTGGCCAGTGCCAGCGTCGGCGTGTTGAGCGGCGTCGGGCCACCCGGGTTGGACGGCGGGCTGAGGTTGGGGTTGTTGCTCGGCAAGTTGTCGACATCGAGGCTCAGCCGCGGCTCCTCCTCAGCGGCAGGCTGCGCCTTGCCGGCCTTGCTCTTCGACGGCGACTTGCTCGTGCGGCGGCTCGACGACGGCGCCTCGTCGGCCCACGCGCCGTACAGCGTCGAGTCGCGCTCGTCCGAGCCGTCCTTGTCGCCGAGCTGCGGGCTGGCCGGGTACGTCGGGCTGGCAAAGTCGAGCGATGCGCGCCCGTCCGAGTCGGAGCCGTAGCCCTCGGCCGCGGCAGAGCCCTGGCCTAACCGAGCCGCCGCCTGCGCGTACGATCCGGACGAGCCCATGGCGCGCGAGCCGTCGCCGGCGCGGCCGCGAAACGAATCGCGCCGCTCCGACGAGCGCTGCGAGCCGGGCACGGCCACGGGCTGTGCGCTGGCGTCAAACGTCGCCGTCGGGCTGGTGCCCGCGGCGCTGCCGGCCGAGTTGTTCGAGCTGGTGCGCGAGCGCCCGCTGCCCGAGCCAGGCGGGCCGCATGAGCCCCGCGTGGCGTCCTGAATGCGCTCATAGCTGGCAGAGCTGCCCAGGCGCTGCGCCGGGCGGCCGCGGCCCGTCTTGGGCGACGCCGGCCCGCTGCCGCCGCGCAGCTCCGGCGAGCTGGATGCGGCGTCGGAAGAGCCGCCCGAGGCGGCAGCGCCGGCAACCGAGCTCGAGTCTACTGATGCGTCCTCTGCTGTGCCATCGTCGTCGAATGCCGGCGCGCTGCGTCTCTTCAGGATGGACTTAGGCGCCGCCGGCGAGGTGCCGGACGCCGATGGCGACGTGCCGAGGATCTCGTCTGCCTGCGTCTCGAGCGGCGGCGAGACATGCGTGACCGGCGCGCCGCCATTGCGCGCAGCCGCCGCGGCTGCGAGGCGCTTGACGTTGGCGTGCGCCGCCTCTGCGTCGGCGGCGGACGTGTTGGGCGGCGAGTAGCCGTCTGAGGCGGCGGCGCTGTACGCGTTGGCGACGTCGGGTCCGTTGAAGTAGTCGAACTCGCCGCCAAAGTCATCGTCAGCGTCCCACTGGCTGTAGCGCGTGGCCGAGTCGTCGCCGCCGCCTGCGCCCTGCGACGGGTCGTACGTGCCGCCGTAGCTGTTGATCGGCTGGCTCGAGACGCGCGAAGGCGTGCCGGACTTCCAGCTCGAGGAGAAGCCCGTGGGGTCCACGACGGGCGCAGAGGGCAGCGGGTACACGTCGCTCGTCTTGAGCATCGTCGGCGCCAGCTTGGCAATGGTGTGGTGCTCGAGGCCCGGGCTGGAGCCGCGGCTCGAGACCATCGGCAACGGCCACGTGGCGCTGGCGCGCGGGCTCGACTTCATCGTCAGCACCTCGTCGTCGGACTCCGCCGTGTCGGGGTCCGAGCTGCGCCCGTTGGCGCCGCGCGACGAGGACGACGACGAGGCGCCGCCGTAGTCGTCGTCCGAGTAGTCATCATCCTCGTCGTCGTCATCGTCCTCGTCCTCCTCCGGCACGTCAATCGAGATGCACTGGTCGACGCGCTGGTTGAAGCTGATGTGCCGCCGCTCCTCCGTCTGCCCGCTGTCCGCGCGCTCTAGCGACGGATGGTTGAGCAGGCGCACGCTCGCCGGCGGGCTGCCGCCCGTCTTGCTCTTGCGCGCCACGAGGTTCGTGTCGCTGCGCACCGAGAAGAGCGACGCACTGCGCCCGCCCGTCGGCGAGTTGCGCGCGCTGGCGCCCGGCGTGCCCACGCCGTCGCTGGAGCCCTGCGCATGTGCCTCATTCTCATCATCCGACCCTTCCCGCGAGGCGTCGTTGCTCTGCGGCATGTTGTCAGAGGCACTCCGCCCGGGCGTCGTGAGCATCTCCGAAATGGTGCGGTGCTTGAGGATGGAGCGCGTGCGCGACGTCACGTCGAGGCCGAGACGCTCGCGCGCCGAGGCAATCTTGGGCGGCGGCACCGGATCAGCGTGCTCGTGCAGCGGGCCGTAGAGCCACGTCACGTCGCTGTCCTTCAGCCTGCGCGGGAAGAGATGAGATTAGTGCATGTCGCGCAGCGGGTCTGCACTCAAGCAGCTCGTACGTGCACTTCGCATATCTGCGGCATACAGCAGGCTCGCTTCGCCAGGATAGCGTCTCGCCACGCTGCGCCACGCCTCACCCAATCAGCACCGTGCGCTGCACACTCACCAGTTGAGCGTCTCGGGGCTGATCGTCTTCAGCTTGCCGCGCTGCTTGGCCCATGTCCGCCAGCCTGCATTCTCCAGGCGCACGCCATTTGCGATCTCGTTCTTGCGCTGCAGAAGGGACAAGGCGTCAGCGCCGCGGGGCAAACAGATCCCAGCGCTGCCAGCACGCGCGTGCGTGCGTGGCGCAGCGCGAGCCGCGGCATCGCGCCTTCATCGCGCGGCTCACCTTGGTCATGGCCTTCCAGCTGCTCCACACGTCCTCTTCCCGCCAGTTGTGGCTGAGGTAGTCGACGCAGATCGACGGCGTCTTGTTAATGATCTGCGCATCGTCGGGCGCCGGCGCGTGCGACTGCACGGCCGGATACGGCGCGGGCGCGGACATCATGCCGGGCGAGCGGGGCGCCTAGCGGCGGAGAGCGAGGCACGCAGCCAAGGGGCGCAGGGACAGACGGCGCAGGCGCCGCGGCAGGCCAAGAGGGCCGGCGATGGAGTAGCTCCGGGGCGTGGCGCGCAGGATAGGATAGGATAGGCAGGCGCAGGAAGCAGCGAGCAGCGAGCGAGCGGGGCACGCGGCGGGGCTGCACGGAGCGGGAGCGCGCGCAGCAGCAGCAACAGCGGCGGCAGCAGCAGCGATGGGCGGCTGGGCGGGCGCGAGACGGCTCGTCTAGAGGCAGCGACGGGCTGCGGGGAACGAGGATGGCGAGGTGGTCGTCGGCGGCAGGGATGGACTGGCGGTGCTGGACGTCGGAAGCCAGAGATGGAGCCGCGAGCAGCGGCCGTGTGGGCTCGGGCTCGCCAGCCACGCGCGATAGAGCGCGCGACAGGCGAGGCGGCAGGCCGGCGCTGTGTCCGCGCACGGCGCGCGGCGTGCGATCTGGCGCGCGCGAGAGCCGAGCAGCAGGCCGCCAGCCTCGCCCTCGCCCTCTGCCACCGAAGGCCGCCGCGCACACCCGAGCCGCGGCACGCGCAGAGAGAGAGCCAGCCAACGGTGACAGCCGCCGCCGCCTTCGCTGTCCTGCGCGCGCCGCCGCCGCCGGCCGAAGGTGTCGCCGGGCCGTCTTCCGTGGGCATATCTGGCGCTTCACTTCGCTTCGCTTCCAGGGGCGGCGCGACGGACACCGCCTCACAAGGTGGTGCTGGCAGTGAGAGCATGCAGCGAACAAGTTGGCCGTGCGGGACCGTCCGCGGCGGCGCAGACAGCACCTCGCTGGCGGCTGGCGTGCTCAAGCAAAGGCGGGCACGCGCGCAGCAGCGCTGCACCCTGCCCTCTGCCTCGGCTCTTCTTGCAGCGGCAGCCCCACGCGGGCGCGGGGCGATCAGGCCGGCGATGGGTGAGCGCGTGCCTCTGCACCCCGCTTCTGCGGACAAGGACGCCGCAAGCATCTCATCTCTTGCGCCTTGGCCTCCTCGAGAAGAGGACCAGAGCTGTGGGTCAGAGAAGAGCCAGCTGCGTCTGCGTTGCCGTGTCCGCCAGCGGCAGCGGCAGCACAGGAGCAGGGGCGAGCTGTCAGCGCGCCGCCACAGCGCGGCATCCTAGGCACCGCGCACGCCGCCTGCCTGCTGCTGCCTGCTGCTTGTCCCCTGAGGCGTCGGCCATAGAGCGCCAAAGGGGCATCAGCCGCCAGCGGCGTCTCTAAAGGCACCCCTGTGGTGATCAGGTGGGCCCACGGCAGAGGAACAGTGAGCGGCACGCCCCTGAAGCGGCTGGGAGCAGCCTAAGAGCTGTGAGCCGCTGGCCGGTCCGAGGCCGGTCCGTGGCGCGCCAGCCAAGAGACGCAGCTTGGTCGACAGCAAGGCCGCAGCGGCGGCATGGGACGATCTCAGTGGGCTGATGCGGATGACCACAGCATGCAACGCGAGGCGCTGCTCCTGCCGAGCCGATGCCAGCAGCTGCAGGGCGCCGAGCGAGTCTGCGCGGGCGAGTTCGAGCGAGCGGTTCGAGCGAGAGCGCGCCGCACGCCCGCACCGCCGCGGATGGACGATGCTCCGCCGAGCTCTGCCTCTGCTGCGTGTGAGTCGGAGCGCTCTGCACCTTGATCCTGCCCTGCAGCTGGCCTGACGTCGCAGACAGCATTGAGCGAGCTCTCATGCTGTACGGCGTCTATGTGCTCGAGGCTGAAGGTGGCCCTCGCGCGCAGGCGCCGAGGTTCTGAGACGACGCTCCTGGCGGGCGCGCCGGAGCATGCTCGGTGGTGCGGCGCTTGCTCGGCGCGTGCCGCCGTCTCGCCGCTGCCGTCAGCACTAGTCAGAGTTGCAGCTTCCTCGCTGCTCTTGCAAAGCGTGCAGTCCCGACGCATCGGCACCCAGACCGAGCGCCGTCAGCCAGTGTCATGGTCCGCCAGTACGCAGCTCCACCACGCGATTCTGGGCGAGGAAGCAGGGCACTGCATAGTCTTAGTGGCGAAGGGCAGAGAGAAGCCCGCAGCCACGTCGCGCGTCCCGCTCTGCAGCGGGGCCGGCATCGGGACCCCGCTCTTGCTCGCGCGAGCAGACCCACTCACCCACCCGCACATGCCGCAAGTCGCCGTCGTCCCACCACAGGCCGCAGCGCGCAGCACGAGGGCTCGCTGCTTGCGCTGCTCGACCCGGCCGCGTGCTCGCCTCGAGAGTCGCCGACAGCTCGCTGCCGCTCCCGCGCCTCAGTCGCACCTGCCCATGGCTCGTCTCGAGTGCGACAGACAGTCAGTGAGATGGTGCAAGAGTGACGATTAGATGACGTTGTGTGTGGTGACAGTCTAGCTAGTATACAGCGGGGGCGCAGCAGCAGCAGCAGGAGCAGGCGCCCTCCCTCAGAAGGAGAAGCGCAGCAGGGCCGGGTTGAGGGCGATGGGATAGAGAATGTGCATGGCGCAGGCCCAGACGCAGGGGAAGATGATGAGCGGGTCGGTGACGCGCCAGATGAGCGGCACGGCCGACGTGGTGCACACGATGACGCCGGCAATGACGCTGCCGCAGAGCAGGAAGGGGCGCCACTGGCGCCGGAAGATGCCGGGCACCTCGACGAAGAAGTTGCTCTCCTCGAGATCCTTGAGCGTCGAGCCCCACGTCATGTTGATGCCGAGCGGGTGCGCAAAGATGGCCATGAGCACGCTGTACGAGATGCCCGAGAAGAAGACACAGAGCGCCGGCAGCCAGACGATGTGCTCGAAGAAGGCCTCGAGCAGGCCCTGGCGCGTCGCGCGGAACTTGGCAATGATCGTCGCCAGGTTGCCCGCGGCGGAGAAGACGATGAGCACGGCGAAGAGCACGTTCCACGACGGCAGGTAGGCCAGGTCGAGCTCGGGCAGCAGCCAGCCGGAGAGGCAGTAGCTGAGAATCGAGATGGGCAAGGCCGAGGCGATGGCGTAGTAGGAGAAGATGTACGACGAGGCGGAGCACTTGGCGTGCGTCGGCACGGCCGAGGACCACATGTAGCGCGAGTAGATGCCCGTCAGCGGGCCCTTGTACCACTTCCAGATCGGCTTGAAGACGAGCTCCGAGCAGCCGAAGGCGTACTTCTGCCAGCGGTTCAGCTCGTCCTCGGCGGTGAGCGAGACGCCCTCCTCGAAGCCGTTGTTCGAGTACGTGGCCCAGCGTGTGATGTAGCCCTTGAGCAGCACGCGCAGCGACAGGTCAAAGTCCTCGGACACGGTCGTCTCGCACCACACCTTGCGCTTACCGTCGGCGGGGTCGATGAAGGCCGCCTCCTGGATGGCCGACCAGCGCAGGAACGCGTTGTGGCCCATGAACGGCGCCACGTCGCCGGCGGCGACCGTGTACGAGATGGCAAAGTTGATGCAGCGCGTAAAGAAGCCGATGCAGCGCTCAAAGTAGTTGTCCTTCGTCACGAGCATGACGCCGGAGCAGTGCTGCAGGATCGCCACGTCGGGGCTCTGGTGCAGCTCCGAGACGGCGTCGAGGAAGCAGTCCTCGGGCACACGCGTGTCGCAGTCGATGATGAGGATGAGCTCGCCGATGCGCACGTTGCCAGCCGCCTCGGCCTTGGGATGCGTCTCCTGCACGGCGCGCTCGAGGCACCACTGGTAGAACGACGCCTCGTCGGCGTACGACCAGCTCTCGAGCGTGTCGGCGTCGACGGGGCGCTCCTCGGTGAGCATGCGCTCGACGGCCAGCGAGATCTCGCACGTGAAGTTGAGGTTCGAGGCCTTCTTGAAGCGGCCGGCACGCATGTAGCCGTCGCTGTTGTGCGGCGGGCGCGCGACCCAGGCGATCTGGTTGCGGTCGTAGTAGTCGAGCCGCGCGGCGCGCTCCACCTCGTCGACGACCTGCAGGCCGTCCTCGCTGACGAGAATCTCGGCGGTGCCGCCCTGCAGCTCGTACGTGCTGATGGCCGCCTTGAGCGACTCGATCGTGGGGATGAGCACCGACTCAAGCGACTCCTTGTACACGGGCATCTGGATCGTCACGTGCGGCAGCACGCCCGTGATGCGGCGCGGCGCCACGCCCGAGTAGTAGCGCGAGTTGAGCGACATGTGCCGGATGGGCGCAATGACGAGGAAGATGTTCTGGATGATGTTGTCGCAGAAGAAGAGCGTGATGGGAAAGAGGAAGGGCGCGGCGCTGAAGATGACCATGCGCATCCAGTTGCCGTCGACGAGGCTCTCCATGATGAGCGTGCGCAGCATGAGGCTGATGATGAGGCAGTTGAGGCCGAGCGCGAGGCCGTGCGCCAGCGGCGCCTGTAGGTTCGTCGAGCGCTCCGGGATGTCCGCGCCGTCCTCGAGGTCAGGCGTCATGTGGCCGTCCTCGATCTCCTCGCCCTTCTCGTTGAGGCTGCGCGCCTTGGTCGACGCCGACGAGCTCATGTTGCCGAGCGCCGGCGCCGCCTGGCCCGTGGCGCGCTCCCACACGTACTTGACCATCTTGGCCTCCATGTTGCGCGTCGCGGGCATCAGGTCGTGCACCTTGTCGGCGAAGATGATGAGACGGTTCTCCTTGCGGACGAAGCAGGCGCCCTGTGCCTTGCGGCAGGTGGCCAGCTCCTCGATCGACTCGACGACCTGCACGCGGTCGACGGTGGTCAGGACAACCTCCGTGGCGAAGCGCGGCAGCGTCGAGCAGATGCCGGCGACGACGGTGCTCGTCATCGAGATGGACGCCTCGCAGTTGAGCAGGCACAGGCTCTGCAGCCACGGCACTAGCCGCGGGTCGGCCGACGGACACGAGACGTAGCGGTTCTTCTCGAGACGCAGCGCCACGCCGTTCCAGATCGCGGGATTGTCGGAGAAGAGGCGCTCACGCTGTCCGGTGCGGAAGAGCGTCTCGGCCATGATGAGGTAGGCATCCTGGCGCTGCAGCGAGACCTTCTCCTGGTTCGAGCCAGGCGTCGAGTGCGACTGTGACCGCGAGCCGGAGCTGTGGTAGGACGTGCTGGCGGGGCCGAAGCCGAGCTGCGACGCCTCGCCGTCGAGCTCCGTCAGCGGCGCGCCGTGGCTGAGCACCGAGTGGCCGCCGGTCGAGTAGGGCGTGCGCGGCGTCTGCGAGCCGGACGGCGGCTCGTCGTACTCCTCGTCGTCGGACTGCACGAGGTGCGCCTGCGAGGTGGACCCTGCGGCCACGAGCTGGCGCATCTGCGGGTAGCCGGACATGGCCGGCGGGGCGGGTGTGGGGCGAGGTCGAGGTTGGTGGATGGATGCGAAGTAGAGACGGGCACGGGTGAGGATGCGTGACTTGAGCGTGTATGGGTGGGGTCAGATCTTGGGGGTGCAGCGAGCTCGGGCTGGACACGATGCCTTATGAGAGGCTCGGCGAGGACTGCGAGACCATCTCCTGATGGCGGCGGTGAACACGCGCCGGGCATGCTCATCCGCGTCCGTCTGTCCGCAGCTGTTTCAATTGGAAGCCCGGCGGCCCCGGTTGAAGCGCCGTCCGTGCGAGCTTAACGATCGCTCGCCAGGCGGCCGCAGCCGCCGCACGCTGATGCTCGCTCGCTGCATCTGTCAGAACGGTGGAGGCGGCGGCGGCGGCGCTCGCTGCTGGGCCCAGGCGGCGTCGGCAAGCCGCAGCGCATGCGTCTAGCGCGAGCGGCGGTCTTTGTGGCGGAGCGCCGCGGCCGCACGCTGCTTCTGCCAGTGGAAGCCCTGGGAGCAGCCGCTGGTCGAGCACGAGGCGTGCAGCGGTGCGGCGTCGGGCGCATGCTGCGGCTGTCTCACCGCCCACGCCGGGGAAGGCAGGTGGTGCGGCGGCGGAGGGGAGCTGAGCAGCGGAGCGCGGCGACGCCTGCGAGATGGATGAGACCGCATGCGGCTCCAACTCGAGGCGCCGCGGCGGATGGGCCTCAGCCCAGCGCGCACAGACTGGCCGCGTGCCCGCCCAGCGCCCAGCAAGATGCAGCGCGCGCTGGATGCACCGCGGTGACTGCTCTCGCGCCGCGGCCCGAGAGCCGGCGGCGGGCGCGCGCGCCGAAAGCCACGCCTGCTTCGCCCGTGATGAGGCATCTGGGCAGTGTGCGCCGCCAGCGTCGCATCTTGCTCTGCGCCGCATGCGACGAGTGGTGAGACCGAGGCGTCGAGGCAGAAGAGCAGTGTGTGGCAGCTGTGGTGCGCCCGATCCGAGGCGACGCTGCAGCAACACGGCTGCGGAGCCTCGCTCCGCTTCTGCGCCGCTGCGTGCGGCCGCATGCTGCCCATGCCTCACCAGGTGCAGATGCAGGCACGGTGTCGGCGCCCGGCCTCTGCATCTGCTGCTGCGCGCCTCGGAGGCTGGGCGCCGCGCCCGTTGCGCCTCTTGTCTCGCGGGCTCTCGACGACGCCTCCGCGGGTGTGCGGCACTTGCAGCTTGTGCTTGCTCTCTCCAGCCGCAGCAGCCCATGGCGGCACCTCGATGCTCGCGACTGCTGGCTCGCGGCTGCATGCTGACAGGTCTCGCAGAACGGCATGCAGGATGTGCCATGGCCGTGGTACAACGAGCTCCGTTGATCGAAGCGCCCAGGGTCGCCGGCAGCGGCGAGGCGGCGAGGTGCTGCGGTGGGCAGCAGCAACGACGCAGCACCGCTCGGGGCCGGCAGGAGCATCGAGCACACGAGGTGGCCGCGTCCGAACGGGCCATGCCAGCGGCCCTACCAGGAGACCCAATCGCCTTGGCCCGAGCTCTGTCCGACGTGCGGCGTGTGCATCAGCTCGATTCAGCTCGATGTAGACAACACATCAGCGGCAATCGAGGCGCAGACAAGCCAACAGCCTGCTTGACGGCGGGAAGAGCTGCTCCCACGCTGTGATGGACGAGCCGCAGAGCAACACTGCGGCGCCCAGCAGTGGGCAATGTCCCTGCAGCCAGCCTCTGAGACCTAGTTTGAGGGTCTCTCTACATTATGCTGCAGCCAGGAGCACCCCACGTGTGCCGTGTACCTGCGTTCCGACCCGGCGAAGAAGCGACGGCTGGCTGCGAAGGTCGGGACGGAGCGAGAAGGCGGCGCTCGCTCGCGTTCGTGTCCGCGGGCGCCGCGGTGTTCCCACGCCTCACTCGCACCCGCGCTTCGGTGTCGTCCGTGCAGCCCGAGGCGGTCTGGCAGCTCTTCTCCACACCCTCATCCCTGCCCCTGCCCACCTCTTCTCTTTCTCAGCAGCGTCTGCACACGCGCACCGTCCGCGCACATGCCAGCCACCTCGCTGCCAGGGCCCTCGGGCAGCGTGCCTCAGGCCGTGCCCGACGTGCCCGGCGCGCGCGTCGACGAGCAGCGCAGCGAGAGCCTCAAGGCGCACGTCGCCAAGCTGTGCCAGCTGCAGCATACTCGGTGCGTGTCTGCGGCGCCGAGGACGCACATCGCTGTGCCTCCAACAGCGGCGATAGACGCCAGCGGCGGCTCAGCGGCCCGTCTGACGCGGGCGCTCCACAGCTTCCCCGGCGCACAGCCCGTCTCGTTCACCAAGGCCTCGCTCGACCTGCTTCTCACAGAAGAGTGCGTGTGGCTGCTCCGGTGATGCGCGTGCTGCCGTTGACGCATGACGCGCAGCTTCTGGGTCTGTGAGAAGTCAGATGGGCAGCGTGTGCTTGTCCTGATCGCATGGAACAAGTTTGCGCATCGGCAAGAGGTCTTTCTCGTGAGTGCCGCGCAAGGAGCTCGCTCTTGCTCTTGCCGACTCGAACGCCTTGCCAGATCGATCGCAAGAACATCTATCGCGAGCAGAGCCGCGCTCTCTTCTTTCCGCACTTTGAGAAGCCGCGCGGCAAGCCCGAGGACCGCATCGTGCAGGACATCGGCAGCCGCTGGAAGGCGCTGCATGAGACGGTGCTGGATGGAGAGCTGGTGTGGGACACGCTGAAGGACGGACGCGTGAGTGGCAGTGTCCCTCTTGATAGAAGGCTCTGCATGGCTGATAGGAGGCACGTATCTGCAGCGCAAGCTGCGGCTGCTCCTCTTCGATGCGCTCGTCATCGACGGCCAGAACATGGCCTCGCGCACGCTCGAGAAGCGCTACGGCGTGAGTTGCCCCCAGACAGACCGCGCTCTCTGCAGCGCTGACCCAGGCTCGCAGCGGCTGCAAGCGTACGTGTACAAGCCCTTTGTCGACTTCATGCGAGAGAACCCACAGCGAGCGCGCGATATGGACTTCGAGTGCGTGGACGTGAGAGCGCCCAGCGATGCCTCGTGCTGACACGGTCATGCAGAATCTTCGTCAAGACGATGGACCTCGGCTACGGCATTCAAGCGGTGCTCAAGGACCGGATACCGCGGCTCGAGCACGGCAACGACGGCCTGATCTTCACATGCATCACCAGCGGCTACACCTGCGGCACAGACTCCAAGATGTGAGTGTGTGCGTCAGGCGCGTCGGGACGTGCGCTCATCGGATGTCCATCAGCATCAAGTGGAAGCCGCCGTACGAAAACACCATCGACTTCAAGCTGCGCCTGCGCTTTCCGCCAGACCTGGCCGTTGATCCGCGCGGCAATGTGCCAGACCTGTCTGCCAAGCCCTTCTTCGCTCTGGACCAGTTCGTCGGCCGGGAGCGCGGCTCGACGTCCGACGGCTACGAGTACTTTGACTGGCTGCACGTGGAGGACGATGAGTGGGAGCAGTGCGTGGCTGATGTATCCCCATGTGCACTGCCCTTGCTGACCGGTCTGTCTAGGATGAAGGCGAGCGGCCAGCAGTTCGACGATGTCGTCGTCGAGGTCTCGTGGGACCTCAAAGGCGGCCCGCTTTCCGCGGACGGCGAACCGACGCCAGGCTGGCGGCTGCATCGGGTGCGCGACGACAAGCACGACGGCAATCACCACACCATCGTGCAGAAGATCATCACATCGATCGAGGACGGCGTCGAGGAGGACGAGGTAAGCACGAGCGCAGGCTGAAGTGTGGCAGCGTCTGCTGACTGAACTCCCCCTCTGCAGCTGGTCGGCGCCGAGCAGGAGATGCGCCGAGCGTGGAAGTCAGAGGAGCGCACGCGCATCAGGAAAGCCGGCCTCGTGCAGAGTCGGACAGAGGCGCCGAGTCGGCCAGAGGCGCCGGCAGGGCGGAGAATGGGGCCTGGGCCGCCGATGCGCGGCGTGCCGCCACCGGGGCTCAAGCGGTAGCGGCAAATGCACATATACCAGACGGCACCGCCACGACGTCAGGCGGCCGATGGGTGACAAGGTACGATTATGTGCTACGGCTAGAGTACATGCTGGGGTCGCGAGTGGGCCTAAGGGCCAGGAGGCGGCGGAGACCACGTCGGCGCCTGCTGCGGCGGCGATCCTTGCCAGCCGCCCGGCGCGCCTGCTCCCTCCGGCTGCCACGAGTTCTGCGGCATCTGCGCTGGCGGACTTGCTGCGCCCCAGCCTGCGCCCCAGCCGCCGCCGCCGCCCCCGCCCATCTGCGCCTGGCTCGCTGCTTGCGCTTGCATCTGCATCTGCATCTGCATCTGCATGTTCATCTGCGCTGCAGCAGGGGAGTGTGGTCAGCGCACAGCGTCAGTGCACCTCCGGAGAAGCAGCTCACCGAGCCACGCGAACATCTCGGGCTGGCTGGGCATTTGCTGCAGGGCGAGTGAGCCGGTCAGCACAGGTGCAGCATGCAGCATCTCTCCAGTCGACACACTTGAAAGGAGTTGTACCAGCGCTGCGCCAGCTCCGTAAGCGCGTCGGGCGTCGGGAAGAACGTGGCCATGTTCCACGTCGACATGTCGCCCACGCTCGGGTCCGGCTGCACTCCGCCCGGTGCGGGCCGGGAGCGCTTGCTGCTCTCTGCGTCTGCACTCTCTTCTGCAGCACGCTTGACGCCAGGTGGCGCAGCTGCTGTTTGTGACGCCCAGGAGGAAGCCAGAGACGGCATTGGCGGCGCCCGACCTGGCATCTGAGTGGGGAGTGGGCCAGACGGAGGCGGACCTGATGCGGGCGACGCAAGCTGAGGTGGCTGCGCGCCAAGAGGCGGGCTCTGCAGGCTGCTCCCTGGCGGCAGCCGTGTAGGCACATGCGAGCCAGACGTGGTTGCGGCGGCGGCACTTGCGCTGCCCGCGGCCGGCGTTTGTGACAGCAAGAGGCCAGACGAGGACAGTTGCTGTATCAGCGCAAGCGCGGCGTTGAGACCGCCGGCTGGAGGCGCCACAGAGGTCAAAGGCACGGCGCTGCTGCGTTTGGATGAGAGTGCACTCAGTGATCGAGTAGATGCGCGGCGCACGGTCTCACTCACCCAGCATCTGGCTTCTGAGGCGGCGGCACCTCGGCGCCCATGAGTGCCAGCGCGCCTGGCGAGTCGGCGCGCTCGCGCTCGTCGCTTGCCTCGGACCGCACTGGTGATGCACTGGCCGAGCCGCTGTCCAGCAGAGCGCGGAGATGCGACGGCAGACCCGTGAGCGGCTCCTTCGCTGGCGCATTGCCATTCTCGGCCTTGCTCGAGGCGCTCTCGTCCGCTGTGTTGGTGCGTGGTAGGTGACGGCCACCGGTCGGGAACACGAGCATGCAGGGTAAAGGAGATGCATTTCAGTGTGTGTCAAGTACAGGGTACGCAAGACCGGACGGGAATCTAGCGAGCAACATACGCGCCGTGCCGCAGGACCAGAGTCCCTCGGCAGTGGGCAGTTCATTTCATCGACGCACGCACTCCTCCTTCTCGCCGACGCTAGGCGGGGACACGCATACTGACGTTGGCTCGCTCTCTCCTTGCGCTGCGCTGCGCGGTCCGACTCGCGCTCGAGCAGCTTCGTCTCTTCGATCTTGGCACGCGTCCGCACGGCCCTGAGCGTCGCAGACTTGAACGTGCCTGACTTGTGCCAGATGTCGATGATCTTGAACACCTTCTCCTGCAGCGCGAGAGCAGCACGCAAGGACAAAGGCAGAGCATGATCAGACGTCAGCGCATCTTTTGTGGTCCGCCAAGCGAGCATTGACGCACCCTCTGCTCCGGCCTGACGATCTTGAGCGTGCGCAGCGCCACCTCCTCCACCCTGCTGTCCATGCGATCAAGGAAGCGCTGTGCGTCTCCTGCAGAGGCCACCTTGCCGCTGCCGTCTGCCGCCGACTCGGCAGATGCGCCCTCCTTGCTGGCCTCCAGGCACTCGCGCTTCCGCTTAGCAAGACTGCGAGCTTGGCCGCACACTGCGTCGACGAGGTAGAGTGATGAGACGCTCGTGGACGAGGTGGCCTGGCGATGCGCATTCATGATGCACTCTTCCAGCTGCGACGGGTGCTAGGTTACGTCGCGTCAGTCGATGTCTCGGCGCGGCTCACGTTTGCGGCTAGCTCCTCAGGCTCTTCGGAGCTTCCTGTCGCTCTCAGCAAGTACAAGGCAGACCATGCGAGAGCGCAAGAGGCCGCTGCTATTGTCTCCCGCTCATCGCCCGCAGCCACTTGCCGAAAGCCATACCACCCGCCGGCACACTCACTGCATAGAGCGGCAGTGCCGCCGCGCGCACCCGCTCGACCCGCGATGCCGACAGCTTGTTCGACGCAATCGTTTCCTGCAGCAGTGCGGCGAGGCTCTGTGGACGACGATTCAGTCGGCGATCCGCTGCTGCTGCTGCAGCTGACGGCAACTCACGCGCACGTCTGGCGCCGTCTCCGATGCAGCTGACGACGACATGGCTGCTGTTGCTGCGAGGCCGCCAATCGTAGAGTGCGAGGGAATGGACGTGGTCGAGAGATGAGAAGCGGCGCCGGCTGCGCGGCGCATCAAGACGACGGACAGCCTGGCGCATCCGCCGTCACGTGCGCGCACGCCCCTAGCGCCGCTGCGCGCCAGAGAGATGCACCGGCTGCCCAAGTGTTGGTCTATCAGCCGGGATTCAGCAGCGCTCAGCGGCCTTCTCTCACTCTCCATCAACCGCCTCACTCAGCACGCCACACTCCATTCTGCTGCGCCACGCCAGTCACCTCACGCAGTAGTCCACTTGCTAGCGTCTCGGCTCCACTTGGCTGCGCACGAGCCTCTCCTTTGTCGGTCGTGCGCGCGCCGACACCATGGAGTCGCCGCTGCTCGACCCGGCCTTTGCCGACGACTCGCTCTCCGACACGCAGTCCATCGGCTCGTCGCGCTCCAACACGCCGTCGCGGCGCCGCACGCGTGCCCGCTCCTCGCGCGCCACGACGCCCGGCGTGGGCGACTCGCTCGGCGACGAGCTCGGCGGCCTCAGCGGCGGCCACAGCCTGGGCGATGAGCTGGGCGCACAGAGCTTGGGCGACGAGCTGGGCGCATTCGCGGGACAGAGCCTAGGCGACGAGCTCAGCGGTGGGCAGAGTCTCGGCGATGAGCTGGGCGGTGCCGCAACGCTCGGCAGCGACATGCCCAGCGGCAGCCGGCAGCCCAGCGCGGCTCATCTGGAGAACCAGAGCACCGCCTCGCCGCGCCGCTCGGCTCGCGGCGCAGATGCCGGCTCAATCCGACGGGCGTATCGCGACAACCTCTCAGACGACGAGGCGTCGCAGACAGCAAGTCATGCCGAGAGCGAGGCACTCGATGCCGAGCAGGCAGAGCTCGACGAGGAATACTACTCGCACGCATCTGCGGCGCTCGAGACGTCGATCGCATCGACGAACCGCTTCTTGGCGTCGCTCAAGGGCATCTCGTCGTCTGGCGGCGGAGCAGGCGCATCGCGCAGAGACGACACGGCTGGCCTTGAAGCCGCAGCCGGCGCCGTCGTGCGGCTGCTGCGCGAGAACACGGCGGAGCGCGAGGCGCAGGTGCGCGAGCTGACGGACATTGTGCGCGAGCTTGGGCGGGACCATGCTCTGTGCGGCATTGTAGACGACGATTGGGTGGAGCGGGGAGCAGAGGAGGACCCGCTAGGCTTCGTTGGCATGCGCGCCGGCGCGTCGTCTGCCTCGCTCGACCTCGTCGCAGAAGAGGATGATGGCTTGTCTACGTCCGACGTCGAGGCAGCAGAAGGCGCTGAGTTCGCGCCAGTGGGTCCACGCGCGCCGGCTGCCGATCAGCTCGCACATCTGCGTCTCGCAAGTGGCGCGCTCATCGGCTCATTGCAAGCGATGCACGAGCACACACAAGTCGCACGAGCAGCCACTTCGGACGCAGCGCGCCGCCTGCGCGCGCTCAAGGGCGTGCTCGTCGCCTGGAAGACTGAGACGGAGGGCGTCGCTCGGAGCGAGGCGTGGATCGAGGCCGACCGCCTCGCCAGCGCCAGCAGCAAGGACGACCCAGTGCGCAACGTCCAGGCCTGGACAGCCGGACAAGTGGAGCGAGCGCAGCGCGCCATTGCTGAAGCCGGCGCACGTGCGCAAGTCCTGCTGCAGCCCGTGCGCTGCGATGGCTTCGACCGCCTCGTCGCCGAGCTGCCCGACGGCGCGCTCGACAAGCTCGCCGGCCAGGCCATTGCCAGCTCGTAGACGGCCCTCGTCACCATCTCAAGAACACCGGTCCATCAAGTCACATGTCTCACCTTACACCAGGCACGCGTCACACTCACAGTGGGCGTGCAGCGCGATACCCTGCGAACATCAAGAGATAAGTGCGATTGCCTGATGCAGGTGCTAGTGTACAGGAGAGGCGGGGGATCTAGGCCGAGTCGGAGGTCAGGGCGTCGCGCCGCTGCTGCGTCTCGAACGACTTGGCAGCGGCCGGCTGCGCCTTGGGCGTCGGCGTGGCCTTCTCGCCGCCGATCTGCGAGAGGTCAAGCGGCACGCCGATGCCCATGCTCTCGAGTGCGCGCTCGAACTCGTCGCGATCCAGCGCGCCAAAGTCGCTCTCGGCGTCGCTGTATGGCTCGCCGAGGTCGTCATCCGGGCGCGCCGAGAGAGGGAAGGGCCGCTCAGGGTGGTTTGTGTCGGGCCATGTGGGCGAGCTGGCGAGCTGCAGCAGGATGACGCCGCCATTGCCCTCGTCTGAGGACTCGCCGCTCTCGTCGCTGCTCGAGACGGAGATGATGCTGGCGACGCGCCGGCGCGCCTTGGTCTGCTGGACCTCGGACTTTGGTCCTGGCGAAGCGGGGACCAGGCTCTGTTCGTCGTCGTCCTCCTTTGTCCAAGCCTGAGCCGGAACGTGAACAGCGTCGGGCTGGAGCACCAGCGGCTTGAGTTCGATAGGTGGTCGTAGCACCTCAAGAGGCTTGTCCTGTCCGACGCCGCTCAGCGGCAGGTCTTGGCTCGACTCGGCAGCGGCAGTGCTGGCGTAGTATGACGTGAAGCTGCTCGCCTGACTCAGCGTCGAGCTGGCCGGCGAGAGGAGGTGCTTCGACGCGGCGCTCATGCTGCGTCGCAAAGAGTTGCGGTCGGTCATCATCGACGAGCTCGTCGAGAGTGCGGGGCTCATGTATTCGATGCTGCTTGCATTCGACGGCGTGCGCGCGTGCGACTTGGGCGGCCGCTCCGGCGCAAACTTGGGAATTGCGTCTTGCGAGGCAGACTTGGCCATGGCGCCGAAGTACGGGTCGGCGGAGGGACGACGCTGACGGTCAAAGGCAGGCACGCCGGGCAGGCTGCCCATGCTCGTGACGCTGCCCTGCCGCTCGCGGCGCGAGCGCCACGTCTCGTCGTCGGACGTGTACTCCACGAACGGCTGGCGCGAGCTTGGCGCCGCAGACTGTGCCTTGCTTGCCGACTTGCCGCTCGGCTGGCGCCGCGGGCGATGCTCGATGGCCGACTGCCACTGCGCCGTCTTTGCCGCCTCCTCGAGCTGCTTCTCCCACTGCTCTGCGGCACTGAGCTTGCGCGCCGAATTGTCCTGGCTCGCCTTGCGGCCCTTGCTGCCGGGCATCGAGCTGAAGCTGGCGATCGAGGACGGTCCGAAGCTCGCGATGGACGCGGGCGAAGACGGACCCGTCGAGTAGCCAGAGTGCGCGGAGCTGCGCGAGGGCGAGACGGGAAAGCGGTACGGGCCCGAGGTGCGCCGGTACGGCGAGATCGGCGACGCGAGCGACGAGTTTGTCACCTCGTCGGACAGTCGCGCTTTGCTGTCTACGTGCAGACGGCCATCGCATGGGCCCGATTCCTCGAGATAGCTTTGCGTCGCCGGCGAGAAGAGGCGAGCGGCGCGGCTCGAGAGGCGCCGGCCTGATGGCTGCGGCTCGTCCGAGCCTTGCTTGCTGCGCTTGCGCAAGCTGCCAAACTTTAGCCGGCTGCCCGAGCGCAGCGGCGCGCTTGAGACATCCTCGGAGCTCTGCTTGTCAGGACTCATGTCGAAGACGGAGTTGGACTCGATGCCCAGCACACGCCGGGCCTTGGCGCCGGGCAGGTCGTCGCCTCCCATCCGGCCGGGGCTGATCAGCGCCGAGGCAGTCACATCGCGCCGATGGCTTCGAGCAAGGTTGAGCGACTCGGGCGCGCCGCCGCGCCGGAGGGCCACTGGACTCGGAATCGGGTCTCGCGGCGCAGACATGGTCATGAGCAGCGCACCGGGCGTGGCGAGGATCTCCTCGAGGTCCTCCTCGCTGCCGTTCTCATCCTCGAGGCAGGAGTTGACCTCGCTGGCCTGTGATGGGCGACGGCCGCTGGCGAGGTACGAGGTAAGGAACGAGTCGGGCACCGGCAGGCTCGAGGACGAGCGCGCGAGCTCGGCACCGCGCCCGATGCCGAGGCCGATGGTGGGATGCGGCGAGGCGATCATGGGAGCGTCGCGCTTTGCCATGCTTGCACGCAGGCCGTCGTTTGATGCTGATCGCTGCAGCGCCGGCGACATGTCTGTCTCGACGGCGGCGTCGGAGGAGCGAGCGGGCTGCACTGTGGCGCGCGAGGTGGATCGCTCCGGAATCTGTATCGGCGCCGGTCGCGGCCGCAATGGCAGTGGCTTGTGCGCGAGGTATGGGTGCTCGGTGCGTGGCGAGTCGTCGACCTGAGCCCCTGTGCAGGCCGCGAGGATTGACTCTGCGAGCTTGGACTGTGTCTGCAGGTTGTAGTCTGCCAGCAGCTCCTCGGAGCAGACGGATGTCGCTGCGGACGACACTGAGCCGCCGGAGCTGGACTCGCGCGAGCGAGGGGCGAGGCGCGGCAGCAGCTGCTCGCCAGGCTGCGAGTAGGCGGTTGCGAGGCTGTTGCTCGACGAGCGTGACGAGACGGAGGCGGAGCGGCGCACGAGGGGTGAGTGCGACCAGGAGACGGAGTGGGAGTAGGAGAGATGCGAGCCCATGCTGGCCTGGCCCGACATGGCGGCGGCGGTGGCCAGCGAGGCAGGCGAGCAGCTCGGCTACAGCCGCAGGGTCTGCGGCACTGCGGACCAGGCAGGCTCGCTTGCGCAGCCAACTCGGCTCCGGGCCGAGCAGCAGGATCAATGCAACGGGCCAGAGGGGCGAGCGGGCGGGTCGCTCGTCGTGCCGTCGCGATCTGTTTGTCGGGAACAAGAGCGTCAGCGAGCGTGTCTCGGAGGCCACGCAGGCGGGCAGTGTGCGGCAGGCGCGATTAGCGCGGGACCGCGCCGCACACTGCCCATGTGCCTGCATCCCGCGCGCCTCCCACGCCGCGCAAAATGAACGCCTCCCACAGCGAGGACAAGAGGTTTTGCCTGAGGCGGCCCGATCCCCAGCCAACCGGCGGCGCATGGGAAAGAAGCTCAACAATGACGCACGTGATGTTCTGTGATGGAAGGTCTGTGCGAGCGGACGGTGGACGAGGTGCGGCACCTCGCAGCGCGGCAGTATGGCGAAGAGCGGAGGAGGTGGGAGGTGTCGCGGTGGTGGTGGTGGAGACGAAGCAAGTCATCCTCCCTGGCAACATCTCTGCTCCATCCACTTCGGCTCGGCGCAGCCCTCTTTCCATGCATGGTCGAGCAAGCTGGCCGGCCGCTGCTTGCTCGGGTATACGTCGAGGCCGAGGAGGCTGAGCGGCTGCACGCTGAGGAGCGCGGACTTGGCTGTGGTGCGGCCGGCGGGCGCGAAAAGTGCGACCTTCGCCCTCGTCGCACGGCCTGGCGCACCTTCAACTCAGCAAGTCTCAAGGCGGCGCTTCGGAAGCGGCCAAACGACAGCTGTTCCGCCTTGGTCCGCCTTGGGGAGCGTGAGCAACCGCACCGCATGGTGCGGGCGAGGTGGAGCTGCGGAGAGCGGCGCGCGGTTGACGCCGCGAGATGGCTTAGCGCGGGCGCAGCGCGCGTATTTCGCCGAGGGCGCTGCTGGGCGGAAAGCCCCGCCACACGCACGGCCGCGCCCGTCCGAAGCCGTGCTCCTGCCTGACCCCTCCTCCGACTTTCAGCACCTCGCAGCAGAGAGAAGCAACATGGCAGTCAGGTCATAACATGCGGAGTGGCGACGCGTAGCAGGAGCAAGAGGGTCGGAGGCAGCAGCAATCCGAGAGGGCGGATGGTATCGAGTGGAAGAAGAGAGCGAGGGAAAGAGAGCAGCATGATCAAGCCGACGTGTCGCCGCCCTTGACCTTGCGCGCCGTGCCGATGACCGTCGAGTTGACCTTGCTGGCAAAGCGCAGCGAGCAGAGACTCTCGGAGAGATGCTCGGCCATGGGCGAGAGCGCAAGGAGCATGAGCGTCTTGCTGTTGCCGCCCAGCGAGTTCTTCAGCAGCCACGTGAGCGTCGAGTTGCGGTACGGCACGTGGCCGCCGCTCTTGGCCGCGCCGAGCGCCGCGATGACTAGCAGCAAGGGTCAGCCAGAGTCCAGACGCCTTAGTCCACAGGCACGCTCACCATCGGCAAGGCTCGACAGGCTCTTGTTGATGCACTGCGCCTCCTTCAGGCGCGTTGGATCCGTGCCCGAGCCGCTGTTGCTCAGGCGCTCCGAGCCCGCCAAGTCGACGAGCGAGAGCGTCGCGTCGCAGCTCTCCATCGTCGTCGCGTTGCTGCCGCGCACGCGCAGGATGAAGACACTGTGCGAGCGCGAGGAACGCTCGTTCATCAGCGTCGCCGCCACCTGGCGCCGCGACTTGGCCTTGGCCAGCAGCGCAAAGACGCGCGCCGGAGAGTCGAGCGGCGCGACGACAGTGTCGGACACAAACGTGCGCCCCTTCTCGTGCTTGATCTCGTGCTTGCCGCTGTCGATGTTGTCCTTGCCGAGCAGGTCGTTGATGCCCTCGTTGTACTGCATGACGGTCAGCGCCAGCGGGGGCGATGCCACACCAGACCACTCACAATCTCGAGCATCTGCCCCTCGAAGTCGTAGCGCCAGCCCTTGTCCTGCAGGCTCTCGGCCGTGTTCCACAGCATCTGCACGGCACGCGGGATCAGACCGGCCTCGGCATCGTTCGACGGGTCGGCGCCGACGCTGAGCGACAAGTTCGAGCCGCCCTCGAGCGAGTGCGTCTTGCCGGAGCCCGTCTGGCCGTAGGCAAAGATGCACGTGTTGTAGCCATCGAGCACACTCTGCGTCAGGTGCGACACCTCGTCGAACACGTCGGCCTGCGTGGCCTCGGGGCGGAAGACGCGGTCGAAGCGGAAGCCGTGGTTGCGCATTGTGGCGGTGCCCGTAGCGCTCTCGCCGGCGGCCAGCAGCTCAATCTGCGCTGCCTCGCGCGGGTCCGGGAAGCGCAGCGTAGCCAGGCCGGCGCTCGCCTCGCGCGGCAGCGCTGGGCGCACTCGCGCAAAGACGCGGATGTTGCCGCGCAGCTCCTGCACCTCATTGTGCAGCTTGCGCCGCAGAGTCTCGGCGCCTCGCAGCTCCTCCTCGAGCGTCGAGGTCGAGAGGCGCAGCTGCGCCACCTCGCTCTCGAGGCGGGCAATGCTGGCGTTCTTCGCCTCGAGCTCGTCGGCCTGTGCGCCCAGCTGGGTGCGCAGCGCCACGTTGGTCGACTCCATCGTCAGCTGTGCGGTCGACTGCTGGCCCAGTGATGCCTACGAGAGTGTGAGCACAGGACCCAGCAGTCGGCACAGGCAGTGCGCACCTTCAGTGCCGAGACTGTTTGCCGCTCGCGGTCCAGGTCGTCCTCCAGCAGGCGTCTCTCGCGCGTGTGCTTGAACGTGATCTCGTCGAGCTGCCGCGGCATCAGTGAGCATCGTAGGGCAGTCGAGCATGGAACTAGCCGTCACTCACCTGCTCCTGCGTCACGCTGGCCTGCCTTTGGCTCACCGCTTCCTTGGCGATCTTGAACTTCTCGCTCAGCTCCTCCTCCAGCTCGGCCCGCACCATCTCGTTCTGCCGCGTCCGCTCGGCGCGCTCCTGCGACAGCAGCGCCGTCGTCTTCTGCCGCTCGAGGTCAAGCATCTCCTGCAGACTACTGAGCTGCGACTCGAACGCCGTCATGCGGCCCTGGCGAGAACGACTGTCAGGCCCGCCGCTTCGAGGCGTGCGAGCTGCGGCACTCACATCACTCTGGCGTGGCCGCGGCGCACCAGCGCTCGGCACGCGGCGCACGCCGCCGACGGCAGCGGCCGTCTTGCCCTTGGCTGTCATGCCACTGGGCGTGCGGCCCACTGTGGCAGGCCTGTTCGTCGTGGCGCTAAGCGGCTGCCGCGGCAAAGTAGGCGCCACGACAGGCCGCCGAGCGCCGCTGGCGCCTGCAGCAGGCCGTGCGGCGCCGGTGCCGAGCGCAGCGACACGCGATGCCGACATGGTGCGAGTGGGCAATGGTGCGCGAGCGGCAGCAGCTGCCGGCCGCGAGGGCCCGCCGGCGCGAGGAAGCATCGTCGGCTTGGCGATGCGCGAGATGCCGCTGCTGCCCGACCGGACAGTCTCGACGTCCTAGGAGGAGATGCTGCTCAGCGAGGGCAGTGCCAGCGCAGACGTGGCCAGACGTACCGAAGAGCTCATCGATGTCTTGAGGATCTGTGGGCGAGGGATGAGGAGGTGAGAGGCTGGTGGATAGTCAGAGGAGCCCAGCGGCTGGCGGCGGCAGTGTTGCTTGCTCCGCCCGCTCCGCCGCCACGGCGCGCGCCTTGTGGAGAAACACGGCCCGGCCCAGGGACGTGTTTGGTCACGTGCAGGTCCCGGGCCCACGCTTATGTAAGGCGCGCCAGGCCGACGCCGGCAAGGCAGTCGCACGCGCAAGCGCCGCCCGCCAACTCGCGCATCCTGCTGCGCAGGTAAAACCCGCGCACCGCCGACGGCTCTCTCCTTCCTCTCCAGACACCTCAGCAGTGAGTACGCGCACATACCGCCCATCCGCGACGGCGGCATGCTCACGCCCATGCTCCGCTCAGAGGACGCCAACCGTGGTTAGCAAGTGTCCATCATGCAGATCTTCGTCAAGACCCTGTGAGTCGCGCTGGCGTGCGCGGGTGCGAGAGGGCGTCGCGGCTGACGCCACGCGCGCGCCTCGCCAGCACGGGCAAGACTATCACCCTCGAGGTGGAGTCGTCCGACACCATCGACAATGTCAAGGCCAAGATCCAGGACAAGGAGGGCATCCCTCCGGACCAGCAGCGTCTGATCTTCGCCGGCAAGCAGCTCGAGGACGGCCGCACTCGTGAGTGGCTGCGCGCGATGGAGAGCGGGTGGCGCAGGGCAGATGCGGTGGCCAATGGCTCGCGATTGGCGGCGCACGAGAATGGCGAGGAACACGAGCCGGCATACGTGCAGCGGCTGACCCCGCGTCCCAGTCTCGGACTACAACATCCAGAAGGAGTCGACCCTGCACCTCGTGCTTCGCCTGCGTGGCGGCGCCAAGAAGCGCAAGAAGAAGACGTACACGACGCCCAAGAAGATCAAGCACAAGCGCAAGAAGGTCAAGATGAGCGTGCTCAAGTTCTACAAGGTCGACGGCTCGACCGGCGCCGTCAAGCGCCTGCGCAAGGAGTGCCCCGCCCCCACATGCGGCGCCTCCGTCTTCATGTCGTGGCACAAGGACCGCAGCTACTGCGGCAAGTGCCACCTCACCTACCTGCACCCCGAGACGGAGGCGTAAGCCGCCGGCGCCACCCGCCTGCGCTTCGCTTCATCTCTGGCCTTGCGCCACTGTGGCTGCCGTGCAATCACATGTGTGAGGCCTAATACGCGTGTGACGACAGAAGCGTGCGGGATGCAGAGGGGGAAGCGAGAGCAGGGCCGGGGAGGGGCTTGCATGTGTGCGACGAGTCTCATTCATCGTCGCTCATCAGCTCCGCGAGCTCCCGCTCCTCCTCCTCTGTCATGCCGTTCTTGGCCCTCGGCTTCGGCTTTGCCGCTGGCTCAGCAGGCTTCGGTGCAGCAGGCCGAGTCGCGTCTGTGGAGCATGGTCAGCACTGCGTGGGAGATGCTGAGCGCGCGCTGCACACTCACCTGCCAGTCGCCAGCGTCGAATGCTGCCGTCGAGGCCACCGCTCACCACCCACCACTCGCCGCCTGCCACGCTCTGTTGCCGTGGCGGTGCGTCCGTTGCTGCTTCGCTCTCGCTGTCGGGCAGCGGACCAGGCAGCGGTCGCCACCACGGCTGCAGCGCCGTCACCTCATGCCAGTGTCCCTCGAGCGTGCGCCGTGCGCCTGCACCGCCGCCTTCGACCACTGCCTCGCCCGTGATCGTCCTCCGCGTGCTCGAGACCGTCTCTGCGTCCGCCGCGAGGTCCCACACACGCACGTCGCCCTCGGTGACGCCGGTGAGCAGCAGTGAGAAGAAGGCCTCTGGCACTGCCTGGGTCGGCCCGGCAGCAGCAGCCAGATGCGAGAGCGCAAGCACGCTCTTGACGTAGCCTTCGTGCGTGATGGTGCGGCTGGGCGCCAGCGGAGCGGCCGTGCCGAGCGCCGGCCCTGCTGCAGAGGAGCGGCTCGTCGAAGGCGCGCCAGAGCGGGCCTTCTCGTTGAGCACGTACAGGCGTGCCGTCTTGTCGTGCGACGCTGCTCAAGAGCATTGAGCAAGAGGCAAAGCCCAGCAGCGCGTACAACTCACCTGTCCACACCTCGGCCGCCCATCTCGTGCTGCCATCCTGCTGCTCCTCGGCGCGCCAGCCGGGCCGCACGTCGTACACGCCCGTCTCGCTGCCGCGCAGCTCGCGCTCGACGCGGAACGCGGCCGTCGCCTTGCCTTCGCTTGGTCGGCTGACCTCGAGGCTGAGCTCGAGCGTGCGGCCCATGCTGTCGGAGCTGAAGAGCGTGCGCACGGCTTCTGCCTGACCAGGCTCGCCGGGCAGCGTGGCCAGACAGGTGATGGGCCGCGTGTGCTCTCGCAGCACGGCGAGCAGCTGCGGCTTGGGAACGTCGGCGCGAGGCGTGTCGAGGGCGTTCCCGTTCCACTCGTCGTCGGACATGGCCGAGGCCCACTGGGCGAGCGCGAGCATGTCCCAAGCGCGCACAATACGATCGCTGCCGCCGCTGAGGAGCACGTTGCTGGACGGCACGCCGTGCACCGCCTTGATGAAGTCGCCGGCCGCATCGCGCAGCACCATCACGGGCCGCGGCCGAGCAGCAGCGGGCGAGCGGCCATCGCGCACGGCCCAGAAGCAGATCGACTTGTCCCACGAGCCCGTGACGACGAGCAGGCGCGACGGCGACACCTCGTACAGGCACAGCGACGAGATGGGCGCCGTGTGGCCGCGCAGCAGCTCGATCGTCTCGCCCGTCTGGCAGGCGCATCAGCACCGAGGCGCGGGCGACGCCGAGGCAGCGGACTCACCTCGAGGTTGATGCGCCGCACTGCACCGCCGCTCGTCGCCGCCCACGCCTCGCCGTGCCTGACGAGCATGGAGAGCACTTTGTCGGCGCCGCCATCGGCGCCGGCGCCGCCCTCGGCCAGGCGCGCCGTGTCCTCCTGCCGGCGCCCGAGCCACACGGGCGAGCCGTATTCGGCGCCCTTTGCGGTGCGTGCCGCCTTGGCTGCGCGCTCGACGCCGATCTGCAGCGAGGCGTTGGACTGGAAGAGCGTGGCGGGGTCGGCGGACTGCATGGTGTGGGCGAGCAGGGTGAGGGCGAGACCAACACCAGCCAGCACGGCGAAGGCGCGAAGCATCGAAGCGTGAGGCGCGCGTCGCGTGCCGAGTCCCGCAAAGTGCGCCTCGGCGCCGTCGGCCGCACTCCGCCGCTCATCCGCCCTGCCGTCCCTCTCCTCCACCATCCATATCCGTCCTCCCAGCATCAAGAGTCTGTCGGACAACGGACTCGCACTTGAGGCTGCGGCGCAGCGGGCCGGCTGGGACGCACCGGTGAGGCGGCAGCGAGCGCCAGCAGCTGGCTCACAAGCGCATCCCACGTGCCGCGCCTGGAGGACCATCCTCAGCACCACCTGGACTGTGCGCCGCTCGGCTTCAATGTTGCGCCGTTGCCGCCCTTCGATCTCTGTCGTCGCCACAGAGGCGTCGCCAAGCGTGCAGCCTGCGGCATGCAGCGCTCAGAAGCCGCTCCCGACGCCTCCAGCCCTGCGTTGCGCACGGTAGGCAGCCGCTCGTGGTAATCCGAGACATGCGCACGAACGCGATCGGGGAGCCCTGGCGCACCAAGAGCGGCGCCAGCTCGGCGGCCGGCAGCGCCATGGCGCGGGAACGCAGCGCCGTGCATCGAAGGAGCACCCGCACTCGGCGCCGGCTCGGCTGCACCGCTGCACAGCCAGCTATGCTGCTGCTGCACTGCGGCTGCATGCTTGAGTGCGCTTTGCTGCCCGCTGCGATCTGTTGATCTGCGCTGTGCAGAGGCGACAGCACCGCAGGGCGGCAGCATTGACGCAGGCAGCACGCCGCACATGCAGCATGGCAGCCTGCAGACGCCGCCCGGAGGTGTGGGATGGTGCAGCGGGCCTGCGGCAAAGCGGCGAGACAAGGCCTGCGTGCGGCCCAGATGCGCGTTGCTGCCGCATCCGGAACATGGGCGCGCCAAAGTCCGCCTGCTGCGCGTCCGTCGTGCGCGCTGCTGCTGTGGCGCCTGGCCAGCGCAAGCAGCAGCCGCACCACACGCGGCGGCGGCGTTTGGCAGCGCCAACTTCTCCCTTCGCGGCGGCCTCCGCCTCCGCCTCGAGGGCCGCGGCTCACAACTCAGCCGCAGCGCCATGCTTCCGCACCGAGGCAGCGCCGCATGCTGCCATCTCTGGTGCTGGTGCGTGGAGGACGCTGCCTGCTGCTGCTGTGCACCGTGCGTCTGTGCAGGGCCCTGTCGCAGCGCATGCGGGCACCCCAGCAACGCCGGCCTCCCACGGCAAGCAGCGCCCGAGGGCAACAAGCTCATCCGGCGAAGCACACCGCAGCGCTGCGCAACTCAGCCGCTCCGCCGCCGCTGCTGCCTTGGTGCTTTCCGCATCTGCTTGGGATCGCCTGTCACTCGCCGCAGCGTGTGTGGAGTTGGAGCGCCGGCGGCCGCCTCATAAGGGCATCGTCTGCCCGAGGCCATCGTGCGCACGCTCAATCGCCCAAGTTCTTGACACCTCACCCTCGTGCTTGCCTCTCACTCTCCTGGCAACCACCGACTACCCGCCAGCAGCCTCGCAAGCATGGCATACTCTCGCCGCGACCACACGTCCGCCGGGCAGCAGCAGCAGCAGAGCCCCGAGCAGCAGTGGCAGATGTTCGGCGCGTCGACGTCGGCCGCCGGCGCCTCCGGCTACGGCCGCTACCCGCGCAACGAGTCGGACATTGAGGAGGAGGAAGAGGAGGAGATCGAGGAGGAGCAGGACGCCTCCTCGCTCGACGACATCTTCGACGACTACTACGACGAAAAGGCCGGGCACGCCGACGAGCCTGAGCCGGCGGCGCCTACCACGCCCACACAGCGCTCCGTCGCCGGCTTCAACGCCGCGGCCGCGAGCCCCTACACTCCGCACGCGCCCGGCTCGCCACAATCACACTCGACACACAGCCCGCAGATGAATCAGCATGGCAGTCCGTTTGCCTCGGGCCACTCGCACACGCAGTCGCAGCACGCCAACAACATGACGCCGTCGAGCTCGTGGCACGGGCACACGCGGCTCGGCAGCGCCTTCTCCGCGCCGATCAACCACGCGCCGGCGAGCAGCAACGAGGCAATCGCACGCTACGCCGCCGAGAACATGGCGCCCTCGCGGCACTCGATGGCCAGCTCGCGTCCGCAGTCGGGCCTCTGGGCGCCGAATCCCGTGTCGCTGAGCAACCTGCGGCAGCGCAAGGCGTTCCAGTCGCGCATGGTGCTCGAGGGCCAGGCGGTGGAGAAGCCGTGGCTGGAGTCGAAGCAGCGGCGCACGGCCGACCGGCGCGCCTACTGGGTCTTTGTGTGCGCCTGCATGCTCGGCCTCGCCGCCGCGGGCGTTGTCATGTGGCTGGGCATCCGCAGCATCCCCTACAACGACAAGTACTGCCTCGTCATGGACGAGCAGTTCGAGGGCGACAGCCTCAACACGGACATCTGGCACCACGAGCTCGAGACGGGCGGCTTTGGCAACGGCGAGTTTGAGTGGACGACGAACTCGCCCAACAACTCCTATGTCAAGGACGGCCAGCTGTTCATTGTGCCCACGCTCACGTCGGACCAGTTCGGCGAGGCGGCCATCTACGACGGCGCCACGCTCAACCTCACCACGTCTGGCCTGTGCACCTCGACGCTGAGCGACCCCGAGAAGCGCGACTTGGCCTGCGCCGTCGTGTCCAACTCGACCGCCGGCGTCATCCTGCCGCCCGTGCAGTCGGCGCGCATCACCACCAACTTCTCGCGCACCATCAAGTACGGCCGCGTCGAAGTGCGCGCCAAGATGCCCACGGGCGACTGGATTTGGCCGGCCGTGTGGATGATGCCGAAGGACTCTGTCTACGGACCGTGGCCGTGAGTAGAGCCGCGCGCGTCCTGCCTGGAGCCGACACTGACTCTCTCTTCGTCACCAGTCGCTCCGGCGAGATCGACATCTTCGAGGGCAAGGGCAACATGCCCACATCGCGCCAGGACATTGTCGCCAACGCGATGCGCTCGACACTGCACTGGGGCCCCATCGCCGGGCTGGACCGCTACTGGAAGACGGACAAGGTGCGGCGGCTGCTGCGCAACTACTACAACCAGCGCTACCACACGTTCGGCATGGAGTGGACCGAGGAGGGCATCTACACGTGGAGCGGCACGCGCGCCTACAAGACGCTCTCCTACAAGTTTGACAACGCCGGCTTCTGGGACAAGGGCGAGTTCCCCGCCGCGGCGATGAACGGCTCGGCCATCTACAACCCGTGGGGCAACCGCAAGCAGGCGCCCTTCGACCAGGACTTCTTTCTCATCCTCAACGTCGCCGTCGGCGGCACCAACGGCTACTTCTACGAGGAGGACAAGCCGTGGAGCAACTCGGCCGACGCCGACACGGCGCGCGCCGACTTCTGGGCCGCCCGCTCGTCGTGGTGGCCCACGTGGGGCGCGCCCGAGGAGCGTGCCATGGTCGTCGACTACGTCAAGATGTGGCAGAAGTGCTAGCCTCCTGACTCCCTCTCTCTGTATCACCACCTGCTGCTGCGTCCACTGTCATTCATTAATGTCATCATAGATCGAGCACTCGGAACCGTCGCGCGGTGCGCTACGTGAAGACCTTGCCGAAGAGCGGCGTCGCAATGTCCTCGTCGTGGCCCGGGATGACCTTGGCGGCCGTCGCCTGCTCGAGGCGCAGCAGGCGCTGGTTGCTGTGCCACCACTGCGAGCTGGTGTCAGTGCGCTGTGCCCGGGTGAGGGTTGCTTCGCACGTACAGCCTGGTGGTCACGCGCAAGCCAGCCCTGCGGCACGCCCGGCCAGATGTTCTCCTGTGGACAGTCAGTGCGTCAGAAGCGCACCAGAGTGCTTCGCGGCTGCTCGCACCTTGACATGACCATGGCTGTGGGACGAGAGCGCGTCAGCTCGAGAGCAGCACAGGCGCAGCCCAGATGCACGCACTCCGAGACGAAGATGAACGTGCCGTCGTTGATGAGGTTGATCTGCAGTCCGCAGAGGCCGACCGTGTGTCCCGGCAGATGGTGCAGCGTGAGGCCCGGGGCGAAGTCGACGGTGCGGTCGTCGAACGTCTTCCAGTTGAAGGCCTTGGGCAGCAGGTAGTGCGCCTGGTACACGGCATCGTCGGCGCCCGTGGCACAGCTGTAGAAGGCATTCTCGAGCTCTAGCTTGTGCACCCAGATCGGCACGTCCGTGTCCTTGAAGTGCATCAGGCCGCCGGCGTGGTCGAGGTGCAGGTGGCCAATTACCACGGCTTTGATGTCCTGTGCAGTGCAAGCCTCAAAGACAGCTCTGCCTCTGCCGTCAAGCGGTGCCACTCACGGAGATCTTGTAGCCAATCTTTCCGAGGGCAGCATCGAGCTCCTGCGACTCGTCGTACTTGCTCCTGGCAAAGATGTCGTTGCTGCGTGCCCGGGATTCAGCGGGCGCAGGTGAGAGGCCGCACACGGCGCGACATACACAGGCGCGCCCCAGATCTGCCACGCGGAAGCAAGGCCGTCAGCTACCTGGCAACCAGGCTTCTACGTACGAGAAGCGGGAATATTCACCTCGGGGTAGTCCTTGCCGCAGCCCGTCTCCCACAGGATCGGCCCTACGCCGGGAATGTCGATGAGACAGCAGTACATCACGAGGTCGCGGCGCTCCGGCTCCTTGTTCTTGTGCGGGTTCGGGTTGGACATCAGGCTGGCGCCTCGAGGCATGAGCTCCGCTAGCGCATAGAAGCACGACATGACGCAGCTCACGAGGTGTTGGCGCCGCGCAGGAACCATCTGCGCCGGGAGGTGCTCAGTTGCACATCTGCGCTCGACACGCACGCTCGCTGCGCCTCACCCGGCGTCGGCCTGCAGGTAGCCGAGGTGCAAGACGTGCAGCTGCAGCCGGCGACGTAGTTCAGTGCTGATGTCGCTATTGCTGCTGCCGGCTGCATACCTTTGTGCCAGGCGGGCACTCTGCGAAGCGCTCGGCGTCAGCGCCATGCTGCGTGCTCGCCGAGCGGACGCAACTGACTGTTGGCGACGGTCGAGGGAATGACGGCGTTCATGGCGGCGTGCAGCAAGACTCAGACTTGTGGTGGTGGTGAGAGGGCAAGGATGGAGTGATGAGCTTGGTGCTATCTCCGCTGCCTCGGCCTGCTGGAGCAGCCGCCAGGAGGGCGCCCGAGGCCGACCTCGACGTGTCGTCCCACACCGCCGTGCTCCTGCCGTGCCTCTCAAGCTCTTGCCCGGCAGCCAGCTGCAGATGCCGCACAGAATGCAGATGCACGATGTCGTCCCACACCCAAAGTGACCCGCACTACGGCCGAGCTCCTGTCTAGCGCGAGCACGAGGAGCGAGCTCGAGCGTGAGGCAGAGGGTTCAGCCGCCTCGCCTCGACTTCCGCGGTGGCTCGTGCGTTGCGCGCGGCTGCGGGGCCATCCCAGAAAGCTGTGGGTCTCGGCGCTGCTGTCCTGCATCTCCCGAGCGAGCAGCTCTTGACAGAGACAACAGACGCAGCTGGAGAGGCTCAGCTGCAGCTCCTCGTGCCTCGCTGAGCAGCGCTGCAGTTGCCAGCGTCAGTGCAGAAGCGAGAAGGACATCGAGAGGCAAGGCCGCTCCTCCACCTCGGTATCCGGACCGGCAGATCGTGTGGAGCGCTTCCTCCGCTGCTCCCACGCCCGCATCACGTGCGCACTCTTGCTGCCCTCCCTCCCAGAGCACGGCTCGCGAACCTGCAGCAACTCCCTCTGACGCTGCGTGCTGGACGAATGTGAAGCACGAGGCCTCGCCGTTTCTGCTGCGGCGCGCAGGCTCGAGACCCGTGATCTCGGCGTTCCTGCGGACGCGCGGACGCGAGGCCGCTGGCAGTGTTCGCCTCCTTGTCTCAGCTTTGCCCTGGGCGACTCAGGGAGGCTTTGCTTGCGTGCTCGCGCTCGAGAGAGAGATGGCAGCGTGGCGAGAGACTCAGCAAGATCTGAGGCGGGTGTCGAGAGGGCGGCCGTGCGGGGAAAGCAGACGCGCGTGGCTTGGCTGGTGCGGCGCCGCGTCTTTCTCGCAGCTCGCCGCGCCGCCGCGAGCCTTTCTTCTCACCCTCACTGCCTTCCGTGCCGCAACAGTCGCCGTCTCGCCTCGTCCGCCGGGAAAGCGCTCGCTGCGCCCGCACATGTTCTCGCGCCCGCTCGTCGCACACGCCCGCCTCTCTCTCCGCGCCCAGCCCGCACCTCTCTTGCGCCGCAGCATGGCCGCCTCTGCCTCCAACGGCGGCAGCGCTTCGCGCGCCGAGCGGCCCGTCGTGCTCTGTGGGCCGTCGGGCGTCGGCAAGTCGACGCTCATCAAGCGCCTCTTTGTCGACCACCCCGAGTTCGGCTTCAGTGTCTCTCGTGCGTCTCCCGCGCCCCCCTCATGCCCCCTCTCCCGGCTCACCGCGCGGCTTGCAGACACGACGCGCAAGCCGCGTCCCGGCGAGACGGACGGCGTGTCGTACCACTTTGTCTCGCGCGACGACTTCCACGCCGCCGTGCAGCGCGGCGAGTTCCTCGAGCATGCCGAGTTCGGCGGCAACTGCTACGGCACGACGGCAAAGGCCGTGCAGGACGTGCAGCAGGGCCAGACGGGCAAGAACCGCGCGCTGCTGGACATTGATACGCAGGTGAGTCTGCCTGCTGGACAGAGGCAAGCGGGGCAGAGCACGCGCCATGGACGAGAGCAGAGGAGGAGAGCAGCAGGCAGGGCGCTGCTGCTCCCAAGCCGTGTAGCGAAAGCCTCGCGTGCGCCGCGACAGCTGTGCTGAGCCCCAGCGCGCTCTTCCCCTTGGCAGGGTGTCAAGCTCATCAAGGCGAACCACCCCTACCTCTCGCCGCTCTTCGTCTTCATTGCCCCGCCGCGTCTCTCCGTGCTGCGGCAGCGGCTGGAAGACCGCGGCACCGAGACGCCCGACTCGCTGGCGCGCCGCCTGGCCATGGCCGGCGGCGAGCTGGCGTACGCGCGCGAGGCGAGCAACTACGACGCCATCATCGTCAACGACGACCTCGAGCGTGCGTATGCCAAGCTCAAGGCCGCCGTCGAAGGGCAAGACGTGCCGCATGACGAGCTGCCGCCCGTCGAGGACGAGGAGCGCCAGGCTGCCTAAACGGATGTTCCGCGGCTTCGCAAATAGATCTGTCACCCACGTGCTGCTTGTCAGAACGCTGTCATTTTGAGCTCGGCAAGGGGTAAAGTGACGTGGAGAAGGCAGACCGGTAAATACAAGGGGCAGCAAGTGCGAAGTTGCAGCGACGAGAGAGAGCGTGGGGGTTGGGGAAGAGGAGGGGACCGCGGCGGCGGGCAAGGCAGATCCAGAGGGCCGCCTGTGCGCGAGGGCGAAGTCATCTATGGAGAGATGGCGGGAGAGGGCCCGGAGGGAGGCGCACTATGCGGCCGTGCCGACCGCCGGCGCAGCCTGCGGCTGGTCGTCGGAGCTGGCACTCGTGGCCGCGTCGCTGGCCTGCTTCTCGTCGGGACGCAGCGTCTGCGCGGGGCGCTTGCTGACGTGGCCGAGGTCCTCGGGCGTGCAGTTGCCCTCGAGGTCGCGGTTGAAGTAGTAGACGTCCTGCGCGAACTCGCCGAGCTGCTCCTCGTCGACGCCGATGATCTCGGCCGTCTCCGAGGCGCGGAAGGGGCCGATGCCGGGAATGTGGTCGATGACGAGCCTGTAGAGATGGGGTTAGCGTCATGCGGGCAGGTCGTCGGTCGCGCGCGCGACTCACATGATGGCAAAGGTGACACCGCCGGTCCACGCCGTCGTGGCCACGCACCAGGCCAGCTGGATGGCCAGCTGGATCCAGTGGCGGTCGAACCAGCCGCCGGGAATCTCCTGGAAGCCGTCGTTGGCGGCGACGGAGGACTGGGCGAAGAGGCCCGTGCAGAGCAGGCCGACCCAGCCGGCGAGGGCGTGCACAGCGAAGACGTCCATGGCGTCGTCGCAGCGCATGAAGACCTTGAGCTGCGTCGCAAAGTTGGAGAGCAGCGCCGAGAGGAAGCCGACGGCGAGCGAGGCGGGCACGCCGATGAAGCCGGCCGCCGGCGTGATGGCGACGAGGCCGGCAATCACGCCCGTGCAGAAGCCGACGACGGACCACTTGCGCTCCAGGCGGTAGTCGAGCACCATCCACGTGAGGCCGGCCATGGCGGCGCACGTGTTCGTTGTGGCGATGGCCATGCCGGCGCGCAGGTTGGCGGCGAACGTGGAGCCGCCGTTGAAGCCCAGCCAGCCGAACCACAGCAGCGACGTGCCGAGCACGACGTGCGAGACGTTGTGCGGCTTGAAGAGCAGGCGCTCCGTGCCGTAGCCGCGGCGCTTGCCGAGGTAGTAGCTGATGACGAGGCCCGTGATACCGGAGCAGATCTCAATCGGGCCGCCGCCGGCGTAGTCGAGCACTCCCCACTTGAACGCCCAGCCGGGGCCGTTCCACACCCACGACGCGATGGGGTCGTACACGAGCGTGGCCCAGACGAAGGTGAAGACGAGGAAGGGCCAGACGCGCGCGCGCTCGCACGCGGCGCCGATGGCAATCGCCGGCACGAGGCCGGCGAACATGCACTGGTACATGGCGTAGACGATGTCGGGGATCTTGTTGTTGGCGTTGGCGCTGGGCGCCTCGAGCACGCCCATGAAGCCAAAGTGGTCGAGGTTGCCGAGGAAGGCGCCGCCGGTGGGCGAGAAGGTGAGCGAGTAGCCCCAGAAGATCCACTGGATCGACACGACGGCGAGCGCCATGATCGTCATGAGGAGCATGTGCAGCGCGTTCTTGCGGCGCGCCAGGCCCGAGTACAGGTAGCCGAGGCCGGGAATCATGATCCACACGAGCGCCGTGCAAGTGAGCACCCAGGCAATGTCGCCGGGGCTGTACGACGCGATCATCTCGTTGTTCGCGCCGTAGGTGACGATCATGTCGGTGCCCTGCTCGCTGAGCGAGATGGAGCCCTCGGTCATGCCGTCGGGCGCGACGACTGTGGGGCGGGATGAGCGGTGAGGCTATGCAGAGGCGCAGCGTGCGACGTACGGATGCCATAGGTGATGTTGACCATGGCGGCGGCGGCGAGGGAGGGGGGTGTCGGTGGGCAGGAAGGAGCGCGGCGTGTGCGCTCGCTGCGCTTTATGAACGGCGGCGGCGGGTGCGGGCCGGAGCGGGAGCGCGCCTGCCCTGGCGGCAGAGCGGGCGGCTCATCGTCTCGCTCGTCGTTCGCCGCACCCGAGCCGCCAAGCATGCGCTGCCCAGGCGCAGGGCCAGCAGACGCAGAGGTGGAGCCCCGGCCGACGCATCCTATCACGGCGCCTCTCCTCGCTGCCATTGGCCGGGCGCCTGCGATAGGCGCGCAAATCCAGCGCAGACGGCGGCGGTGCGGCAGCGGGTGGGCGGATCTGCGCGCGCCCGAGCACGAGGGCGAGAACGAGGCGGAGGTGCCGGCAGCAGCCCACAGGCCGCCGCGTGTTGTTGACTCGCCCACCGCATGCCGCTGCATCCAGGCGCGGCCGCGCGGAAGCAGCGGGCACAGCGCCAGTCTCTGCGCGCCTGTCGAGGCGCCACAACGCGCTCGTGCCGCCGCAGGTTGCTGCTTCGGCGAGCGCTTTGGATGCGCGTTCTGCTCTGCGTCTGCCGCCGTGCCCGCAGAGCCGCAGCCGCATCTCGCCGCGTGCCGCATGCCGCCCGCAGGCGCCCCAGCCGAGCCGTGCCGTCGGCCGCATGCCGCCGGAGCTGCCAGCTCGCGACGTCGGGAGCGCCTCGCTGCTCGTCTGACCTGGCCCCCTCCCCGCACCCGCACCCGGAACGCAGCCACACGCCCCCTCTCGGAGATCGACAAAGTGTGCCATGCTCGCGGCGAGTGCGCCAAAGTGCGGCATGTGCGCCGCCCTCGTTCCCGCGTCGTGCACGCGCGTCGCCAGTAACGTCGCGCCCGCAGCATGCTCGCTGCCCGCTCGCTCGCTGGCCCCCGCCCGGCCCGCTGGGCCTCTCGCTGGGCCCAAGCGCGCTGCGCATCACATCGCCACACCCGACGCCGACGAGCGGAATATGCAAAAGTTCTGCCATGGGCGCTCGGAGGCTCGCGGCGAGAAGGAGTCGGCGACGGCGCTCGGCGATGCGCGCTGCGGGCGCTGCTGCTGCACGGTGCGGAAGCGTGCAGCAAGGCCGAGTGCTGGCCCCGTGCCCGAAAGATAAGAGGGCGGCCCGCCAAGACCCGAGAGATAAGGACGGCGCCGCGCGAGGGACACTGCTCCAGTGCCTGCCGACCGCGCAGCGCGCGTAGCCGTGTGACCGCTGCAGCTCATCCGCGCCCGCCGCCCAGCGCACTCGGCCAACGCTGCCCTCCGAGCCTCCTTCGCCCGCTGCGCTGAGTGTACCTCAGCAGGCAGACGCCGCGCCCGCTGTCGGTGCCTGCAGCGCCAGAGAGAGAGAACGGCAGACGCTGAGCCGGAGCAGAGGCCACGACGCTGCTGCTGCGCTGGTGCGGCTCGGCCATCAGCATGATCTCGCTGCTGGCGCTGAGACCCGATGACGCGCCAGCCTTGGTTCGTCCGGCATGACAAGCTCTCTGCAGCGTCGAGGCTTGGCACGGAGCGACGTCGATCGTACTTGGCCGAGCGGGCATGTGAGAGGCGCATCTCGGCGGGCGGTGCGCTATTTGCGGCAGAGGGCGGAGATGACGGGCGGCGCACTGACGATGTGAGGTCGCACGCTTCCGTCTCGCCCCACGCCTCCCTCCGAGCAGTCGTGCGACCGGCCCTCGGCCAGCCGACGCTTTGGGCGCGTTTGGTTAGGCTTGAAATCAACATCGAGCAGGTCACAGTCGATCGACTCAGTCTCACAGCGCAGCGGCGTGCTGCAGAGGCGCGAGCGCGATGAAGGACGCCTGCTGCTGGGTGTGCGCTTCGGAGGCGTGGGAAGCGGCGTGGAGATGTGTCCTCCCCCACCTCCGGAGCCAGTTCGCACGCATGACGTTCCACATGTCCCGACTTTCCCACCGCAGTGCGGCTGAGGCTGCCAAGACCGCGGCTGGGCAGCGCCGTGTTGCTCTCTGCGCCGCTGTGCCGGCGGCGGCTGGCTGCCGGTACCGCAGGCTGGCGCGGACGCCCGACCGCCGGCTGCCTATCTGCTATCTCGGCTCGCCGCTTGCATGCCACACCCAGCGGCAGGGCGCAGCAGGGCAGATGGGCGGAGACCCGACATGGCGTCTGTTTGCATCGAAGCGGGGACGCATGAACGCTGCTCGGGAAGCTGCGAGGTGACGAGGAGGTGCGGTGCTGAAGAGGGAGATGGCGATGGCATGCTGCATGTGATCCCTCCCTCTTGGGCTACGCCCGGCTCTCACGCTGCGCTGAGCTCGGCGGCCAGCACCTGCAGGCCTCCGCATCGCTCCACACGTCACTCGCACTCCAGGCATGTCGCATAAGAAGCGTCTATTTCGAGCGCTGCATGCTGCGCGTCTATCGTCTATGCACGTTGAGGGGTGGTATCGTGATGTGCGTCGTCGTCGCTGCGGCGAGGCGCGACGGCGAAGGTGCGTGTGCGGCCAAAGGGGATGGTGGTGAAGTAGTCGGCTGGCAGGCCCTCGCGCTCAAGCGCCAGCGCCAGGTCGGCGGGCGGCGCATCCCAGCGCTCGTCGGACATCTGGAACGTGCCCCAGTGCATGCCCACCGCCGAGCGTGCTCCCACGTCCTGCGCGATGAGCACGGCGTCGTGCGGACTGCCGTGCTGCATGGCCATGTGCCAGCGAGGAGCGTACTGCCAGTGAAGAGTCAGCGGGCGCGCTTGTAGCCTGAACCGTGGCGCTCACGGAGCCAATGGGGATGGCGGCCGCGTCGACCGGGCCGAGCGCGCGCCCGATCGACTCGAACAGCGTGCGCGAGTAGCCGCTGTCGCAGCAGAACTGCGCGGGCGGGTGAGCTGTGGCGTTCGAGGTTGCGACAGCCACAAGACTCACGAAGAACGTCGCCGGGTCAAGTGCCGGCGCGTCTGGCGCAGCCGCCTTGAGCACATAAGAGCACCACCTGCAACGGCAGTCAGCACAAGTGCTCACAGCCGTGCCCAGCAGCAGGCTCACAAGCTTTGGTTTGTGTCGAGTGGCGAGCGCGCAGTCCAGTGCATCGCCGGCGCCGCGTTGACGGTCAAGCTGCGCATCTCGGACACGGCAGAGGCGCCTCTCCGCACACTGACGGCCTTTGTAAACGTCGTGCTCTCCCACCACGACAGCTCGGTGATTTGCGCTGGCCGCAGCCCCTGCTTCTCCAGCAGTGCCCGCACGCCGTACGGCACGATCCAGTGCGCGTCGCTGAGGACGGGGATCATGTCGAGATCCAGGTGGTCGAAGTGACTGGGTGCAGAGGTGCTCAGCCGGGCAGCCTCGCAACGCCACGCTGCCACTCACTTGTGACTCAAAAGCACCACGTCAACGCGGCCGCGCAGCACTTCGGGCTGGCACGGCAGCGGCCGCATGCGCTTCGGCGCAAACATCGTCTTGACCGGCTGCTCGCCCATCACGGGGTCCGTCAATATTGTGAGGCCGTGCATTTGCAAGAGCCTGCAGGCAGTCAGCTCCATGCAGCGCAGAGACCACACAGGCAGCGTGCGCTCACGTCGTGCTCTGCCCAATCCTGACGCAGCCGAGGGAGAAGTCAGCCGGTTGAAGAGAAGCCGGGCGCGGGCAGGGAGACGCGAGCACAGCTCTAGCACTCTGTGCATCGACAAGCGCAGGACTCACCATGTGTACGAAAGGCCCTCGGGCTGCTTGCCCTTCCCGCTGAACAGCAGCTCTTCATCCAGCGGCTCGACGGGCAGCAGCTTCTCGATCCTCCGGCGCCCCTCTTCGGTCCACATGTCGCGGATGAGGCCGCCGTCCCACCAGATGCGCGGCGGCCAGTTGAAGAGCGACGTGCCGGCCTTCCACAGCACCACCTCCCACGCGCCCTGCTCGCGCCACTCGGGCAGTGGATTGACGAAGCGGCCGAGCAGGCGCAGCGGCGCAAAGCGGCTCCGGATGGCGGCGCGATCGGCCGCCGAGGCGCCGCCGTACCAGCTCGACGGCGCCGTCAGCGGCGCGCGCGGCGGGGCCGGCTTCCTGGCCGCACCGCTCGTGCCCGTCTCGGCAGACTTCGACGAGCTGCTCGCCGAGCGTGGCCGCGCGGCCGGGGCCGCCTCGAGCGCGGCGATGCTCTCTGCGCGCCGGCGCGGGCGGGCGGGCAGGGGATGCTGGCGCGAGCGCTGGCGGATGGCGCGGCGCCGCAGCGTGTCCTGCGCCGCATAGTACACGCCCCAGCCGCACACGTACGCGCCGGCGAGGCTGAGCGCGACACCCGACGCGCTCTGCACGGTGAGGCTGCGGTGCATCGAGGCACAGGCAGGGATCCGGGAGCTTGGAGGGACGTGAGGGTGAGAGGCAGGCAGGGAGTGCTTGCCGGGAAAGCGAGCTGGAGTGGCTTGGCCGGTGCCGTACTCGCGAAATTCCGGCAGTCACGTGCGTGCGCGCCCAGCCAGGGGCGTCGTGTGGAGCAGCGCAGTGATCCGTGCACTGCTCGAGCCTTGGCCTCCCGACGACCATCACTCCTTCCTTGCTTGCTCGATGCGCGTTCTTGTCACTGGAGGTCAGCTGCTGCGCTGCGCTGCTGCCCCCTGCCACTGCTCACGACGTCATTCTCAGCCTCTGGCCTCCTCGGCCGCGCCGTCGTCGAGCGCTTCCAGACCGCCGGGCACGAGGGTGCGTCGTGCCCGCAGGCAGCTCGACGCATGCACCGCTGACGCACCGCACAGTGCTGGGCCTGGCAAAGACGCGTGCCGCAGCGCCGCTCGTGGCCATCGACTTGCTGGACGAGTCGCGCCTGGCCGCCGAGCTGCAGCGCTTCCAGCCCGAGGCCATCATCCACTGCGCCGCCGAGCGCCGCCCGGATGTAGTGCAGGGCAACCCTGAAGCAGCGCACGCGCTCAACGTCGAGGTGCCAGGCACCCTGGCGCGCCTTGCGGCGGCGCTTGACGTCGAGGGCGCCGGCAAGCCGCTCATGGTCAACATCAGCACGGACTACGTGTTTGACGGCACCTCGCCACCGTACAGCGTCGACGACGCGCCGAACCCGCTGAATGCCTACGGCTCAAGCAAGTGGGACGGCGAGCGCCGCGTCGCCGCTAATGGAGCGGAGGGACGGAGTACTAGCTGGCGCGTGCCTGTCCTGTGAGTGTGCTAGAAGATGGTCAGCAGGGCCGCTTGGGCTGCGTCTGCGAGTCTGGCGGACCTCGATGGCGATACATCGCTTGATGAGTGCGTGAACTGAGTCTGCCCATCAGGTACGGCCGGGCGGAAGCGAACAGCGAGTCGGCCGTCAACTGCCTGCTGGACGCTCTTGTGCCTCGCGCCGAGCCGCTGAAGATGGATGCAATGGCAGTGCGCTACCCAACAGCAGTGGCGGACGTGGCGCGCGCGCTCGAGTCGCTGTGCTCAATATGGCGAGCGTCGCTCTCGAGCAATGCTTTTATCGTACCGCCGATTCTGCACTTCAGCGCGCGCGAGGCCATGTCGAAGCTGGACATGTGCTACGTCCTGGCCCGCATCCAGCGTTCGCTGTCCGAGCCTGCGTCTGTCGACCATCTCGAGGCAGTGTACGAGCCATCGCCATCAGACACGAGCCGGCCCAAGCATGTCAAGCTCGACTGCAGCGCGACGGAAGCGCTGGGCATTGACATCGCATGCACGCCCTTTGAAGACGTGAGTGCGGCTCCGTGCTAGTAGCTCAGCAAGGGACTCAACGATGGCCCGATCACAGTGGTGGACTCCCTACCTCACAGAGCTTGCCGTGACTGCTCGCGCCAAACGGGAAGCAGAAGCAGCCGCCGCAGCCGAAGAGGCCGAACGGCAGCACAAGATCGCAGAGGCCGAGGCCGAGGCCGAGCGGCAGCGACTGCAGGCCGAAGCTGAGGCCGAGGCCGAGCGGAGGCGACATGAGGAGGCTGAAGCTGAGCGGCAACGGCAGGAGGCGGAAGCAGAAGCGGAGCGGAAGCGCAAAGAGGAGGAAGCCGAGGCGGAGAGATTACGAGTCGAGGAGGAGCGTAGGCGCGAGGAACAGGCGGAAGCGGCTCGGCAAGAGGAGCAGAAGCGTGCCGAGGAGGAGGCGCAGCGTCAGGCCGAGGAGGAAAAGGCGCGAGCCGAGCTCGCAGCACAGAAGGCTGCGAGCGATGCTGCAGAGGCGCAAGCTGCGCAGGCCAAAGAGGAGGAGCGTCAGAGAGAGCAGGCGCAGGAGCGAGACGCAGCAGAAGCGGCACAGGCCAGCGCGCCGCAAGCTGCTGAGGCTCCCGACAGCTCCGCTGCCGACTCGTCGCGGGCGCAAGACGAAGCCAAGGTGCCAGCCTCCGCTACAGCGGCACCGGAAGAGGCGAGCAAGGAAGCTTCAGGCGCGACGACCGCTACCGAGCCCAGCCGCGACGACTCTGCGGCGGCGGCTGCCCATCCAGCGCGGCCGCGTGCGCGAGGTGGCAGCACAGCATCGCCGTCGCGTGCTTCATCGTCGCGGACAGAGTCGCCCATTCCGCCGCACATGGCTGCGCCGACCTCGCCAAATCCTTCCTTCAACTCGCTGCAGGCCCGCCCCACGCCGCCAGCGACGTCGGGCCGCAACTCGCCGGAGTCTTCGCGCTCTCGCCACTCTCTCGACGCCCAGCAGACGCCAGACGATGCCGCGAGCCAGACGACTGAGGCACCCTCCACTGTCGTCAATGGCGACGGCGAGCCAAAGGCAGCTGACCCGCTGGCGCCTGGCGCTGCGCCGCCGAGTCGGAGCGCGAGCTCTGATGTCGGCCGGCGAAGCACCAGTCATCTGCCCGCCCTCGCTGCGCCGCGCGACGGGCCGGACCTGGTTGCACCCGAGGATGGCGACTCAGATGGCTACGGGCAGCCGAGTCCGCGCGAGAGCAGCCACGATGCGTTTCCTGGCGGCTACGGCGAGGTCACATTCGGTCTGGCGTCCGAGGCGTCCACGAGCCATGATGTGCCGGCACCATCGGCGCGCACGGACGCCGTCGAAGAGGAGGCGGCCCCGGCCAGGCCGTGGTTCGTGGTCAAGGTTGGCGACCCGCAGAAGAAGGGCGACCCCATGACGGCGCACATCGTGTACACTGTCCGGACAAAGGTGGGCGGCTCGGCGCTCAGCAGCTTGGACCAGATCCTGACGGCCTTGCCACAGACGTCTGCCAACTATTTCCGCTCACAGCAGTTCTCCGTCCTGCGGCGCTACTCCGACTTCCGCTGGCTGCACGCTGCGCTCGTGCACAACAACCCAGGCGTCTTCATCCCGCCCGTGCCTGAGAAGGTCCGGCTGGCGCGCTTCGCACCTGAGCTGGTCGAGGCGCGGCGGCACGGCCTCGAGAACTGCATCAACAAGATCGCCAACCACGCGCTGCTGCAGGACGACGAAGACCTGCGCCTCTTTCTGCACAGCGACAACTTTGCGGCCGACGTGAAGCTGAGAGACATCCGCAAGGGGCCGGTCCCGACGCCCGAGCAGAAGACGTACTTTGGCTGGTCGAGCAGCATGTCTGCGCCCAAGTTCCACGAGTTCGACGAGGTGCGTACGCACTGCTTGCCGGCGCTGGTCTTGCAACTGATGTGCTGCGCCGTGGCTAGTGGTTCGATGTGCAGAAGGTCTACCTTGATCATCTTGAGGGCCATCTCAAGCAGCTTGTCAAGGCAGTCAATGCTGTGTCGCAACAGCGGCGAGGTGCGTGAGGAATGATTGGCCAGCAGGGTGCACACGCTGACGCCTCACCTGCTGCACACAGAGACCGCCGCTGCTACGTCAGAGCTCAGTCATGCCATCATGATGCTGTCGGGTAGCTCGCTCTCGCGCAGCCTGTCGACCTGCTTCGCAGGCCTGGGCGAGGTGGAGCGACGCACTTGCGAGCTGGCCGACCTCCAGGCCGAGGCGGATGCGCGGGAGCTGGGCAGCGTGCTGTACGAGTACGAGCGCATCGTCGGCAGCATTAGGGTGAGTCTCTTGGCTGTCCGGCTCGATCTGCCCGGCTCGATGATGCTCACATGACGCCACTTCTGCAGAAAGCTTTCGCTACGCGCGTCGACGTGTGGCAGGCGTGGCAGCGCTCGGACGAGGAAGGACGCAAGGCACGCATCAGGCACGAGAAGCTCGGACGCGAGGGCCGTGTCAGCAACGAGCGCCTGCACAGCAGCCTCCTCGATGTGACGGACGCAGAAGGCAAGGCGCTGGCGCTCAAGCGCGACTTTGACCTGGTGGGCCTCAAGTGCAAGGAAGAGATGGCGCGCTTCGACCACGAGAAGGTCACCGACTTGCGCGCTGCCGTGGACACATGGCTGCAAGGACAGATTGAGAGGCAGCAGGAGGTGAGTGAACCTGTCTCGCACTCGAGCCTTCATCGTGCTCACACGCCTCGCAGCTCATTGGCGAATGGGCGCAGTACTGCGCCCTGCTCGAGCGCCAGACGGCGCCGCCGCGCCCTGAGGCGTCTGCAGCGAAGCCGGCGACGCCTGCTGCGCCCGCTCCCGAGACGCAAGACGGCGTGCCGGCCTCGAGCGAGCCAGAAGGCACTGCGCCTAGCCCGGCCGTGGACCCGGCGACGGAGCAGGCAGAGACCGCAGAGCCTGCGGAGGCGTCTGGGCCCGCGCCCGCCGAGCAGCTGGATGGCGAGCCGGCCGCAGCTGCAGCAGACGGCGAGGAGGCGCAGCAGGCCGTTGCGCAGCCCTCTGCACCGGAAGAAAGCAAGGCAGCTGTCGCGCCAGCGCCTGATGCACAGCAGGGCGGTGCAGCTGCACCTGCAGCGCTCGAGAGCACGAGCGAGGCCCCAGCCAGCCAGCCGAAAGCTGTCGAGGACGCGGCCAACGACAAAGACGACCAGGCTGCACCAGCCTCGGAGCTGCCCGTGGCAGAGCAAGCGCCACCGCCGGCGGAGACAGCGGCGAAGGTTGAGGAGGAGGAGGCTGCGCCTGTTGCCAAGGCGACCACGGCCGAGCTGCTCGGCATCTAGCTGCAGCGCGAGCCGCTTGCACAAATATATCAGCTGTCGCGTGCATCGCCCGAGACGCGCAAGTGAGGTCGCGATGACGCATATAGTGCAGATGTGCCGTGAGGCGGCTGCGTCGCGGCCAGTCGGACGTGACAGGCGCGGCCATGAGGATAGATGGTGAGCGGGATGCGATACATGGGGGAGCCGATCGGGTTGAGTAGAAGAGTGAGCACAAGACAATAGCGAGAGACTGAGGCAGGAGAGGGATTCTCATGCGGAAAGAAGAGGGCCACCTGCGGGGCGCGGCCGAGGAGAGGCGGAGTGATGGAGCTGGCGCAGCTCACGCGGCCGCAGCCTGGAAGTACGGGTGGTCGAGGCACCGCTTGGCTGCGCGCAGGTGGGGGACAATGTCAGCTATGCAGCAGCCAGTCAGGACTGACAATCAGCAGCACGCACCGCTGACACGTCCGGCCGGGTCGTAGACCAGCATGCCGCGCAGCAGGTCGATGCCGTGGCCGTCGAGCGCGGGCACGGCCTTTGTCAATGGCACGCCGCTCCACTGCGGGAACGACGACTTGTAGTCGGGCAGGCTCTTGACACCCGGCCACTCCTCGTCCGTCGGCGTGCCCAGAGTCCTGCGGCACGCAAGACGCATCAGCCGAGCTGCGAGAGACAAGAAGCGTGCTCGGGCACAAGGCCTCACCGGAAGATGCGGAAAATCTCGTCGATCTCCGAGTCGCCGGGGAAGAGCGGTGCCCGCATGGCCATCTCCGCAAAGATGCAGCCCACGCTCCACATGTCGATGGCCGTGCTGTAATGCCGCGAGCCCAAGAGAACCTCGGGAGCGCGGTACCAGAGCGTCACGACCTGAGCGTCGCAGCGCGTCAGCCCTGCAGCACATGCGCTCTGCGTGCTGGCCAGCTCACCTCGTGCGTGTATGTCCGCAGCGGAATGCCAAAGGCACGCGCGAGGCCAAAGTCGGCGAGCTTCAGGTTGCCCTCCTTGTCGATCAGCAGGTTCTGCGGCTTGAGGTCGCGGTGCAGGATGCGGTGCGCGTGGCAGTAGTAGATGCCGCGGATGAGCTGAAACGTGAATTTCTGTGGGCGAGAGTCAGTGCTCGAGCGCTGTGGCTGCGTCGGGCCACCTCGCTCTGGCGCAGGCGCGCGCGAGAGTGCTCCATGGTCAGAGGCGAGCCGACGAACAGTTCGGCTCTCCGGCTGAGGCGGGCCTCGTCCCTAGCCCTCCTCGTCCACGCTGCGACTCACTCTGACCATGTCCGGGCCCAGGCCGTCCGGGGTGCTGCCGACATTGTCCATGTACTTCTTCAGGTCGAGGTCGAGGAACTCAAAGACGAGGTAGAGCTTGGACTCCTGGTGAATGATGTCGAGCAGCCTGGAGTGCGCAAGGGGCGGTCTGAGCTCCTTGCCTCCTGGTAGCCTCGCCAGCAGCACAGAGAGGCCGGAGCGCAGGAGAGCACATGGCTGCGAGTGTGCTGGGACGCGAGCCTGCCGAGTGCTGCGAGCATGCTCGGTGCCGCAAGCACACTGCCGGCAGCCGCCGACCTGCACGCCGTGTCCCCGCTCTCTGGCTGCAACGACCCACGCCCGCGACGCGACTTACCGGACGATGTTGTCGTCCTTGAGCTCCTTGAGCAGGCTGATCTCGCGGATTGCCGTGCTCGGCACGCCCTCGTCCTCGGCCTCGAGGCGGATCTTCTTGAGCGCGACGATGCGCCCGCCGGCGCCGGGCGTCAGGTCCTTGGCCTTGTACACGACGCCGTACGTGCCTAGCGGAGAGACGCCGCGCTGAGCGGCGGCGCAGCGAGCTGCCCAGTGTATCAGACTCACCCTCGCCGACCTTCTCAATCTTCTGGTAGTTCTCCATGGCAGCAGTGGCGCGCAGCAGGCGCGGCGCGGTGCCGAGGCGGGCGCGGGTGCGGGTAGGAGCGGGCGGCTCGCGGCGGACGGAGCGAGGCGCAGTGACAGCGGCGCGAGATGTGAGCAGAAGCTGGGCGCGACGAGGAGTCGTGAGGTGTGTGCTTGAGCGTGAGTTGGGAGTGCTTGTGAGACGATGGAGGTGGGAGAGGGAATGGAGCGGCGCGCGTAGACGTGCGGCGGTGGCCGTCTCCTTGCCCTTGCCGCGCTTGAGGTGAGCCAGACCAACAGATCGCCATGAGCCGCTGTAGTCGCCCCGCCGCGCATCTGTATCAAGAGCAGCTCTCCGTAAGGCGCGACTACAAGATCAGCGAGCGGCGGCGTCTTGTGCCGAGCTGGCTGCGCGCCGACCCCGTGCAGCAGCACCAGCACCAGCAGCCGAGCCGCGGCTGCTGGCAGGGCAAGCCGTGCCTGGCGCGCCACACAGCCGGCGCGCCGGCGTGTTGGTCTCGCACGCCTGGACGCGCCCGACGCGTCGCGGTGCTGCCGTCCTGCGAGCGCCTCACACGCCCTGCGTGGAGAGACGCAGCGACGAGCTCGCGGTGAGGGCGAGCAGGTCAAGCAGGCGGCAGCACCTGTTTCGTCAGCACGCTCAGCACGTCGAAGAGCAGCGTGAGCGCTGGGCGTGAGCCTGGTGCCTGGCGGGCGGGTGTGGACAGCGACGTCGCACGAGGCGGTCACGTGATGCGCCCGTGCGTATCAGGCGGCCGGGCGCAAGGCTTGGCCGAGGGCGCGACGCCGTGCGGCTCGCCTCTTCTCGCTTCCTCTCCTCGACGACGTCCTCAACGCTCACCGCACTTTGCTTCTCCAGTCAGCCCCCAGCGCATGCCTGCTCGGCGCCAGTCTGCCTCTTCCGCCTCGACGAGCTCCAGCGCCTCGACGCACCGCCTGCACAACCCCGCGTCGCCGCCGCTCGCCTCGCTCTCGGCGCTGCCGCCGCTGCAGGCCGCCATGTCGCCGGCCTCCTCTTCCGCCGCAAGCAAGCCGGCGCCGCCACCACCGGCGCGCTCCGACTCGGGCAGCTCCTTCACGACGCGCGCCCGCTCGGCCAGCATCCAGCGCGGCCAGGCCGTGCTGCGTGCCCTGGCGCGCGCGCCCGAAGATGCCACGCCCAACGGCTCCGGCTCCAACTCGGACGAGGAGCGCTCGGCATCTGCAGGGCCAGTTCCAGGCCTGAAGAACCAGCCGCAGACGCCGACGGTCGAGGGGCTCAGCGAGGAGGCCAAGGCGAGCGGGCGCGCCAACCGCGAGGGCCTGCGGCGGCGGGGCGAGCAGAATGAGGTGGAGCGCGCCGTGGGCAAGGATGCAAAGGGCGTGCTCAACAAGCGGCACAAGCCCGCCAAGAGCTGGGAGATTCCGCGCAAGCTCTTCCACGGCTCCATCGGTGCGTGCTGTGCCTGCGTCGCGGCATGCGCAGCTGGATGCTCACAACGCTCGCGCTTGTCCAGGCTTCTGGGTGCTGTATGCGTACCTGTCGGGCGCGGACCTCTCCACCATCGTGCGCACCATGTCCAGCTTCCTGGCCATCGTGGGCACGGCCGATGTGATCCGGCTCAACAACCCGGCCTTTGAGCGCGTGTACGAGAGCGTGCTGGGTGCGCTGATGCGCGAGGCAGAGAAGGTGAGTCGTTGTGCTGGAGCAAAGCAGTAGCGGCAGCAGCTGCGCGAGGCTGGCGCCGGCGACTCTCTGGGCTGTTGTCTGGCTTGTGAGCCTCCACATAGCGTGCTGATGCCGCCTTCGCCTCCGCAGAAGCAAGTCAACGGTGTGGTGCCGTTCCTGATCGGCGTCATCACGTGCCTGCACTTCTTCCCGGAAGACATTGCCTGCGTCTCCGTCATGATGTGAGTGGCAGCCTTCTTTGCCTAATGCTGCGCATCACAGCGAGGCTGATGCTTTCATGCCCTCGTGCTCGCAGGCTCTCGTGGGGCGACACTGCCGCGTCGGTCTTCGGCCGTCTCTTCGGCCGCTACACGCCGCCGCTGCCGTCGCCGCCCTTTGCGAGCCGCAAGTCGTCTGCGGGCTTCCTGGCCGCCGTCATTGCCGGCACGGCCACGGCGTACGTCTTCTGGGGCACCGGCATTGCCGTGCGCGGCGAGCGGCCGTCGGGCCTCAGCTGGACGCCTACGCACGCCGTCTTCGGCACGCCGGCCACGCACGGGCCGCTGCACTCCGGCTGGACCGGGCTGCGCTGGGGCTTCCGTGCCTCGCCGCCGCTGGCGCCCTCGAGCAGCCTCGGACAGACGGCCAGCTCCGTCTTTGCAGCCGCCAAGGCGCAGCTGCTCCCCGGCAGCACCGTGGCCGCCATGCCGCTCTGGCTGCTCTGCTCCGGCGCCGGCCTCGTGGCGGGCGTCGTGGAGGGCCTCGAGCTTGGCGGCGTCGACGACAACCTCAGCCTGCCCATCGGGAGCGCCATCGGCATCCAGGCGCTGCTGTGGGCATGGGGTCGTCTCGCCTCGCTGTGGGCATAATGGCGCCAAAAAGTTACGAGTGCAAATGCCCGATGCGCATCGCCGTCTGCGGAGCCGGCAAGCCAAGGGCCGTCGCGACGCCGAGGCGGACCTCGAAGCTCATCCCGCGCGCTGGCATGACCTGACGCCAGCAGCCAATTCGCAAATGCTGCCGTCCTCGCGGTAGAGCAGAGACGGGCTCTGAAATTGTCCGCTGCGTCTCCGGCATGCTTGCGAGGCGTGCCGGTCGATGGGCGGGTCGAGGGAGAAGGGGTCGTCGACAAGGGCGCAAATAATCTATTTTGATACCAGCTCTGCAGCGCAGCGACGCCCGTCCGTGGTGAAGCCACCAGCCATGGCGGCGCTGACAGGCAGGCTTAATGCAGGCACAGGACATGGCGCTTTGGTCGCCCGCAGGGTGGCGCGATGGCGCCAGAAGCCCAGCAGCGCCAGCCACACCGGTGGGTGGCAGCGGCAGGCTGCTTGCTGTGCCTGAGAAGCTCGTCTGCGCCCGGAGGCCTGAGCGGGGCTGTGGCTGGCAAGTCTGCGCCTGCGCCTGCCGCTGGGAGCGGCGACGAGCACTGCTGCATGCTGCGCGCCCCCTGAGACGGCCCGGCGCCGCGGGCATCCCACTCGAGGCCGCAGCATCGATAGCCGCCTGACGCTCACGATTTCTTTGCCGGCTCTCAGCGCTGGCTGGCCGCCACAGGCCTCTCGCATCTCGAGCTCTCGTTGCGGCCCGCAGCTCGCCTGTGCCTGCTTGTATGCCGACCTGCACGCAGCACCGCAGGAGACATGGATCGCCTCGTACCACCCTCGGCCATGGCCAAGGAGGCCCCTCCTCCGCTCCGGCGACGACGTTGCCGGTGCGGGCGCATGTGCACATGCAGAATGCGAGGACGGAGCAGCGGCGGCGTCGCACCCGACTGACGACGGCGCTGCACGGCGCTGACCTTGACGCGCTGCGGTCGCGCGGGGTCTGGACTCGGCGCCGGACTCCGCATGCCGCCGCCCGTCGCCCCGCTCGCGAACGCCGACCCTTGGACGGCGCTCGCGCGCTGCCTCATGGCCCGACCCTGGCCCTCGCAGCACGGCGTGGCTGACCGTACGACTTTGCGTGGGCGAGGTGAAAGCTGCTCTGCGGCGCACGTGAGGCAGGCACGCCGGCGCCGCCGTTGCGGAGAGCATCTGCGCTCTCTGGCTCCGCGGACGGTGTGGAAACGGGGGCAGCGGCTGCCCTCTGCTCCTTGCCTGCTCGGCGGCTCTGCGCAGAGGTCCCGCAGCCCGCGCAATAGCGGGCCGACGGCAGCTATCGCAGCGTTACGCCGTTGCGCAGCGCCTCTTGCGCAGTGTGCATGCTTGCGTATGGGAGGCTCCGCAAGTGGCTCTGCCGCGATGTCGGGAGGTGACGCAGCGAGGTGCGATGCTTGCTGACGCGCGCGCCGCGGCGCGGGCCGCGTGCGGCGCCTCCGAGCGTCACCCTCGCGCCGCACGCATCGCGCCCATGGGCATCGCCCGGCGCCGTTCCGCGTTCCTCGCGCCGCCGTCGCTGATGCTTGCTCGCCATCGCGCCTTGCTGCCCCCCGCGCGCGCCACCCACCATGCCTGCCCCTCCCTCCCACGCCTCGTGCGCCATTGGCTACATGCGTCGCCCTGCCGCTCCGTATCACGGTCCTCGAGCACGCCCGCCCTGCCATGCGATGCGCGCAGCTTGAAGCCCGTGGGCCGGCCAGCCGGCACACGCATCGCCGGCGCGGGAGGCACACAGCACCGCCCGGCGCCGGCCGTCATGCGTCGCTTTCTCTGCGTCGCAGCCGCTGCGATGCAGATGCTGCAGCGCTGCGTCCTGCGCAGGCGGTGCGAGCGGCGGAACACCAAAGGCGAGCGTCCGAGCTGCTCTCGCGCACCCTTCGCCTCGGCGCTGCTGCGCTGCCGCTGCCCGAGGGTCGCGCGGCGCATGGCCGTGGGCGAGACTCGGCGTGCGGCAGCTCGGGCTTGAGCCCAGCGGCGCTGCGCCCCCGGGAACGGTGGCGTCGCTAGCGGCCCTTTGGACAGCTCTGAAGCGCAGCGCGGCGCCGGCCCTGCTTGAGAGCGCCGGCGCAAGAACTGGCCGCGCATGGCGGGGCATCCGCCTCGCTTGCCCGCCCGCCACACGCCGCCCGCAGCGCCGCAGAGCGCAGCAGTCTCTGGCCCTGCACGGCGAGCGGCTCGCCGACTGCCCGGCGCGCTGGGCGGCGCGGGCGGAGTCTGCGCCGAGCTCGCCGTGCCCTCTGCGCCTGTGCCGGCCGCGGGTAGCGCAGCAGCAAAGCCATGCGGCCGAGCGCAAAGGCGTGCCCACGCCTCGCACAACGCAGCTGCAGCGAAGCCGGCAGGCGGCCGCGCCGGCGTGCTTCTGCGCAGCGGCCCTTCACGCTCCGCGCCGTCGTTTGTGCGTGCCGTGGCGTCTGAGCGGCTGGACTCTGCGGCTGGCGCTTCGTGGTCAGCAGCGCGCTGCTGAGCGGCTGCTGCAGCGGTGCTTGGGCATCGCACGCAGGCCAGCTCGCGGCTGCACGTCCGACGCTGTGCCTGCGCCTGCCGCCCTGCGCGCGCTGCCCGCTGCGACGCGCCCTGCCTTTAGCTTGCACACGCGCGCGAGCTAGGCAGCGCCCACCGGCCCCCCTCCGCCTCCTTGCACCTCGCATCTTGCCTCTCCTCGCTGCCATCCCTCCCGCCAACATCTCGCGCACACCCTCACCGCCAGCCTCGCACTGCCGCAATCGGCTGCTCGCACACTAACGTCTCTGCAGGCACGCTCGGCGCAGCGTGCATTGCCGTGCAGCTCGCGCCGCTCGGCCGCTTGCGACGGCACCACCACCCACTCGCCCGCTCTTGGCGTGCCCCTGCGGCTACGTCACTGCAGTGAGCCTCTGCCGCCGCTTCGAGAGCGCCTGTCGTCGACGTCTCCGCCGCTGCAGCCCCGATCTGGTTGGCTGGACGCACTAGCGCTTGCCGCTTCTGCTGTCAGGTTGGCAGACAGCGCCTCCAGGGTCTCTTCCTTCGCACCACCATCACCCACCCGACATGTCCTCTGGCAACCGCGACGTGGCGTCCATGACGGCCTCGACCTCCGCGCACACGCTCGACGACGTCGTGCCGGCACCCAGCCGGATGCCGCTGCCGCACCGCTGCTCCAGCGCGCTGACGCGCTCGACGGGCTCCGAGCTGCCGCCGTCGGCCTCGCCCACGGCGCCACTGCTGCCGCTGCCGCAGCCGGCGCACGTCGCCACCTACTTGCCCAGCGGCTATGTCTGCGACGACCCGCGCGGCTGCAGCTTCTCGGCCGAGGGCGAGTTGCTCATCGGCGGCATCGGCATCGACGGCCGCAACACGCAGACGGGCGAGGAGGGCTGGGCCAGTCCCCGTGTGGCGCGCACGCCGCGGCGCAAGGACGGCGGCCTCCGCCGTGGACGCCTGTATCCGGGTGCGGACGAGAGTGGCGACGTCTGTCTCAACTCGGCGGCGGGCTTCACGGCGTGCAGCCCGAACAACTCGTCGGCCGGCAGCTGTGCGTCGCGCAAGAGCGGCTCGGGCAAGGCGCTGCGCAACGCATGGCGCCTTGTCTCGCGGCGGCCGAACTCCATCATCGAGGAGGAGCTGCCGGCGCCGCGCCCTGCCGTGTCTGTCGAGGACATTGTTGAGCGCCGCACATGCCGTCCAATCTCGCTGCGTGAGTGACTCGTGGAGGACTAGAGCCAGACCTGGTCTGCTGACGCTTCACGCCACTGCAGCCGACTTTCGGAGCCACTTGCTGTCGCAACGTCTTGGCGCTGCCGCTTCGACATCACGCGTGACGCTGGAGCCAGATCTCTCCTTCCTCGGTGGCGCACCTGTTCACGCACCGCGTGGTGTGCTGGACCTTGAGGCGCGCGGCAGCTCGAGCGACCACGAGAAGACGCTCGTCAACGACGACGTGCCCGTCGAGCACACGGGTAAGGGCCGCGCCCGCGTCGTCTCTCCGCCCGAGGGCGACGAGCTCGACGCGCTGGACTTCGTCGTCGCCGTCGACCGCTACGCACGCGAGTACCGCTCGCTCAGTGCCTCGCACAAGGCGCGCATCCCGGAGCTGCAGCGTGGCGACGACGCCGCGTGCCGCGTCAGCGTCAGCTCGCAGGTGCTCAACAAGTCCGACTCGCGCATCTCAATCTCCGAGCAGCCGCTGCGCAAGCGCTTCAACAATCTCGTCGCCACCTACGTCGGCGAGCTGGGCAAGCCGGGTCAGGCGCCGTCTCGTCGCGCGCCGCGGCTGTCCTGGATGAGCGGCCTGGGCCTCATCTCCGAGGAGCTGGTGCGCCAGACGCTCGCCGACGCAACGCTCACAACGCACCCGGACGCGCTCATGGCGCTCAGCGTGGCCGTGACGGCGCATCTCGACACGCATGTGCTGCCGGCGTTCTTCGAGTCTGCCTCGCAGAACCTCGGCACCAAGGCCAAGCGCGGCCGTCTGGCCGTTGGCATCGTCTGCACTGCACTCGCCATCCTCCTGTCGGTGCTGCTCATCATCGAGCCAAGCCCGCTCTCGCCGCACTACCACACGCCCAACGCCGGTGACCGCGGGCGCGTCGAGCGCTGGTACCGCATCCTGACGCTGCCGCTCTGGATGGCCGGCTTTGGCTACATCATCGCGGCGTGGACAGGCGTGTGCGTGTGGCTCAGCCTGCGCGGCAACCATGAGCCGGCCAAGGGCACCGAGGAGGCCAAGATGCAGACGCCGGCCCACCTCATCGAGGCATCGACGGGCGAGAAGTCGGCGCAGGCCGACGAGGACTACAAGAGCGAGGCGGGCGGCGATGCCGCTGCCGAGGCAGCCCCGACGCCTGGTCCGTGGCTCATGGCGCCGGAGCTCAAGGCGCTGCTGCTTTACTTTGTGCCCTCGCGCTTCAAGCGCACGGCGGCCGAGGATGCGCTCCCTCGCACTGCCACGTACGCCTCGACGACACCCGCACCGGCGCCCGTGCACCGCGCCGAGCGCACGACGTCGCGCGGCGTGCAGACGCCGCTGGCCGACCCGCTCGTCGAGCAGCGGCGCATGTCGCCGAGCACGAGCAGCGTGCTGGCGCGCTCCTTCCACGTGCCCGGCCTGCCGCTCTCCGTCGGCTTCGTCTCGGCCAAGCCGACGCTCGATGCCCTGCCGCGCTCGCCGCGCCTCGGCACGTCGACGGCGGCGCCGAGCGTGCACTCTGTCGCTGCGGCGCCTCGCTCCTCGCCGCGCACCTGGTGGAAGGCGGCGCTGAACTGGACCGGCTTCGCCACCGACACGGAGCAGGTGTTCGACGAGCACGTGCGCCGCACGCACCAGCTCTCGGCGCTCAAGGCGATGCTGCAGTGCACCGTCCTCTCCGTCATTGCCACGGTTGTCGTCGTCGCCATCCCCTGATTATTTTCCTCCTGTATCGCACCTCGGACTGTCTTCACTGTCACCGCTCTCACGGCCGCTCAATGTCACCACCATCTGTCCTCCTGTTCCCACGCGATGTGTGCGCGCCTGCCGGCAAGCTTGCCCCGAGCATCATGAGCGATGCGATGCTTGACATTGAGCGACCCAGCAGCGCCGAGCGGCGAGGTGCCGAGCGCAGCCGAGAGCGTCGCGTGTGCGGGCGCAGTGCGGGCAGTTGGCAACGGGCGAGCCGAGCGGGTGCTGCGCCGAGGCACCGCGGCGGCGCGACCGATGGACAGGCTGCGTCAAGGGGCGGCTCGACGCGCGTGTGTTGCGCCACGCCTTTGCGCGCGTCACCTTGCCTCTCGCCTCACCTCGCACCTGCCTCCGGCGGCGCTGCCTCACTTTTTCGCTCTCCGGCCTCGGCAGCACGTCCGGAGCACAAGGATGGGCACATCAGCAGCACAAGCCAGCTCGGCCTTGCCGTGAGCGTAGTCCGGCAACATCCACGCTGCGAGGCTGTGCGCGCATCCCGGCTCGGCAGCGCCCATCCTCGCAGCGCAGCGCCGCAGCAGACCCATCAACTCTGCTCGATCAGGCAGCTGCACGCTCTGCCTCGGCAAGGCTCGGCACCGTGCCGCCGCAGCTCGGCAGTCTTGATGTGCGCCAGGGTGCGCCGGAGTTGCAGCGCCGAGGCAGAGGGCCACGGCCGTCACACGAGCGCCAAGCGCCGAGGGAGCCCGGCGGCGGAAGAGCATGGACGCCGTAGAGTTGAGCTGTCGCCGGCGCTGCGAGCCGGCAGGGCCCTCAAAAGGCGGAGCTCGGCGGCGTGCCTGGCTTGCCTCCTCACCACCAGCCCATCCACGGTCACTCTCTCCACTCTTCTCCTTCGTCTCCGTCCCTGACTCTGGCAGTCTCGGACTTTCCCTTGAGCGCGCGTGCATCAGCTCTCTTTCACTCCTTCGTCTGGTCCTCTCGCTCCGCTGTGCGGTCTCGAGTAGCCACCTCCCGCCAGTCGTCGCTCGCCTGCTGTAGATCAGCTCGCACGCTCTCTTTTCTTGCTCCGGCCCTTCCTCAACTCCAAGGACCGGTTCCTTTTCCATCCCTCATCCCGACTAGCCTCCACGCTATCAACATGGCCGGTGCTCGCAAGCAGACATCGTCCGGCTTCGGCCACGCCTACACGGCCATGGTGGCCCTCGCACTGCTGCTCGCCTCGAGCTCGCTGCAGGGCGCCAGTGCGCTGCCGATGAACATCGCCGACGCTGCGGCAGCCTACGCCGCCGCCATTCCCGATGCCGGCTCGTGGTACGACTCGCAGATGGCGGCGGCCTCGAGTGTCGCCGCGCCGGCGCTCGCCGCCGTGGTGCCCACGCCCAGTGCACTGAGCCCGGCGGCCGTGTACAGCGCCGCCATCCCCGATCCCGGCACGTGGTACCTGGCGCAGATGGCGTCTGCCAGCTCGGCCCCTGCCGCCGTCGCGACGGCCGGCGCTGCGCAGCTGCTCGACCCCGTGGCGCTGCCGGCCATCCAGGCGCTGCAGGGCGCGCTGGCGGCCAACCTGGCGCCGCTGCCCAGTGCGGCCGCCTCGGGTCCCGCAGTTGTCTGGGACACGGCCGCCGGCGTCGACGAGCAGCGCAAGCTCTTTGCCCTCGCGCGCCGCCACGCCGCCAGCGTGCAGTCGGTGCACATGCAGCGCGGCTATGCCAAGTGGAACCGTCGCCAGGACGCAGCGGCCAGCACGGATGCCTCGACGGCACAGCAGCCGGCTGCTGCCACAGACTCGAGCGCTGCAGCACCCGCAGACTCGACAGCGCAGCAGCAGCCCGCCGACAGCTCGACGCAGCAGCCTGCCGCTGCCACGGACTCGAGCGCAGCAACACCCGCCGATGGCTCGACAACGCAGCAGCCCGCCGATGGCTCGACAACGCAGCAGCCCGCCGACGGCTCGACGCAGCAGCAGCCCGCCGACGGCTCGACGCAGCAGCAGCCCGCCTCGACGGAGGCACAGCCCGCAGCTGCCGACTCATCGTCTGCCGCCGCGGCCGATGGCTCGGCAGCCACGCCGGCCACCACTACTGACTCCACGGCCGCCGCCCCGGCTGATGGATCAACTGCAGCACCGGCTGATGGCTCGAGCACTTCTTCTCCTGCCTCGACGGACAGCACGGCTGCCCCGGCCGATGGCTCCTCCTCGAGCACGCCTGCCGCGTCCGATGGCTCGAACTCTGAAGCTGCGGCGCCTGCGCCGGCGGCTGATGAGACCACTCCGGCGGCCGATGCCACGAGCACCACTCCAGCAGCTGCCGAGGCCACGCCTGCCGCCCCTGCGGCCGAGGCGCCGGTATCCGATGCGACAAGCACCACGCCGGCCGCCGAGCCCACGCCCGCTGCTCCCGCAGCCGAGGCACCCGCGTCCGATGCCACGAGCACGAGCACCACGCCGGCAGCTGAGCCGACCCCCGCTGCTCCCGCTGCTGAGGCGCCGCCGGCCGCCGACACGACCTCGTCCGCGTCGAGCTCTAGCTCTGCGGATGCGACGTCCAGCTCGAGCTCCAGCGCTGCTGAGACAACGTCCACCTCCACCGACTCGGCCGCGGCCTCCTCGAGCACCGTGGCGCCGGACGCGGCTGCGACGTCGAGCTCGAGCTCTGCCGCTGTCGTCGAGACGAGCACGGCCACGGAGGCCAATGTCACCACGTCGTCTTCGTCCAGCAGCGCCGCTTCCGCCACGCAGACGGCCAGCGATGCTGTCGTTTCGTCGTCGTCCACGCCTGCCTCGCCTGCGCCCACGCCCGCGCCGCAGAACAACGTCGTCGTGCCGGACAATGACGGCGCGCGCTGGGAGACGATTGTCGTGATGGTGCCGGACAACAATGACGACGACGACGACGTCGTCCGCGCCTCAGTCTCCTCCTCGGCTCCCGCATCCGGCGCCACGACGGCGCCCATCGTCGACACGTCCAGCCTCGCATCCATGGTGAGCGGCGCGCCTCTGTCGCACTCCTTCATCAGCGACACCAGCGACTCAACCAACTTTCCCGTAAAGCCCGCAAGCACCCTCGCCGAGTCGACGACGCGCATCGCCGCGGCGGCCACTGGCTTTGCTGCGGTCGGCGAGCCGCCGCTGCGTGAGTCGGTCCGCACAACACCTGCTTGGACCCAGCTGACACCCTTCTGCAGTGGCTGGCGCCTCGACAGACAGCGACACCGACGGCGACGAGGACTGCGAGGACGACGAGGACGATGACGACGTGCCCGCTGCCACGACGGCCAAGCAGAACGCCGCCGCCTCGACCTCGACCCGCGCTTCCTCCACCTCGACTCGGGCCACGAGCACCGCAGCCAGCAGCACCTCGACGAGCAAGCCCTCGAGCTCTCCTACGCCGACGACGACGCCTGCCGCGCCCTCGTCCATCGGCGCATGGATCGACGCTTTCCTGGTGCGCACGCCGCGCCCCGCGCAGTCCGCTTGTGCCTTGCTGATACCGCCTACCCTGCAGTCCAAGATCGGCATGAGCAGCTCCTTCAAGGACCTCTTCGCGCGCGACTTTGTCGACGACGACGAGCCGCAGCTGCTGCGCCGCACCGACGGGCTCGTCTGGGCGCGCGAGATCTGAGCGCCGCCGCCCTCGTGTCACACATGCCCGCTCCTCGCCTTGACGGCGCAGTCCGTAGCAATGCATCTATCCCTAATCTACCCTGCTCGGCGTCACTGCCACCACTTTGAGTAGGCTTCGCGCGCCGCCGCGTCGCCCTGGAAGCGAAACTTGACGACGGCCGGCGGCTCTGCAAAGCCCTCGTCCTGCGTGGGCACCTGCAGCGCGGAGAAGTAGGCGCCGATGGCGATGCCCGGGATGAGGTTGCGCTCTGGCTCGTGGCCCAGGTCGTGGTGTGCGCGATAGTAGCTGTTGTGTACTACCTGTTCGGAGCTGAGCTCGAACCAGGCGCAGCGGATCGGAACGCCGCGCTCGGCGGCTAGCTTCTGCTCGCGTGCCCGACGGTTAGCAGGTGTCCGAGGCGGGAGCAGGTGCGCGAAGACTGACAACGTAGAACGCCCGTGTAGCCTTGTCCCGGTTCGTGCTGCAAAAGTCGTCAGTGACAGAGCTCACTGGTCACGGCGCATGCGCTTCATGCTCACTTGTCTGTTGATAGACACGAGGGTGCGTCAGACGGGATACATAGACGCGCACACGAGCGCCGCTCACCAATGACGACGCTCTTGCCCTTCTGGAGAGCCTCGCGGGCCTTGGCGATGCACTTGTCGCGCTTGCCGAGCGTGTCCTGATTGATCCACTCGTAGCCGGCCGGCTCGAAATGATTGCGGTAGTAGCTGGTCTCTGTTCGTAGCGTCAGCCCGGTGCGCAGATAGGCGAAGTGCTGTGACGCACTGCCGGAGGCCGGAGGACCGACGAAGACCAGAATCTCGGGAGAGCTTGCAGGAGCGATCGCAGGCTTTGATGGCTCTGCGTCATCTTCTGCTGTGCGTCTGTCAGCACATCACGGACAGCATCTCCTCGCGATTGACCCACTGGCCCAAGAGAGACGCCAGCCCTTCAGTTTGTAGTCCTCCGCCTGCGTCGTGTATCGTCAGCGAGGCGCCAGAGCTCAAGCAAGTCTGCTTTCTCCACGCACGTCGCCGCCCTGAAACCACTGCTCGGGCGTAAAAAAGGGCAGGCCGAGGTTGTCGGCCCACTTGCGGTCCGTGTCGTTGTGATCCTTCGCGATGCGGCCCCGCGCTGGCCGGCCAGCAGCGTCACCGACGTAGAAGCTACTCCCGTCGCCGCCGACCTTGACCCAGGCACGCTTGCCGCCCGCCACCTCGAGCTCCTGCATCGTGGCGTCCCACATGCCCGGCGCGGGCTTGCGGAAGCGGTCGTCTGCCAGCGCGGCGAGCACGAGCATCGGGCAGCCGATGGCCTGCGCGATGTGCGCAATCTTCTGCTGCCAGGTCAGCACCTTCTTGGCGGGCTTCGAGATGTCGTACGGCGTCGTCTGCTTCTGGTTCGACACGATGACGATGACGGACCTGCAGAGCGAGCAACGGTGAGCTGGATACTGGCTACGCAATGCGACGGACGCACCCCGACTCGTACTCCTCGCGCACTCGCTTGTAGACGTTCGCGAAGACGGGCTTGTAGTCGTACGGATCGCTTGGCGAGGGCCACGTCTGCAGAGAGTGGATCAGTCCGGTGCGCCTGCCGACCCTACACCTTCACACTGCGCTCGGCGTTCACTCACCCCCTGCTTCGGCACGACGAGCGTGCCGTCCAGATCGAACGCAGCCACCTTGATCGTCTGCTCTCTCTCGTTCTCCGGCAATGCCAGCGTCTTCTCCACGGCAGCAGCAAATGGCGCACCACACACGCCCAGCAGGCAGCCCGGCTTGCCGCGGAAGCGCAGCGGCGCCCGCCAGACTACGCGTGCGGAGCCGCTGCTGGTGGTGCTTCCTGACGCCTCGGCGGACGCGCCTGACGCAGCGCGCGGCGTGAAGATGGGCGCCACTGCCGCACGTGGGCGGAGTCAGCGGTGCAGGCAGAGCACAGCATGAGAACCTGAAACTCACACTTGCGCAGCGACGGAGCTGGCTTGGCGCTCCCTGCCGGCGCATCAGCCGCTGGCATCGCCGCTGCTGGCTTCGCTGCAGCGGACTTTAGCTTCTTGGCGCGGCTGGCGACGAGCTGGATGGGCTCGTCCTCGGCACTGCTCTCGCCTGCGGCTGCGCTGCGCTTGGTCGCGCGCGTGGACGCACTCATGCCCGCTGCGGCAGGAGCGGCGAGCGGCAAGGTGCCTCGTCGCCCGGTGGCCGCAAGCAGCAGGCCGGGCCGTCGAAGGAGCGCGGTCGGCAAGAGCGCGCGGAGACGCGAGGAAGTCGGAATGGCGAGGGCACACAAGGCAGGCAAGACGAGGGAGCGCTGCGTGCACCGCGAGCTGGAGGTGACGCCGTGTTGCGCCAGCCAAGGGCGAGATGAGGGAGGAGAGCAGCGCGCGCGGTGTTGCTCGAGGCAGGCGCGAAGACGGTGCTCCACACCTCGCCCCGCTCCCACGCTCGTCACGCGTAGAGCCGCGCCGTGGGAGCGTTCAGTTGGCTGCGCACGATGCGCAGCAGCCGAGCTCTCCACCACGACCTCCGCCTCTCTCCCTCGCAGCGCACTGCCTGGCTCACTGACGCTGCTGGCGGCAGCAGCCATGGCCTCCTCGCCCTCCTCCTCCTCCTCGGCGCTGCCGACGGCGGCGCTCGTGCTCAAGGCCTCGTGCGACGAGCGCACCAAGCGCCTCGTCTGGCCTGCCGCGCCGCTGCAGGCACTGCGCTGGGACGCCTGCCGCCGGCGCCTTGCAGAGGCGCTGCAGTTCGCACAGACGGACTTCAGAGTGGAGTGGAGGGATGATGACGGCGATGTGGTGAGTTGCCGGAAAGAGGCACAGCGAGGAGCACAGGATGGCGCAGGTGTGGAAGAGTGGAGGGGTGGAGCAAGCAGCAGCAAGCAGACAGCGGCGCGATAGAAGGACAGCGGCGCGATAGAAGGACAGCGAGAGGCGCTGAAGGCGAGCAGGGAGCAGCGAGCATGCAGCAGCGCCAGAGACCATGGCAGAGGGAGAGAGAGAGCTGCAGCGAACAACAGAGCAGTGAAGGACAGCGGACTCATCTCACCTGGTGCTGGCGCTCACGCTCTTTTCACAGTGCGAGATTTCGAGCACGGCCGACCTGCACGAGGCGCTCTCCTACCACATCTCCTCCGATCCGTCGCGGCGCAGCGAGCCCGTGACGATGCGCGTGTCGGTGCGCGTCAGCACGGCCGTCGAGCTGTCTGACTTTGGCTCGAGCTTCGGATCAGCGTGGGGCGGCAGCAGTGTCGGCAGCCTGGACCTGTCGCGCCGCGGCGGAGAGGAGAGCGAGGGCGACTACTACAGCGGCTCCGACGCGGCGAGCGAGTACGATGAGGAGCGGAGCGCGTGGGCGGCTGTGCCTAATCAGCCAAGATCGGGCAGCGCATCGTGGGACGAGCTCTCCGGCAGCGAGGGCGCCGACGAGTGGAGCATCGCCGCTAGCTCCGTCTCGGGCTCGGGTCCTGCGGCACAGCGCGCCGGCCCATCGCGGATACTGGCTGGCCCAGCTCAACGGCAGCAGGATCGCTCGCTGTCAGGAGGCTCTTCCAGGCCCTATCACTCCTCCTCTTCGCCTTCTTCCTCCGAGTCTGAGCCTTCAGACGCCGAGACCGAGTCTGGCCTTGGCGTCGGGACCAACTCCTCGTCTCTCGCCAACGGCGCACGCTCAAAGAAGTTTGCCAAGGCACGCCGCATGGTGGCTGCACTCGATGCGCTGGCACTACTTCCGCAGCATCAGACGCACGGCTATCTGCACGAGGGCATCCGCTGCTCGACGTGCGGCATCGATCCGATCCGAGGCGCGCGCTTTCACTGCATCGAGTGTCCGGGCGGACGAGACTTCGTGAGTGTCAGGTGCAGCTGCCGTGGAGTCGTAGCTGACTGGGATTGGCCAAAGTGTGCGCCTTGTGAAGCCGCCCCGCCCTCCGCCTCGACGACAGAGGGCCATCAGGCGACACATCTCGTGCTCAAGCTCACAATGCCAGTCTCCACCTCCGCCGCCGCCTCGTCGCTTGGCATGTCTCTTCTGCACGCACAGCAGCGGCTCTATGCCGAGGCGGCCGCACACGCAATGCGGAGGAGTGCGTCAGAGGGCAGTGTCAGCGCCAGTGGCAGCAGCAGCAGTACAGCTGCAACGACGCCCAACGGCTCGCATTCCCACACGACCTGGCAGCCGTCGCCGCCGCAGCAGCAGACGAAGTGCGACTACTGCAGCGGCATGCTCGAGGGCGTGCGCTACGTCTGTGCCAACTGCCCGCTCGGCGAGACGGGAGAGGGCTACAATCTCTGCCGGACGTGCGAGGTGCACTCGCTCGCTGTGAGTGTGCAGGCGCAGGCCGTGCCAATGCCTTGCATCCGCTGACGCGTTGCACGACAGTGCCACGACCCGGCGCACTTCTTCCTCAAGATCCGCGTGCCCAAGGACGGCAGTGGGCGTCTCGCGCTGCAGTCGCCGCTGTATCGCAACGAGAGCCTGCTGCCGATCTTCTACAAGGACCTCTCCGCCGACGCACCTCCTCTGGGCACTGCTGCCGGTAGCCAGCAGGCCTCGCAGCCGCAAGGCAGCTGCGGCGCCTCACGCTGGGCTCGCGACTTGACAGCTGCTGCAGCGGCCGCGTCGTCTGCAGCGGACGCGTCAGGCGTCAAAGGCCGGCTAGGCGGATGGCGACGACGCATCATGGATGAGATCGAGCTGCGGCGCTTGACCGAGACGAGTGGCGCACGGCAACGGCAGCTCGTGCCACTGAGCGCGCTCATCCACCCGTCCATCCTGTGCGACCTGTGCTACGAGGTCATCGAGGGCCCGTGGCTGCGATGCTGCAACTGCACCGGTGAGTCGGGCTCGCGAGCAGCGCAGCACTCGTGCTGACAAGGCCTTAGCGTCGCACGACCTGTGCGTGGGATGCGAGGGGAAAGTGGCGCATGACCCGTCCCATGCGTTTGCCGTCTTCAAGCAGCCGGTGAGTCTTCATGCCTGTCCTCTGCACCGCTGCGTCAGACTCACCGACACCCTCTGCCAGCTCGACCTGGACCTCTTCAAGTCGGCCATCGACCTCTCGGCCGACTCGGGCGCCGCACGGCCGCTGCTGCCGTTCCGCATCGTCTAGCCCCTCGGCTCCTGCTGCGCCTGCACGGCTGCCCGTGCACGCTTCTGTCTCTGCTCCCTTCTGTCGTCACCACCACTGGGCCAAGCAGCCGCCTGCTTGAATGCATCCGTCATCTAGCCTGCTGCCTGGGCTGCCCCGGCCAGACGCGTCGCGTCATCGTGTTGGACGAGGCCAGGCGCGGCGCCATGTGGAGGTGCTTCCGGCGCCTTCTTCGTGCGCTGAGGCAGCAGGCCGAGCGCCGCCTCACACCACATCGTCCCTCGTTCCGGCCCCAGTCCTCTTCCTTGCCGCATGCCCAGCGCACCTAGCATACGCATCAGCATCATACGTCGCATCGTCAGCCCAAGCCGCATCGCCACACGCCCATCGAGTCCCCTCGTCATGGCGCCCAAGCGTGCCGCACCCGCCTCGCCGACCGCGTCCGGCAGCCGCAAGAGCCTGCGCACCTCCTCCTCGCAGGCCAAGGCCGCGCCAGAGGAGGATGCGCTCGAGGAGCAGCTGCCTGAGATCGACGATGCTCTGCTGCTAGCGGCGGCAGAAGAGGCAGAGCGGCGAGCCAGCGTGCCGCGCTCGTCGCAGCCCGAGGCGCAGGAGAAGGCCAAGCCAGAGAGGCCGGCTGCTGGCCTGCTGGCGGACGATGCAGACCCGCTTGCGATGGAGCGACGCACCATGCATCCGGAGTGGTTCGGACGCCTGGAGAAAAGCATGGCGGCGCCGAGCTTCAAGCAGGTGCGTGCAGTAGCTGCTGCTGTGGGAGCAGACGGCTGACGATGTGCACCTTCCAGCTAAAGAGCTTCCTGGCGAGCGAGGCAAAGGCGGGCATCACTGTCTATCCACCACGTGAGAGAGAAGCGCAAGGGCAGGCTTCGCTGCGGCGCTGACATCGCCCACAGCCGAGCTGGTCCACAGCTGGAGCAGGCTCACGCCGCCGAGCAACGTCAAGATTGTGATCCTGGGGTGAGTCTGTGGCAGCGCCTTCCACACGGCGCTACTGACAAGTCTTTCCACCAGGCAAGACCGTAAGTGACACCCATGCACTCACCACAGGCGACACTGACGCTCTCTGAAGCGTACCATGGGCCGGGCCAAGCGTGCGGTGAGTGTTGCGCTCGCTGCCGCGAGGCGAAGCTCACACTCGGCACCAGGCACATCCTTCTCGGTGCCTCGCTCTGTGCCGGCGCCGCCGAGCCTCAAGAACATGTACAAGGAGCTGCGTGCCGAGTACGGCAACGACTTTGCGGTGCCGAGCCATGGGTGCGTGTCGATCGCAGATGCGGTCCAGGCAGACGCTTGGCTGACTCGCTAGCGCAGCTGCCTCGACGGCTGGGCAAAGCAGGGCGTGCTGCTTCTCAATGCGTGCCTAGTGCGTTCCAGAGCGGCTGCGCTTCCGATCCCTTGCTGACTCCGTCTCAGACCGTCCGCGCCGGCGCCGCAGCGTCGCATCACGGCAAGGGCTGGGAGCCCTTCACGCGAGCCGTGCTACAAGCAGTCGCAGCAGATGCTGCCCGCGCTGGTCCTGGCGCAGCCTCTGGCGCCAAGCCGGCTGCGGCCGCGCCGCCCAAGGGACAAGGCACGATCACCGGCATGTTCGCAAAGCAGAAGAAGCAGCAGAGCAGCGACAAGGGCCCGCAGGCTGCGGAGGAAGCACCGGCGATTGCGCCTGCAGCCGATGCGGCGCCATCCGCACCGCAAGGCGCGGACGAGAAGCAGGGCGGCGTGGTGTTCCTCGCTTGGGGCCTGCCGGCCGCCAAGAGCCTAGCAGACGCCGGCATCACCGACGTGAGTGCCGTCCGCATCCCCTAGGCGCTGCTCTGACTGCCCCTCGTCATGCCGAACAGGCGTCGCCGAACGTGCTGGTGCTCAAGTCTGCGCACCCGAGCCCGCTGTCTGCTCACCGCGGCTTCTTCCGGGCTGCAGCGACGCCCAAGCTGCCCAGTCTCTTCAAGGAGGCCAACGACTGGCTCGAGCAGCCCGGGCGCCGCGGGCCCGGCGGAGGCGTGCGGTGGGGCGAGCTGTAGGCCGACATGGCCAGCCCTCGATCCTGATATATCAGCATGGCATTATCTCGCTGCCCCGCCCCCTGCCTCGTGCACAGCCGTACCTGCGCCTGCGACTGTGCGACGTCATTCGATTGCTGCTTAGTACGTCGAGCCCTCTGCTGGCTGCGGCAGCTTGCGGTTGGCTGGTGAGGCCATCTCTCTGCCGGCGGCGGATCGGGTCAGCATGCATGTGCGGCAGATATATGTCTCTCTAGCACTGCATTGCAAGGCTTCCCCGGCCGCCACTTACCGCCTGATCTCCACGAGGACAGTCTCGAGCGTACTCGTGCGCCGCCATTGGCCCAGCACCGGCAGCAGATTCGGCTCGACCTGGCGGAAAGGGGGTCAGCTCGTGATGCGGCGGATGCGACTTGCGGCAGCAGCAGGCTGTGCATCTGGACTCTGTGCAGCAGAGAGGCTGCTTGCCTCGGATCAGGCTTGGCGCACTGTCTCGTCGTGGCGTTCGCAGCAATCGCAGCATTCGCAGTGATCGCAGCAGGCGCCGCACTGGCGGCGTTTGCGGCCCTCGTGCCCTTCGCTCCCCGCAGCATCCCACCACTACATCGTCTCTCCACTTACCTGTCCCGCCCGGCCCACGCACGGCATGTTGACGCGCGTGATGAAGTGCACCTCGGGCGGCGCGTCGGGGTACTGCGGCCCGCAGGTGATGCGCAGCGAGTAGATGCGGTTCTGGTGCACCGTATGGCCGGGTCCCAGGATAGTGGCGTTCCAGTTGGACATCTCTGTGCGCGGTGGAGTGGTCAGTCGGGATGGAGCGGGGCTGGGCTGAGGCGGCTGCCAGAGGCGCTGCTCGGGGCCAGCTGCGTGCTCGAGGACGAGAGCAGCCTGGCATCCAGCAGGCTCTGAGAGGTGCTAGTCACAAGATGGTGCCATCGGTAGCCAAACGCTCGCAGGAAACATCGAGCTCGCTCCCCCGCGCCAGCTCTCCGGCCCGCGCTGCCAGCGCCGCACGAGCCAGGCCTGCACCCGCATCGCCGCTGCCGCAGCACACTCACGGACGTCGCTGCCGTCGTCGAGGCCGTAGGAGCAGCTGCCGTCGCCGATGCCCTTCTCGCCCTTCTCGAGCTCCTCGAGCAGGCGGAACGAGCGCGGAACTGCGCGGCGTGTGAGTGTGAGCAGGGCACAGGCAGCGGCAAGGCGAGGCGGGCGCACCCTTGGCCATGCTGGGCGGTGCGGGCGGGCGGCGCGAACGGAGAGGTGCGAGCGTGCGTGGGTGCGAGAGTGCGAGGCTGGCGAGGTGGGAGCCGCGGCGGTGGTGGCACAGGGGGCTGGAGCAGGTGGAGTGATGCGGAACGGCGTCAGGGTGCGGCGAGCGCCGCGGCGGTGGCCAGCACGGCAGCCCCAAGCGCGCGGCGCACCTCGCCGCCGCGCCGCGATCGCTCGCCAGTCACGCGCCCATGCCCGCTGCATGATGGCCCCTGCGCAAGCCATCGGCCGGGCAACTCTCGCAGAACCGCTGGCTCATGTGTGAGGCGCAGCACTGGCTGCGCAGTCGTTGTCGATGACTTCAACTCGGCCGTGGACGCGCACGCCAGAGACCCGTGCCACATAGAGGTGACTGAGGAGGCCCTCTCTGCACTGAGCATGCTCCGCGCGCGACGCGGCCTCGTCGTGCAGCGAGCCATCATCTTCGGCTGATGCTCGCTGCTGCTTCTGTCGCCATGCGCTCCCGAGAGGGTGCAGCCCCAGGGCTCAGGGCCTAGCTCGCCATCTAGGCTCAGACAGCGGCTCCTGAGGCCAATCTGTCGAGGGTCACGGCGTGCTTACGTCAGCCTGTTATCGGCGAGCGCCACATGCGGTGCTGGCGCATGTGCCAAGCTCTCGCTTCTTCTCAACCGCGCTGCCTCTTCTCACCACCACACCACCTCCGCAACCATGGGCTTCCGCACCGGCTTCGTGCTCTCCTCGCTCTCCTTCCTCGCCGGCGTGCTCTTCATCTGCGCGCAGTACGACCACCCGCTCATCTTCCATGCCTGGAGCGACGCGGCGCCCGTGCGCGCCGAGCGCTTCTACCTCGGCCTCTATGCCGCGCCGCGCGCCGTGCATGCGCTGCTGCACGGCATGATCGCCCTCGGCATCGTCGGCCTGCTCGCCAAGCTGCACCGCTGGACGGAGACGGCAAAGTGGTTCGACGGCGCCGCGCTTGGTGAGTGCACTGCAGGGTGGCCCGGGAAGGCCTTCTGCTGCAGGCCAATGGCCAGGCGGCACGGCGAGAAGGCACGCAGTCGGCTGCAGAGAGGAGGGCAGCAGTCGACTGCAGAGAGAGGTGCATCACACTTGATGCCTGCTGGAGCGGATCCATGAAAGCTGCTGCCGCCTTGACAAGCCATGCTAGGGCTGGAGCACCCCAGCGCCGCCTGCGTGTGCGCTCGGCAGGCGACATGAGGGCCACAGCCGGCAACACGGCTCGGCTTGAGCAGCTAGCTAGGAGCGCTCTGGGCCGCTGTGTATTGCGCCATTGCTGCAATAGGAGCGCTCCTGCTCCCGAGCTGGAGAAGCAGATCGGTGTATTGCTCGCGAGTCGGCACCCTGCGACGCCAGATGCCGCTGGTGCAGGGTGGATGTGCAGTGCAGAGCACGGCTCGTCGAGAGCAGCAAGACGCTGAACCGGCTCGCTGCGCTTGTGCTCTCTGTCCCGTACTGTGTGCAATGCTAACGCCGCCGCCCGACAGTCTTCTTCATGGGCTGTGTTGGCCTCTACGGCGTGGTCATTGTGCCGAACCTGCGTCTGCTCGCCAACCCGACGTCGATGCGCCTGCTGGAGCGCAGCAGCATTGCGACGCAGCGCGCCACACTGGCCGCCGAGGCCGCGGCGGGCCGCCTCGACCCGTCGCTCGTGCCCACGGGCCCGCTGCAGCCCGACGAGGGCGTGGCGGCGCTGCGCATCGTCGCTGCCAGCAACACGCTCATCCTCGGCCTCTTCGCCGGCGTCGCGCTCATGCTCGTCGCCGAGTACTACGTCGAGAAGGAGGAGCGCCGCATGCTCGAGGCTGCGCGCGAGGCCGAGATGAAGGAGCTCAAGGTCCAGAAGGGCCAGTAGCTTGCTCAAGCGGTCGCTCTCCCAAATGCACGAAATGACAGCGACTCGGCCCCTCCTCCTCTGCAAGCGCGGCGCGCTACTGATGGCTCATGGGATGATGTGATTACTCGGCCCGGCGCCGAGACAGGATCTAGAGTGTGACATGTGCGCGCCCATCCAGACAGGCACGGCTCTGGTCGAGTGCTGGGTAACGATGACGGAACATGTAGGTGACACGACGGAGTGCAGTGTTGGGACAGGAAAGAGGGGGCAGCGAGGAGCTTCAAAGATCCATCACGGCGGCGCAGCCAGCGGCAATGAGGTCCGCCACGCCATCGAGGCCGCGGAACGTGGGTCCGTCGTACGACGCCTCCTGGCCGGGCGGCGCGAGGCCGAGCGAGGCCCAGCCCTCGGGCACGAGCTCGAGGCTGCGCTTGACGTTGCAGAGCGCAAGCACAAGCGGGAACGTGCCGGGCTGCGGCAGCCAGTCGCGCATCGCCTCGGCCTCGGACGGCAGCGAGCCCGTCTTGTGCGGCGCGAGGCCGGACCACGGTGCGTCGCCGCTCTCGCTGCTCGGCGCACTCGAGGCCTCGACGACGAGCGCGGTGACGCGGAATGCGGGAATGGTCGAGGCACGGCGGCGAGGCTCCACAGGAGCGGCACTCGCAGCCAGTTGCGCTGCATCGGCCGCAGCGGCGGCAGAGGCGGCGGCCTGGCGTGCATGTCCGTTCTCCGAGCTGCCGTGCGACAGAACCTGCGCCAGCTTGCGGTACCACGTGCTGCTTGCTGGCGAGTGTGCCGGGCTCGTCTCTTGCGAGCCGCCGAGCCGCGGGCTGCCGAACGAGCGGAGGTCGAGCTGGTCGCCCGCGAAGGGCACGAAGGCCACGCGCAGCATGCGAGTGGGCGCGGATCCAGAAGACACACTGCCGCAGGGCAGTGGCAGCGGAATGAGCATCGTCAGGGTGCCCGGAGCGACAGAGTCGAGCCCGGCAGCCGCGGCGTGCTCGCGAGCGGCAGCTGCGGCGTTGGCTGCGCGGCCGATCTGGCCAAGCGCGATCGACAGCGGACGGCCCGTGCGGTTCAGCGATGACGGCCAGTAGTCGGACTGCGTGGACGGCTGCGGCAAGTTCGCCTCGTCCTGACGCTGAGGCGGCGGCGACGGTGGGCGGCCGATCATGCCGGAAGCGATGGAGCGGTGGCGCTTCAGCGGGTCCATGGAGGCCAGCAGTGCAAGGCTTGCAGCGTCCTGCGGCACACTGGCGAGGGGACTTGGGTGACGCGGAGCTGAGCTGGCAACGTGGAGGCCGAGCGAGCCGGCGAACTTGTGCGCTGGCCGCTGGCGCGCGACCGACGTCGTCAGGAGGATGTTGTCGTCTGACGAGCTGCGACGGCGAGCGCCGTTGCCGGCTGCGAGCCACGAGTTGAGCGCCGAGGGCGTGATGGCGCCGGAGACGAGCGGTGCCTTGCGCTTTGGTCGCTCGTCGCTAAGAATCTCCTCGCTCTCTGTCGTCGCGCCAAAGCTGCTGCTCGTCGGGAAGTCAAACATGCCAAAGTCGATAGTCGAGGCGCCGGACGGCGGAACCTGCGACGACGACGGCGAGATGCTGGACGGCGCGAAGGCCGACTGCTCCGCGACGGAGCCGTCCATCTCCGAGTCGCCCACGCTCATGCTGGTGGTGGACGTGCTGTGGTGCGAGCGCGAGACCGCATCGCGCCCGGACGAAGAGGCCAGCTGACTCTGCCACTCGCCCGACTCGGTCTGGATCGTCGGCGCCAGCTGCGGCGAGTTTGGCGAGGTGTTCGTCGGTCTGCGCTTGCGGAACCAGTCTCCGATGCGCTTGTCCTTCGAGTTTCGGCCCGTCGTGGAGGAGCCGTTCGTGGCGGACGGCGCGGGCGAGTGCTCGATACGCGTCATCTCCTTGCGAGCCTTGCCGCTGCTCTGATTGCTTGCGCTGCGGCTGCGTGACCGCCGCGAGGAGAGCTCGCTGGAGCGCTGCGACGACTTCGACGAGGTGTGCCGCGTGTCCAGCGGGTCCACCTCGCGTGCGCGCGAGGGACCGATGAGACCGAAGGACGACAGCGCCTGTTCGATTGGCCGCGAGTCGCGCGGGGCAAAGTCGTAGTCGGCGAATGGTGCAGCAACGCCACGGGCCAGTGTCCGTGAGGTGCGAGAGACCAGGCCGGTCGTCGAGAGCGCATCATCGACGCCTGCGTGCGCTGCGCTGCGGTGCGACTTGCCGCTGGCTTGCGAGTTCTGGAACTCGTAGGAGAGAGCCTCGTGGCTGACGCTCTTGCCAAGAGAGGGACGACGAGCCTCGGGCAGGTACCATTGGCCGTACAGCGCCTCGGGAGAATTGCTGGCGCTGTCTTCGTCCTCCTGCTGCAGGCCGCGACGCTGGGCCGCGGGCGTACCGAGCAGCACCGTGCAATCCGGCGCACCCGCTCCGCCACGCAGGAACTTGAGCTCGAACAGCGTCGAGTCGGCAAAGGCTCCAGTCGAGGAGCCTGCCTGCTGCATGGCCAGCGCCGACGAGTCGCGCTTGCGAGTGCTCGAGGTGTGGTGGTCGGAGACGATCACGGCGCGGCGAGCACGCTCGTCCTCGGAGCCCTCGGCGGGCGCAACGACCCACTTGCGGGCGTTGGTGGTGCACCGTGCGACTGATAGGGCAGTACGTGCGACGTCGGAGGGGCCCGCGCCGCAAAGCCGCGTGCCGTGCCAGTTGGACATGTTGCCGACGTTGACGCTGTGCATGCCCATCTCGTCGATGCTGAGCAGGTCGAGGGTGTCACGCGCATCGCCGTCGCGCGGCTCGAGCGTGCTCCATTCGCTCGGTGCCGAGGCAGCGCCGCCGAGCATCGCAAAGCCGGAGCCGGCGTCAAGAGTGGGCCCGAGACTTGCGAAGCCGCCCAGCACCTGTCCGGCCGGGTCGTCCTCCTCGGACTGCACCGACAAGCAGGAGCTGTCGCTCTCGATCGGCGAGAGCGTGCCGCCAAGGCCGAAGCGATCTGAAAAGTGCTGCTGCATATCTTGCTCGTAGGCCGCGTCGGCAGCGGTAAGCATGCGTTCGGACGAGAGAATCTCGCACGCATCGTTGCACTGGTCGCGCAGATGGGCGGCGAAGGAGTCCTCGGCCCGGAGATGGGACTGCTGCTCGGAGAGCAGCTTCGCGCCGAGGTGCGCATCGCGCACACTGGAGAATGACGATGCGGCAGTGGAGCGAGCCTTGCGATTCGGCGGCGGCAGCGTCGACCAGATGTCCTGGTTGAACGAGCTATCTGCTGCAGAAGTGGCGTCGGGGCGCGGCGAGAACGACGTCGCTTTTGGCGTCGAGTTGCCGGCTGCGAGGTGGCTGCAGTGTGCGACAGGAACGCCGGTCAACTTCGAAGAGCCTGCGGGTCTTGAGCCTAGGTCCAGACCCTCGACGTCGAGCCGCAGGCTTTGAGCCGAGCCACGGCGCGCGCTGAGGGCAGGACTCATGTCGTCGGGTCGCAGCAGCGAGTGAGGAGGTCGCGTCGGCGAGCGCTGCAGCTGGCGCTGAGCGCCGGCGATGACGCGGATCTCGCGCAGAGTGAGCGAGGACCCAGAGGCAGACAGCTGGTCGGCCGATTGCTTCTTCCGAACAGCGGGAGAGTCGGTGCTCATCGACGCGTCTTGTGCGGCGGGGATAGTGACGCTATCGTCTGCCGACGATAGCGACGACTCCGGGGCCGAGTACGATGCGGAGCCTTCAGAAGACGCAGCAGAGAGGCTTGGCGAGGACGGCCAGTGCGCTGCACTGGTCGTTGTTGCAGGCCGGGTGAGTTCAGGAGACCGGGGTGCGTCGAGCCCGAATGCGGAGTCGGGCGGCGACAGTGGAGAGTTCGGCGAGACGCAGCGACGGGCTACCGCGTAGGCGTTGTCTGGCACGGCGGTCGGTGCGGCACGGCAGCAAGTATCGGCAAGGCGTTCTGGCCGCAAGATGGCACCGCTTGGCGAGCGGCCGAAGGGAGTGCTCTGTTGTGATCGCGGAACAAGCACAAAGGTAGGCATGACGTGACATGTCGAGTGGAGTGCGAGAGGCGACGACGGAGGCGATGCGTCGAAAGCAGTCAAGTACGCGCAGAGCATGGCGGACGGCGCAGGAGATGACAGATGGAGAGGAGAGGGAGAGAGAGTGTCAGCAGGTTGCACCTCAGGCAGCGGCAGTCATAATCCTCAGCTCGCTCCTCAGGGACAAGAATACGCGAGCGATCGCTTGTCCAGCAGCAGACATCGCGGCGCGCCTCGCTTTGTCCTCCTCGCCCATGGCAGGCCCTGTGGCGTCCGCCTAGCGTGCATCTGCATTACCTGCACATGCGCGTGCAGGACCGACGAGGAACGCCGCAGGACGACGCTCTCTGCTGGACGTAGCTGCTGTGGCTGTTCCAGGAGTGCTGGGAGCAGCTCTGACAAAGACCGGCGCCTGCGCGCAGCAAGCCGGCTGCGGCTCGCGATGCTGCCGCGATGGACGGGAGCGCAGGCCGCGCCTGAGCCGCACAGGCTTCGTCCCGGCACACGTACGCCCTGCCTCGCTGATAGCGTCTGCCACCTCCTGTGTCGGCTGCTGAGCGCCACGCAGCACCAGTGCCGATGCTCGGCCGGCTTCGCGCCCTCTCGTGCCGCAGCGAGGCGTAGCTACTAACCGGACGAAAGTCGCTGGACGCGCGGGCAGAAGCTCTGCAGCTGCGAGAGTGACGGCCAAGACTTTCTTGCTCGTCTGTGCGACGTGCGAGACGGTGCTGGGCGCGGCGAGGGCGTGTGAGAGATGCTGGGCGAGAGTGTGGTGTGCGGTGACGGGAGGAGAGAGAGGGAAGGCAAGAGGAGTGCGCGGCGCCGCGAGCTGCGAATGAGGCCTGGCCGGGCCTTGGCCGGCGCGAGCAAGCGAGGGTCCAGCGTTTGCGGTGCGGCTGGCAGAGCGGCGCAACCTGCGTCTCTGCTTCTGCGTGCTCGACGACGGCTGCTGACTGATCGCGGATCGGAGCAACGAGGGTGACAAGTCCGGAGCAAGGCAAGCTGGAGCGCACCCGGGACACCCTTGCGTGCAGCAGCAGCATCAACTTGCGCCGCCGGAGCAGCTCTGCAGCAGGCAGCACAGGAGGCAGCACGCCCTCACCCTGCTGTGTTTGCGGCGGTGCCACCGACGCACGTCGTCGGCCGTGCTTCTACCGCCAAGTCGACTCCGCCGCAGGCGGCCGCGAGGAAGCGGCGCCGCGCATGCCATTCCCTTCATGCCTCGCCGGAGCCGTCCTGCGTGCGGTGCGGCGCTGCTCGCCGGCGCCGGCAGCGCTGCACAGCCGGCGTGCGTGGCTGCCGCATGGCGAGGCGCTGAGCTGCTGCCGAGCGAGGCGTGGCGCTCGGCGGCGCAAGAGCGCGGCGGGGATGGGCGCTGGACGTGCGGGTGGCGCCCCGGCGGCTGGCGCTGTGCCGCAAGCAGCAGCACCCAGCGCAGCGCGAGGATCGAGGCACACACGCACACGAGCAGCACCGCAGCACACAGAGGACGCCTCTTGCTGCTGTGCCGCCGCTCCGACGCCGATTCGCAGAGCGCTGCAGCGCTGCAGCGCGCGCGATTGCTGGCAGATGCGGACGAGGACGGCGCGACGAAGGAGGTGCGGCACGCGGGCGGCGGCAGACGAGAGGTGCCGCCGCACTGCAGCTGGCGCTGCGCGGTGTCTCGGCGCCCGGCCGTTGGATGGGCGCAAGAGCTGCATGCAGCCGAGCATCGCGTGCCACGCCGCCGCGCAGCGGTAGAATCGACGAACGCGGGCAGACGCGGCACCCGGGCAGTGTGGGCGCTTCTGCAGACCCGTGCCGCAGGTTGCTCTGCACGCACGACTGCGTCGCGTGGCGCTGCGTGTGGCGCTCATGCGCCCGTTAGCGTGGCGTCGCAGCGCGCAGCGCACATCCCGCGCCGCCGGATGTGCCAGCACTGGCGTCAGAGGTGCGTCGGCCCTCGGCGCCAGGGCAGAAGCAGCGAGCGTCTGCGGCCATCTCGTGGGCGCTCCATGAGGCGCGGCGAGTGCATAGCCGCGGCACACGGCGGTCGGAGGAGGGCCTCAGCTGGAGGCATCGCGTGCTCGCGACGCTGAAGCTGGCTCGCGAGAGAGGTTCGGCGGACGCGGCGCTGATCTGCGTGGGGTCGGAGCCCGGCACACCGAGACGCTCTCAGCTCCCGGGCGCCAGAACGCAGCGGCGGCAGCGCCACGGACGCCGGTCCTGCCGCCAGTGGTAGTACCGCTGCGGGACCGGCATCCCCTCAGTATCATGCCGCACCGCATTCGGACGCGGCGCGCTACGGCCTCCGGCTATGCCAGCTCGCCCGGTCCCGAGGTGTGCGGGAGACGAAGTGCGCGGCACCGCTGTCACTCTGTCAACATTGGGCGAGTGCCGGGCGTAGCACTGCCCCGGGCGAGGGGATGGGGTCAGGGGAGTTGCGCTGAGCGCGCGGGAGGTGACTTCCCTTCCCAGCAGCAGGCGCATGGCGCGGCGGAGCCAGCCGCAGCATTCGGCAACGACGGTCGTGGCTGACAGCGTGGTTGGTGGTGGCTTCCGCTCTGGTTGCTGCAGCAAGGAGCCGGCTCAGGAGGTGGCAGGGCAAGAAAGCCGTCGTTCAAATTGCGATGCCGATGCTGGACGGGCACCGGGCCACCGCCAGTGCGGACGCCATACGCACCTCACGGGGCCAAGTCTGCGAGTTCATCTTCGTGCGGCTGTCAATGTCAAATTGCAGCTCGGTGCTGAGTTCACCGTCAACGTTGAGACTGGGCGTCATGCCGCGCCAGCTCGCTGTCTCTCGCTCGCCTTCGGCATTACAAGGCCAAGTTCGACTTGACGCGAGCTGGGCGCCGCCGTCAGATGCGACCGCCCCCTGAGGATTTCCCATCTGCCCATGCGACACTCGACTCCGAGCCGAGCAAGAGCCACGCCGCAGCACCAGAATGAGAATAGCTCCCGGGGCACGGGCCCTGCGTGGTGAGGGCAAGTTCGGAGGGGCGTCGCAGCCACCGACGCCGGAGGCGCTCTTCGCAGCTGTCGCTTGAGCAGAGCGTTCCGCCCCCAGTGGCTGTCTCTCCGTTCTCACGCCCCTTTCTGCCACAGCGCACCGCTGCTCGCACTTGCTGCCTTCGCTGCTCCGTCACATGGCTTGCAAGAAGCGGCGCAGGCAAGCCCTGGCTTCGCGCCGTGGCGCGGTGTCGCAGCAACCACTTGATAGCCGCTTGCCGGGGCGCCGACGGAATGCGCAGGAGCTTCGCGCTGGGCGTTTGCGGGCCTGCTTCTTGCTGTCTCGAGGGCAGCGAGCGAGCGAGCCACGGACGTCAGCGCTTCGATTGGACTTGCGACGCCATCGTGTGGCGGCCATGGTGGCTGCGGCGAACGCCGGGGCGCAGCGATGAGCGATGCGGCGCCTGCAGGCACGGCACTCCGACGGCGGCGAGCAGCAAGCCGGAGTTCGGGAGGGGTCGATGTATTCGCGGAATGGCTGAATACAAGCGCCCCCTGGCGAGCAGTTGTAGTCCGTGCACGTGACCGGCCCGGAGCCAGCATGCCGCCGAGGCCGCTCCGCTATGGCTGCTCCACACGACGGCTCATCAACCGCGGACGCACGGACGGCCGTCGTCCGACATTCGCTGCTGTCGCTTGTTGCTGCACCCTCTCATCCCCCACAGCAGTTCATGCGCGCAGCTGCACTGCAGTGCCTGCGCATCGTCACCCGTGCACCTCTGCTCAGCGCCCCACGCCACACCCGCACTCTCCGCCTGCTCGCTGCTGCGCCGCCGCCGCGCCCCACCACTCGCACCATGGCGACCTTTCCCTCGTTCACCACCTCCAACTTCTACGCCGGCAATGCGCTCAACCGCCTCTCCTGGCTGCGCCCCGACTCGGCCTTCCTCAACGCCGCGCTGACGTCGTCGCAGGCGCGCTTCCTGCTGCTCCAGCACCTCAACCCGCTCGTGCACGGCGCCAAGACTGGCGGCGCCGAAGGTACGCTGGCCACGCTGTCCTTTGCAGAGGTGCAGGCGGCCCTCGGCGCGTCGGAGGAGGGCCTGTTCGGTCCTGCGCTCAACGGTCTGAAGCGTCCGGATGCGATCAACGAGAAGGACTGGGCACGCGCCACTGATGGCCTGCTGCCGCAGGGCTTGTGCCTCGTCTTCCTCGGCGTCGACGAGCGCGGCACCAAGTCGTCCTTGCCGGGTCAGGTGTCTAAGTCCGGCGCAGGCGCTACGCCCGACGGTGTGCCGTACTTCGCCATCTCTGTGACGCATCGCGCCCCTGGTCACAGCGAGGAGGGTCCGCTGCATGACCTGGAGGCGAAGCTGCTCAAGGACGGATACGACTTTGTCGACACGCGCACGCTCGCGCAGGCCGGCAGCTGGGAGGCGAGCGAGGCCGCGCTTGTTGCACAGGCACGGAGTCTGATCGACTGGGCCGAGCGGCAACACGTGAGTGTAGCGCAGCGCAGACCTTGCTGCTGCCATGACACAGAAGGCTGACCCGCTTGCCGCAGTACTGCCCGGCGTGCGCCCGGCGGCAGTACGCGCTCTGGGGCGGCTACAAGCGTGCCTGCGCATCCTCGCTGGCCCATGCTCACGAGACCAGCGCCGACTTCGTGCGGCCGCTGCTCGGCCTCGACAGCTCGGCGGCTGGGGCCAAGGAGGACCAGCTCGTCGATGGCCGCGATGAGTGCCCGACCACCGGCACGCTGAGCAACTTCAGCGTGAGTCCCTCAAAGCCGAGAGGCCCCGCAGCACCAGCTGACAATCGTTACAGTATCCGCGGACGGACCCGACTGTGATCATGGGGTGAGCTGGCCGGCACTCACTGGCTCGGGACAGCTTGCTGACGCCAAGTGCAGCATCGTCTCTCCTGATGGCGAAGGCATCCTGCTCGGTCGCCAGAAGAAGTGGCCGCCCGGTGAGCTGAAGGCGCAGCGCCTTTCGCCAGAGACTCGGCTGACGATTGCTCAGGATTCTACTCTTGTCTTGCAGGCTTCCTGGAGCCGGGCGAGAGTCTCGAGGAGGCGGTGCGCCGCGAGGTGCACGAAGAGGCCGGCGTCGAGGTTGGCCACGTCACCTACCACAGCTCGCAGCCGTGGCCCTTCCGTGAGTCTTGCGACGCGCTGAAGCTGCTGCAGATGCTGACAGGTCGCAGCGGCCAACCTGATGATGGGTGCGCTCGGCCAAGCCACGACGCAGACCATTCGCCTTGACCTCGACAACGAGCTTGAGGATGCGCGTTTCTTCTCGCGTGCCGAGGTGCTCGCTGCCATCGACGCATCTGCCAACTGGACGCTCAAGAAGCACGACCTCGGCAAGATCGATGAGAACGTGGCTGCGCGCCAGGCAAAGGTGGACGAGGAGCGGAAGCGCCTCGGCTTGCCTCCGCGTCCCGCCAATGCGCCCGCGCGTGGACGCCAGGCGTTCCAGCAGAAGGACCCGGGCAGCGTCGCCAACGTCAACAGCGTTGCGGAGCGCTCGCGCAGCCGGAGCACGAGCTCGGAGCGCGCGCCGAGAGCGGCTTTCAAGTGAGTGACGCCACCGCAGCTAGGCCACATGCACTGGCGCTGACACTTTGTGCGCAGGATCCCTGGCCCGAGTCAGTCGCGATCGATGCGTACAGCTCGTGATGATGCTGACGGCTGTGCCTTTCTCGTCCGCCTTCTGCAGCTGCGATCGCTCACGGTGAGCTGACTGGCCGCTCTCATGAGATGCCCTTGCTGACGCCATGCTCCTCCAGTGCTCATTGCCGCCTGGGCCCGCGGCGAGGCGCACCTGGCATCGACACCCTCGGAGACTCCCTCCGCGCGAGGCCGCATGTAGAGCGTCTCTCTGCTCGTGCTTCTCGCAACCTATGCCATTCTCCCGGCTGGTGGTATACTGAGCATCTGCTAGACGTGTCCTGCCTGGCGCAGCACGCCGAGGAGCTCGCTCCGCTCCCCGAGCGAGTAGGTCAGCGTCCGCGATCTGAAGTCGACGCCCAGCTGGAGCAGGTCGATGACATCGTCGAGCAGGTGCGCGCCGCCAACGATGGCGCCAGGGTGAGAGGTGTAGTCTGCCGCGAGAATGTGGACGTGCAGATGGCTGGCGGGGGCCGAACGTCAGACAAAGCCTCGAGGCACCCCGCTCATTGGCAGCCTCACTAGTACGTCGGCTGGTAGTGCAGGAAGCACCGCAGGCCGCCTTGTGCCAGCCCAAACTTGTCCTGCGCCACTTGCAGAGCCTGCCTCTGGATCTTGCGCAGCAGGCCGACGTGCTCCTTCGTGAGATCACGGAGCGAGCGCAGCGCTCGGTTGTGCACGATGGCCACGAGGTAGAGCGACGACAGCGTCCGCCGGTCCCACTTCAGGTCCGGCACCACCTGCGTATCTCGCGTCAGCCACGCGAGCGGGCGACTGCAGGCGCAGACTGACGATGAAGCCGCTCTCGCTGTCGGCGTCCTCGTAGAGAATCGACTCGGCCTCCTTCTTCTTCTCGAGAATGTTGTAGACCCTGCGGTGCGGCTCAGTGAATGCCACGCGATGTCGAGATCGCTGCTGACCATTGTATCCGCGCCAGCGGCTGGGCCTTGAGCCACGGCTCTACCACTGAAGCGTAGACCTCGGGCGACTCTGCACGGCCACGGATGAGCTTCTCTACGGATGCACACGACAACAGGCTCACCCGTCACCATGAAGCGCTTCTGCGCCGTGTACTTCTCAATGTGCTGCAGCAGGCCTCCAGATCAGCTCGAGTGCATGGTCTGTGCCGGATTGGCAATACTGACTGCCTGGGTCGCTGGCCGGATCAGCGTCATCTTGACATGCGGATCGCCGCCGTCAGGCTGCCAGCCGAGCAGCCAGTTGTACACATCGTTGGCGCCGAGCGACGACAGCGAGGCGAAGGTCGGCTGCTGCAGACTGAGTAGATGCGGATCAGCCGCCGACATGGCCATTCAGCTGAATGCGCAGCGCACAAGGCTTCACTGAAGTGCGTCTTCTCGAGCAGCAGCACGACCTGCTCGCCCTCGAGCTGGCCGAGCAGCGATGCGGTGCGCGCACGTGGATCTGCAGATGCTGCTCAGCAGGTAGGCGCATTCTTTGCACGCGCCGACGGACCTTGATCCAGCACGCGCTCGAGCGCGAAGCTGCGCAGAAGCTCGTTGGGCACGGCCGTCTGCTCGCTGCTGGCCATCGTCGAGGGCTGTGAGGGTGAAGAGGGGTGCGGAGGGCGAACCGTTCCCACGCTGCCACGTGCTGCGGCGCGCGCGTCACGTGCTGCGCGCCCTTCTTCCGTCTGCGCGGGCGGCGGCGAGACGCCAGCGCCGCAGCGAGCCGCGGCGCGCGGGATGGCTCGCGTGCCGGCCGCCTTCCTGTCTCCTGCCCACACCCTCTCTCTCGACCCCCCTTCAAGTCTAGTCAAGTGAGCCGCTGTGTGCCGCCTGTTCTTGCCGCACGTACTAACCGCATCTTCGCAGGATGGTGAGCATTTCTCTCCGGCCTTATTGGCGGCGCGGGGCTGGCACGGGTGGCAGGGTGTAGAGGGCTGAAGCAGAGAAGGGGGCGGCGAGGCACCACGACACCGCTGAGTACGCGCATGCGCCGGACGGGCTCTGTGCACGTCGACCGGTCTGCGGAGGCTGCTCGGCCGCTGCTGCCGCTGGCACGAAGGAGGGATGTGCCAGACGCAGAGGTGCTCTGGCCGCGCCGTCGGGCAACCGCTGCCTCCGTTCGATGGACTCCGGGTCGCACCAGCTAGCCGTGCAGGCGGTCCGGCGGGATTTCGGGCGGGAGTGGCGGCAGAGATGTGCGCTTGAAGATTCGCGACATGGCGGCCCTGGACAGCTGCCGACCTGAGAGGGCTCAATGGGCGAGCATCGTGCGATTTGAATATGACTGCGGCGCTCTCGACGCTGCGACATCATGGAGCGGCAGTGCTGACCATATCCCTCAGGTCCGCGGTCCTCGCAAGCACATGAAGCGCCTGGCGGCTCCCTCGTCGTGGATGCTCGACAAGCTGTCCGGCACGTACGCGCCGCGCCCGGCTCCGGGCCCGCACAAGCTGCGCGAGTCGCTGCCGCTCATCGTGCTGCTGCGCAACCGCCTGAAGTACGCGCTCAACGGCCGCGAGGTCAACACGATCACGGCCCAGCGCCTGATCAAGGTCGACGGCAAGGTCCGCACCGAGCCCACCTACCCGACCGGCTTCATGGACGTTGTGTCCATTGAGAAGTCGGGCGAGAACTTCCGCATCCTCTACGATGTTAAGGGTGAGTGGCAGAGGTAGGCGCGGCGAGGGTGCAGGTGTAGGCGGCAGCGCAGAGAGGGCGTGTGGGTGCAGCAGCGACAGATGGGCCTGTGATGCGTCACATCACACACTTGTCGATTCGAATGAGCAGTGCGCTCATGCAACGCGCTTCAGGCCGCTTCGTTGTCCACCGCATCACCCCGGAGGAGGCTTCGTTCAAGCTCCTCAAGGTCCGCAAGGTGCAGCTCGGCGCCAAGGGCGTGCCGTACATCGTCACCCACGACGGCCGCACGCTCCGCTACCCCGACCCGCTCATCCGCGTCAACGACACGGTGCGCTTCGACATCGAGCAGAACAAGATGCTTGACTTCATCAAGGTTTGTGGTGCCGTGTATCTGCGCCGGCTGCCCGTTGGCTGACCCTGTGGTGCAGTTCGACACCGGTGTCAACGTCATGATCACCGGCGGCCGTAACCAGGGCCGTGCCGGCACCATTGCCGGCCGCGAGCGCCACCCCGGTGGCTTCGACGTGAGTCGCTGGCCCGTCTCGAAGCGACTCGCTCCGCGAGTTCGCTGAGAGCCCCATGCGTACCATTCCACGTTACCGACACCTTCTCGCCCGCTACACAGATCGTCCACATCACCGACGCCCTGGGCCGTGCCTTCTCGACTGTGAGTGCCAGCAGATGCGCAGCAAGCCAGGACGCGATGCTCATTCCTTCCCTGCCTGCAGCGTCTGTCGAACGTCTTCGTTATCGGTGACGGCTCCAAGCCGGCCATCTCCATGCCCAAGGGCGGAGGTGTGCACCTCTCGATCGCCGAGGAGCGCGACCAGCGCCGCCGCCAGAAGGAGGCTCAGTCCGCATAAAGCCTAGGCACACCCGCTGCCGGCTCCGTTGCGTTCTCCTTGTCTCTCTCTGCTCTGTACATCATACACACACACCATGCGCACACGCCCACCCGCACATGACCGCCCATCACAGGGTGCCGGGCTTTGCTCGCCCTGCCCCTGAAAAGCACACACTTCAAGCTCGCCCATGCGGGAGCAAAATTCACCTTGCAAGTCTGATGATGCCTTGTGCCTGACGACGAGCGGCTCCTGGTCGCCAAGCTCTCACCCTTACGCCCTCGCCATCTCCTCTCTGTCGGGTCGGTCGGGGCCGAGGCGCTGGGCGACGATTGCGCCACGCGCTGCGCCCAAGCTTGCGCCGCTCGCTGCCAATAAGCCTCCTGTTGCGGGAGACCGAGCGCACCGTCGGTACGGTGCAGGTGTCGGCGCTGAGGCCGAGGAGGTGAGAGTGCTTTGATGGGCGCACAGCTCTTGATGAAGGAGCAACGCTCGCTCGTCGAGAGCCAAGAGCCGGTCGCCAGGGCGCCGAGGGGCAGCGTGCGGCGCGGCCGCGAGCCGTCCGCCACGCCTCCGTGCCTACGCTCGCGCCTCGTCTGCCGCATCAGCTCGTCGGTGATGCTGCGTGCCTGACATCAGGTACCGACGTTTGGCTCCTGCAGAGCAGCGATCATGACGCTCCATCGCTCCTGGCGCATGGCCGTTGGCGCGAGCTTGTCGTCGAAGAGAGCAAGTTGGCGGCGACACCCTCTCGCAGCGCGCGCGTGCCTCTTTCTGGCGGGTGCGGCAGCGCGAGGTGTGCAGCAGGGCGGACATCTCGAGGGTCGTCTGGGCTGCGGCGGAGCAACACCTCCGAGCACGAGACTGGCCGGACGCCGACGTGCGGATGTGCGGCGCCGGAGCGTCGGGGTGCGGGCGGGCGCAGAGTGGGCCGAGCTGGGGGCGAAGCCGCCGGCACTGCGCCTCTCTCGCTGCACTCTGCGCTCACGCCAGGGTGTGAGTGCCGCCGCCCGCCCCTCGCGCGCCTCTGCCTCACCGCCTCACCCGCTTTGGCGAGGCGCCGGGCGCCGCTGCCTGCGTGCTGCGCGGTGCGCGTGCAGCGCCTGCAAGCCGCACGGAGGCGCGCTGTGGCTCCTCGAAGTTGAGCGCCGCGCCCGCCGCCAGAGCGCCCGCCTGCCACCCATGCCGCAAGGCGCGGCAGCACAGCCGTCGCGCGCATCCTTCGCAGTCGCGCGCCCAAGCTCGAGCCACACCCGCTCCTCGCGGCACTGCACAGCCCTCTCTCTCTCTCCCACCACGCTCTCCTCTTCATCACCGCAGCTCAGCACCCTTCGCTGCGCTACCACCTCTACTCTATTGCGAGTCGCACACAGGTCGCCTTGACGGCTCCTGCTCCGCTCGCCCCCGCTGCCACGCGCATCGCACTCGAACATCCAACACCTCTTCGTTCCGCACCCGCACTCCCCGCCTGAGCGCACCTCCTCGTAGCTTTTCTCTCTCTCCTTTCTTCACTCCGGCGCAGACATCATGGCTCGCGACAGGCTGGCAGCCATGCGCGTGAGTGCTGCCTCGGGCGTGGATATGTGGGCAGGGCCTCGGCGCAGCGGCGGCATGCCTCGGGCGGTGCCGCAAGACGCGGGCGCACGCCTGCTTGCGCAATACTTTCGGGACCAGCGCTGTATCTCGGCACGGCACTGCAGTCATCCGGGTACAGCTCGTCTCGTGGCTTTGTAGGGTGCAAGCGGACCTCTCGCGCCGGCAGCTACCCAGAGCTGCGCTCGCGCCACCTGACGCCATCGGGGCGCTGTACTGACCCTCTACTCCCTCTCGCAGGCGCAGCAGGGCGGCGGAGGTGGCGCAGGTGGATACGGTGGATACGGAGGGCAAGGGCAGGGCAACAATGGCTACGGGTGAGATGGCCCGAGCATGCGTTAGCCGACGTGGCCTCACACCGCACGGGCAGCGACCACTCCTACCCGACACAGCAGACAGGCTACGGCAACGGCGGCTATGGTGCGTCGCGTAATGCTCAGCTGCACGTATCAGGCACTGATGTCGGCCTCGTGCAGCTCAACCGGCAGCCGACTCGTATGCGCAGCAGCAGCAGCAGCCGTACGCACAGGCCCCAGGCTACGAGCAGCCGCAGCAGCAGCAGGGCTACGGCGGCTACGGCCAGCAGCAGCCGCCGCCGGCGCAGGACGGCTACGGCGGAGGGCAGGCGTATGAGATGCAGGGCATCCCGCAGCAGAAGCAGAGCAACCCGAACGCATTCTTCGCCGAGGTGCGTCTGTCCGGCACAGCGTGATGCGGCGTGCGCTGACGCTCGGACCCGCCCTCAGATCGATGACATTCGCGAGTGCGTGCCGCTGCCTTCCTGACGTACTGCAGCTGCTGATGTCTGTTGCGTGCAGCACAATGCGGCAGATCGAACAGAACGTCAACCGCATCTCGGAGCTGCACTCGCGCTCGCTGAACAACATGGACGAGGCCTCGTCTGCGCAGGCGCACGCACAGCTCGACCAGATGGCAGAGGAGACGTCGCGGCTCACTAACGCCACGAAGAACCGCATCCGGAATCTGGACGCGCAGACGGCGCGGCTGCCGGAGGGCGGCGAGAAGAACGTGCGCAAGACGCAGATTGGCGTGCAGAGTGAGTGTGCAAGCGAGGGGCGTGGCAATGCGGTGAGCTGACGAGCGGCTGCAGAGAACGCATTCAAGGAGCTCGTGCAGAAGTACGTGCGCGTCGAGTCGGAGTACAAGTCGAAGACGCGTGCCCGTGCCGAGCGCCAGTACCGCATCGTGAACCCGCAGGCGACGCCGCAGGAGGTCAAGGCGGCCATCGAGGACGACAATGGGCAGCAGATCTTCAGCCAGGCGCTGCTGAACTCGAACCGCCACGGCGAGGCGCGCGGCGCACTGCGCGAGGTGCAGACGCGCCACGAGGAGCTGCGCAAGATCGAGCAGACCATGACGGAGCTGGCGCAGCTCTTCCAGGAGATCGACACGCTGATCGTCGAGCAGGGTGAGCGGGTGTGTTGTGTGTGTGTGTCCAGTGCGGAGCTGACACGCGCGCACTCAGGCGAGCAGATTGGCCAGATTGAGAACAGCGCGATGGTCGCCGAGACGGATATGAAGCAAGGGTGCGTGTGCTTGTTGTGCTGCCTTTGCGCCTGTCGCTGACTCTCTCGCAGCACGGAGCACACGACCAAGGCCGTGACGTCCGCACGCAAGGCCCGCAAGAAGCGCATCATGTGAGTTTCGCACTCTGTCCCTGCACCGCAAATCGTGGCTCACGCTACACCTTCGCAGCTGCTTCTGGAGTGCGTCTCGCCCTACTGGCGTATCTAGACTGAACACTCTGCTGACACGCCTCTCCTTTGTGCAGTCATCGTCGCCATCCTCGGTGAGTGCCCTTTCTCGCCTCCGTCTGACGCGACTGCCGCTGACACCTTGCGCAGTCATCATCGCGATCATCGTCGTGCTCGTCGTGTGCGTGCAGCAGAAGTCGTGTGGCAACGGCAACCGCAACCAACCAGCACGCCGCGCCCTCGAGCTGCTCACGACGGACCACCTCGACATCTGGACGCGCCGCTCGATGGCCATTGACTTTGGCGTGCAGGACTGAGCTTCCCGCACAAGCGCTTCACGTCTCCATCGCTGCAGCCCGCCTGCTCTCTCCACTCCTTTCACCTTCTCCTGCACCGCACGCCTCCCACCTACTGCCGCTGCCCTTGCACCCCTCTTATTTTGCTACTGCGGTGCATTGCGCGGCGCTCCCTCTGCCTCGCACACCGACCCACATGCCGGCACAAAGGCCTCTCAGACTGTACATACGCCGCGCACGCCAAAGCGGCCACCCTTACTACCCGTGCCAGCTCGCGCTCGAAACTCTCATTTGGTCGACTGCGTGGAGTGAAGATGGTGCATTCGGGTGGGGCAGGGGCAGATAGTTGACTCGGCTAGGTATAGAAAGGCCGCCGGCTGGCGCGCAAGGCGGGGCGCACGGCACGGAGCGGTTGGTACAGGGCGAGGAGCAAAAGTGAAGCAGAGTGAGAAGGCGAAGAGGGCGCGAGGGCGAGCGGCCGATCGCGCAGTGCAGGTCCGAGAAGGGCGAGAGGCAGGAGCGCAAGTCGCGCAGGGCGCACCGTCAAGGCGTCCGTAGTGTCTGTGCTGCCCTTAGAAGGCAAACGCAGCGACGACGCCGAGCGCACCGACAGCCCAGCCCGCAGCAGCGACGCGGTGGGACGCCGCGCCGTCCGGGCGCGACGTCGGTGCCGCCTCGACGCTGACGCTCGTCGTGGTGACGAGCGAGATGGGCATGCTGCTCGACTGCGACAGCAGCGGCACGCTCGTCACAATGGGCGCGTTGAAGCCCGACGGCGTCTCGACGGCTGCGGGCGAGGCGAACGCCGGCGAGTTGACGACGAAGGACGTCGTCGACGGCAGCGCGCTGTTGTACGAGAAGGAAGAAGAGCGGCCGAGCGAGGAGACGGCGAAGGTGCCAGCAGCGTCTGTGAATGAGAGGGTCAGCTGAGAGCGGAGGCGCACAGAGTCCACGCGACGCACTTGTGGAGCCACCCGGGTTGGTCCTGCGAAAGAGCTCGGTCAGCATGAGAAGCCAGACGCACTCGAAAGCGAAGCGAGGCGAAGGGCGAGGAGCGTCGCCAGCGTTGCAGACTTCGCGCGCACGCGCACGTGCGGACAGATGCTGTCCCCAAAAGAGCGCCCGGCTTGGTCGGAGGCTGCGCCGCCCACCGCGACGTGCAGGAGCAAGGGCTGGTGCGCTCGCTCTTCACTGTGAGCGCAAACGAAGACAGCCAGGCGAAGCCCGCCTCGCAGCCTGCACCTGATTCGAACAGCACTTCCCGCCTTGCCACCCACACCTTAGCCTCAACCGCGCCGCTGCCCCGCACAGCCCGCCCTTGCGCGCCACTCACAGTGCGGGGTTGAAGGCGGTGCTGGAGACGCTCGTCTGCGGCGCCGGCTTGAACTCGGGCTGCTCAAGCGCGGCAGCGGTGGCGGCGGCGAAGGCCAGGAGCGGGAGCAGGAGGAGCGTGAGGCGCGCCATGGCTGCGTGCGGCGGTGGAGATGCGAAAGGAGCGTGAAGCCGTGCTGGTGCGCGCTGACGGGCAGAGAAGGCCGTAAGAGGTGAGAGAGAGAAAAAGGTCAGGCGCGCAGGGTGAGGATGAAGACGAAGGAGCTGCGGCCGATGGGAGGTGGTGGAGGAGGAGAAGAGTGAAGCGTGGGGTTTGAGAGAGAGAGAGGCGGAAGCGGAGCGGCGGCGCCGTGCGGAGGAGAGGAGAGCTGCCGCGCCCTCTGGGACACCGGCGCGCGGCGGCTCGGCAGCAGCACCTGCAGCCGCTGCTCATGCAGCGTGAGAGGGCAAGGTCGGACGGGCTGTCTGCTGCTGCCGCCTGCTCCGCACCCGCAGAGCGGTACCTCGCCTGGCAGCTGCTCCGCATGTCCTGTCTCGACGCTGCACCTCTTGCAGGAGGCCTCTTCAGCTGGGCCCTCGTGCCGCAGCGAGAGCATTCAGCGTGCAGCGGCGGGCGAGAGCTCGCCCTTCTCATGGCGGAGTCGGCGAGCGCAGCGCAAGGGCGGTGCAGCCCTCATCCTCTGGCAGCCCAGCGCTCAAGGTCACGCGTCAGCTGCAGCTCGGTCTCGCCCGCGCAGCTGCAGCGGACGCAGCAACGGTGCGGTGCCGAGAGGGCGAGCCCAGACGCGAGACGGCAGGACGCGGGGTAAAGCCGGCTGCTGCCTGGGCCGGAGCAGGAGCGGCAGCAAACGAGCGTGACGCAGCGTGCAGGCGTGGGGCCAGTGGCAGCTGCGCGCCTAAAATGCGCTGCAGCAGCAGCCTTGCCCATCGCCCGGGCAGCACACTAGTCTTCGCTCTCTTGCTCCATTCGGCGACGGCTGCCAGACGCTGCATGGCCGCAGAGACTGGCGGGGTGCCCCTCTCCGCGCAGAATCGCGGCGGTGCGACCTCGCGCCCGCACGACTCGTCGTCGCTGCTCCCACGAGGCGCGATGCGGCCAGTCGCTCACCCGCCGTCCGCCGGTGGATTTTGGTGTCCAACGCGCGGCGCCGCGGCAGCGGCGCCCGGGGCGCGGGGGGGGGGGGGGGGTCGTCGGCCGACGGCCGCCGCCGGCAGGCGGCGACGTCGGCGGGCGCCTCCCCCCGCCCCGGGCGCCGCTGCCGCGCGCGCCGCGTTGGCCAGTACTCAGCTTTGCAGCGCCGCACGTGACCGCTGCATCTGTTGCTTGCCTCACACGACCCTCGATCCCTCCATCTGCCGCTCATCATCCTCACTTGCTCTTCTCTCGGCCGCCTCTTCTCATCCACTTGCTCTCTCTCGTCACCGCTGCGGCACTTTCTGCTGTCTCGTTTGGCCGTTCCTCCTGGCCTGCGCGCTCTTCGTCACCGTCGTCCTCGCTGGCGTCGCGGCTGCTGCGTCGAGCAGTCTCTCCTCGCCTGCTCGCTCTCCCGCAGCAGCCGTCATGGCGTCCGCCGACCTCTGCTCGCGGCTGCAGAACGGCGCCCTGGCACGGCTGCGGTCTGTGCCGCTGCCCTCGTCGCGCGCCGCCTCGTCGCTGCTCTCCGTGCTGCTGGCCCAGGGCTTCCTGCACTCCGTCTCGCGCGGCTCGCCCGCGGGGCCCAACCCGGCCGCCTTCCGCACCGCGCCCGTGCCGCAGCGGCGACTGTGGGCGGACCTGAAGTACGATGGCGAGGCGCAGCCGGTGCTGCGGCATCTCAACGTCGTCAGCAAGCCGAGCAAGCGCATCCGCCTCTCGCCCGAGGAGCTGCTGCGCCTCGTCACGGGCCGCCGCGCGCAGTTTGTGCCGCCACTTGGCCTCGGCGAGATTGCCATTGTCGACTGCGGCGAGGCGGGCTGGTGCGAGGCGCGCGAGGCTATTCGTCGCGGGCTCGGAGGCGAGCTTGTCGCTCGGGCTGGCTGAGGTGAGTGCTGAGACCGGTGTGTCCCGCGAGCGGCGGGACGTCGGTGAGAGGTGTACTCTCTGTACTCGCGCAGCGAGTCGCCATCTCTCTGCACCTCTGCGTGCACGCGCCCACAGAGCAGTGCTCTGAACATCGCACAGAGCAGAAAAGCTAGCTAGAGTCTCGTTGCTGACACTGAGTCTTGCAGCATGCCGCCAGCACAATCAAAACTAGAAGGGACGGAGAGGACAGATGGGATGGAGGGCTGCTGCGCATCACGCACGTGGTCATGATGCTGTGCAGCCTGGTACACGACGCCGCTTCCGCAGCCGCTCCACAGCGCACCGATTCAAGGGCTCGTGCAGGAGATGGACAGAGGGGACGGGCTTGCGCTCTGGGACACGCTAATGTATGCCCTTCGTGGGCCTCTGTGCATCACCTTGCTCTTGCACGCGCATTGCAGCGACAGTGGCACATCGTAGCATTGGGAGCGCTTCACTGATACAGGGAGGGAGCTTAGAGCTTCGTCTTCAGGCCAAAGTGCCGCTCGATGGCCTCCACGCTGCAGAGGACTCAAGTCAGCAAGCGAGCACGCTGCAGCACTGAGATGGGCGACTCACGCCTTGTGCACGGCCGACACATCGTCGATCGTCGGCGGCAGCACGCTCTGCAGCGACTCCTCGGTGCTGCGCTGGCCCTCTGCCGCCTGCTCGACGATCTTGCGCACCGTCTTGCGCAGTGTCTTGCCGCTGCGCGTCTTCGGCAGCGCGCTCGTGAGAACGATGGCGCCAAGCTCTGCGGCGGACAGGCGTGAGCGGCCAGACGTGCAGAGGCGTGATGCCGGACTCACGAGAGATGGGCCCGACTTCTGTGCGCAGGTGCTCGTTGAGGTCCTTGAGCAGCGCGGCCGTGTCTGTCGGTGCACCGGCACGCGCGACGGCCAAGGCGAATGGCACGTTGCCCTTCATCTTGTCTGGCGCGCCGACGACGCATGCTTCTGTGATCTGCGGGTGCGACGCAAGCACTTGCTCGAGCAAACCCGTGCCCATCCGGTGGCCTGCGACCTGGATGATGTCGTCTGCACGTGCGAGAATCGAGATGTAGCCATCCGGGTCCATGACCGCGGCATCGCCCGTGTCGAACCAGCCGCCCATCTTCTCGAAGCGGCTCGTGTACGCCGAGCGGTAGCCGGCCATGTTGTTCCACAGGCCGCCGAGGTACGAGGGCGCCAGCGGCTGCGCAAGCACCAGGTTGCCCATCTCGCCCTGCTTCACCTCCTTGCCTTGGTCGTCGACGATACGCACATCCATGCCCATCTGTGGCAGACCTGCCGAGCCAGGCCGGCACTCGAGCGGCGCCCAGCCGGAGCCGAGACACAGCGCAGTGATCGGGCTGCCGCTCTCAGTAGACCTGCAGCGAGACGTAAGCCAGGCTCGATGATGATACTAGCACATGCTGCGTACCAGTAGTTGTCGTTGACAGTCGCGCCCACTGCGCCCAGCTCCTTGAGCGTGTCGCGGTAGAACTCGACGATGCTCGGCTCGCTCCTCTCGCCTGCAAGGAATAGCGTGCGGAGTGACCGCAGCGACACGCCGGGAGCGCGCATCAGCGCTGCGTCGGGGTCTGCGCCGCGGACTGCGCGCAAAGCTGTCGGCGCCGTGAAGAGGTGCGTGACGCCGAGCGTCGAGATGGTGCGCCACAGGATGCCTGCGTCCGGCGTGACGGGCTTGCCCTCGAAGATGACCGTCGAGGCACCGAGGAGCAGCGGCGCGTAGAGGATGTACGAGTGACCCACGACCCAGCCGAGATCAGAGGCGCAGAGCATCACATCTGAGGGCGTCATGCCGAACGTGTGCTGGATGCTGTAGCGCAGCGCCACCGCGTGTCCACCAGTGAGGCGAGTTGCACCCTTGGGCGCTCCTGTCGTGCCAGAGCTGCGCCAAGAGTGAGATGACATGACCAGATGGCAGCTAATGTGCTCACTGACGTGTAAAGCGTGTAGACCGGCTCCTCTGACGCCACAGGAATGCAGCTCCAGCACTTGTGCCGCCCGTCGACGCCGTCGCGCACCAGCTTGATTTCCTCGTCCCAGTCCAACTCCCGCACGCCCGCTGCGCCCTTGGGGTTCACAACCGGCGGCTCATGGCCCTGGATCGTGTGGCGGCGCAGGAAGAGCAGGCCCTCGGGCTTGTGCTTCGAGTGCCCGAGCGCACCGTCCACGAGTGGCTTGTATGCCACCGGGCCTTTGGGCTCGAGACCGCACGAGGCGGCAATGACGAAACGGCACTTGGAGTCCTCGATGCGCTTTGCCAGCTCCTTGGGCGCAAAGCCGCCGAAGACGACGGAGTGCACGACGCCCTGGCGCAGGTGTGAGCATCGCTCACGTCTCAAGGACAGCCCGGCGGACTCACAAGACGCGCACACGCCAGCATCGCCAGCGCCGTCTCGGGGATCATGGGCATGTAGATGACGACCACATCGCCCTTCTTCAGCCCGTGCGCCTTGAGCACGCCGGCGAGCGTCTGCACCGTCTCGAGGGCCTCGCCGTAGGTGATGCTGCGGTACTGCTGCTTCTGGAACGGCAGCGGCGAGACGTGGTGGAAGGCGATGCGCGCCGCGCGTGCCGGGTCCGACGCCAGGTGCGGCGTGTGCGGGCTGGGCGTCAGCGGCGGCGCCGAGGCCGTCGGCGGCGGGTAGACGTGGCGGTCGAGGGCGTTGAAGCAGGTGTTGACTGCGGTGCGAGGTCAGCAGCGAGCAGCATGAGCGGCGCAGCGGCAGGCGCGAGCCCCAGAACAGGCCTCTGGCCACTCACGCTGTGCATTCGGGAACCAGGTGCCGTCGCCCTGTGCGTACGGCGCGGCCTGCTCGCTGAGCGTTGTCTTGCCGTAGGCGACGCTCGGCGGCTGGTGCCAGTGGATGTCGCGGGCGGCGCGCAGCCAGAAGGCCTCGCGGTCGTGCAGCGACTGGCGGTGCAGTGCGAGTTGCGGGTGCATGGTGAGCGTCGTGGTGGTGGTGAGAGTGCGAGGCTCATCATCAGCCTTGGCTCGGAGCAGCGCACGAAGCAGGCAGCGCATCGGCCGGCCATCTTCTGACAGCCGAGGCAAAGTGCGGGGAACGGCGTCTGGCCGAGGCGCGATGCCGGACACTGGCGGCGTGCCCGAACGCGCGCGCTTGCCCCGCTTCCTGCGCCTGGCTCGAGCGCCGCTTTTGCCGGCGTCGGTGGCCGCCCTGCTCTGCCTCCTCGCGCCGCGCAGGTGGAGGAGCTGGGGGCGCGGCATCAAAGCTCGCCGTATGGGCCTCCGGACCATCCGTCGAGACGAGCAGTTGGTGTCAAAATCAAGCCAAGCTGCATCCGTCGCTGGTGCTCTGCTCAAGCGGACGGTTGGCACATAGGCAGACTGCAGCGCTGTGCTCTGCGGCGATTCCTGGCGAAGCCTCTGCGAGCTGCGGACGCATGCTCATGCATAGTCCTTCTGGCGTCTTGCTCCCTCTCAAGACGGGCATGAACTGCAATCTGATTCACGGCGCCGCACGGAACGGCCACACGGCAGCATAGCACGCATCGTACTGCGAGCACGGTCGAAGTCAGCTGCGGCACAGCGACACAGCGGCTGGCGCCCTGCTCGCATCGGCTCACCTTGGCCAGTGTGCCCGGCCCAGCCAGTGCACCATCCCGCACGATGCGAGCCAGACCCGCGAGGAGAAGCAGCAGTGCTCCCGCAGCGCCAGCTTTCTGCGCGTCTTCTCGTCGTCGCTTTCGCTTGGCGGCGTCTGCGCTGCGAGCCGCCTCGCGCTGGCCCGCTGCAATCGTCTGATCCTTCTGTCGTGGCCTGGCACGGAAGATGCGCCGCACGCCGCCGACGATGTGGACTGCTGCAGCACCGAGCAGCGTGGCGTAGAGCACGCTTGAAAGGCGAGGCCAGCGCGCAAAGCCTCGTGCAATGAAGCTGTGGTCGAGCGACGCACTGACGCCTTTCTGCGCTGGCACCACGCGGGTGGTGAGCGCGTGGATGGAGACTGCGGGAAGAAGCGCCAGAGCGGAGAGCGTGTGCGCAGAAGACAGCCGCGAGCGACTTCGTGGTGAGTCGGAGGACGATGCCTTCGGTGCCGCGAGGAGTAGCAGGTGCTTGGAAATCGAAGAGACGGCGTGGACGCCCAGCGATCCCCAGACGAGAAGCGGCTCAGAGACATAGCCCTGGTAGTAGACACGTCCGAGCAGCTGCAGCGATGCGTCAGCGCACGTTTTCAGACGCGACAACCTAGGTAGATCGCACCATAGTCTTGCTGGCCCAGTCCTGCGCCATGCCCGGCGGGGCGACCGCGGCCGTGGCGGGCGCGCTGAGGTGCACCACGAGGAAGAGGCCGAGCGCGACGGCGCTGGCGTGCGAGGCGATGCGCAGGCCACGCACGAGCCGCGGGCGCAGCGAAGCTATCCGGTCCGGAGCTGTTGAGCTGCTCATGCTGCCAGGATTGCTTCTTGGTGATGCCAGCGCTAGCTGCTTGATGGCTGTGAAGAGAGGCGGCATGGGCAGCGCGCGCAGGGGCCTGGCAGGGCGTGCCGCCTTCACGCGTTTCCCACGCCGCGCGGCCTGATTTCTGGCGCGCGCTCTCGTGCGAGACGACTTTTTGCCTGAGGCGGTGCGCCGCTCACTGCTCCTGCTTTGGTGCCACTCGGCCTCTTACCTCTCATCCTCACGCCCCATCCCTCACCCACCATGGCGCCTGACGCATCAGCCAAGCGCAAGCGCCCTTCTGCGCCGTCCAAGCCCGGCGGCCCCTCTTCCGCGCCCGCCGCGCCGAAGAAGAAGCGGCAGGCGCACGCCTCGCGCTCGCGCGGCGCCCGCACGCTCAAGCGCCAGAGCGAGGATGAGGAGATCGCGGCGCTCGACCGCCGGTGTAAGGAGCTGGCGAGCGAGGAGAAGCAGCTGGCGCGCTTCGAGGAGCTGCCGCTGTCGGCGCGGACACTGAAGGGTGAGTGACGTCGCCGGCGCCCTACCTGCTGCGACTGGCCGTGGCCGGTGCTGAGCGACTGCGGCTGGCAACGGAGAGCTCAGCGCCGCGTCGTCCCCGTTGCGAGCGTGCTGACGCCATGCGCAGGTCTCAAGCGTGCTGCTTTCGTCGATATGACGCCCATCCAGACGCTCGCTCTGCCCAAGGCGCTCAGCGGCCGCGACGTGCTCGGCGCCGCGCGCACCGGCTCGGGCAAGACGCTCTCCTTTCTCATTCCCGTGCTGGAGCGCCTCTATCGCCTCAAGTGGGGCCCGGCAGATGGCCTGGGCGCGTTGATCATCTCGCCGACGCGCGAGCTGGCGATGCAGATCTTCGACGTGCTCCGTTCTATCGGCGGCGCGCACACCTTCTCCGCCGGCCTCATCATCGGCGGCAAGGACGTGGCGACTGAGAAGGCGCGGCTGAGCCGCATGAACATCCTCGTGGCCACGCCTGGCCGGCTGCTGCAGCACATGGACGAGACGCTCGGCTTCGATGCGGGCAACGTGCAGCTGCTCGTGCTCGACGAGGCAGACCGCATCCTCGACATGGGCTTCCAGAACACGCTCGACGCCGTCGTGCAGAACGTGCCCAAGTCGCGCCAGACGCTGCTCTTCTCCGCGACGCAGACGAAGCGCGTCAAGGACCTTGCGCGCCTCAGCCTCGTCGAGCCCGAGTACGTGGCGGTGCGCGACAAGGAGGGCGAGCAGGAGGGCGCAGTGCCCAAGTCGCTCAGCCAGCACTACATGGTCGTGCCGCTGGAGAAGAAGCTCGACGTGCTCTACTCGTTCGTGCGCATGCATCTGAAGAACAAGACGCTCGTCTTCCTCAGCTCGTGCAGACAGGTGCAGTTCGTGCATGAGACGTTCTGCCGGCTGCGGCCAGGTCTTTCGGTGCTCTGCCTGCACGGCAAGCAGAAGCAGGCCAAGCGGCTGCAGATCTTCACCGAGTTCTCGCGCGCGCAGCATGCCGTGCTGCTCGCCACCGACATTGCCGCGCGCGGGCTCGACTTCCCTGCCGTCGACTGGGTGCTGCAGATCGATGCACCGGAGGACGCCGACACTTACGTGCACCGCGTGGGCCGCACTGCGCGGTATCAGAGCAAGGGCAATTCGCTCCTCTTCCTGCTGCCGAGCGAGGAGCAAGGCGCGCTCGCGGCGCTCGAGAAGAAGCGCATCGCGCCAGAGAAGATCAAGGCGCGCGAGAGCAAGACGCAGAGCATCGCCAACCAGCTGCAGAGCTTCCTCTTCCAGGATCCGGAGCTCAAGTACCTCGGCCAGAAGGCATTCGTCTCCTACGTCCGCTCGGTGCACCTGCAGCGCGACAAGGCCACGTTTGACGTCACGGCACTGGCGTTGGACAAGTTTGCCGGCGCTCTTGGCCTGCCTGGTGCGCCCAAGGTCAAGTTCGTGCGTGAGGCACAAGCAGCGAAGAAGAAGGCTGCCAAGCTGGAAGCCAAGGCTGCGAAGCAGGCGGCGATCGATGGCGACGATGACGCCGCGGCAGACCCGGCGAAGGTGCGGACCAAGTACGACCGCATGTTCGAGCGCCGCAACCAGGGCGTGCTCAGCGAGCACTATGCCAAGCTGGTCCAGGACGAGGACGACTCTGCAAGCTCAGGAGAGGGCGAAGCGAGCGGCTCTGAGGACGAGGAGGACAGCGACGCCGAGAGCAGCGTCGCTTCGGCGGCCCAAGACGAGCTGGTCGGCGGCAACGGCGATGATGAGCTGCTGGGCGGTGCAGCGGACGACGACGGCGACTTCATCACGCTGAAGCGCGCCGACCACGCGCTCGAGTCCGATGACGAGGCGCCGTCGACGCACCTCTCGAAGCGCGCGCTTGCGATGGGCACCAGCAAGAAGGCCATGGCCGCCGCAGGCAAGCGCGGCCAAGGCGAGAAGGTCATCTTCGACGAGGAAGGCCGCGCACATGCGCTCTACGAGCTGCAGGACGAGCTGGCGTTCCGCAAGGACGGCGACGCCAAGTCGCTCGCGCAGCGCTTCATCGAGGAGGAGGGCGCGCGCCTCAAGGAGAAGGACGCCGAGGACAAGGAGCGCGTGCGGGCACGCAAGCGCGAGCGCCGCCGGCTGCTGCGCGAGCGGGAGCGCGAGGAGCGCGGCGATGAGCCCAAGGGCGGCGCAGGTGTGGAGCTGGCGCCGCTGGAGGACGACGACGGGTACGAGACGCCGGACTTTGTCTTGCCGGGCGACAGCGGGGCGGAGGACGGCAGCGAGAGCGACGAGGCTACCAGCGAGGACAGCGAGGCAGAGGAGGAGGCAAGCCGGCCGGCCAAGAAGCGCAGGGCCGCGAAGCCCGCGGGGGGCGATCTGGAGAGCGACGAGGCGCTGGCGCTGCGCCTTCTTGGCGATGCGTGAGCGGTCCGGCTCGAGCCTCAATGTACTTCTAGCGTGTATTAGTGGAGAGCGCTGTGGGCGTAGTGATACAGGTGGGCGGTGACGGAGAGTAGGAAGAGACGATACAGGGGGCGGCGTGGGTGAGGCAGGCTACGTGGCAGTCCGCCACGCCGGAAGTGCCATCGCAGACTTGCGGGGCGGAGGGAGATCGAGCGTGCTTTCGGTCTTGGCTCGCTTGAGGGTCGCCGAGCCGTCGAGCGTGGAGGGATGCGAGCGCTTGCGCTCCACGCTGCTGGCTGAGGAGCTCTTGCGCCACGCAAGCTTGGAAGCGCTCGATGCGCCTGAAGGCTCCTCGGCGTGCTGTGCAGCCGCAGGTGTGCCTGCGCTCGACGAGCCGCCAGCTCCGAGCATGCTGGCAATGTTGCCCTGCGTCTCGGTCGCGAAGCCGTACAGGTGCTCGGGACGTCGCTTGCCCGCAGCAATGGAGTCGAACGCCCTGCAGCTCGAGGTCAGAGATGCCGTGACGGAGGCAGCGCGACTTGACTCACCAGTCCACGTGCACAAGCGTCGGTCCGCGCGAGCCGACTTTCCGCGCGAGAAGCTCGTGTGTCTTCTTTGCAGATAGAGGTGCGGCGGAGAGGATGTGTGTCGTCTTGCCGTTGGGCATAATCCTGGCACGCCGAGAGTGTGAGCAGTGGCGGAGCGGCGCCTGGCGCAGCAGGCTCACATGATGCTCGCTCCGTGCATCTGCAGCAAACGCGCCAGCTCTGCCCGCGTCGTGCTCTCGCCCGTGAAGCCATTGATGTAGGCCTGGACGCTGCGGAACAGCTGCGACTCCTGTGGACACGGCGCGTCAGCGAAAAGTCTCAGTCGGGCGCAGCTGCGACTGACCGTCTCGGCAGCTTGCTCCTTCAGCTTTGCGAGTCGCGTAGCCCACCACGAGCCGCCGACGGACGAATTGTTCTTGCCATCGCCGACCTGATGGCCGCTCGAAGCAGATCTGCCGAGCGAACGTCAGCTCGCACGCTCACCCTCCCTTGCGCAGAGCTCACGTGTAGAGCGTCTGGTTGTGCCCGGTCACTGCGTGCGTGATCGGATTGCCCTTGTCCTTGAGGCTCTTCTTAGACGTGATGTGTGCCGTCTGGCGTGCGATCACGTCGGAGAAGAGCGCCACCGGCGGTGGTCTTGGGCGTGACGGACCTGCGTCGTCCGAAGTGTCCGGAGCGGACTTGCGAAACGAGGACGAGCGCGATGTCGAGGGCTTCGCTGTTGGCCGCTGCGCCGTCTCGGGCTGTGCAGCACGTGGCTCTGCAGCGGCGCTGTTCCGAGAGCGCTCCGTGTCCTCATCGACGTCCTGCCGAAGCGCAGGCGCTGCTGCCTCTCCCTCATCTGCGCCTGTCGCTGCACCGCCGTCGTGTTCGCCCAGCAGCTGCGGCACGCCCCGCAGTCTGCTCTGCTTGCCGCGCCGCGCCGCCTCGATGACCAGCAGACGTTCTGCGTCATGGTCGATCTGCGCCTCCCTCGCCTCCCTCTCCTGCTCCTTCTCCTGCCTCAGCAGCTCGGCCGCCTCGCGCCGCTCCTTGGCGCCCGGCGCGAACGCGGCCATATTGGCGAGCACCTTGCGGGCGCGCGGCGGCACATTGGGGCGCGACGTCGTGGCAGTGACTGGGCGCTCGTTTATCGGCCGCGAGCGGCGCGGTGGCGCCTCTTGCGGCGGCGGCATGGCCGAAGTGATGGGTGTGGAGCGAGCAGGAGGGCCAGGTGTTGTCAGCGTCGTGGAGGGGCGGCGCCGCGAGGCTGCCCGAGTCCCGAGCGACGCGTACAGTGGTGCGCGCGTCGCGTTGCCGTGTTGGCGCGTGAGGCGCGCGGCTGCAGCTCGAGGCGGCAGCGGCGCCGTTGGCCGAGCTTCTCGCCCCAGCACCACATCCATCTCCCCGCGAGCCCTCCCTCCCAACAGCATCGGACACCCACCTTCATCACACAAGCAACTCTCTGCGACACACTCTCACGCACCACACTCCTGACCCACGCGCAGTAGCTGGCGCCGCATCCCGCCGCCCGGCGCGCCATGTCAAGCCGCCTCTTCGCCAAGGCGGGCCGCCTCTCGGCGCTCGCCGCGCTCAAGGCCAAGCGCGAGGGCGGAAGCTCGGCGCCGCAGCGCAAGAGCAATGCTGATGACGTGAGTGTCCCGTTCGCGTCGAATGCGACTCGGCCAGCTGTGCGGCCTGCCTCGCAACCGCATCCGACGCGTCCGTGCTGACACGCGCCCTGACAGTCCGACTCGGACGCGCTGTACGACGAGGTGTCTGAAGACGAGTACGCCAGCATCGTGCGCGGCCGCATGATGGACGACGACTTTATTGAGGACGACGACGGCAGCGGCTACGTCGACGACGGCCGCGACGACTTTGGCCCGCGTGCGCAGGACGACGAGGACGACGACAGCGAGGACGACGCCGAGTACTTCGAGCGCACTGGCCGGCGCAAGCCCAAGAAGGGCACCAAGGCCGCCGCCGCTGCCGCCAAGAAGAAGTCAGAGACGCGTGCGTACGCCAGCGGTGCCGGCGTGCCATCCGCCTTTGGTCGCTCGCCCGCCGCTCCTGCCGCGGCAGGATCGAAGGCAGCGACAGCCAAGAAGCGTGACGCAGCCTACGCCCGTGCCGGTGCGACCAACGCGTACCGTCCGGCAATGAGCAGCGAGAAGGAGGCAGACTTCATGCAGCGCCTCATCGGCGGCCTCGACAGCGGCGACGCGCCCGCCTCGCCCAGCCCTGCCTCGCGAGGGCTGTCGGCCTTTGGCACGACTGCGCTCTCGTCGCGCAAGCGCAAGCCCGAGGCACGCGGCGACTTCGCAGCCTTCCGACCAAGCAGCATCCGTGACAGCAGCCCCAGCAGCGCCGCACCATCCTCCGACCCGGCCGATCCGCCATCGGACGGCATTGCGCCGCATGTGCACGTCGCCGGCAGCGACTCGCCGCCGTGGATGGACGACGCTGATCTGGATGAGGTGCCGTCAAGCAAGCGCATGCGTGGCCACGTCTCCTTCAAGGACCAGGACGGCGACGCGATCATGGGTGTGGCGGAGGGGCCAGGCGTTTTCGCTGCGCTAGAGCAGCGGCGAGCCGCAGCCATCAAGGCAGAGGTGCTGCCCTCGGACGATGATGACGACGACCTGGGCTTCTCGATCAAGGCGAGTGTCGCTGGCTCGCGCGCTCCTGTCGTCAACGCCGCTGCCGTGCCGCAGCGCAAGGCTCCGCTGGCGGAGCAACAGCCAAAGGCCCAGCCGAAGCTCTCAGCACCCGTACCGGCCACGCCGTCGCGGCCAGAGGCAAAGGCGCCGACCTCTTGGCAGTCTGTCGCAGCCAAGCTCAACAATGTCGCCTCCGCGCCGGCCCCAGAGACGCCGTCGGTGCCGCCGCCGCGGACAAAGGCCGCACGCGAGATGGCCAACGCAGCTGCCGTCTCCTCACCAGCAACGACGCCCGGTGGCAGCAGCCGCGGCAAGGTCCGCGCCTTCGAGGACGACGGCAAGAGCGTGCGCTTCTACTGGCTGGACTACGCCGAGCAGCAGGGCGCCATCTACCTGACGGGCAAGGTGAAGAACCGCGAGACGGGCAAGTTCGTCAGCGCCACGCTCGACGTGCAGGGCGTGGAGCGCTGCGTCTACCTGCAGCCGCGCACCAACGCCGACGGCACGACGGCGACCGAGGACGACGTCTACGACGAGTTTGACTCGATCCGCAGCAAGTACGGCATCAAGAGCTTCCTCGGCAAGTGGGTGACGCGCAAGTACGCCTTCGAGGTGCCTGGCGTGCCGGCCGAGGGCGAGTACCTCAAGGTCAAGTACGGCTTCGACGAGCCGGAGCTGCCCGCAGATCTCTCGGGCGCGACCTTCAGCCGGGCCTTCGGCGTGAGCACGAGCGCGTTCGAGCTCTTTGTCGTCAAGCGCGGCATCATGGGCCCGTGCTGGCTCGACGTGCGCGATGCGGTGATCCGCGCCGACGGGCCTGAGCTCAGCTGGTGCAAGGTCGAGTTTCAGGTCGACGAGCCGAAGAGCGTGCACATCTTCCGCGACGACGACGCGACTGCCCCACGCGAGGCACCGCCGCTCACCGTAATGAGCCTGTCTGGCCGCACGGTGATGAACCACGAGGCCAACAAGCGCGAGATCGTGTGCGTGTCGGCGCAGACGTGGTCGGACTTGCAGCTCGAGGACCCGACGCCGCCAGAGGAGATTCAGAGCCACCTCTTCACCGTCGTGCGGCCACTCGGCGGCACCTTCCCCGCCAACTTCGAGGCTGAGGCAAAGTCGGGCCGCACGCGCATCGTTACTGCCAAGTACGAGCGCATGCTGCTCAACCAGCTCCTGGCGCAGATCCACCTGCAAGACCCCGACATCATCGTGTCGCACGAGTTCACCGGCGTCTTCCTCGACGTGCTGCTGAAGCGCATCAGCGAGCTCAAAGCGGACCACTGGTCCCGCATCGGCCGCTTCCGCAAGGCCAAGATGCCCGCAATCCGCGCCGGCTTCAAGCTGACGCTCATCGCCGGCCGCCTCGTGTGCGACCTGGCTAGCGAGACCGCCAAGGGCATCATCCCGTCCGTCACCTGGTCGCTGACCGAGATGTGCTCGACGCATCTCAAGACGCAGCGCGAGGACGTCGACCCGGACGAGACGGCGTCCTTCTTCGACAGCCTCGCGCCGTCGCCCGAGCGCCTTCTCACCTTCGTGCGGCACTGCGAGGTCGATGCGTTCCTGCAGATGGCGCTCGCGTGCAAGGTGCAGATCCTCGCGCTCACCAAGCAGCTCACCAACCTCGCGGGCAACTCGTGGGCGCGCTGCCTCAACGGAGGCCGCGCCGAGCGCAACGACTACATCTTGCTGCACGACTTCCACCGCCAGAAATTCATCTGCCCCGACAAGCCGGCGTTCGTGTCGTCGTTCGACAAGCGCAAGGCGGCCGCCAAGGCCGACCACGACGGCGCCGACGGCGAGGAGGCAACGGGCACGGGCAAGGTCGCCGTCGCGAGCAAGCAGAAGTTCAAGGGCGGCCTCGTCTTCGAGCCGAAGCGCGGCCTGTACGACAAGTACATCATCGTCATGGACTTCAACTCGCTCTACCCGTCCATCATCCAAGAGTTCAACATCGACTTCACGACCGTCGACCGCGCGGCGTGCAACGCCAACATGGACGACATCGACCAGCTGCCCGACGTGCCCTCGTCGGACGTCAAGCAAGGCGTGCTGCCGCGGCTCATTGCCACGCTCGTGGCGCGCCGACGACAGGTGAAGAGCCTGATGAAGGACCGCAAGGCGACGCCGGCACAGCAGCTGCAGTGGCAGATCAAGCAGCTCGCCCTCAAGCTCACGGCCAACTCGATGTACGGCTGCCTCGGCTTCGAGATGAGCCGCTTCTACGCCCGGCCACTCGCGGCGCTCACCACCTTCAAGGGCCGTGAGGTGCTCATGGCGACGAAGGACCTCGCCGAGAGCCTCTCGCTCGACGTCATCTACGGCGACACTGACTCCGTCATGATCAACACCAACGCGACGGACCTGGCCGAGGCGATGCGCATCGGCGGCGAGTTCCGCCGCGCTGTCAACGAGCGCTACCGCCTGCTTGAGATCGACATCGACGGCGTCTTCCAGCGCATGCTCCTTGTGCAGAAGAAGAAGTACGCCGCGCTGAAGATGGAGGACGGCAAGACGACCGTCGAGGTCAAGGGCCTGGACCAGAAGCGTCGCGAGTTCTGCGCTCTCAGCAAGAACGTCTCGAACTACGTGCTCGAGCAGATCCTCTCGGGCGAGGCCACCGAGACGGTCGTCGAGAAGATCCACGAGCACCTGACGCAGGTCGGCGAGGAGGTGCGCGAGTCCAAGGTCGACCTGGAAGACTTCATCATCTACAAGCAGCTCGGCAAGAATCCGGCCGAGTACAGCACGTCGACGCCGCTGCCGCACGTCAAGGTCGCACTGCGCGCCATCGAGAAGGGCGAGAGCATGCGTGCCGGCGACGTCGTGCCGTATGTCTTCTGCCTCGGCGAGGACGGCTCGAGCGCTTCCAAGTCGGCACAGGCAGACCGTGCCTTCAGCCCGAACGACCTGCGGCGACCCGGCTCGACGCTGCGCATCGACTTTGAGCACTACCTCGCGCTGCAGATCCTCCCGCCGGTCGAACGTCTGTGCGAGAACATCGAGGGCACCGACCGCATGCGCCTGGCCGAGTGCCTCGGCCTGGACGCGTCTCGCTACGCGACACACTCGGCCTCGGGCGCCATCGACCCGAGCAACGGCCGCGAGTTCGTCACGCTCGACAGCCAGGTGCCCGACGAGGTGCGCTACGCCAAGTGCGAGCAGCTCAAGCTTCGCTGCTCTGCGTGCGGCGAGGCGTCGAGCTTCGAGGGCCTGCAGGCCTGCTCCTCGGCGTCGGAGCAGCGCAAGGGCATGCTCTCGCGCGAGGGCATCGTGTGCACCAACGCCTCGTGCGGCGCTCAGTTCGGCCTGGCGAGCCTGGCCATCCAGCTCGAGCAGGCGATCCGCGCACACATCGCTCGCTACTACGATGGCTGGAGCGCATGTACGGAGCCCAGCTGCTGCGCCCAGACGCGTCTCGCCGGCGTGTACGCCCGGAGATGTCTGGTCGACGGCTGCGCCGGCAAGACGGAGCTGCGCTACGGCGACAAGGCCCTCTACACGCAGCTCTGCTACTTCGAGACGCTCTTCGACGTCACTCGCACGCGCGAGCTCACCAAGGGCCGCGCCAACCACGCCGACATCCTCGCCTGCTCTGCCATCAGCGGGCGGCAGCTGGATCACCTGCACGGCGTCGTCACGCGCTACCTCGAGCGGTCCGGACGCCGCTACGTCGGCCTGGACCGCCTCTTCAAGTCTCTCTACGTCCGCCCGGCCTGAGCCAGAGCTCCGCCGGCATGCTCCATCTTCTCGCGACCATGTAACCTGACCCTGCACGCTCCATCTGTCTCTTTCTCTGCAAATGCATAACGATATCACGCGCGCCACTCAGACCGGATATCAGGCTGCATTGCGTGTAGATGTGGAGCGTGAGAGGAGCGGTGCGAGAATGCGAATAGATGGTGACGAGGGAGGAGCGGCCGCGGGTGAGAATGAGGGCAAGAGACACGCGTGCTGCATGCGCGGGGCAGGTGACTTGAGCTGAGACGACGAGGCATGCTTTACAGCAGCAGGCCGGCGCCGACAAGAGCGACGGCGGCAACGGCGAGCGCCGACGACGCAGCACGACCCGAGACGGCGTTGTTGTAGCCGTGAGGGGTCGTGGCCTGGGCCGCCTCGGCAATGCCGCACGCCGCCTTGCGCGCCTTGCACTCCAGCGAGCCGCCCGTGGCGTTGTACACGGCCCACAGGCGTGTGACGAGGACGGTGGCGTTCTGCGCCGGCGGGCCGCCGCTGAAGCGCGGGTTGCCGTCGCTCCAGGCGCTGATGGCGAGCGTGCCGGGCGTCTGCGGCACGTTCCTGGTGAGCACCTCCGTGTACTCGTCGTTGAGGCCGAACACGACGGCCGACGAGTTCCAGATGTACGACCACGTGTTGCTCGACTGCGCGAGAGGGCGTGTGAGCGGACGAGAGCTCACTCGCTGTATGGGCGCGACTTACGCTTGCGAGGTCGACGCCGCTGGCCGGAGTGATCTCGGAGTACGTCGACGGATCCGCTTGGCCGTTTGCCTGTCGAAGGCGAGGGTGAGGACAGCGACAAGGAAAAGCGACTCCTTCTACACACCATGTAGAGCTGCGGCTTCACCGACGTCCGGAGGCGCTGCGTGCCGTTCCCCGTCGTGACGTACTGGGAGAGAGGTCAGCTAGGTGCAGCCTGAGCAGCTGGACCAGACACACCTCCATATCCACCTCGTTTTCGTCTGACTCGTAGTTGTCTGTGAAGCGGAAAGTCAGTGGCGATGCGTGGTCTGTGTCATCTCAACCCCAACGCACAGAAGGCGTGAACGAGCTGAACAAGGTGGACAGCGTCAGCTTCGGAACAGCGCGGAGCAGCACACGCTCGACTTACTCCTGCGTCTGGCGTAGACTGAGTCTCAATGGTGTAGTGACCAAAGCCGAACTCCTTGCTGGAGGTGCAGAAGCGTCAGCCGCAGCCACTGGCAATTGCAGCAAATTGCCACGCACTGTTTAGTCAGGATGCCCGCCGACGGCACCTCGCCCTGGTCGTTTGCGGGCGAGACGGTGAGCTTGAGGCCTTCTGAGTCGACGCGCATGTTGTCTGGCTCGTAGGAGCGGGCGAGGCCGACAGGCCGCTTGATGTCGTAGGACATGACGACGAAGTCCCGCTCCACGTCTGCTCGGCTCATCGTGCGGAAGTCGCGCTCAAAGTAGTCTGTCCACATGGCCTGGTTCGGATCGGTGGTGTCGATGACACCGCAGTCGCACACGGCAATGCGCTGGCGGCGCGCCAGGGCAGGCAGCGAGAGGGCCGAGGCGGCCGTCGAGGCGGCTGCGAGCAGCGCAGCGGGGGCGAGGAGGCGCACCATCGCGGAGGCGCAGATGAAGAAGGAAGAGAGGCGGAGGGAAACGGGCGGCGCTAGAGAATGCGGGTACTGAGATCGCTGCGGAGCGAGAGCGAGTGTGTGGGTGCGTCTTAAGACGAGGGCTGCACGAGAGGGGTATGTTGTGGTGGTGGAGAGAAAGAAGCAGGCTGCGGATAATCCGGCCGCCGAAGGGGCGTCCTGGCTGGTACAGGCGAGGATCTGCTGGGGGTCCTGAGCTGCGCATCTCGCCCTCCCGAGGCGAGCTATGCTGCACCGCGGGAAGCCAGAGAACTCTAGATGCATCTCATTGCGCTTCCTCGCGGCCCAAGAGCAACACGGCGAGACCAACACCTGCGAGACGCTGCGCATTGCGTGCTCCCGTGGCGCTCGGCCTCGGCCTGGGCGGCGAGATGCGAGGTGGCCGGGCATGCCGTGTGGTGCACCCCGTATGTTTGTCTGCCATGCCGAGCGGCGCCGCGCGGTGCAGCAGAGCAGGCCAAGGCTCGCCGCATCTTTGGAGCCTCGCCCTTCGCTTGGCACGACACGCCGTCGAGGCGCGAGCCGCGGAGGCTGCACTGCGGCTGCGGCGTGCGGCGGCTGCATCTTGCTTGGGGTGCTGCCTGCGGCTGCCGCTGCTTGCTGCGCGCTGCACGCTGCGAGCTGCACGGCCGCGGGTGCGGAGGCGGCCCTTTCGCGCCCCGCCAGCCGGCCGGCCGCAGCCGCTCCCGCTCGTCGAGGAGCCTCGTGCAACGCATGGCTCGCGAATGAGGCTCAGAGCGGCAATCTCTTCGATGCTCGCCGATACTCTCGCTGCCAAGGTGACGCTGACACATGTAGCGAGCTCTAACACGGGGCGAGCTTCTGAGCGGGGCGCGCGCGCAGGCGGACGCGTCGCTGCTGCCGCGAGCGGGGGCGCGTCGCAGCGAGACATCTCTCGACGACGAGCAGCTACTCTCGGAGGCCGTTTGGGAGCTCCCTTTATGGTCCAAAATCTCCTCTCCCGCTATGAGCATTGAGAAAGGCCCGAGCAAGACGAGGAGAGTGGACGATCTGGCGCGCCAAACTCAAGTTCGAGCGCACGCCCTTGCGCGCTGATTGAGCGTGACCCTCACCCGTCCGCTGTACAGGCTCGCTCCGCGGCCCCAAAGTGGGAGCAGGGGACGTCGCTCTAACTCTGATCATCTCTAAGCTGTCCCGCTGCCGTATGCCCTGCCGTCATGCCACGAGCGAGATGTGCCACGCCTCAGGTCCGTTCAGCCAACGTGCAGAACATTTGCAGAACGATGCGGACGCCTCAGCCGCAGTGGCGTTGGCATGGAAGATAGGCACTCTCGACTGCTGCCGCGCTGCGAGACGGCCACGTCCGACGGCTTCCCGCTGCCAGTGGCTGAAGTCAGAGCTGCCCGTCGGTAGCGCTTCCTCGCCCGACGGGGAGTCGAGTGCCCTCCGCTTGGCCGCCTCGCGACAGAACGTTTCCAGGCACGGGCTTGACGACGAGGGGGCAACGTGGGTCCATCGAGCATGGTAGCTCATCTGCAGCTGCTGCCTCTCCTCCTCAAGTCATGCGTGGAGTCGGCCTCAGCGAAGGTGGCTGGAATGCACACGGCAGCATCATCCTCACAGCGAGCTGTGCACACTCTCGCACGGATCGGGCCTCCGGAAAAGAAGGTCGGTCACATGATCCCTGCAGGCTGGCCGCTTGATGCAGCACGGACCCTCGCTGTGCCTAGCTCGAGACGAGACCACCATGCCTTCGGGCCTGCTCGACTTGTCTCTCCTTTGCTGGCTAGCATGCATGCTACGTCTCCTTCGCTGCCGGCGCGGCATCCCTTCCACGCACCACGGCTTGCTGAGACGCGTCTCGCCACAGGCACAACGCTCCGGACCGCCGGGCACTAGGCCTGCCTAGCGTCGCTCGTCTGTGGTGCGCCAGAGCCTGCAGCCATCGCCTACTCACGCTGGCTGAGTGCCCGAGACCTCCGTTGGCTGCTCGGCTAGGCGAGCCGGAGGGGCGACTCGAACAGCCTCGGAGCACGCGCGATGCGAGGCATGCGGCGTGCGAAGACGCACCTTGGCAGCGAGTGTGCGCTGATGCTGCGGCCGAGCTGCGGCCGAGCATCGCGCTCAATCAGCTACATGTGCCATGTGAGGCATGCTGGTGCTGAGCTCCCTGCGCCTGACAGCTTGATCAGGCAGCGCAGATGGGCCGTCAGGGTGCAGCTGTCGAGTACACGCGCCGCGACGGCGACGCAGCAGCAGGTGCAGCGCAGCGCTCAGTCAGAGAGCAGCATGCAGCTTCAATCAGGAGCATATTTCGCTTTGCCTCCGAGGCCGAGCCGCATGTTGCCCCTTGCGCTCGCTGCTGCTGCTGTGCTGCGACGTCTCGGAGGCCGGACGGGCTCCCCCGCCTGCACGCTGCACGCGCCTGCCAAGGCCGTCGCGCTGCGGTGACAGCAGAGCGCAGCTCCGCCACACGACACGCGCGGCCGGCGATCGGCGCCCGCCGCCAAGGGGCGGGCATATGCACGAGCGGAGTGCAATCGAGTTAGGCTGATCCGCGATGGGCGGTGTTGCGACACGCGAGGGCGCAGCGCGGCAGTGCAGCTCACACGTGTATGCTGCTCAGGGGTGCCGCTGTGGCGCCCGCCGAGCAAACGTCGCGTCGGCCATCGCGACTGCTCCTGCGCCGCGTGCAGAAGCACACAGCGCACTGACTCCATCTCACTGGCGAGCTGCCTGCTGCCTGCTCATGCACGCCTCAACGTGCAAGGGTTCCTGCACTCTGCGCCTTGGCGTGCTGGCGGAGCAGAGCGCGCAGCGGCTCAGGTACCTACGGCCGCATAACGGCATGCGAGCAGAGCAAGCATGAAGCAAGCTGCGGCACGCTGCTCGCTGCTGCTGCTCGCTTTTCGCCGCTGCAGGCGCCTGACGTGCGAGTCTTGATGTGGGCACTCCGCCTCGGCGAGCCCAATTTGATGGCAACGCAAGCTGCGGCAGCAAGCACTGGCCCCGTGCGCTGCGCCCGCTTCTCGATTGGGACGCGTCGTGGCGTCAGCAGCGTGCGGCGCGCTCCCACAGCGCAGCATCCCCGACTGCCCAGCTTTCGCAATTCGCGCGGAGCCGCGGCGGTGTGTGCGCACAGCGTGTCCCTCTGCTGTGTGCGCTGTGAAGGGCCGAAGCGGAGACGCGAGAGCGAGGCACTCGAGGCACATTCTTGCCCCGCCTCGCCTCGACACGGCTGCTGCTGCAGGGCGCGGCGCGTCCCAGAGCGCGACGCTGCCATGTCGCCGCGTATAGCGATTGCTCCGCAGTACCTCGCTGCGCCGCGCCAGCTCGCCGATCGACGGCACGCAGAGCGCAGAGCGCTCACATGCCTCTTGACACCGTCTGCTGTAGCCAAGCTAGACGCGGCTAGCGCCTCCATTGCGGCGCTGCGCCTGCCGATGGCGCTGCTTTAGGCTGGCGTGCCTGGTCCAGAAGCAGCACAACGGTCGTCGCGCAGCGTCAGGCTGAGTGAGGCAGCTCTCGCATCTCCACTCTGCCGCTGCTCGGCCTCTGCATGTCACATGTCCTGCCGCAAGGTGAAGAGCCTCCCCCGAGTGCCCGCTCACAGCCGCACGCTGGCGGCCTGTGCCCTCCTCTGGCATGATGCTGCACTGCCGCTCGGCCATGCCGCAATTGAAGTGGCGCTACGGCACCTGCACCTGCACTGAGACTGCTGGCTTGAGAGGACAACAGACGACATGGGAAGGTCTTTGGCGAAGAAACACAGCAGATGTGCACCGGGAGAGTGCTGCTGCTCCTCATACGATGATGCCCGAAGCTGCACCTCCACACTCGTCGGAAGGCAGCCCGCATTCACTGCGCCAGTGCGTCCATACCAGAGCTCGACGATGCAGCAGGTGAGCCAGCCCGTCGGTCCAGCCTGTCCCGGGCGGTCGCCTGCCGACATTGCTGCAATGCTGGTATCGGGGCGCCGTCGGCCTCGGCACCACGCTCGCCGAGAACTGCCTTACTCGGCCCCTGCCTCGAGCACGAGCTGCTCGCTTCGGCGCTACAGCACTTGTGACCTGGGTGCTCCCGCTGCGTGCCGCATAGTCTTCGTCTCGGTGCAGCGCCGAGCTGGGGCACCTCGGGAAAAGGCGACATTTGCTGCTTCTTGCTGCGGGAACCGAGCGTCGGGGGCATGCATGATGCGTCTTCGAGCGCATCCTTCTGCTGCATGCCACGGGACAAGCACTGTCGGAGGGTCCTCGGGCCCGTGGATGTAAGTTGCCGTGCGATTCGGGTGTTTGCAAAGCGTGTGCACCAGCTGCTCCTCATAAAGGAGCATCGGCGCCCGAGCTTCTCTCCCGGACCATCACCACTCCCGCATCTCCCTCGTTCCCGCGACTCTCTCTCCGTTCCCGTGCGCTCCGAGCCCTGACGAGTTACGACTGTGTCTCTCCCGCTCCCACGCCCACTCGGCCCCCTCTCTCTTTCTTTCCCCTCTAGTGCCTCTCCTCCCTCCTAGTCCGCACGGTCACGATGCACGGCGCCAATCAGGCTCCGCGCTGGATGGAGGGCGCCTACTTTCCGCCGCAGACGCCCTCACGCCCGCGAGCACTCTCGAACGCCTCCTACAACGACGAGCGCACCAGCCTTCCCTACGCCAACGGCAACCTGGCGGCGAGCTACCACGACCTCCACAGCCCGAGTCCCAGCCGGCCCTCGAGCCCTTTGCCCGCTTCTTCTACGTCGCACCTCACGCCGCCGATGCCTCAGACGCCGCCCACGCCGCTGACGCCTCCGCCGGCGTGGAGCGCGCCCAAGAGCGCCTACGGCGGCCCGCACGCGTACGACCCGTACCTGCAGGGCCAGCAGTGGGTGGTGCCGAAGATCAACTGGTTCCCCACCACCATCAAGCTCGTGCTTTCGTTCTCGCTCGTGGCCGGCTTGATCGTCGGCTACGGTCTTGGTCTACGCGTTGTGTCCATCGGCGTATGGAGTCTGGGTGAGCATAGCGCGAGCGAAACGTGGCGTGCAATGACTGCGATGTGGATGCAGCGGCTTTTCTGACGCACTCGGGCTGACTCGAGCATCTTTCAGGCATGTACGGCGTGATCCTGCTCGTCGACTTCGTCGCCCAGTCGATCTTCGCCGTGTGCAACCGCGGCTCGGTCAACCGCATCGCCAACAAGCGCGCCGGCAAGCCCGCGAGCAGGTTCAAGCAGCCGCTCGACGACGGCACGCTGCTTTGCCCGGAGGCAGACGTCTCGATCACCGTGGTCGGCTACCGCGAGGCCGACGAGGACTGGCGCAAGTGCCTGCGCAGTCTGCAGCAGCAGACTCTTCGTCCGCGCCACCTCATCGCCGTCGTCGACGGTGATGCGCCAGCCGACCAAGAGATGGCGAAGGCGTTCGACGAGGAGTTGCGCGGCAAGAGCGCTCGCGTCATCCACCTGCCGCTTCTTCTGCACGGCCTGTTCCGCCAGACGTACGACGAGGCGCTGATCAAGTTCGAGGGCCCCAAGATGAGCAACTCGCGCTGGGCCAAGTTCGGCCGCTGGCTCGGCAACAAGCAGACGCCGGCGGAGGTGTACGCACTCGCCATCGCACGGCAGCGCATCGTCGACCAGGTCGAGGTGTGGAACGACGAATTCAGCATCGACCGCTACGAGAACGTCTGCTTCACGCAACCGCACAGCCACAAGCGTGGCGCCATGTTCACGGCCTTCGCCATGGCGCTCTGGGCCTGCCGCACGCGCGACGGCATCTTCACGACCGACTCTGACACGCTGCTCGAGACCAACGCGCTCGACGAGATGTACTGCCTGCTCTCGTCCGAGGAGCGCATCGGCGGCGTCACGGCCGAAGTCAAGATCTCGAACCGCGCCGACTCCTTCCTCTCGCGCATGTGTAGCGTGCGCTACCTCAGTGCCTTCCAACTCGAGAGAGCAGCCCAGAGTCTTTGGCGATGCGTCGGATGTCTCTCGGGTCCGATGGCCATGTACAAGTCGAGCTCGCTGTCGACGATCCTCGGGCCCTGGGCGCTGCAGACGTTCATGGGCAAGGAGACGACCTTCGGCGACGACCGCCACCTCAGCAACCAGCTTCTCGTGCACGGCTACTACACCCGCTACACGCACCGCACCTTCTGCGAGTCGGAGAGCCCGGCGACGTTCGTGCGCTGGGTCAAGCAGCAGACCAGGTGAACACGAACGCGAGCCCCTGTCCATGCGCACGCGTGCGACCGGCACTGACGTGCCTTAATTGCCCACTCTAGATGGTCCAAGTCGTTCTTCCGCGAGGCGTTCTGGTTCCCCAAGGCCTTCGCTCTGCACTCTTGGTGGCAGACCGTCGAGACGACGTGCGTCCGGAGGCCAGAGCCATGCCGTCGCTGCGCTGACCCACCTCTCTTTCCCAGCAAGCAAGCCATCTACAGCTTCGTCCTGACCGCCACCATCTTCCACATGCTGTTCGCACCGCCCGCCAACGTCTTCCAACCAGCCGTCTGGATCGGCACCCTTTTCGGCGTCGCAATCATCAAGGCCATCGTCGGCGCTCTGATAGTGCGCGACCCGTGGATGCTGATCTTCCCGCTCTACGCGCCGCTCTACCTCTTCGGCCTCATGCCCTCGCGCCTGCTCGCTCTCTTCACAATGAACCGCACTGGCTGGGGCACGAGCGCCCGCTCGACCGGCGAGCGCCGCCGCGGCGACGGCTTCATGGAGCGCACCGAGCACGTGCTGCACCTTGTCATCTGGCAGACGGCCATCATGGTCGGCATTGGCTACTTCTTCTCCAAGGTATTTGACAGCTGGCTCTTCCTCGTCATCGGCTGCGTCGCCGTGCCGCCGAGCATCCTCGTGTACATCGAGTTCAAGCCCAAGGCGGCCAAGCCCAAGAAGACAGCCGCCGCTCCCGTCTCGCCGACGTTCCGCGCCTTCAAGCTGCAGCCGCTCGAGGACGTCAACGTGCACAACGCGCAGGCACGCCACGAGATCTACATGCAGCCCGAGGCCAGCCAGAGCTGGTGCCACGACCGCGACAGCTCGTACAAGCACCCCGGCTCGCCGTCGGGCGCCAGCCGCGCCGGCAGCTCCTCCTCCGTCGTCGACGAGAAGGGCAACCCGTACCTGCCGCCGTCGCCGCGCAGCCAGCGGCAGCACGGGCAGTACGGCTACATGTGAACAGCGAGCACGCCTCGCCGTCACCTCACATCTCTTACCGGCCTGGCGCCGCACACACCACACTCCTTAGAGCTCCCTCCACTCCGCTGCGAGACGCCTGCATGGGTCTCCGCGCACCACTGGGCCGTCGCCCTTCACTCCTTCTCCTCGTCTCGCCAAGAGCGTCCCAGCGTCACCTGTGCGAAAATGATACCCTGTTTCAAGCGACATGGGCGCCTGATGTTGCGTGTCTGCGGCAGGTCGTCGCTGCTGCCGGGCGATGACGACGCCCGAGCGTCACGTTCGCTTCATACGACTTCACATGATGAGCGGCGAGAGGATGATGAGCTTGCAGCGAGCGTGATGGAGGCGAACGGAGCGGCATCACGGTGCTGCCGCTCCTCAGCCCAACGGCGCGCGACGAGGCGCGTCCGCAGCTCTCTTGTCCACCCCTGATGAGAGGCCTGCTTCCGTCCCATCTGCTCCTGAGAGGCCGTTCGATTCAATGAGCACGCCCGCCGAACCGCTCACTCGTCAGGGCAGAGTGCCACTCGTCTGCGTGAGAAGGCCGAGCCCGAGCCTCCGATCTCGCCTCCTCTCGGCCTCTTGGCCTGATTCCCTCAGCCGCTGCATCATCTGGCGCGCGCTTTGCAGCTCGCCTCGCACAAGCGCTCGCTTGCCCAATTTCCTTGCATGCGCAGCCCCATGGCGGCACCGCACAGCCGCTCAGCTGCCGCAGCGTGCCTAGCCCTGAGGTGCGGCGTCTTGGATGCCTGGGATTGGCGCTTTCTGCTGCCGTGGCGCTGCTGACTGCCCGCGGAGCCCTGCTGCTGGCGGGCGAGCGCTGCAACTGCCTCGCTGCGAGAGAAGGCGAGGGGAAGGTCTGCGAGCGGCCCCGGCGCCGCTCACGCTCGAGGCAGGCGGCCTCGTGCTCTGCTGCCTTGCCCGTGGCTGCATCTGTGGCCATTTGCGCGCGTGCTCGATGGAAGGCTCTCTCGCGTTTAGCGCGGGCGTGCACAGGGGGGCAGCCGCTCAGCCGCGCGGGCGCCTCATCAGTGTGCGCCGCGCACAGGGGAGAGCAACAGAAGGCCGCGGCAGCAATCCGAAGCAGCGCAGATCAGGGTTGGCACACTGCGCTCCTGCCCGTACTTGCGCCACACCTGCGCTGCGTACAGCTGCGGCGCGCGCCTCGCGCGGCCTGCTGGCCTGCTGCCTCACGCCGGCGCGCCGTGCGTGTTGTGCTCGCTGCGGCGTGCGCTTCTCCTCTTGTGCCTGTCCGCGCCTCGCACGCCGGCAGCGTCGTTGTGTGCCGCTCGCTGCCGCTGCTGGCCGCCTGCCTGCCTCGCTGCTGCGGTGCCGCCGCTGTGCGCTGCACCTGGTGCTGCTGCCGCTGTGCCGCCGCTGCGCCATCGCAACGCTCGCGCCGCCCGCTCCCCTCTCTCGCGCCCCATCACTCGTCCCCAGCTCCAGATTTCGCAGGCCAGCACTGCGCATCCGAGACCGCCGCTCCTCTCCACCCGCACACGACTCTCCTCTCTCCGCTCCATATATCTCTCCCTCGACTCGGCGCCTCAAGTCCCTCACCCACGCTCCCTTGCCCGCTCCGCTCTCTGCCTCGCCGACTCGCTCTCTCTCACCCAACACACGCACACTTGAGCGCGCGCTCCTCTCCGCCGCGCCACCTATCTCCCTCTAGCCAGTGCAGCAGCCTCTGGCAGGCCTGCACTCTCCTCCCTCTTCGACACCATGACTCTCGACGCTGCCGAGCCGCTCGGCGCCCAGCGCCGCATGAACCGGCACCGCCGTGCCTCGGCCGACGGCGCCGGCTCGCGTCCGGCGCAGTGGCAGGCCCGCGATGCCGCTGCCATTCGCCGTGAGGTCGAGCGCGCGCACGACGAGGCCGTCGAGCGCCGCCAGTTCGGCTTCTTCCCGCCTGACTCGGGCAACTCGCGTCCCGTCACGCCCGCGCCCGGTGCTGGCGGCGACGAGGAGGACGACGGACCGACGCCTGCGACCACCACGCCCGCTGCGACGACGACACGGCCCACGACGACAGCGGCGTCCACGCGCCCGCTGACGACGTCGACGTCCGCGACGCGCTGCCAGGGCCTGCTGAACTGCATTGCCGAGCCGTTCAGTGAGTAGAGCCGGCGAGACGGTGCGGCTGCGCGCAGCTGACGGCCTGCCCTACAGCGCGCCAGCGGACGACGAGCTCGTCGACGCTCTCGTCCACCACATCGTCGAGCAGCTCCACGCACTCCTCCACGCGCACCACCAGCAGCGTCAGTAGCGACACGACGACCTCGTCGTCGACCTCATCATCTCCCACCTCCTCTCTCACCTCTTCATCGGTTGGTCTTTTTGCTGCGTCCTCATCCCCCTTCTCTTCGTCTGCGGACTGCGGCGTGGTCGGCACGCCGAGCTGCCTCTTTATATCTTTTTATCTTCTCGCCGGAACGGGCCCGTCGCGGAGACGTGCTGGCTGCCTGCTGGTCCGCGCCGCATATGGCCGGCGATGCGTGGCGCTGCATGCTCCCGTCGGACAGGATGGCCAGGCTTCGTGCCTGACCAGACGTGAGGGCGCCCGGACGTGCGGTGCTGTGCTCTCGAGCATGTGGCGCCGTTGCGAGGACTGCCGCCGGAGGCCGTATATCTTTTTACTGTTATCGCTCTACCCCGCGCTTGCACACTCCACCTCTCCTCGTCGAACGAGCCGCTGACCCTGTCCCGCCTGCAGACGCCTACGAGCACCTTCACGCCGACGCTCACTACGCCGACTCCCTCGACGGCCACGGCCGTTGCGTTTGTCACGTCGTCAAGCATCGCCTCGCTGGCCTCGGCCACGGCGTCGCTCGAGCCCAAGTCCGAGGGTCCCGGCGCCGGCCCGATCATCGGCATCGTGGCCGGTGCGCTGGCCGGTGTGGCCGTGCTGGCGGCGCTCATCGGCTTCCTGGTGAAGAAGTACAAGAGCTCGAAGGAGGACCCGTACGAGGCGAATCCCTTCGACCGGGACGACTTCCGCCGGCAGAGCGCCATGCTGCCGGAGCACTTTGACGACGAGGACGGCCACCAGCCGTCGATGTCGGAGCACCACCACGCCAGCATCGCCTCGGGCGGCTACGGCATGGACCAGCACGACAGCATGGGCGCCGGCGTCGGTGCCGGCATGGCTGGCGCTGCCGCAGCGGGCGCGTACGGCGCGCACGCCGCGCACAACCAGGGCGGCCCGCGCCCGCCGACGATGTTCGAGCGCCACATCAACGGCCCGGCGGCGCAGTACAGCAACGCACCGCCTGTGCCGACCGTCGGAGCCTACTTCAACCAGGAGCCGGCGCCCTCGCTGCCGCCGATTGCCTTCGGCACCGGCGGCGACCCGTACTCGCTCGCCGGCGTCGGCAACTCGCACAGCCAGATGAACAACGTGAACCCCTACGCACACCTTAACCGCGGCCCGTCGCTCAACGGCTACGGCGCACCGCAGCAGCAGCAGTACCACCAGCAGGCGCCGCAGTACGACGACGCTGGTGCCTACGGCGGCCGGCCTCAGTCGGGCAGCAGCACGCACAGCGGCCCCGCAGCGCGCGACTTGACGTCGCCGTTTGCCAACCCGCACGACCAGCAGCAGCAGTACGGCCAGGCCATGGGCGGCGACGAGCACGCCACGCGCGACTACAACTACTCGACCACCGGCCGCCCGCAGACGTCCGAGGGCCGCAGCGGCACGCCGGACCTGCCCGACGTGCAGCAGACGTACCAGCTCGACGACGAGGCCGTGCCGCAGCAGCAGGCGCAGGCGCCCGAGGCGCCGCGTTCCGCCTCGCCGTTCGGCGCCCTCGACGCCCACGGCAACGCGCCGCTGCAGGTGCGCAACCTCATGCCGGGCAACCAGCACGCTGCGCGCCCGCTCAGCACCAACTCGACGGCCGACCCGTCGGACGCCTACGGCGGCTGCTACTGAACGGATCATCTCGCGGCACTGGACGGTCGCTCTCGCACGCACCGATGAGCACGCCGCCGCACCCGGATCTCGGTGACCACGACTCTATTCGCTTCGTCTCCTGCTCGTTGTCTCTCTCGCCGTCGTCGCGCGCCCTCAAAGACAGAGCCCTGGCGGCCGGCCCGACGCGCGCCCCTCCTCTCCTCCCTCTTTTGCAATCACATTCCTGATCTACCACGCTCTTTCCTCTCTTGCTCGGCCTATCCGGCGCCTTCATGTGCTGCTGCTCGTCACCCCAGTCGTGCCGGCGCGTCACCACACCGGACCTTCCCGTTCCTCGGTGTCGCCTGGGCATGGCCTGCGCACCGCGCGGCCTCGTCGGCGCCTGCCACACCCTGTACATACTAGCCACCGTGAAAAACCCAAGGTACCTCGCTCTAACTTATCTCATCACTCTCGCTGCTTGCAGTCGTGCTGAGATTTGGACGCTCAGTCGATCGGCTCCGCGTGGTCAGAGAGCCAGGAAGAGCTGAGGATGCTGCGCCGGCTCAGGGTCTGAGGCGCTCTTTCTCTTCGGAGCGAAGAGGCACTTCACGGATGCGCTCTCGCCGGCCTCGCCATCGAAGAGAAGGCAGGACGACTCTGCACCCTGCACTCCCTGGCAACAAGGGAAGACGTCGAGCCCTGTGGCGGCAGACTGCTCGCAGCAGGCACGCACAACAGCACAAGGACAAGCAAGCGAAGCCCACACTCTTCCTGATCGTCGAGGAAGGAAAGTGCCGGCACACGGCTGGAAGATAGCAGCGAGGTGGCGGTGCAGCAAACCCTTTGCAAGAGACCAGGGCCAGCGAGAGCAAGCGAGCCACCCGCAGCCCAGCGCACGCACGCTCGAAGGCCTCTCTGCCTCTGAGCAAGCGAGGGTCCGCTCGTCCGACTATTCGACGCGCTCAAGATTTCGGAGCCAACAGCTCAGTCAGCGCACCGAGAGCAACAGGTGTTGTTCGCAGCCGCAGGTGCACAGCACGCCGACAGCGTCATCGAGCGACGGGTCGATAGAGTGATCGCAGACCCGTGCTACGGCGTCCTGGCGGCGGTGCCTTGTTTTGCACCCGCGCGGCGGGCGCATCCCTGAGGGCGTCCTTGGACATGCACTGCAGCCTGCCTGCCCGTCACTCGTCCAGCGTCGCCCATCGCACTCTCGCAAACTCGTCATGCTCCCATCATCAGCGGCCCGGCAGCGCAGAGATACGCGTCATGGGCAGGCCGTCAGCGATGACGGCGCAAGTGCTTTGAGCTTGATGCGGCGACAGGCAGGCGACGAGGCGAAGCAAGGCGACTTGATAGAGTGTCGCCCCGCCGCTTTGCTTGAGCCGCGCTGACGAATCCGCCTAGCTCGCCTCGACGACGGCGGCCCCGTGGGTGCAGGGTGCGGGTGCCTGGCCCGCAAGCGACGGCACCGAGTGAACTCCATTCGGATCGTCCTCGATGCTGCTGTGGGCGTGCCGCTCGCCGGGCCTTGAAGCGGTGCTGCGAGCGCAATGAGGCGGCTGAAAGACGCTCGCACCGAGGGAGCGCCGTGCTGCCTGGACCTGCTGACGGCCTGCTGGGTGCTCTGCGGTGCGCTGCGGTGCTTGCCAGCCCTCCGTGTCGCTCCGAGTCGGCCGTCCCCGATGCATCCGCTGTCCGCCGCTGCAGCGCGACAAAAAAGGGAAGACGCCGCTCATGCGTGCGAGATGAGCTGCGATTCGGCTCCGCAGCCGCAACGCGCCTCATCACCGAGGCTCGCTGTCGGCACCGAGAAGGAAGCAGGCAGGCCGACGGCGAGGCATGACCATGCAGGGGCATCTGATCGCCCTGAGCATAGGAGATGCCCGAGGCGCGGACGCGGACAAGGCGGCTGGCGCTGCTCGACGCGTCGGTCAGGGGGGCACGTCTGGCAGCGCCACGCTTCCTGGTCGCTGCCACGTGTGCTGCCCGCTGCTGGGGCACAGCAGGCGACGCCACAGCGCATCGAACAGGGGCGAGGCTGCTGCTGCTGGCCGCACTCCCAAGCAGCTTGCGAGGCATCGGCGAGAGTGGTGCGAGCTGCGATGCGGCGCGCGGATGGAGGCATCGAGGGCGCGCGCGGCAGGCAGCGAGAGGCGGCACACGGGCGAGGCGCCGCGGGCCTACTCGCCGTGCGCCGCGCCCAACTTCCGCGGCAGGCGGCCGGCAGCAGCGGCCGCGGCGGCGCACAGACGGCAGAGGCGCGCGTCTCTGGCGCGCACGGCGCGCGCGGCCTCGCTTCGCGCTTCGCCCTCCATCCCCTTCGAAGGCAGCACCGCATCGCAGCGCATCGCACTCTCTCTCCCTCCCTCCCGCCGCAACCACTCCCACCCACCCGCCACACAGCGTCCATCTCGCCGCTGCCAGCACTCCCGCCGCTTCTCTGTTCCTCGCACCCTCGCCGCCAGGCACGGCGCTGCGTGACTGGCGGCCTGACGCGCCACCACCATCCTGGCGCAGGCGCCGCCCATCCTCGTCCTCGCGCCGTCTTGCGCCTTGCCTCCCACCTCCGTCTCGCCGCCTGCCGTCTTTGCTCGTCGAACTCTTCTGCACTCTGGCCAGCGCCACATTGCCTGCACCGCCTCGCACCTGCTGCACTTGTGCTCGGCAACGCCACCTCCCGCCTGCGGACCCAGTGCGCCCTTGGTGCCTGGGCAGCGCGCCTTTGCAGCCGAGGCAGAGCGCTGCGCTGCATCGGAGCGGGTGCAGAGGCTGAGAGTTATAAGCGGACACACCTGCAGCTGGGCCTGCTCTTCTCTCCCACATCCCACCACCACCACCCAGCCTCCTCCCACCACCGCGCCCCTCCGAGCCAGCTAGACTCGCTCCTCTCCTTTGCCTCTGCGCAGTCGCCTCTCCTCCACCGCGCCCTGGCGCCACCTCGCACAGCCTCGGCTGCTGCTCCTCTTCGTCGCTCTCTCACCCTTCGCCTCGCCCACACACCACCGTGCGTGGTCCTCCATCATCGTCGCCTCTCCTCGCTCACGCTTCACCCACCTCCAGATGGGCCGCAAGAAGATCAAGATCCAGCGCATCGCCGAGGACCGCAACCGCTCGGTCACGTACCTCAAGCGCAAGGCCGGCCTCATGAAGAAGGCCCACGAGCTCGCCGTGCTCACCGACAGCGACGTCGCCGTCATTGTGTTCGCCAAGAACGGCAAGCTGGCCGAATTCTGCAGCACCGACATCGACCAGCTGCTGCTGCGCTACACCGAGGTGAGTCGTGTGCCGTGTCCGCTATGGTCTCATCATCACATCGGTCCTCACACACCATGCCGCTGCAGCACGAAGGCCCGGTGGAGCGCCGCGGACCCGACTTCTACTTCAAGCAGGCCGCCAAGGACGCCGCCTCTGACGACGAAGATGAGGACGAGGACGTCAAGCCCGCCGGCCCCTTTGACCCCACAGAACCGGGCCCTTCGGGTCCTCGTTGGGGCGACGGCGACGGCGGCAGTGGCCCCTCGGCCGGCGGCTCGGGCTCTGGCGGGCCCAGCGGCTCCTCCTCTGCCGACGCCGGTCGCAGCAGCAGCGGCACGGCCGAGGGCAAGAAGCGCGACTATGGTGGCGCACCCAGCAGTGGTCGTCCATCGGCCGGCAAGAAGCGTGCCATGGGTCCGTCCGACGGCGCCGACGCTACGACGCCCGGCGACAGCAGCATGCCAGCCGGCCTGGTCGCTGCCGAGTCCACTTCGCCCTCCTCGGCCTTCACCGGAGGACTGCGCATGGGTCGCTCCATCTCCGCCACCGGGCCTGTGCCGCTCGTCGAGCGCCGCAAGCTGCGTGCCGCACTGGTGCAGCGCCATCGGACCAGCGATGTCGGACCATCGACGCAAGGCTCTGCCTATGCTCAGCAACACCAGCTGCACCATGGTGCCTTCTACACCTCGTCCTCGTCGGCTGAGTTCGCCATGCCCGACTCGCGTCCGCCCACAGCACCGGCTGCGCAGAGCTACATTGGCCTGCACGACGAGCCGATGTTCGGCGCGCACGCTCGGCACCACACCTACCCGCACCACGGGCAACAGCAGCAGCAACAGCAAGGCACCTTCTCTCCGCCTCGCTTTGCATACAGCACGCCCGACTCGCTCTCCAGCAGCGGTCACCCATCGAGCACCAGCGCCAGCGTGAGCGCGCCCGAGACGAGGCCGCAGACGATGGCTGGCGGTGAGGTCTTCCACCATCCGCAGCAGCAGAGCCACTCCTACATGCACCTCGCCGTCAGCGGCAGCGGCTCGCATGCCCACTCGCACGCACGCGCATCGGCCTCATTGCCAGGCAGCCTGGGCGGCCACTGGCCGACTCGTGATGCTCGGCCTGAGGGACAGCAGCAGCAAGGCCAGCTCAACTACCCGGCGTCGGCACCGCTCGACGCACCCTACACATCTCGTGCCGGCACTCACATGTCCGGCTCGAGCTGGGAGCAAGCTCGCTATGCGGAGCAGCAGCAACAGCAGCAGCACCAGCAACAGCTGCCACACCAGGCAGTGCTGCGTCAATACCCGCAGTACACGGCCTATGCTCGTGGCCTCGTGCAGCAGGAGCAGGAGCGCCAGATGCAGCAGCATCAGCAACCGCAGATGCACTCTTCCGGCCTTGCGCAGCAGCACTCGGGCAGCATCGAGATGCAGGAGCAGGAGCAGATCGACGCTGGCAGGGCACGCACCCTCGGCCACTACGAAGCATCGCGCAGTGCCGCTGCCTATCGAGTGAGTATCAGACCTGACTCTGACCCCGCTGCCGCCATGCTGACCTCATCTTTCTCAGGCACTGCACAGTCCGCTCGAGCCATACCCATCCCTCGCCGCGCCCTCGGGCTTAGGAAGCATGCTGGCGCACGGCGCTGCTCCGCCTTTCTACGACGCCAGTGCCGGCGACACGCACGCCGGTCGATCCGACGAGAAGTGGAGCTCTCAGCAGCACGCACAATCGGGCCGCTCCTACAGCTGCACCTCCTCCTCCAGCGCAGCTGGCGGCTCGGACGTCGCCATCACGCCATCCTCCTACCACGGCAGCGGCGAAGGTGCGCCCACGACGTCGACTACGCCAGGCATGAGCAACGCCGAGCTCGACGTCCTCATCGGCTCGGTGCTCTCGCACACCACCGCCTCGGGACCCTCGCCTGCGGCCGTCGCTCGTGCCGCACAGATTGCCGCGCTGCCGGCTAGCGGCATGAACAAGACTCCGCCCAGCGACGTCGATGCTCCGCCCTCGTCGTCCTACGGCTACGCTGTCATGTGACTGCCGGTCTTGCCAAGCTTGGCCGCTTGCATCTAGGGTCTCTCACTATTCGAGCCGCAGCCGATTCTTCGCAGCCTGCCCTTCGCTCAACAGCTCTTCGCTTCATCTTATCGTCTCTTCTCGCTCTGCTCTTTCCTAGACCTCTCGCAGCGCACGTCGGCCGCCACGTCATCATTCCGCTTCGTCCTCTTATCCAAGCACAGTCCATCCAAGCTGCTGTATCTGCTTCTTCCCGCTGCGCGCCTCAGTCATCATTCCATCATATCGCCGTCACGCCCTGGGCCATCTTATCACACGTCTCATTCTCACCTGCCTGTACGCCCCTTCACTGCGCGCGCGTCATCGCCTCTTCATCGTCTAACTTTCAATGCACTTAGACTCTCTCCACACGGCTGAGCACACACTGGCTTGACTGACGCGGTGTGGCATTCAGAGGAAAGCACGGCGAATAAAGATACAGCGGGCCGCTCTCGACCGCGCGACGAGGCGAACGGGACAGCGGCGCCGCAGGGGCCGGAGGCCGTGGGGGGAATAGAGAGCGGGAGGGGGTAACGAATGTGTGGGTGCTCGGGTCGCCCTTACGTGCGCTGACGCAGGTACGACGAGAGCGACTGCAGGCTGCTGCGGCGCAGCTTGGAGTGGCGGCGCGCCATGTCGGCCAGCGACGCCGACGAGCTCGACTTGGGCAGCTTCGGCTCCTTCTGCTGCTGCTGCTGCGTCGAGGTCGGCATGGGCGGAGCCGGAGCTGCGTCGCGACGAGACTTGGTGCTGGGCGTCGCGAGCGACATGGCGCGCAGACGCATGAACGAGCCCGTGCTGGAGCGCTTCGAGGCGCGCTTCGACGTCGTGGCGGCGACCGGCTCGGCGGCAGGCCACATTGGCGGCGCAGAGGCCGGCTGCTCAGCCAGGCCGAGCGCCGAGGGCGGCGCAGCGCCACCGCGCGCCATCTCGGCCTTCCAGACGTGCGCGAGGTTGACGGGCTTCTTGTTGCCGGTGCGTGCGCGGACGTCCTTGTTGAGCCAGTCGCGGTACTCTTCTGCCGCTGCGTCGTCGGCAGCAGCGAGAACGATGCAGCCGATGCCCGACTCGCTCTGCTGCAGCTGCGGCTCCCGGCGAGTCTCTGCCGCGCCAGGAGCATCTCGGACGGGTGCCTTGGCGGAGCCGCCGAAGAAGCGGCGCAGCGCTTTGCGGATGCGGCTGACCTTCTCCGGCGAGATCGGCTGCGAGCCGTTGATCTCCACGCGTGTAGAGTCGCGCGAGAAGGTCGAGCACAATGGGATGGGCGACAGCGGGCTGGGAGCCAGCACGACGGGCTGCGTGGCGCTTGCGGTGATGCCTGGACCACGTGCGGTAACACTTGGAAGCGGGCGCGACGTGTCCAGCGGCGAGACGCTGCGTGACGGCGGCGGCGAAGACAGCATCGGCTCCGACAGCATGCGCAGCGGCGCCATGCGCGGCGAGATAGCGCTGGGCGAGCTGCTGAGCACCACAGCAGGCGAGCTGGCAGCCAGCTGCAGCTTGGGACGCGTGACGACAAAGTCGGGCGTCGTGGGTGTGGCTGGCGGGCTGGTCGACGAACGAATGCTAAAACGCCTCGTCGAGCCATCTGTGCTGGCCTCCTCGAAGGCGCGGAATGGACGTGCAAAGTTCAGGGTGCAAGCCTTGGCGGTGACGATGGTGGCGGAGAAGGCAGTGCCGGAAGCAGGAGGATCCATCGCCGGGCTCGCCGGGCGCGGAGGCTGCGATGAGCGGCGCTTCTGCACACTCTCGCGCGCCAGCGGCGTAGCGCTGCGCGAGACAGGCGAGAAGGCAGGGCGCGGCGGTGGAGACGGAGCATCGGCGAGGGCGCGCAGAAGGTCTGCGTCGGTCGATGCCGGCGTGACCTCGAGCTGACCATCGTCGCCCGACATTTGCCGCACGGCGCGAGCCTTGGCCAGGGCGTCCTCGAGCGACATGCTGCCACGGCGACTCATCGAGCTGCCGGAGCGCGGAGGCAAGTCGCCCGCCATGCTCAGCGGCCGGAAGCCCTGCGGCATGCTGCCGCGATGCAGGCGCTTCGAGGCCGCCTGCAGGTCCTCGGCCGTCGTGTCGGTGCCTTGGCTGCGTCGCCGCGAGCTGCCGCTGGCTCGCCGGCTGCCGCTGACGGGAAAGGGGCGGAAAGGCACTTCGGGGAACAGAGCGCTCGGGCTGCCAACTGGTGCCGTCTCGCGCATCGAGTCGATCGAACCGACGCTGCCGCGCTTGCTCGTCGGCGGCTGGAACTGCCAGGCCGGCTGGAAGGCCGAGGCCGCGGCGGCGCTTTGCGGCGTCACGGAGCCGTGCGTGCGCGAGGCGATACTCCGGCTGGACGTGGACGCAGCGTCGTAAGCGTCACGCATGGAGTTGGCGGACGCGCGCCGGGCAATGATGCGTGCTCCTTCGACGGTCATCGGCACTCGCACGTCGCGCGGTGCGGTGAATGGCGAGGCACCGCGCCGGTCGCCGCCGTAGAAGGACGCGAGCGTGTCGTTGCGGATGCGCTGGCCAAAGGACGGCGAGATCAGGTACGACTGCCGTGCCTCGCGATGCGGTGCAAACGTCTCGCCATCGTCGTCATCGCGCTCACGCATCCACGTGCGTGCGGTGAAGGGCGCCAGCGGTGCCCGCTCCTTGCGAGTAGACTTCGTCGTCGAGACATCGAGATCATCCGCTGGAGAGCTGGGCGCCGAAATGGAAGCCGACGTGGCCGAGGAGCGGTCGTCGCTGCATGTCGAGAGATCGCCGGATGAGTACTGCGAGTCCTCGAACGACGACGTGATGTCAGAGCGAGACGTGTCCGACTCCTTGCTGCGCCGCTGCATCTCGGCCTGGCTGTTGAAGTACGACGTGGAGAAGCGGCGCGAGGGCGACGTCTGCTTGCTCGCCGGCGGCGTGGACGTGGTCCACGGCGGGCTGGCGTGGTTGGTGTTGAACGGCCCGGACCGCGCCGGAGAGGCCAGTTGCAGCGGCAGCAGGCTGGACGAGCTGCCCACACGGCGCACACCATCTGCGGTGCCCGGACGCCGCGCCTGAGAGGCGCGGCCGCTGTGCAGCACGGCCGCCGTCTGCAGCACAGCTGCCGACTGCAGCTGCGCAGCCGCCTTTGGCCGCTCGACGTAGTCCCACGTCGACGACTGTGGCCGCGTGCGGTTGGAGCTCGAGTAGCGCCGTGAAGCATCTGCCTTTGCGGCGGCCGGTCTGCCCGTCGTGTCCACCGCACCGCCGCGTGGCAGCCACGAGGGCGCGTCGCTGGCAATGCCGATCGACGAGCTGCGCCGAGCGTGGCGCTGCTGCTGCGGCCCTGACGAGCTGGCGGCTGCGAACGTGGTCACGTCTGAGCGAGGCGAGCGTGCCAGGCTGGCCTGCCGTCCGCGCGGCGTGGCAGCGACGGCAGAGTGCGGCATGATCGTCTGGGCGCTGCTGCCGCTCGAGCTGCTGCTGCCCGTGGCCAGGCTGTCGGAGCTGATGCGCGGCGCTGCGGCCATGAGCGCGCTCTCGCCGAGGCTGAGGCGCCGCCGAGCGAACGCTGCGGGCGAGTGCGCCGCTGCGGCCGGCAGAGCGCTGCTGCTGGCGGGCGAGAGCGGCGCTGCTGCGGCGAGGACAAGCGAGCGGCGCTGCATGCCGCGCGGCGCAGGCGCCACGGCGGCGGACATGGCGCAGAAGCGCGCGCGCGAGGAGAGCAAGAGTGCTGCTAGCTGCGGATGGGCAGCGCTGTGCGCCACAAGGATTGCGAGAGAGGAGCGGATGCGAGGGAGCGGCGAACTCTACGCGTGCGCCCAGCGAGCTCTCTACGCGAGGCGGCGCGTCTGGCGCACGCGGATGCACGCGCGCAGCGGGACGGCGCGGAGAAAGGCGCGCAGCGCGGGGGCGTGCGCGGCGAGAGGGCGGTGGTGGTGCGGGTGGTGGTCGTGGAGACAGAGGCGAGAGCGACGGCGGGCTCGGCTCTGCCTGTGCGGGCTGATGAGGGTGCGGAAGGGACGGAGCAGAGGAGAAGCAGCAGCGGGCCGCTCGGTCGGCGGGCGAGGGCAGGGAGAGATATAAGGGAACATCGCCGAGCAGCGCAGGCGGCAGGCACGGAGAGGGTGGGCGGCACCGGGCCCCCTCCGCGCGCGCGCGCACCCAACGGCCGGCACAGGCACGGCGCCCGTGTCGCGGCGGCGCGCGCAGGCTCAAATTGGCAGGCGGCAGGCGCAAGGGGTGCAGCGGCGAGAAGAGGTGCAGCCGCGCGCCGCCGGCATCACGCCAGTCTTGCGCGCGCTGTGGCGCCTTCGCGCCGGCGGGGGCGTTGCGCCGCGCCTGCGCCTGCGCCGCTCGGCGCTCACACGCTCGTCGTCGTCGTCGTCCAGGGAGGCCCCCATCGCGAGCCTGAGATGCTCACCTGCGCCACGCCTCAACACCACCGCGCAGCGCGAGGCACGCACGGCACAGACACGCCTGCTTCGAGAACGCTGTCAGCGAAGCTGCGGGAGCGTGTTGTGGCCGTGTCTTGCGGTGCTGGGCGACCCTCGGAGGGTGCGCCGCGCTCGACGGACGAGACGGGGCCGCGAGGGTGTGGCGGCCGATGCCTGCATCTCGCAGCTGGACAGCACCCGGCGCTTGCTCGCAGCGGCACTGAGCTGTCGCTGCTGCCGGGAGGGCGCGCAGCCAGGGCTTGTGCGATGGAGAGGGCAGCCGCTGCTGCCTCCGAGCCAGCATGCAGGGAGGTCAGGCAGCGCACCAGCGGTAGCCCAACGGCTTGGCTGCTGCCTCGTCTCGCGCGGCACCCCTCCGTCACGCAGGACACAAGACCCGGCCGGCCGGAGCAGGTTCCGCGATGGAAGCGCCGCCTGTGCCGCGGCGATGGAAGGGAGGGTGCGCCGCATCGTCGGGCCGGAGGCGCCGCCTGACCTGCGACGGCGGTGCGCCGCTGCGGGACGTGCAGGCGCGGGAGCGCTGCGGCTCGTGGGCGCCGCCTTGTCCGTCGCGACGCGTCCATCAAGAAGGACGTGGCGCCATCCTGCGCCTCGGAGCGGAGTTGCAGCGCAGGTCCACAGACGACGGCTGCCGCTAGAATCTCGCTGCACCCCCAGCTGGGGGCAGCTGAGCTGCGGCACAGGCGGCGCCGGCGCCGGCTTGCGGCGCAGCATGCAGACGCTGCTCGTCATCTCGCCGCACGGCTCCCGTCATGCCCCCATGCGACGGCCGCAGCCGCAGCAGCGTGCGGGCAATTATGTCCCGCTGTTCGGCACCAGTGCAGGCACCGGCAGAGACCAGTGTGCGAGGGAGGAGCCGATGATCCACTCCGCCATGCGGGCGCCCGCCCGCCGCTGGAAGCTGTCAGCATCGGCCGCAGCGGTCGTCTCCGCAAGATGTACCGGGCCACCACGACAGACCTCGCTGAAGTTGGCAGTTTGGTCACGGACCGTTCGGAGCGTCTCGTGCGCGGACATGTTGCATGAGGGCTCCTGCAGGCTGTGCAGGCGAGCGGCGAGCCCTCGCCTTGGCGGTGCCAACGGGCGGATCGCGCGCCCGCTCGCCGTCGCAGCGTCACGAGTTGGCCGTCGATATCGCATCCGGGACGCCACCTCCGGCTGATCCTGCTCGGCAGAGTGATCGTAAGATGCATTGATCCGCCCTTCGCTGCATGGAGGCAAGCAGGCGTCGCTGCGGCGGGTGACGTGTGCGGAGGGATCGTCGTGCCGCCTCCCCGGGGCGGCGCAGAGGCGGTGCGGCCAATATCCACCAGGCGCGCACGAGGACCCTGTCATGCGCCGCGGTGGCGCTCGCCCACCCGAGATGAGGCTGCCCTCGCAGCGAACCTAGCCAAGAGCAACACGCAGCGCAGAGCTGCGATGCAGCGAAGCAGCGAAGCGTGGCTGCAGCGCGGGCCGGCTCGTGGGACGCACCACGCGCCGGAGGCAGCAGCAGCGTCCGGCGCTAACGCCGCAGCCGAGGCGCGTGGGTGCTGCACCCTGCTGCATGCACGCCGTGCAGCGCTGCAGCCGCGGCGCTCGGCGGCTTCGACGCCGACGGCGCAGACGACAGGCAGGGTCCGACGTCCGAAGCCCTCCCGCTTCTACGTCTCTGCACCGCTGTTGCAGCGCTCAGAGGTGCTGCTGCTGCGCTCGGCGGAGCTGTGCCGCCTGCGAAGCACGCCGCAGCATGCGCGCACCCGCAGCCGCCGATGCAGCTCAGGACAACGTCCGCCAGTCCGCTCGACGGCGGCGCCATGCGCGATGCGCAGCGCAAGCAGCAGCGCGTGGGAGCCAGCGCCATCACACCCCTTGCGCAGGCGTACCGGCCGGCCATGTGCCGGCGCCAGTGCAAGGGCTCTCAGCCTTGGGCGTGTGCTGCGCGTGCCGTGGCGCATCCACGTGTGGCGCCATGCTGCGAGGCCTGCAGGCGCCAGCGATGCCTCGACGGGCCAAGGAGCATACGTGGTGCATGGGACGGAGGACGCGCATTCTCGACGGCGTGCTGTGGCGCTGCGAGGCGAGCAAGGAGCGGTGCCGTGTGGCGGCGCGGTGGCGTCACGTGCGGGCAGATCCGCGCGGCGGGCGTGGGAGCAGCGGCGCGGGAACAAGTCGCGCAGGTCGCGCACCTTCGGCGGCATCGGCGGCGCGCCGTGAATCCGCGGCACAGCACCGCACGCTGCCTGCCGCTGCTCCACCATCGCCGCGATCAGCCACGCGCGTGCCGCACCTCGCATTCCTCGGGCCGCTCGCCCCTTCCTGCATCGCATCCTCACGCCGCAGCGTGACATCCGCCGCCGCTCCGAGAAAGCGCTAGCTCGCCTGCGCAGCCTTGCTCCCACGCACGCATCTCCGCCTCCACTCCGTGTCCTGCGGTAGCCACCGGCAGCTCCGCACGCCGTCGCCCCACCGCACCCTCGGGCCCGCGCCGTCGTCGCTGGTACACGCCGCCGCCCCAAATGTCCGGCGGCTCGCGCCACATGTCGGCCATTCCGGCCGAGGAGCTGCCGATCCTCGAGGCGCTCATTGGGTGCGTCTCTTGGCAGCAGGTGTGGCGCCGCTCGTCCCACTCCCGCTGATCTTGCCTCCACGCCGCAGCATCCGCAACCGCCTCACAGCGCTCAAGAAGGACTCGAGCGAGTATATCCGGCCGCAGGATGTGCAGCATCTGTACAAGGAGGTCATCAAGCAAGGTGTGCCCGGCTGGCGTGCGATTGCTACAGCTCGGCCGCTCATGCTATCTTCTCGCCTGCAGTCACCCGGCTGAACACAGTGCGTGACGAGGCGCTGGCCTCGGACCCATCGCTGGCCGAGGGCCTGCGGACCTCTGCCTCTTCCTCGTCTCGCGGCGGCGGCGAGCCGGGCGGCAGCGGCGAGGTGGACACGGCGGCACTGCAGAGCACGAACCGCGTCGACACGACGCTCAACGACGTGTTTAGCCTGCTCTCGCTCTTCTTCCTCACGATCGGCAAGAGCCGCGAGACGCCTGCCACGTTCAGTCAGCTGGGATGCATGAAGGTGAGAGAACTGTTGATATCTGCGTCTGTCTCCCGCCGATGCTCATGACGTGCCCTCTCAGCAACTGCTGGACCATCTGGCAGAGTCGGGCATCTACACCGAGGGCGATCTGCAGCCCTTCTCGAAGCGCCTGACGGAGCTGCGCGCCATCGTCAAGCGCGATGCAGATGCAGGCAAGCACCCAGTGCAGCTGACCAAGCTCATGATGCGCAAGCTCGAGGGTTGCGGTGAGTGCTAGGCCTGTCATGCGATGAGATGGGTGTGCCACGTGCGCGCATGGCAGGATGTTAGGGCAGCGCGCGATCTGGGCGCATGATGCAAGCCAGGCCGCGCGGCTCAGAGCCGCGCTTACGAGGCCGTATGCTGATGCTCGTGCGTCGTGATCGCAGAGAAGGTGCTGCGCACCCTCGAGGGCACGCTCTCGGTGCTCTCCGTCGAGCTCGTGCCGATCCACCAGCGCCTCGTCAGCGTGCGGCGGCAGATTGCGGCGGCCGCTGCCACGCCCAAGCTGCCGCGGCAAGAGATCAAGACGCTGCAGGAGGAGCTTCGCAAGATCGACTCGTGAGTCTCCTGCAGCTCATGACTTACGCGCGCCACGCTCACATTCTCTCCTCCTCCAGCAAGCGGGTGGACGGCAAGTTCCTGGGCCCAGGAGGCTCGTCTGTGCCGGCAGGCCAAGCGATCCTCGTCGGCATTCTCGAGGACTGCTTCGAGATCTGCCATGACATTACCGTGCGCAACGACCAGGTGCCGATGACGCTGCAGCCGATCTACGACCGCCTCTCCGAGATCAAGGGCCAGCTGGAGCATCTGGTGCTCACGCACCGCTGGACGCTACGCGAGACGGATCTGTGGAACTACCAGGTGACGCTCAAGGAGATTGACCGCCTGCGCGTCGATGGCAAGTTTGTCGACAGCGAGGGCAAGCAGCCCGAGGGCCAGCTGGTGAGTACATGTATCGGAGACTGCAGCGCGGGCGCCTCGCTGATGTGCTATACAGGTACTCCTCTACCTGCTTCGTCGCTGCTACGGCCTGATCTACCGTCTTGTCGCCTCCTCCGAGCCCATCTCCGAGGAGCTGATGCCGATCAGCAACAAGCTCTCCACAGTGTCCAAGTGTCTGAAGGAGGTCTCCAAGTATGGCGGGCCGTTTACGATGCGCGATCTGTACCCGTACCGGCTGGCACTGCACCAGATCGACGGCATGCGTCGGCCTGTGCTCGACGCCGAGGGCAACGACACGGGCGTCAAGAAGTGGCTGGGACGCGACAACACAGTCCCAGAGGGACAGGCGATTCTCAGGGCGCAGTTCGAGGAGGTCGAGCAGACCATCAACGAGAGTGAGTGCAGAGTCAAGCGTGCGTGAAGCGATGCAAGGCTGATGGCTGGCCTTGTACTGCAGTGCTCAACCGGGAAGAGGAGGACGACGACGACGATGAAGACGAGGACGAGGATGATGAGGACTGGGAGGGCTCAGCCGCGAGCGGCGACGTGAGCGAGTCTGGCTCGCTGGACAGCCGTTCCGTCGGCGAGGCTTTCTCCAACGACGCCAGCTCTCCGGCGCCATACGATCACTCGAACCCCTTCGCATCGGCCGGTACTTCTGGCCTCGTCTCGCCTGCTTCTGCGGCACTAGCTGCTGCGCATGCTGCAACGACGTCTCCGCCGCCGCCTTCCGCAAGTCAAGTCGCCGCTTCTCTCGCTGCCGGGCCTCGACTCGCGCCCGCATCCTCGGTTCTTCCGCCCGGAGCTGCACCGCTGGCAGTGCCCAGCACGCTGGCGCCGCGAGCACCGAGCGACATTCCGGTGCTTGCTGGTCTCACTGCGCGCGAGGGTGAGCCGGCGGCTGTGCCCGCGGTTGGATCACTCCCGCCGGAGGGCGCTACGAGCATCGAGATGCTCCAGGCTCAGCTCGCAAAGGCCGGCATGCAGGACTCGGCTTCGCCGCCGTAACAGCCGTAGCTAGATTTCGATACATCACCCACCTCTCTCTCACCCCTTTTCCGCGTCACCTGACCTCGACTCCTTCTCCCTCTCCCACGCATCCCACTCGGCGGCACTCCAGGCCCTCTCCCCTCCTCTCTTTCTCAGCGCCGCCGCTCGGGGCGTACCACAAAGCGCATTTGCATAGCCTCCTCCCTGCCTGACGTGTGACGTTGCGGAGGCACACGGAGCGGAGTCTGAGTCCAGCGCAGTCTGTGTGCCGAAAAGCTCTCGCATGCGAACGCCATGCTGCCGATCGATAGAGCTTGCGCACGGCGAAGACTGCTCGATGAGCATGAGGCTGTGCCCCGTCCCAGACCGGAGCCGGCTCGGCTCGGCATGGCAGGTCAGAGTCGCGGCAGAGTGTCGGAACAGCACGTCACGCATGAGGCTGAGATGGAGATGCTCGGCATCGGTGGACAAGGGGCAAGGAGCGCAGGGTGACGGGCCCTGCCCCCTCCACCTCGGCGCACCGTGCCTGGCCGAGCGCGAGCCGTCAGGGCCCTCGCGCTGCCTCACTTCTCCGTTCGCCCGCGCCTCGGCAGCCTTGCAGCGCCGAGAGTTGAGTGAGGTTGTCAAGCGAGAGCTCTTGCTCGCTGCTCTGCCTTTGAGCCCTGCAGCTGCTGCTGATCTGCGGCATATGGCGATGTGCGCGGCATGAATGGGAGAGGTCAGGCACCGCTGCGAGGCTGCGAGGTCCCCTTTGTGAGCGGCGGCGAGGTGCGGCGCCCGCCGCGCGCCTCAGACGACGCGCCCTCTTGATGCGCCGCCTGCGCTGCGCGTTGAGGTGACGCGTGGGACGGGCGAGCAACACCTTGCGCCGCGGCGTCTCGCCCCCTCACGAGCGTTCAAGCCGTCCGCTGCCGTGCTGCCTCAGCGCTGCAGCAGTGCCGAGCCATGCAGCATCGGTGGATGTTGGACGACGCCACGCGCCGCGGAGGCGAAGGCCAAGCGCACGTCCGGCGCCGCGCCTGTGTCTCTCCGGGCGGTTCCCTCCACTCGCCTAGCCTGCTCGCTGCGCAGGTACGGCGCGACTGCTCGGAGGTGCGCTGCATCAAGGACGGCGAGCGACTTGCTGCATCAGGCCGGAGCAGCATGGCAGCACAGCGCGCAGAGGCTGGCCTGACGAGCATGCGGCGGAGGCGGCAGGGGAAGGCACCGCTTGGCCCTTGGCCCTCGCGCTGCACCTGCCCAACGCAGCCGTGTGCTTTGTCGTGCAGCTCCGCCGTGTTGAGGGTGCGTCGAGTGCATCGCTCCTGCGCTGCGGTGCTGACGCTGGCAACGCTGCTGCTGTACTGCTGCTGGAGCAGCCGCTGCTGCGCCGTGTTGCCCGCCAGCACAAAGTCGCCGGCAAGGGCATGCCCGGCTGGCACAAAAGGAAGGCGCGACCGTTGGGCCCCTCCGCTGTTCCCCCACGCCCGCCGTCACCCTCGCTTCTTCGCTTCCTGCCTCCATCTCCCCCTCTCCCAGCGGCCCAGTGCCCTGACATCCCGTCTCTCGCCCTCGTCCGTCGTCTGTGCTGTGCACATCGGCCATCCCTGCTCGAGCGCCCCACACTCTCTTCTCTCTCGCCCGCCCATCTCAGAGACTGGCTCTCTCCCTTCCGCTCTTTTCGCACCTCTCTCCTCCTCCGCACGCAACCCCACTCTCACCATGCGTCTCCCCTTCGTGGTGCTGGCCCTTGCCGCCGCCCTTGCCTCCTCGACGGGAGCTGTGCCGCTCTCCGACGAGCTGGCGGGCGGTGCGGCCGGTGCAGCTGCTGCCCTTGCGCGCGCACCGGCGCCGCTGCGGCCCTCGCACGCCGCACGCCACGTCGCCTCCTCTCCCACCTCCGCTCCTCTCGCCGGCGCAGCGGCTGCTGCCCCGGCCTCGCTGGGTGCACGTCTGCTGAGCCTGCTCGGCAACGAGCGTCGCGCCGCCGTCGCCGGCGTGCGCCGCTCGGCGTCGCCCAAGAAGCACAAGCGCGGCACGCACGCCAAGCGCTGTGCGGCCTCGTCGTCGACGGCGTCGACGAAGAGCGCCTCCTCCACCTCCTCGGCGGCCATGACGACGTCGACGGCACTCCCGCCGACGCAGAACGCCGCCACGCGCAAGCTCGTCGCCGGCGGCTACTGGGCCGACTGGACGGCGGGCACGCTGCCGCCCGAGTCGATCGACTTTTCCAAGTTCGACTTCATCAACTACGCCTTTGGCACGCCGAACTCGGACGCGACGATTACGTTCAGCAGCGGCACCTACTCGGAGAGCCTGCTCAAGCGTCTCGTCACCGCCGCGCACAACGCCAACTCCAAGGTCGTGCTCTCGCTCGGCGGCTGGGGCAACTCGGGCGGCTTCAGCGGCGCCGTCGTCAGCGACACGCAGCGTGCCAAGTTCATCCGCAACCTCGTCGCCATGCAGGCCAAGTTTGCCCTCGACGGCTTCGACTTTGACTGGGAGTACCCGAACAACGTGCAGGGCGCCACCAACCGGCCCGAGGACACGCGCAACCTGCAGACGTTCCTCGTCGACCTGCGCGCCGCCGTGCCCAAGGGCACTATCCTCTCCGCCGCCGTGCCGCACCAGCCGTGGCTCTCGTCGGCCGGCGCTCCGGTCGGCAGCGTCGCCCGTGCCGCCACCGCGCTCGACTACATCGTCATCATGAACTACGACGTCTGGGGTGGTGAGTCTGACTGAGGCGCGCACCGCTGCACACCAACTAACCTTCCCTCTTGCGCAGCCTCGTCGAAGCCTGGCCCGAACGCACCGCTCGGCAACCTCTGCGGCAACTCCACTCAGCCCGCCGCCTCCGCCGCGGCCGGTGTCAAGCAGTGGGCAGCAGCAGGCATGCCTCGCAGCAAGATGCTCCTCGGCATCCCGGCGTACGGCTACATCAACACCTCCACGCGTCGCAAGCTCGTGCAGCGCGACGAGGAGCTCGCGGCGCCCAACCTCTTCTTCGTGCGCGACGAGGAGGAGCGCAACCCCATGAAGCGCGCTGCTCCGGTGACCAACCTCGAGGGCAACACCAACGACGGCCAGGTCAACTTCAGCGGCCTGCTCCGTCAGGGCGTGCTCACGGCCAAGAGCGACGGCTCGTTCGTCGCTGGCTCCGGATGGACCAAGTACTGGGACGACTGCTCCGACACGCCCTTCCTCTCCGACGGCAACAAGGTCATCACCTACGACGACACCTTTTCGCTGTACGACAAGGGCGCCTTTGCGCAGCAGGCCGGCATCGCCGGCGTCAACATGTGGTCGATTGACGGCGACACCAAGAGCTGGAGCCTGATCAACTCCGCACGCAAGGGCATGGGCCTCAAGTAGTGGCCACACTCGCGCGCATCCAAGGACAAAAAGGCGACGTGCAGGTTCGGAGCAGAGGCGGCCGTGTCCGCCCCACGGTCGTCTCTCGACTTCGCAGCCTTGCTTCCCGCCACTCCTTTGCCTCCTGCCCCCACCCGCGAACCCCACTTACTTACAGTCCCGTGCCGCTTCTTCCTTGCGTGTCCTTTCCCATAGAGCTCTTCTCCGTCGTCTCTCCAGCGTCACCTATACATCACCCGCGTCCCCCGTGTCCTCCCCATCGTCTCGTGTCTCGTGTGTCTCCTCTGCGCGACCTCTTTTCTTTCTCTCAGCGCGATCTCTGGGCCAAGCGAGTCGCTTGCTGCCTGCCTCTGGTCCTTCTGAGTCTCTCCTTGGAATGCCATGCCCGTGCTGTCAATCTCGTCTGATCTGTCTCGAGCCCGAGTGAGCTCCTCCGTCTGTCGCCGACAAGACTAGACAAGCCCTGGCGTTGTACCACGCTCTCGCGAACTGGACGACGCCGGCAAGCCTGAGTCTCGCGTCCAAGCATGGCTGCTCACGCGCAACACACCAGAGGAGGACGCAAGAGCGTATGAGCATTGCGGACACGGCAGGTGATAGGGAACGGGTGATGTACAGTGACGAGATACCGGGCCGGGGGCATGCACAAGGATGTAAGGGTAGTAGGGTCATGATGCTGCGCGAGAAGGGGCCTTGTCGGTGCAGCTTTCGAGGCGTCGACGCTTACGGGCGGATGCCGACGTCGGTGCCCCAGCCGGGCGCGTTGAGCACGATGGCCATGAGCAGGCCCGAGATGAGGCCGGCGCAGGGCAGCGTGTAGACCCAGGACATGAAGACCCAGGCGAAGCCCTTCCAGTTTGTCGAGCGCCACGTGCCCTCGCACAGCGACACGGCGAGCGTGGCACCGGTGATGGACTGCGTCGTCGAGACGGGCAGGGCGAGGTAGGAGGCGAGCACGACGGTGATCGAGGCGCCGAACTCCATCGAAAAGCCACGCGACGGCGAGTGCAGCGTGAGGCGGTTGCCGAGCACGGCCATCATGCGCCAGCCGTAGATGCCGAGGCCAATCGAGATCATCGCGCCGCCGTAGACGAGAATCCAGATCGGCACGGGCTCGCGCGACGAGGGGAACTCGGCCGACGACCACACGCTGTACACGACGGTGAGCGGCGCGATGGCGTTGGCGACGTCGTTGGCGCCGTGTGCGAAGGAGGCCGTGCATGCGGTGAGAACCTGCAGGAAGGAGAAGGCGTGCTCGGCCTCGTTGTCGAAGCTAGAGGCGAAGCGTCAGCGAATGCTCGGCGTGTCGCTGCGGCGTGCGGCTGCTACTCACTGCTCGGCGTGGGCGTGGACGCGGCGGAGACGGAGAATCTCCTTCTCGCTGGCGCCCTGCGTGGCCTGGGCCTTGTGGATGTCCGTGCGCACACCGGCGGTGAGCGAGTGGATGAGCCAGGGAAGGGCGTTGTAGCGGAGCACGATGACGGCGTTCCACGGCTCAATGGCCGAGCCCTCGTAGTGGCGGTACTTGGGCGGCAGCGGGCGGCCGTAGCGGTCGTGCGTGGCGGACGAGTACTGCTCCTCGACGGCGGCGAGCGTGGCCGGGTGCTGCTCCGTGAGCTGGTCGACGGTGATCTCCTTGCCCTCGCCCGAGACATTGTCGTCCGAGTTGGCACGGTGCATGGCCTCGGGGTCCTGGGCCGGCGTCGGGTTGAACACGTCCTTGTCGTTGTGGTGGCCGAGGTAGTAGTCGGGCACGGCCATTTTCTCCTCGGCATCCGCCGGCGGCTGGCGGCGCCAGAGCAGGGGGCCGTAGAAGAAGTGCCACCAGCGGACGGTGTAGTCCTTGCGGATGACCTGCACGTAGAGCCAGGGCAGGTAGAAGAGCACCGAGAGCGCGCAGCAGACGGCGCCCGTGCCGAGAATGGCGGCGGCCGTCTGATTCGGCGGGAGCTCGTCGAGGTTCAGCGACGGCGAGCCCTTGACGATGATCGACGTGGTGAGCACGCAGGGCACGACGAAGAAGAAGATCGGCGAGGCGAGCACGGCGAGCTTCTTTGGGTTCTTGCGCCGCAGGATGCAGAACTTGCACAGCAGGAAGACGATGGCGGCCAGGCCACCGGCGACGCCGGGAGCGATGAACCACGAGGCTGTGAGGGAGGTGTGAGCAAAGGTCAAGAGCCGCGAAGTGCCGAGCATGCTCACCGATGATCTGGGCAACACCGTTCCAGCCCCAGCGCACGGCACCGCCGCCGCCGACGGCAATGCCGACACCGATGATGGCGCCGATGACAGTGTGCGTGGTCGAGACGGGCATGCCGTTGAACGTGGCGATTGTCAGCCACGTCGACGCGCCGACGGTGACGCAGGTGAAGGCGAGGAGGATGACGCCGGCATCCTGGTTGAAGACGCGGATGTCGATGATGTTGTTGCCTGAGAACGACTGTCAGCGTCGCACTGGGGCGGTAATCAGCCTCTGGTGCTCACGGATGGTACCGGCGACACGCGCGCCGACGAGCACGGCGCCGAGGAATTCTAGAATCGCAGCGCCGAGCAGCGCCTGCTTGAGCGTCAGGGAGCGCGACGAGACGGACGTCGCCCAGGAGTTGGCGACGTCGTTGGCTCCGATCATGAAGCTGCGCAAGGAGGCATGTGTGAGCCGCCGCAGCGAGCACGCCGGCCGCGCTGTCACTCACGCATCGAGACCGGCGCAGAAGAGCGCGATCACGAAGAGGTAGGTAAACTCAGTCCACGCCATGTTGGGCTGAGCGAGAGGGTCGGAGAGGGTGAGAGAGGAGGACGGAGCTTGGTGTCGCAGCAGGAGGAGCAGGCCAGGCCAGCGTCTGCCTTATGAAGCCTCGAGCGGCTGCGTTGCCACCTGCAGCCGCCGGCCTGCGATCTTCCAGCGCCCTGCATCCTCAGCTCGCCTCGCAGGGCGACACCGACGACTTTTGCTCGGTGCCTCGCGGTGCTTGCGTGGCGCAAACGAGTTCTGCGGGTGCAGCATGCAGCAGGGAACGTGGGCAACGTGCGGAGACGACCTTGGCTTCGACGCACGCCCGCCACGGCAGCGGCTGCGGGCGGCGGGCGGCCAGGGCAGACAGAGCGGCGGCCCCGAGGAGGGTCCCTGCGCCCTTGCCGCTGCCGCGCGTGCCACGCCGCCGGCGCCGCGGACGCACTGCCGCTCTTCCCGCTGCGAGTGCCGTGCACTTTGGCGAGCGTGAGGAGTGATGCAGCGTCTCAGGTGCAGCACAGCGCCCTGCTGCCGCGGATGAGTGCGCAGGGCGCGAAGGACGAACGGCGGCGGGCGTGGTGGTGCAAGAGGCACGTACGCGGCGCAGTGCGGTGGGAGCGCCAAGCCTTGGCAGCACAGTGACGCGCGCTTGGGCCGGTGCCTGAAATTGTGCGGGCACTGCAGCAGTGTCGTGCGCGCGTACCACTGCCTGACAGCGCGCAGGTGACGTCTGCCGGCCGGGCACCTGAGCAGCGAGCGGCATCGCTCGGCCTCTTCCGATCGCGTCCAAGCCTCACGCCTCACCACGCCGTGCCGCAGCTGCGTCGCTCTTCCTTGCCGCCTCTCTCGAGCTCCCAGCTCGCTCGCATGAAGAGCGACGCAACGTGCGCCGAGCCGGGCGGCGCTTTCTTGCACCCTTGATCGGCGAAGCGCGGCTTCGCAGGGCTCCATGGCGCCGGCGGCAGAGGCGCTTCTCTCGAGGTGGCGCTGCTCGCTGCATGCTGCAGGAGGAGGGGCACTTTGCGCCCCTCTGGCGGCCGCGAGACGCTGCAGGCTCCTGGGCCAAGCTCGCTCCCTCGTCTCCTGCGCAGCACCAGCGCAAGGACTGTCAAATTCACGCCTCGCCCATCGCTTTCCGCCGTGCCGCACGATGGGGAGCATCGCCATCTCCCTCCTCGGAGGCGCGGCCTTCGGCACTCTGCCCGACCATCATGCAGCGGCGGCCATGCACCCATCTGCAGCATGCATAGGCAGATGCAGGCCGATGCCGAGCGCTGCAGCTCGCATCTCACACGAGCAGTTGAGGCGCAGGTCGTGAGGGCCGGCTTGCTCCGCGATGCCTCGCGCTCGCGCTGCCAAGCCCATGGGCGCACGTGCGCACCCTGCGCCGCATGACTTCAACCTCGCGCGCGCGCGCCGACGCCGGATCAAGATCGGCTTGGTCAGGGAGCAAGGCAAGGACGCCGCTCCGCTCCCCTGCTCCTCTCCTCGTCTGCTGCGATGCTCGGACCTTGACCGCTGCATGTGCAGCTACCGGCCATTAGTGCAGGCACACAGGCACAGGTGGCGCTCAGCAGGTGGCGGAGCACACGGCAGCATGCGGCAAAAGTCGCACCGCTCCAACCTTCTTCGTGCTCGGCAGCGTGCCCTCGTCCGCGAGACGGCATCGTGCCCTTTCCACGCTCGCACCGCTCATGCCCTATGGGAGGAGCGGCGAGAATGCCGAGAGTGGCGACTCGACGAAGCTGCTGCGTACTCACTCCTGCCGCCGCTGCCGCTGCCGCTGCACCTGCTACTGGCGCCCGATTGGCGCCGTCCTACTCACGGCTCGCAGCGCTCAGGGACGATGCATATCCGCATGAAGCCTCGGCGTGGCCATGCGCTCCACGCCACGCCGAGCCGGGCCGAGGCGAGCTGGGCGCTCCCCGAGCGCAGCCCAGGTGCGCTCGGCGCTTCCCGCCCAATGCTCGTCCTCGTGCGCACTTTCTCCGCGTCTGGGCGACGCCCGAGGGTCAAGGAATGCGGTGGCTTCCTGACGGCCGTTGACGGGACTAGCTCACCTCATGCACCCCGCTCACTGCCGGCGCCACCTGCCCAGGAGAGGTACCTCTGAGGTGAAGAGCGCCGCTCCGAATGCGAGGGAACGCCGCCGAGAGGAGCGCTTGACTGGGCGACCAAGGGCACGTGAGAGCGTCGTGTGATCTTCTCACCTGCATACAGCCAGTCGTGACACGCCGGACTGCAAGCCTGGGTGATGCAGCTGTAGTTATGCGACGAGAATGACAAATAGTGATAGGGGAATCCGGTGACTGAGGGAGAACTGATGGAAAGCGAGAGATCGCGACGTGGGTTCGCGCCGTTCCTGCATGGCAGGAAGGCACCTCAGACGCCGCCGTGGCCCTCGCCGGCATTGACGGCCGCCGTGACCGTATCGCCGAGAGCGAGGGCCAGCGCAAAGGTGAGCACAAGCAGTGCCTGGCCCACGACGTCGAAGAGCGAGCTGACGAAGGGCAGCGAGTAGATGTCTGCGCGCAGTGTCAGGTGAACATGTCGTGGCGCCCTCGTGCTGCCGACTCACCTGGATCATAGTCGCGCGCCCAAAGCGCCAGCGTGATGAAGTGTGCAATGGCCAGCGCGATGGCAAAGCCAGCAGCGCCAATGACGACGAAGCAGAGCGCAAAGGGCCAGCCGAACGTCATCTGTCCAGACAGCCAGACGACGAGCAAGAAGAGCGTCTCGATGCCTGCGCCAATGGCGAAGAGCGTGCAAGGCACCAGCCAGCCCTCCGTCGGCGGCGGGAGGAAGGCTTGCAGGCGCGCCAGCGAGAGCCTGGAGGGCGCTGCGCCGACCCTGGGTGGCCGTCGTGGAGGCGAGAGGTTGGCGGCGACTCCCTTGCCAGAGTGCAGAGCCGTCGAGGTACGCGAGACGAAGATGGCAGCGCACGCGCCGGGCAGGCCAGTCACGACTGGCCCTAGGAGAGCAAAGCCCTCGAAGCGCTGCACGAACGTGTCAAGCAGCAGGCCCGCGCCGGACGAGATGAACATCGCGATGAGCAGTGGCACCCAGCCGCTGCTGAGCAGCTCGCGCACGTAGGCGTTGCGGTACGTCGCCACGAAGCATGACGCGCAGGCTACGACGAGCGCGGCAAGAATGACGGTGGCGAGCAGCGTGCCTTCGAAGTGCACGAGCAAGGAAGCCAGCAGACCCAGCAGCGTCAACGTCAGCAGATCGCCGAGCGATGCAGCCAGCGGACTGGCGATGTTGTCGGGATTGCCGCCCATGCGGCGCGTCACGACGACGAGCGCGCACATGAAGCTGCCGAGGATGGCGGAGGAGAGCGAGGCGGAGAGCATGCCTGTGGCGATGACGAGGACGAACTCGAAGTAGCCGTTGCGCAGCCGCAATGCCGGGTCGGCTGGCGGCTTCGGGTGCGGGTGGTGGTGAATGATGCGGCGCGGAGAGAGATGCGTGCTGCTCTGCGAGGCCGGCTTGCGAGCCATGACGCGCTGCAGCATGTTGACAGTACGAGGCGCCGTCGCAGCAGGTGCAGCTTCGGGCGTCATGACGCCCAGCACGAAGGCGAGCACTCCAGCAAACGAGGACACGATGAGCGCCTGCACCTGCAGCAGCGCCAGGTTGCCAAAGATGAGCGTTTCGCGCGTGCGTCGGACGTCTAGCTCGCCGATGTTGGCCTGCGCTGGTGTGAGTGCGAGAGAAAGCAAGGCGATGCGGCGAAGCTCACAGAGGTAGACATGCGCAGCGAGAGGTTCATTTCGAGGTTGCCCTTGAGATTGAGCAGAATGGGCACGAGAATGAAGAGCTTGTCGACTGCGCGGCTGTCAGTGGGTGAGAGAAGTGCTCTGAGCGCAGGCACGCACCTTTGATGAAGACAGGCCACCGCTGCAGCCAGATGGGACTTGTCAGCTGTGCGAGCGGGCTTGGACTTGCAAGCGCAACTCACTGCAATGTGCACCAGTAGCTCGCCGGCAAACATCAGGCTGAACACGGCAAGGATCAGGGTGGGGAGCGCCTGGCGTAGGGGTGGTCAGCATTTTGCCAAGCACACCTCAGCAAGCATCTGAGGCCCGGCGCCTCGGTGCTGCCGCAGCTGAGCGTATCACCGCGCCCGGCTTCTCGGACTCACCTCTCTGGCGATCTCCCACGACCGCGCCCAAGCGCCTCTTCCTTTCAGTCTCGCACTCCACCCTCCCGTCTCCCTGCGATCCTCAAAGTGTTCCGCCTCGCTCGCCGCCTCCCATTCGCCATCGCGATGCAGCGTGGCGCTCGACGGCGAGTCCGAGTCGGCGGCCGCGAGTGCCTCTACGTCTTGCCGCTGCGGTGCCTCGCCGGCCTCGCCCAGCAGACTGCGCGGCGTCGCTGCACCGGCACCAGTGCCGCGCATGCCGCCGCGCTCGTAGCGAGCCCGTCGAGCAGCGCGCTCGCTCTCGGAAGAGCGCCGTCCGACGAGACCGGCATCCTCGCGGCCTGACTGTGCCGCGTCGTCGTCGTCGTCAGAGTCGTCGTGGTAGGTGCGAGCGCCGTGTGCAGCGTCGGCGGGCGCGTCGAGCGAGAGGCGCGGCGTGTCGGCCTCGGGATCCGGCGGGCGAGAGGAAGTGGCGGGCATCGTGTGGCAGTTGGTGGTGAGAGGGCACACCCGACGAGCAGGTGATGGTGGGAGTGGGACGCCTGGCTGGTCACACGAGCGGACAGGAACGAGGCACGAGGGGGGCTGATGCGCGGCCAAACAGACGCAGCGGCCAAAGCACGGCGTGCTGCTGGCGGCGCTACGCCAGCGAGCGCGGCGCCGCCGCACCCTCGCCGCCGCGCCGCCTCCCGAGAGCCCCCTCGCTGCGCGCTGCTGCGGTCCGCTTCCGAACTGATAGCTTGCGCCAGCGCACCCGCCCCGCCGGATGCCGTCTGCGGCTTCCTGGCGCTTTCATGCAGCAGACGCCCGGCAGCAGAACACGAACGCAGGCTCTGCAGCAGGTTGCAGTTGCAGGCTCGCCCTCGACGCCCATCAGATGCAGCTGCAGGAGGGGAGCGAAGGCACGCCGGCAGTCTCGGAGCCCAAGCCCTGCGCGAGCCGCCGGGCGGGCAGGAGAGGCATGCGCCATGCAGCGCCTCTGCTGCGCGACCGCCTCTGCGCCTGGCCCCCTCCTCTGCGCGCCCTCGCGTGCCATTCCAGCACGCAGCCGGCAAACTCGGCCTCGTGCAGATGTAGCGCTCCGTCGGGCTGCTTGTGAGTCCCGAAAAGAGGAAGCGGCCGTGAGATGGCCAGCGCAGATGACAGCCCACGCCTGCTGCATGGCTCTCCGCTACGAGCTCGAGGATGGCCGCCTGCGCCGCGACGACCTCGCAGGTGCTCTCCTGTCGCCAGGCCCCAAAGCCCTCTCTGTCGCCGGCAAGGAACCTGTCAATGAAATTGTGGCCTCTGACGCCTTCCGAAGAGTGGTTATGTACCTGGAGATCGTCCTTCGAGCTTAGCTAGGAGGTCGAGATGGCCAGCAGGGGCGGAAGCACGCCCTCCTGGGCGCAGCGCCGGATTATCTTGATAGCGGGCGCGGCTCACGTGCCAGCCTCGGCCATCGCGCGTGCTCACCAGTCGCTCCCCAGAGAGGCAAAGCCAGAGGAGAGAGAGGAGGCGGGAGCACGTTGAGCCTCATGCTGAACTGCGCCAAGGCAGCGCAAGCTGTCATCAGGTGTGCCTCTCTCCAGGTACAAAGGGACGTCGCGCTTGGCCTACGGCCGAGGCAGAGGAGGGCGTGACAGGAGGCAGCGCGTCCGGCTTTCAAGCGAGCCGGCCGCTGCCGTGATCACGCAGCCGGGCGCAGCAGCGCAGCCGCCGGACCTCGCTTACGCGCGGCGCGCCGCGGCGCTCCCCCGCACTTGGGCAGCGCCGCACTAGGGTCTGCCACTGACCTAAGCTCCCCTCCACCGCTCGCTCTCCCCTCTCTCCACCACCACCTCTGCTGCTGCACACCTCCTGCTGCATCTCACCTCGCGGCCAGCGCCGTCCTCGTCTGGGCCGCCGTCCGCTCTCACACCCGCCTGCTGCGCCGCTCACTGCGCCGCTTCCCCGCACCCCTCCACACGCGCACCCGCTGCGCCGCCACCGCGCCTCCTGCCCGTCTGAGCAGCCGCTGCGCATCCAGCGCCGGCACAGAGACGCCTGCCACTGCTACGCTCCAGGTGAGTCTGAGCGGCCACGTCGCCCGCTGCTGGCCCCGCCCGGCGCAGCACTTCGCAGCCCATCAGCTGCTCACGCCGCCCGCAGCCCATCCGCTGCTCACACCGCCCGCAGCCATGGCGCCGCCCGAGATGATCCACATCCCCGACCAGCTGCCGGTGCTGCCGCTGCCCTACCCGCTCGTGCTGCACCCGTCGCTGCTGCTCAGCGTGCCGCTCTCGTACGCGCACTCGCTCAGCCTGCTCAAGGCGGCGCTGCAGGCGACGCAGGACCCGCTGCGCACGTCCGAGAGCGCCGCCAAGGAGGGCGGCGACTCGCAGCGCCCCATCATCGTCGCCTGCGTGCCGACGCTGCGTGTGCCGCCCGGCTCGGCAAGCCAGCAGGCCAAGCCGTCGTCGACGCGCGACGTGGCGCTCTCCGACGAGGCCGAGGACACCCGCGTGCGCATCAACGACCTCTACGACTGGGGCTGTGCCGCCAAGCTCGTGCGTCTCACGCGGCACCCGGCCAGCCAGACGTGCACGCTGCTCGTCACCGGCATCTGTCGCGTCCGCGTCGACCGCTGGCTCAGCGTCCGCGCGCCGCTCACCAGCACCACGCTCGACCGCAACATCACCGTGCCTGACATTCCCGTACCACTCGCCGCCATCACGACCTTCACCGACGACGCGCCCTTCCCGCCCTACAATGCGTCGTCCTCTGACATCGAAACAGCCAACACGCTGCGACACGCCGCCGAGGACATCCTCGACGCGCTGACGCCGCTCGTTGCTACCATCTCGCGCAAGCCGAGCGAGGCCGTGCCCGCCACGTCGACGCCCACCATGCCGCTGCTGCCGCCCGGCCTGCTGCGCCGCATCCGCACCTTCATCAAGGACGCACGCGAGGGCCAGGCCGGCCTCGTCGCCGACGTGCTGGTCGGCACGCTTGGCGGCGCATGCGAGTGGTCGGAGCGCGTGAGCGTGCTTGGCGAGTGGGACCCTCGGCAGCGTGTCAAGGCTGCTGCGTCTGTCCTCTCTGCCGGCGCAGCTCGCGTCCGTCTGGCACGCGAGCTGCTTGCTGCTCTCTCGGCACCGCTCGGCGGCGATACCAAGGAGAGCCTCGCTCGCGCCCAGCTCGAGACACTCCTCTCGCAGCTCGCCGCTCTCAACCCCAACGTCACGGCCCGCATCAGCACCGGCTCGAGCAACTTCACTATCGGGCCTGCGATCAAGTCCGAAAGCGGCCGTGGCGGCAACAGCCGCTCGAACATCGTCACGATCCGCGCACCGTCGCGTGGCTCCTCCGACGATGCCTCGGCTGCGCCGCCACGACGCGCAGGTGCCATCAAGGGCCCGCCTGGCGGCGGCAATGGCGACTCGGAGGAGGAGGATGAGGTGGCGGAGCTGAGCAAGAAGCTCGACGCCGCCATGCTGACGCCCGAGGCGCGCAAGCTGTGCGACCGCGAGCTGAAGCGTCTGGCGCGCATTCCGCAGCAGAGCGTCGAGCGCGGCGTCGTCATTACCTACCTCGAGACGATGGCCGAGCTGCCGTGGGACAAGACGAGCGCAGATCTTACGCCCGTCTTGGACGAGAAGGCGCCGAAGGCCATCACGGAGGCGGGCGAGGAGGGCATTGTGGAGCGTGCGAGACGCATCCTCGACGAGGACCACTACGGCCTCGAGAAGATTAAGAAGCGTCTCGTCGAGTACCTCGCCGTGCTGGAGCTCAAGACGGAGCAAGCCAACGAGCGCGTTGCGGCCGAGGAGACACAGATGCGCGAGCAGAAGGCTCAGGCGGCAAAGGAGGCCAAGCGCCAGCAGAAGGTCTCTGCGCCGACGGAGGACGACGACGAGGGCGAGCCGGAGTTCAAGCACCTCGAGGATGCTGCGGAGGAGGAGCGTCGCAGCAATGAGGCTACGAAGGAGGAGCGTCGCAAGCGTCGCAAGGCCCACGTTGCAGACAAGGGCCCGATCCTGCTGCTTGTCGGCCCGCCGGGCACGGGCAAGACGTCAATCGCTGTGAGTCTCGCGTGTATGCAAGCCTTTGCAGTAGCTGATCCGCCTTTCTGCAGCGCTCGCTCGCCACTGCGCTGCGCCGGCCATTCACGCGTCTGTCGCTCGGCGGTGTTCGCGACGAGGCCGAAATCCGTGGTCACCGCCGGACATACGTCGGCGTGAGTTGCGCCGCCGCAACGGGCGTCCTGCACCGGCTGACACTCTCTCGCCCAGGCCATGCCCGGCAGCATCGCCTCCAGCCTGCGGAAGGTCGGCGTGAGCGACCCTGTGCTGCTGCTTGACGAAATCGACAAGCTGGGCAGCGGCAATGGCCACCACGGCGATCCGATGGCCGCCATGCTCGAGACGCTCGACCCGGAGCAGAACTTTGCCTTCAACGACCACTATGTCAACTGCCCGATGGACCTGAGCCGCGGTGAGCATGGCACGAGCCGCTGCCAGTGTGTGCAAGTCTGACTGTTCATGCAGTGCTCTTCATCGCCACGGCCAACACGCTCGACACCATCTCGCCGCCGCTGCTGGACCGCTGCGAGGTGATCCAAGTCTCGGGCTACACGCACGACGAGAAGGTGGCCATTGCCAAGGCCTACCTGCTGCCGAAGCAGACCAAGGCTCAGGGCCTGCAGCCCGACGAGCTCGTCGTCGGCGACGAGGTGCTGCTCAAGGTGGCCATGTCGTACACGCGCGAAGCGGGCGTGCGCAGCCTGGAGCGCGAGATTGGCGCGATTGCGCGCTACAAGGCCGTGCAGTATGCCGAGGCGCGCAAGGGAGCAAAGGACGCGGATGGCAAGACAAAGGTGTATGACCCTGTCGTGCATGTCGAAGACCTGGAGACCATCCTCGGCGTCGAGAGCTACGAGCCTGAAGTGGCCGACCTCGACGCTCGTCCGGGCGTGGCCACGGGTCTGGCCTACCAGGGCTCGGGCAGCGGCGGCATTCTGCACATCGAGACGCTGCTTCTTCCGTGAGTAGCTGCTGAGTGCATGCAGGACTGCGCGCCTGGCTCACCGCTCTCCTGCAGGCCCGGCAACGGCAGTCTCAAGCTGACGGGCAGTCTCGGCGACGTGATCCGCGAATCCGCCGAGTTGGCGCTCTCCTGGGTCAAGGCGCATGCCTTCCAGCTCGGCATCACTTCGGCGCGCGACGCTGAGTTCCCGCGCAACGACGTGCATCTGCATCTGCCGAGCGGCGCCATTCCCAAGGATGGCCCTAGTGCAGGCGTGGCCATGACCTGCGCACTCGTCAGTCTCTTCACCCGCACGCCTCTCAGTCCTACGCTCGCCATGACGGGCGAAGTGACGCTGCGGGGACAGGTCACGCCCGTCGGCGGCATCAAGGAGAAGGTGCGTGGGCGCGGAATGATCGAGTGCACACCGCAGGAGCTGACGCTCCCCTCTACAGCTCCTCGGCGCCCACCGAGCCGGCATCAAGAAGCTGCTTCTCCCCGTGCGCAACCGCAAGGACGTCGAGGCCGACCTGCCGGCCAACGTGCGCGCCGAGCTGCAGATCCACTACGTGCGCACCATCTGGCAGGCGCTCGAGGCGGCCTTTGGCACGGCGCTCTTTGAGCATGCCGCCGGCTCGCACCACGAGGGCGTCGTCGAGGGACGCAAGATGATGAGCGAGTTTGCCGAGTCGCGCCTTTGATCATCCGTCTCGCTTTCTTCGCACTTTCCCTGCCATTCTTGCGTCTCTCACTTGCCTCCTCATGACTGTATCACCGCCTTGCCTGTCTACTACCCCCACTTCCCATCTCACTTCTCTCGTCTCACTTCTCCATCGTATTACATTTGCACACGCCTGCTCGAGCACGGCCCACAGGGCAATCGCGCCTGCCCTCAGAGGGGGGACTTGGTAAGGTAAGAAAAAGTCAAGGTGAGGGGGGCTTTCGCTCGGCCTGCATCCGGCGTGCGAGGGGCAGTAGGAGTCCTACAGCTATGCGCTTCCATGCGAACGCCGAGCATCCGGCAAGGAGAGAGGCGCAGAGGTCGGATCGGGCTGCTTCGAGCCGCGCTAAGATGCGTATGGTAGGTCATTGATGGCGCAACTGCAACGCGAGCGAAGCGGGCCCAGAAAACCCTAACGAGGTGGTCGCGTGTGTTTACGCAGGACGTAGACACACAAACGAGCGCGGCGGGATAGCAGCCGCACCGATCGTCTTGCGCAAGGGAGCTCAAAACGACGCCGTTTACGTTGCTCGAGCGTTTGCAACTGCGCCGCGACCTGGACGCCAAAACGCAGCGCTGGCTCGGCTACCAGTTCCGCCATCAAAACCTGCTTGCCCCCTCTTCTCCACCGCGACGCTCAGCAGCTCGCAACGCACAGCTCTCGTCCAATCCGGACTCGCAGCAACGCGACGCAGGTTTGTCCTCGAGCGAAACGCTCCCAGCCACACCAACGCCGTGTCGGTTCTTGCGCGCCTCCTTTGCTCGATGCACATACATCGCTCCTGTCCGTGGATCGCCCCGACAAGAGACTCTGCCACACCCGCAAGTACACACTCCACACGTGCGTCCGCCCGAGTGAACCACCCCCCACGTGTGGACGAGGACAATCGGACGCGCATGTGTCTCCCTGCCTCATCCTTGCTCCCTTCTTGCGCCCCGCACGACCAGCGCACAAACTAGCACAGCAACCACGCACCGCGCCAAAGGTCTTTGTGGGTTGTCCGCCGCCAGATAACAGCCTGAGAGAGGAAGTACCCGCGCACGAGTGGGGGGCAAAGACAGCTTTGCAGAAGACCCCCCTTTTCATGAGAGTACGCCTTCTCCCCCCCGGGAGAGGGGAGACGCATACTCTCGCCGTGCTCGTCCACGCGCCCTTGTGCGGCCTTTCCGCAAAGAACAGGCGTCCGAGCAACGAAGGAACGCGCGAAGCCGAGCAGCAGCTTGGGAGAGGGAGGGCGCGCGACACATATGATTTGGCCCGCCCAGACGGGAGGCGGCCAGCTGCCAACGCGCCCGGCCGTGTTGCCGCCCACCAATGCGCATGCACGCAACAGCAGCGACAAGCCACGGCCAAGATGACTTAGGGTTAGGGAGAAGTCTCTGCGGTCCCGCATGTCTGCTCGCAGGAATGCGAAGCAACAGGGCACCGCATGTGAGACTTTGCGCATGCGCCGTGCACAGCCTTACCCCGAGAGGAAGAGCGTGCGCGGACATGCGCGGCGCCAGGACGTGCGTGGCGACAAAGTGCCAGCCTGCACGCTGGCGCGAGACGCAAGCAGGAAGAAGCGACGAGACGGGAGAACGGCGGCACCGGGGAGGGCAGAGCTGTGCCAGGACGAGGACGGAGAGGAGACGCGGCGAGACGGCGACGACGACGACGGGCAGCGCTGGGAGGGAGTGGGGGAGAGAGAGAAGCGAGCGTCGAGCCGACGCGTCGAAGGCGCGCACTCGGCGGGACGCGTCGGCGTGGGACCACAGTGGAGCAGGCGTGTCACGTGCGCTGCGCCAGCGGCGTGCGGCCGGCGGTGCGCTCGATGCGCCGCCGCTTCGCCCGCTCCACGCTCGGCCACCGCCGTGCCTCGCGCATGGGAGGCCTGACGTGCGTGCGTGCGCTCCCCGCTCCCCCCACCACCGCACCCTCGCTCGCTGCTCGTCCCTTGCGTACCTGCGCTCGCTCGCGGCCGCCTCTCTCCCTCCCGCGCCCGCCCGCCCGCTGTGCTGTCTGCGCCGCCTGCGGCCAGGCCATGCCCGCGCGCGCACGTCCGCGTGCCCGCAACGCCAGTCCGCCCCGTCAAGTTCCCGCCGCCTCGGCGCAGCCTGCGTCGCCGCCGCCGCCCGCATCGCCCGCTGCGTCCGCATCGCCGCTCTCGTCGCCCCTGCGCACGCCCGCCACGCTGCCGCTCGCCTTCTCCGCCTCGCCCTCGCCCGTGCCCTCGCTGCACAGCATCATGCACGACGCCGCCGCCGCCGACGCCGCCGCCGCCGCCGCAGAGGCGCCGGCCGAGCAGCAGCCGGCACTCGATGCGCTCGCCGGCCTCGCCGTCGCCGCCGCACCGCAGCAGCAGCCGCCGCACTCGTATGCCTTCAGCGACGAGAGCGACCTCACCGACGAGCCCGACGACGACGCCTCGGCCGACGGCGACGACGACGACGACGACGCCTCGGCCGCCGGCACGCAGCAGCCCTGGCCCGCCGCGGCGGCGTCCGAGGGCAGCGTCTCGGGCAACGAGCTGCTCACCGCCGCTGCCGACGACGACGAGCTCGACGGCGACGACGACGACGAGCTGGGCGAGGTCGACGAGTCGGAGCTAGAGGGCACCGACAATGGCGAAGGCTCGGCCAGCGACGACGACGACGACGACGAGGCGTCGCGCGCCGGCTCCGAGGAGCAGGAGGAGCAGGCCGTTGCGAGCCTGGCGGCGCTAGGCTCGGCCCTCGGCGGCGCCTCTGCTGCCGCCCCAAGCACGGGCAGCAGCTCGGCCGGCTCAGCCACGCGGCAAAGCGCCGCGACGAACGCGGCGCTCGATGGCCTCGCTGCCCTCGCCTCCCTCGATGCTCCGCCAAATGCCGGCCTCACGACGGCCGCGCAGCGCGCCGTCAATCTGGCGGCGCGCGGCCGGCGGCGAGGGCGCGGCATTGGCGGTCGCCGCGCTCGCAGTGGCCGCGCGGCCCGCGCTACCGAGGTGCAGTTTGGCAGTGGAGGCGAAGGAGGCGAGGGAGACGACGAGGAAGAAGCATCGGAGGAGGAAGAGGAGGAAGAGGAAGAGGGCGCATCGGACGAGGAGGCTTCTGATGCCGAGGCCCTCGACCCAAGCGGCTCGGGCCTCGCGGCGCAAGTGCCCATCTCCAAGCCCTCGCTGCTGGCGCGCGCGCCTCGCATCACGCTCGATGCCGCCCCCGACGCGGCTGCTGCGGACAGCGATGCATTGGCGCCGCCATACAGCACGCCGACGAGTCGCGAGGGCACGCCGGCGCCGCCCTTGCCGGCACATTTGCGTGCCGAGACAGAGGTGGACACGGACGCCGATGCGCCGGCTGGCAGGCGCGATGAGGAGCAGCAGGGAGCGGTGACGAGACAGGAGAAGGAGGAGGAAGAGCGAGTCGCGCGGCTGGAGGCTGAGGCTGGACAGGAAGATGGTGAGTTGCGCTGGAGGCACGCCCATGCGGATAGTCGCCCGAGCTCACGCGTGCTATCGCCTTCTTTGCAGAGGCTGCTACTGATGAGGCGGCTCAACGGCGGTCTGAGGCTATGGAGGCCCTGACGCGCATCGAGATTGCCTTTGCCGCGCTGCGTGACCGGCTGTACGTCGAGCGCATGGCAGAGGTGAACCGGGAGAGCGAGATGATCCTCGATGGTGTGTTGCTGGACGATGCGCCGCTCTGCTTCTCGCGTGGTTGCTCACGCACGCTGCTCTGCAGGCACGCACCCGGAGCTCATCCACCTCACCAAGCTCATCGAGGCACGGCGAGAGCGGCGCGTGCGGCTCGGAAGCGCGTGGTTCGAGCACCAGCAGCGCCAGTACGAGCGTGTGGGCAAGGCGGAGGAGGCTATGGAGTGGAGTGCCTGGCGCGTGAGTGCGAGAACATGTGCAGCATCTCGGATGAGCGCGGCGAGCTGACGCCGAAGGTGCCACCTGCAGAACGATGCCGCGTCGCTGCGACGCACGCAGATGGACGACGTCTCGCGCAAGCGGCGACAGCTGGAGCGCGAGAAGCGAGTGCTAGATGCCCCGCGGCCCGCGCGTCGCTACCAGCTCTTCCAGACGGAGCTGGTGCGCAATCCCGACTGGCGCGCACCCTCGCCGCCCGCCAATGCTGCAGCTGGCGGCTCGAGCAGACGCAAGCGGAGAGCGGCCGAGGCCGCGCCGGAGGAGCCGGAACGCGAGATTGGAGCGTATGTCGCTTTCCCGGATCTGAGGGGGCTCGAGGAACAGGAGGCGTGGCTGGACATGGAGCACATGGGCGTGAGTAGCCCGCAGAGCCTTGCTGACGAGGCCCGGACTGACGCGCAAAGCACTGCGCAGATTCGGCCAGACTTGCGTCTGGGCATGCATGGCTACCGCGGCGAGGAGCTGGCGCCGCCTCCGGGTCTCTACGGCGCCCAAGCAGGCGCCTCGGGCATGTACGAAGGCAGTGCGCCGGGCGCCTATCTGCCGCCGGGCTACGACGGACCGCACGCCGGCGAGCTCTACGCCCACGAGTATGCGCAGCTTCGGCAGCATGAGCTGCTGATGCAGCAACAGCAGCAGCAGCAACAGCAACATCTGGAGCAGCTGGCACAGCAGCATGCTCGCTATGCAGAGCATCCGGCCTCGTATGGAGCTGCCGCTATGCCGCCGCAGGGAGAGATGCCGCAGGCGGCATTTGCTGCACCGATGCCGCCGAGCAAAAGCAGTGCAGTCGGCGCCAAGGCACCGAACGCTGCGCCGCCGAAGGGCGCACGAGTGCCGGCGCCTCCGACCGCTGCGGGCGCCCAAGCACCAGCACGACCTGCAGGAGGCACAGTGAAGAACAAGCCGCCGCCGCCACCGCCACCTTCGCATGCTGCACCACAGCGTCCAAGTGTGCCGCCGTTGCCTGCTGCGCGATGAAGCCGCCTTTCGCGTCGTCTTTCTGCCCCCTTCACTCCATCCTCTGGCGCGTCTCATCACTCGACCCTGCATACCACCTGATCTCGCCTACCTGCAATCGACTCTTCACCGCACACGACCGCTCAGAGCGTGACAGACATGGCGCAGCAAGCATTCTCGCTGGCGAAGGCGCGGAGCTGAACCATGCATTGTAATCGCAGCGCCTCGGCCCCGCTCGTGGTGCAGCTACTGAGGCTTGGGAGCGTTTCGGCGCGGCGTGACGGTGATGTTGATGGGGTCCTTGACGAGCACGAAGCAGTCCTGAGGTTGGACACGAGCGTCAGCAGCAGTCGCCTAACTCATGCAAGCCGCCGTGGGGGCGCGCCGGGGGGAAGGGGGGAGGTGGGCGGTACACACCTTGATCGACGCCTCGAAGCGTTCCGGGCTGAAGCCGGGCGCAAGCTGCGCATCGAAGCTCTGCGCGAAACGGGCGATCATGGCGCGCATCTCCATGCTGCGTCGTGTGAACAGAGGTCAGCAAAGAGCGCGTGCGTGTCGCGCCCTCGACTGTCGAGCTCAGTTACGCACAAGGCGAGATTCTTGCCGATGCAGCCCGTGGGACCATAGCCTGTGCGTCAAGCGTCACATCAGCAGTGAGCAGCGCATCGGAGGGCAACAGAGACGACGCACCAAAGGCGGAGAAGGCACGCTGGTTGAACACTTCGCCAGCGGCAGGCTTGCTCAGCCAACGATCGGGCTTGAATGCATGCGGGTCGGTGAAGTTGCGTGCGTCGCGGCTGCGAGGGTGGGTTGGGGGAAAAGAAGCAGGCGCTGTGTGAGCGCAAGCAACAAGGCGTGGCTGTAGAGGCTGGAGCACGCACTGCATGGTGTATGTCGCCGTCGAGACGACGGTGTTGCCCGGGATGTGCGTGCCGTCGGGCAGAAGCAGACCTTCGGGAGGTGTGTTGCGCTGCAGTCCGCTCGCAACGGGCGGCCAGAGGCGCAGCGTCTCGTCTGTGCAGAAGGTGCGAAAGGTCTGTCAGCGAGGCTTGTCTCCCTGCCGAGAGGTGATGCGTGACCCCGGACGCACTGATGACGGCATTGAGATACGGCAACTTGCCGAGCCGCGTAAAGTCGGTCGCGTTCTCGATGCCAAACTCCTCGTCCACCTCGGCCTGCAGGCGAGCGTAGGCGCCCGAGTTGCGCAGCAGCTCGTCTGGCGCGAAACGGACGCGTCAGCGCGACTGGATGAGTTGGCACATCGGCACACAGACGACAACGCACAGATCGTAATGGCCATCGTGTTGCTGCTCGTGTCGCTGCCGGCGACGATCAGCAGGCCTGTCGGATGAAGTCAGCATTCGTGCCATGTATGCACACTCGCGGCAAAGAAACCCACCAGCATCAGCGTTGAGTTCGGGCATCGTCTGCGTTGCACCCTGGTTCTTTGCCTCTCCCAGCAGCCACGAAAAGACATCGTGCTCGACGACGCCCGTCTTTCCCTCGCGCACGCGCTGCTCCAGTGTCTCGCGGATCCACGCCTCGAAGAGCACGATGGGATTGGGCAGGTACTTGAACATCGCCATCAGCCAGGCCACGTTGCCCGACGCCATGATGAGCTTGACGCCCTGCTCCAGCAGCACGATGGGCTTGGCCGTCGTGGCGGACTTGACCATGTCGAAGCCGCGACCGAAGCCGACCTGTGCGAGAGGTGTGAGATGCTGGCATCTGCTGAAGGGCCATTGAGAAGCGACGCACCTCGCCCATGACATCAAAGCCGAACCATGACATCCTGCAAGAGAGCATGAGCATGGGCGCCGGCTGCCTCTCTTGAGGCCGATCCATCAAGCTCACCATTGACCAACGTCGACGGGACCCTTGGCGCCATACGCGCCGACCTGCTCAATGACAAGCTCGACATTGGAGATGACATTCTCCTCGTAGCCCTTGAGCGCCTTGAGCGAGAATGCCGCGTCCCAGACCTTGCGGCGCGCGGCGTGGTCCGTCATGGTGGGCGTAGACTGCAGATTGTACGAGCTCGTCTGGAGCACCGGCAATCACGTTTCAGCAGAAAGAAGCATGGTGGATGTAGGGACGGAGGGCTCACCCGTGTGCTCTCGACCGTGAAGGCATACCACGGTCCGCGAGTGCAGCGAGCGCTGGCGCCCGTCGCGCCGTAGATGGCCGGCAGTGCCGCGGGGTCCGCGACGCTCAGTTCGCGCGGGCCGATGCGAATGACGGAGCCGTACTGTTCGTGCCAGCGTGTGACGCGGTAGGGACGCTGTCCCGCCAGATCCATGGGGATGCTGACGAACTTGGAGAGGGCGAAGCGCCTGGGCCCGGGAAAGCGACGCAGCCGATGGAAGAAGGTGCGGTAGATGGCCATGGAGGCGAAGATGGTGGCCACCCACACGCCCGCCATGCGCGCCACGACGGCCGCGGCGGTGCCCAGGGGCAGCGCGTACTGCGTGTGCAGCGCATACACGGCCGCGGCGGCGGCGAACAGGAAGAGATGCACGAACGGCGGCGCGCGCGGCTCGCGCAGCTGCACGGCGAGGTGCGAGAGCAGGGCGAGGGCCGCACTGAGCACGTAGAGGCCCGTGTGGCCGTGTGAGAGGTCGAGCTTGAGGAGTGGGGCCGACATGATTGACGTGATGGAGGGAAAGGAGGGAGGGGCAGGCACTCTTTGCCGGCTGCCACACGCTACGCCCGGCTCGCGCTCCGCCGCCCGGCTGCCGCGCTGCCGGCCTGTCACTCCGGCCTGCGCGGGCCCGTGCGTCGGCTTGGCCTTGCCGGGGACATCACGTGCATCCTGCCTCCCGCTGAGGCCGCCCGACACTGGCACAGAGAATGACATGCATTGGGGGTGGGTATCGCATGAGCTTGAGGGGCGTGGGCGAGGCGATGCTGGCGTAGTGCTCGGCGATGCAGGCGCTACGCATCGCAGTTGCGCAGGTGCGGCGGCATGTACGGCACGCCGAGCAGCTCGAAGCTGGGGGGCGAAGAGGACGAAGCGAGAGAGAGAGAAAGAGGGAGGGAGAGGGAGAGAGCATCGTCAATTGTGTGTCTCGTGCAGGCGAACAAAGAGAGCTACGCAACGCACATGTCTTGCTCCTGCGGCGTGTCCAGCGTCACGCCTGGCTGCTCGAGGCGCACGAGGCCCGTCGAGTGGAACTGGGCGGCGGCGGGTGCTGCTGCATCAGCAAAGCAGCCGCATATGAGGCTTCTCTCCCGGACGAGGCGAAGCGCGAGGCTGGCCGTACCTTGTAGCCCTGCTGGCGAGCCTGGCGTCGAATGTCCTTCTCAAACTGCTTGCCTGCGTGTTGCGCCTCCACACGTCAGTCTTGCACCTCATGTTCGCAGCAGCGACAACTGGAGCGCCAACGCACTTCCCGTCCAGCCTAATGCGCATCACGTAGCCGTTTCAGCAAAGGGCATCGTACGTCTTCGTGAAGGTGCGGCCCGAACTCACCAAGCACAGTGGCGCCATACACTTCTGCACGCGTGAGGATGATGTCGACGCGTCGATAGCGCGGACGCTTCGTGGCGTCGGCCCCGGCGCCAGGTAGAGAGGGAGGCAGGACGACAATCTCTGCAATGTCGCAGTGCGGCACTATCGCTTCGCCGCTGCATGGAACTTGTATCAGCGTGGCGCAGCAAGAAGAGGGCAGGGAGGGCGTTGAGAGGAGGAGGAGGACGACTGACTAGTACTCCGAAGGCTGCGCCACACTGACGATGTGCGTCATGACGGCTGTCTCTACGTCAGCCGAGCCCCTACCACACGCCAGTGCAGGACAGAAGCTCACCTTTCTTCTTCAGCGCCTCCAGCACCTGATGCAGCAGCCTCGTCTGATGCTTCAAGCTCTTGAGGTCCCCCACGGGCGCCTTTTCGGGATCAGGAGCAAGCACCACATCCACATCTCCACTCGTTGCCTTTCCGCGACGATAGCCGCCGCAAATCGTATACTTCATGCCCGGATGAATCTTCTCGAATTCGTCGTGAATCTGCAGCGGCGGCGAGGGAGAGAGAGGGAGGGCTCATCAGCGCACAGCGGCCAGCACGAGTGCGGCGCAGGGGGCCTCACCAGCTCAGCGATGAACTCGCACTCCCTGCGCGGAATGCGATGCAGCAAGTCAGGCAGGATGCGCAGGCATTCTTCGCGGCCCAGGCGATCCGAATAGCTGCCGCCCAACGAGCAAAGATCCTGGAGCGAGCGTGCGCCCTGTTGATAGGCCTTGCGTGCTCCTGCTGGTCCGACGCCATAGACTGCCCCCCCACCATCGCAATGCGTCAGCTTAGGCCCGCTGCGAGTGCCTGCAACCGTTTGGAGGGAGAAGGGGGGGAGAGGGGGGGGGGGAGACTCACAGTCGAGAAACGACTTCATGATCGCGTGACTCTGATCTCCACGGATGGCTCGTGCTTCAGCGACGTATCCCAGCTCGTAGAACTGCAGCACCGCCTTGTAGATTTTGGCTCCTACGCCTGCGATCTCCTTTGCCTTCTTCGGATCCTTGGCGAGTGGATGTGGATATGCCTTGATTGCCGAGATTGCGCTGCCCGTCAGGGGCGATGAGCATCAAGCCACGCAGAGGCAGACTGAGGGCAGAGGGTGGCAAGGAGGGAAAAACGTACCGACCATAGGCGGCACTATTGTGTTGATCGCGCGCTCCGTTCTTCTCGAACAGGACTCGCGAGACACGAATGACCTCGAGTTCGTCGACGAGTGGCTGGTTGAACATGCTCCGGATCGGCGTCGGTCGGAAACAGGCGTTTGCGCTGTTCTGCCATGCCGGCACGGCGCCTTCGTACGCGACGACGTGGGGAGGCGGAGTCGGCGAGGCCGAGGCTCGACGAGAAGGAGAGGCGTCGACGTCGAGGGCTCTGCCTTTGCCCTTGTCGATGCCACGAGGCACCATGACGGGCAGCGTGCCTTCCTCATGACTTCCATACCCTCCTTCCTCCTCCTCTGCACTTGCGTAGCCTCCTCGCAGCGCAGCATACGCCTCGTCCTGCTCCTGCTCCTCTTCCGTGCCCGACTCTTCGAGACGCAGAATCTTCTCCGGATGTCGTCGCGGAGAGGCAGGCTCGTTGCTGGCTGCGCGCTTCAACGCCGACGCCGACGCCGAAGCCGACGCCGACGCCGACGCGGCAGGAGCGGTGAGGCGAGGGTAGATCTGATATGCCTCATGCGGCACTTGGATGCCTGCTTCTAGACAGGCAGTGAGCCAGCTGTGATGCAGCACTGGCACGCCTCGACTCTGGGGGCGCACAGGACAACGTCGAGTCAGCAAGCAGTACAAGTGACAGGGAATGGTCGAGAGTGCAGGGGCTTGCGAGGAAAAGCAGGGGGGGGAGAAAAGCAAAGAGAAACAACGCACCTCTGCTTCGTCGCCCAGCGCCCGTTCGGCACGCTTGGGCGCGCGGATCTCACTCAGCACGACGGTGGCGTAGTCGAGGCTGACTGCAACAGAGGCAGTGTGTGACGAACGCACAACTCGGTCAGCTGCAGCACAGCTCGGGCATGGGCGCGGCGCAATGAAGGGGGCGCGGCATACAGTCATTTGCTTCTCGCGCAGCCCAGTATGCACTCCTTACTCATCGCGGCTCTGCCACCCCCCTTGTCCTTGCCTCTCGCGCAGCCCAGTATGCCACTCCTCCTCCTCGGCAGCTCTGCCCACCTCCTCGCCCTTGCCAAATCAACTGACCATTGAGCGCGCCCAAGTGCGCCACGAGCTGGCGCAGCGCATCGATGTGCGCCTGGCCTAGCTTGTCGGGCAGCACATGGACGCGCGTCGAGGGCGCCAGGATACGCTTACTCGGCGAGCCCGCGGGCGCAGAGAGGGCGTCGGGCGTGCGTGCGCGCACGAGGGCGTGGAGCGTGCGCGGCGCGCTGGCGCCGCTGCCGGCGCGAGATGGAGCAGGTGCGGCGGAGCCGAGAGGCGAGGAAGGCGCCGTTTGCGAGGAAGTGGCACTCGTGGCGGAGACGAGACGTGCGCGACCGGGCGAGCGCAGAGGCACGCCGAGACGCGTGGAGGACATCGATGGCGCTCGGTGGGGGGGGTGGTGTGAGGAGGTGAGGGTCGGGCAGGATGTCGAGGGAGAGGGGTGAGAGAGCGGCACAAAGTGGAGGCCGCGCCGCGCCATGCAGGGGCGCAGACAGCTGTTCCCACGCTCCGCTCTCGCCGCACCGCCGCCGTCGACGCCGCCTACAGCACCAGCTAGGCAGAAGGCAGCTCTCGCGCCAAGCTGTGCATCTGCGCCGCAGCTGCCGCGAGACAGGCGCCGCATGCCGTGCACGTGCGAGGCAGCCGCACGCTTGCTGCATCCGCCGTGCCCCTTCGACGCCCTCGCCATCTCGAGCTGGCTTTGTGGCGGAGGCAGCGGCGGCTGCTCCCACGCGCCCCGTGCTCAAGTGACGCGCCCAGCCGGGCCGGCGGCTCGCTGGCGCTTCAAGGCGCACCCCGGCGCGACGCGTTGTTCTTCCTCCTCTCCCACCCCTCCCTCCCGCTTCGGCGCAGCCATGCCCTCCAACGCCTCCTACCGTCCGCTCACCAAGAAGCCCAGCGGCGGGGCTGGCAGTCCCCTGGCCGCGCCGCTCGTGCTGCAGGCCAACACGGCGCTGACGGCCTTCAGTGCCCTCTTCCTCTTTCTCTGCCTCGTCGCCTCGCTGGCCCCCACGGCGCCCTCGGCCTCGGCACGCGGCGGCGGGCCGCGGCGCGCGGGCGTGCGTGCGCCCGCATGCAACCCTTTTGCGCTGCCGGGCTACGTGGCGCGCCTGGCGCCGACGAACGCGGCGCCCGCCGGGCTGGGCACGTGGCGCACCTTTGACCCCGCCTGCGCCGCCAGTCCGCTGCTGGCCGCGCTGCTGAGCAGCCGGCCGTCGACGGCGCCGCACCACCTGCACACGCCGCTGCCGGCGTCGCTCGCCATGCTGCGCAACGCCACCGCGCTCCTCGTCGGCGACCGCACCGACCACGCGCTCCTCACGCACGTGTGCGACATTGCGGGAGAGAAGGTCGAGGCCGTCGATGCGGCGCATCCGTGGGGCGCGCCGCTGCAGACGGTGCCCAGGGCGCATCGCTGGCCCAACAACGATGCCGCGGCGCTCAAGGCGGGACAGACGGCCGATGAGCGGGAACTGCTCGACACGGGCAAGAGGGCACTGGCGCATTACTGCTGTGAGTGCTGCGTGCCCCGAGCGAGAGAGAGAGAGAATGCAAAGTGCTGCAGAGAGCGACATGTGCTGATGTGCGTTGATGGTGCAGATCTCTCCGACTATGAGTGAGTATTTTGTCTGCGAGGCGAGACGAGGAGGAAGCAGCAGGCGCAACAGGGATTGGGCAAAGAACCCCTCCCCCACCCTTGCTCATGAGGGAGTGACGTCGCAGGCGAGGCAGGGGGGGCAGCTGCGCTGCACGTATGAGGGATGATGAGCGGGCGCGCGTGATGGAGTGGGAGTGCAGGGGGGGGGGGGAGGGGGAGGGGGCACGGAAGGGGGGCAGGAACAGGAGGAGCATGCTGCTCCTTTCGAGCTCGACGGGCACGGAAGAGGGAGCAAGGAAGGCCACCTGTCCAGCAGGGTGTTCTGACCCTCTCCTCCCCCCCCCTCAAGCTTCCTCCTCACTTCAGTCTACCACTACGGCACCGACACTGCCTCGCGCTGGCGTTCTCTGCCCTCCTTCGTCGCTCCCTCCCTCTTCGAAGACCGCGTCTCCGATCTCTTCGTGCCCTACATCAGCGCCATGTCATCTTCCTTGCCTCAGCATCGCTCTCCCACGCTGCCTCCCGCGCGCAGCCGCCTTGATCTCGTCATCTTCTCCTCGGGCTTCTGGGACCTGGCGGCCTGGGCACGCGAGGACATCAAGGCGGGCAGCAGCGCCACGTCGGATCTGAGCGAGAGTCGCCTGCTGGAATGGCGCGCGCGAAGCGTGGATATGGTGGCGGCCCTGGCAAAGGCTTGGCCAAAGACGAGCTTGGCGTGGCGAAGCAGCCAGATTCCAAGCAGCACCGAACCGGCAACGGTCGAGTGGTGGACGGGAGAGCTGGGCGAGGGAGAGCAGGTAGGTTCTTGCCCCCCTCCCCCTCCTTACCCCCTGCCCGCGCGACTTGTCGAGCCCTCATCCTCCCCCTCATCTGACTCCTTTTGTCTTTCCCCCTTCTCCCTCTCGCGCAGCCAAAGAATCATCCTCTCTTCTCTCTCAATCGTCTCTCGGCACTCACGAACGCCCGCCGCTCCGTCCTTGAGCCGCACGGCGACGACGTGGCGAAAGGGCTGCGTGATCGTGCCGCACGCTTCCCTCGGAGAGTGAGAGACATGCCTTGGGGTGGAGAGAAGTTGCTCGGTAAGTTCCCTTCCCCACCCCCCCCCCGCCTCTGTGCAAGAGAGACAGAGAGAAGAAAGCCTGAGCTGACGCGGAGTGCGTGGCAGGACAAGGTCAACTGGATCCAGTCTCGCCGTCTATCGACGCGGGAGGAAGCATCTTCACAGAGATGCTGCTGCATCAACTGGCAGTCGCTGCGTCGGGCTACTAAGCCAGACAAGCGAAGCAACGAACTGAGAAAAAGAGTGGAGAGGGACACGCCATCTGCAATGCCTACCTTATGACCTTTCGCACTGCTTGCCCGCCTCAACTGCACCGCACGACTCCAGGCTGCACTCTCGCAGTGAGGGCTGCAAGTAAGATGATGCTAGAGCATTCGATTATGCAGGTGGGATGGAGGGCTGTTACAAGTACATGGACGCGTGAGGCTCGTGTATGATTTCGCCGCTGCGTCTAGAAGTAGCCATTGCGGGGCCGCTTGGCCATGCGCTCGTCGTGCGCAAGGTGCGGGCTCGGACTGCCGGCAGCAGCAAAGGGCGCCAGGCGTCGAGGATCCTCGCGCGGCTCGGGCATGCGGGGCCGCGCGGCCGCCGGGTGCTGTGCGGCGTGGTGCGGCGGCGGACCTTCAGCCGCAGGCGAATGGGCGCCGGGGTAGTACTGAGGCGCAGGAGGCATGCGCCGCGGCTGCTGGTGTGCAGCGACGTGCGGAGGCGCACCAGAGCCGCCGGCACGCTCGTCGGCGTACGGACCGCCGGCCTCCACCTCGTACTCGCCACGCGCACGCCGAGCGTCCGGCGCCGCCCCCGCGGCGGCGCCATTGCCGTAGCGCGGCGGCGGCAGCGCGTGACTGCTGCCCGACGGGCCGCTCATGGGTGCCGAGGCAGCGGCGTGCGCAGGATGCCGACGCGGCGGAGACTCGTACTCGTCGGCATAGGCGCCCTGCGGCGCAGGGCCGCCGTGCTGCTGCGGATGGTGTGCGTACGCAGGGTGCGTGGCCGGCGGAGCGGCGGAAGCGTAGCGCGGCGACGGGTGAGGGCCCTCGCGGTGCTGCTGCTCCTGACGCTGCTGCTGTTGCTGCTGCTGCTGCTGATGTTGGAGCTGCTGCTGCTGTTGCTCGTGCTGATGCTGCTGCTGCGCGGCTTGGGCCTGCGCTTGTGCCGCTTGCTGCTGCTGCTGCTGCTGCTGATGCGATGCTTGTGCATGCGCTTGCTGCGAGGCAGTGAGGTCCTCTTGAGCACGCGACAGGTGCTGGATCCACTGCGCCGCGTTGTCCGACTGCTTCTCGAGCTGCTCGACGCGCGCGGTGAGCGCCCGGTTCTGCGTCGCCAGCTCGCGGTTCTGCTCCGCGACTGATGGCATTCGGCGTTAGCGAGCGATTGGCTGGCATCACGGCGACGGTCACTCACGCTCGTGCATCACCATGGCGCGCGCCTCGTTGAGGATGTCGGCGCGCATCATGTCGAACAGGCCCGGCGGCAGCGTCTTGCCGTTGGCGACGCCCGGCGGTGAAGGCTCGCCGTGCATGTGCTCGTTGCGCACGGGCTCCGGACCGTACGACGGGTGAGACTGAGGGCCAGCAGGACGACGCATCGGTGCCTGCTCGTGCGGCCGCTCAGTGCGGCGCCAGTCGCCGCTGAGCGTGACGTTGGCCTCGCGCGGGCTGGCGACCATGCGAGCACGCGCACTCTGAGGTGCACCGTTGCTGCGAGGTTCGTCGGCATAGCGCGGCTTGCCGTCGAACGGCGTCGGCGGCATCTGCCTCCGACGCGGACCGCCGACGCCCGGGTGGATGGCAGCGGCGGTCAGAGCGGGCCCGAGCTCCTCGCGGCCGTTGGAGGCGCCGTTGTGGCGCGAGCCTTGGACGATGCCCATGGCGCGCTGCCGCCGCTCCGGTCCGTATGCGCCTTGGTGAATCTGCAGTGGGTGAGGGTGGGTGCATGGTCTACAGATCTTGCCTGCAGCTCTACTCACGCGCACAAACTCGGACACAAGCGCCGGCTTGCTCTTGGTGCTGAGTGTGCCGCGAGAGGCACACCACTCGAGCCACTCCTGGTACAGCTCGGTGACGCTGCGTGCCATGTCCTCCTCGTCGCTGGCGTCGAGGTTGTGCTTCTCGATGAGCGCCAAAAACTTGTCGACTGCGGCGGGACATGATCAGCCAGTTGTACACAGGCAGCCCCACGCATCAGACTCACCCTCCTCGGGCTGCAGGTCTGCATCTTCGGCAGGCACCGCCCGCGGTGCTGCGTGCATGTGCTCATGCGGCGAGCGTTGCGGCGGGTGAGGGCTGCCCGGCAGGGAGCGCGGACCTTGCTGCCCGCGGTGGTGAGAGAGATGCGCCTGCTCGCGCGCAGCGGCCGACGACGAGGGCAGGTGGTGCAGCGGACGCGAGCCGGACGGCTCATTGAGCATGGGCGGCAGGCGGCGCTGGTCGGGCATCGGGCCGCCGGGCGCAGAGGCCGGCCACTCGGCGTGGCGCGGAGACTGCGAGAGGTGACGTCCCAACGGCGCCGCCTCGGGCTCGTGCAGCGTGCGGGCGTCGAGCGGCGGCGGACGGTGCGCTCGCTTGCGGTCAGGCACCAGCGGCGGCGAGACGCTGTCCGCCTTGCCGCCGGCCCACGACGGCGGCGCGCCGCGAGCATCGACGTTGGGCGCCGAGCGCGAAGTCGACATGCCCGAGGTCGTCGAGTGGGCCGAGTGCGGCGGCGCAGAGGCGCCGGCGGTGCGCTCGTCGTCGCGCGGAGGCATCTCGACGCTGGTGACGCGGCGCGGTGCGCCGGGCCGCTCGGCCGCGTTGGAGGGAGCGCGGCGCCGGTTGACTCGGAGCGGCAGCGTCGAGCGCGAGCGCGGCGGCAGGTCGGCGTCGGTGGGCTCGTCCTCGAGCTCGTCGACCTGCGAGCCCGTCTCGTGGCGCTCGTGTGCGGCGGCGGCGTCGGCGTCGGCGCCGGGCGGCGCGGTGCTGAGGGAGCGGCGCGGCGGGATGCGCGGGTAGAAGGACTCGGGCTCGGCGGGTGCAGTGAGCGTGCGGCGCGGCGAGGGCGCGCGGCTGCCACTGCCGCTGCGGGGAGAGGGCATGGACATGGGGCGAGACGGAGAGGTAGAGGTTGGAAGGGCAGAGCGTAAGGTCGGAGGGGATGGACGAGTCGCGAGTGGGCGCGGCTCGGCGCTGTAACGCCGGCCGCGCGCGCCAACGTCCTGGGCGGCGACGGAGGCTCCCGAGCGTCGCATCACATCACCGCGACACCTGCGCCGCACGCTCGTCCTCTCCCTCGCCTCCCTCGCAAGCGTGGTGCAGCGCACACGCCGGCGCTACGCCGTAGCGGCGCCCGCCGCCCGCCTGATGGGCCGCGCCTTGCCTGCGCCCCTTGATCCGGCGCCGCTGCCCGCTCGCGGCGCCATGTGACACGGGCGCCGGCCGGCTTGCTCGCAGCGTTGGCCCGCCTGCCGCACGCTGCTGCGATGCATGATGCAAGCTGCAGCCGCTTGCCGGCGCAGAAGTCAGCGAGCTGCAGGGGCAGAGCGCATGGGCGGGCGTCGGCAGCGCCGCCGCAGCAAGGTGCGCGCGGGCGATGGCTGCTGATCCTGCTCCGCTGCACGAGGCACGGTCGGTGCGTGTTGGCGCCTCCATGCTCACTGCAGCCGTCGCGCCTGCGTCTGCATGCTGCTGCTGCGCCGCCACGCCTCGCGCCTCTCGGGCTGCCCGCGGCCCCGGCACCTTCCATGCCATGCAAGCCGCCGCCGCTGCCCCATGCACGGCGGCCCAACGGGACGGCGCTGCGCAGGGCCGCTCGTGCTTGTGCATCCGCAGCCGTCGTGCCGCTGCGCTGCTGCATGCCGCCGCCGCCCGTGCTGCGTCGACACTGCCCTCGGGCCAAGCCACCATCTAAGTCCCACGGCAGCAGCGCCTCCGCCACACGCGCGCAAATCGGCTCTCTCGCCAGACCGTGCAGCGCAGCGCAGCATGCGTCGCGCATCATCCGGCATCGTGGCTGCCGCAGGAGGGGCGCGCATACAGACACCGCTCGTTGCACCATCGCCAGAGGCAGCGAAGTGCCGTGGCGGCGCCGCAAGATGACAGCTTGCCCGCGAAGCATGCCGCTGCGGTGCGGCGGCGGCGCAAGCGCGCCATCGATCCGACGGCCTCGGTGTGCACGCGCGCGCCGCCAGCCACGCGCCTTTGCTGCGCGCGGGAAGACGGAGGCCCCGCGAGACTTGCTGCGACCCTGGCCGGGAGCCACGACGCTCCAGCAAGCACTGCGCCGTGCGTTCTAGCTTGCTCCTCCATCTCCCTTGCCCAGCCAACAGCAGCGCTTGCTCCACCTTTGCGATGCTGACTCAGGCCGCGCTCGGCCAGGCCGCCCTTGCGCCAAGCGCGTGGGAGCTGGCAGGCAGTTGCGCTTGCGCTGCCAGCGAGCCGTGCTAGCCGCAGAGTACCGCGCTTGCCGGGCGCAACTTGCGGAGAGGCGTGCGCTGTGGTTGAAGTACGATGCACGCTGCATGGCTGCGGCTGCTTCTGGGCGTCCGCTGAGGCGGCGGTGCAAGGGAGCACTTGATGCGCAAGAGCTCTCCGACGGAGCGGCCACGCTGCTCCCGCCCTTGCTTTCCTGCTGCCCACGCATCGAGAGCCAGACTGCGGCCATGCGCGACAGCGGGAAGGCCGTTGGCATGCAGCTTGCGCCCGAGGCGGCCTCCGCGCCTTTCCCGCACCTCTCCTGCTGCTGCCCCTCGATGGCTGCTGATGCTGCCTTCGCTAGCACGCTTGCAAGCCGCTCCTCCCTTCGCGTCGTCCGCTACCCGCTCGCCGCAGCACGCAAGGCGCGCCTCTACCGTGCGACACCGGCGTGATGGTAAAGCGAGCAGCAGCCCCCGGGTGCGCTAGCGCTGTCGCCTCTGCACGCAACAGGCGGATGCAGCAGCGTGCAGGACGCATGCATGCATGACAGCAGGCGCATCTCAGGCGGCGTCTGCGGCGGCGTCGCGAGGGGCAGGCACGGGACGATGCAGAAACATGCATGGCGGCACGGGAAGGCGGAGACGGCGAAGAGGCGGCGGAGGCGGCGCAGGGCGGCATGCGGCGTGCGGAGGCTCCTGTACCGAGCGTTCGGCTGCCGCTCCCTCCTCTTCCCGTCTGCTCGCAGCAGTGCAGCTCGACGTGCCGACCACGGCACCAGACGCTAGCACGACACTTGGAGCCGTGGGCCGAGGCTGTCGTCGGCACAATGCACCATGCTGGACGAACGTCGAGGGAGGGACAAAGAGCGGTGGTTGCACCGTTGCCGAGGCGATGCCGCGGCGCAGATGCCGCAAGCGGCGGAAGCATCCTGAGGCTGGCTGTGGTGCTGTGCGCGGCGCGCTCGCGGCACCGACGCCGCTCGGAGCGGACCAACCCTCGTTCCCTCCGGACGAGCGCCGCAGCGGCACCGCTGCCGCCTGCGCCGCGTTCCGATCCGCGCGCACGCCTTGTTTGGACAGCATGTTTCGCCGCCGCAGGACAGCGCAGGAGCGGCGCACGGGAGCGCCTGCCGACGCTGCGCTGGCCGCATGCGAGACGCGGGCCGCCCTTCTGCGAGCAGCATGACGACGAGGCTTCGCTGCCGCTGAGTGTGCTGTTCCGCCGCCGCATCGCCCTGCTGCGGCTGTCTATGGCCCTCGCTTTCGGCGCCCCTCCCGCACTGAGACGGCCAGTGCAGCAGCTGTCATGCATCGACCCTGGCGCGTCGACGCGCTCGGCGTCGTCGACACCGAGCCGATGCGCGCATGCTCGCAGGCTGCATGCTGCCGCGCGAGGCTCAACGGCCTTCCCATGCGCCAAGCGACGCGAGGCGTACTCCTGATGCACGCAGCATCGAGCCCTCGTCGCTGGATGGGCTGGCCGAGGCGGTGCCGCGCACCACCTGCGGGGGAGAGATAGAATGTCTCGCTCGCTCCGCAGCGTGCTGCGGATTTGAGCTTCAGCAGGGCAGCAGCATCGGAGCAAGTCTGGGAAATTCGGGCCTGTGCAGCCGCGTCTCGCGCGCCACGCCGCTCCGCTCTCGAGGCGCAGGCGAGAGTCATGGCGCACGGAAGCGTGAGACTGCGCCGCCTCCCGCCCCCGTTCGCATCGAGCATGAGCACGTCGTGGCTGGAGAGAGCTCGGCCATCTCGAGACCCCCGCCAGGTCGCTGCTCCACGTGAAGCAGACCCGGCGTGCCCAAGTCTGAGAGCAGCCACGCCAGCCGTGGCTGGCTCCGGCGCGGGCAGGTGAAGGCGAGCGCGATGCGGGAGCAGCAGCGGCCGCGCAGCAGCTGCACCTGCTGGGTGCTGCTGCTGCGAGAGCCCTGAGCCCTGCAGCACGCTCGCTGGGCGGCGCCGACGTGCATGTGCATGAATTCGACCGTCCGCACGCTGGCACGCAGCGCATGAGAGCAGCCTCGCAGTGGCCGCAGTAGCGCGCCGTGCCTGCGTGGGCCCAGTGCTGCGGCATGCATGCCTGTCGCCCCGAAAGACGCAGCGGCCGGCGGCAGAGCGCAGGGGCAGCAGGCAGCAGCAAGCCCAGGCAGCAGGGCAGCGCGCGTTGATGCACGCTGCGTGTCGAACGCCGGGACCGGCCTTATTTTGCGCAAGACGCGGCAGCAAGAGCAAGATGCAGAGGCAAGAGGAGGTGCAGCACAGAAACGCCATCGCACATGCCGACGGCGCACGCCTTCCCGCGGCTCGCGGTGTGGCAGACCAGAGAGATGCCCGCGCCGCAGGGGGGCTGACTGCACGGGCGAGGGCCACGCTGTTGCGCGCTGCGCCGCACGCGCCCGCGTACGCGCGCGCGCCACCCTCACCCACGCGCAGGCGCGGACTGTCGCACCACCGCCTCGGGCCGCAAGAGCCAGAGGCCTCCCTCTCGTGTCGCCACGTCCAGCACGGATAAAGGAAGCGTCATCTGATGCCGCAGGAGAGTAAGATTAGCTCCGATGCCACAGCGCTTCGCTAGCGCAGACGATGCACGGGCGCAGAAGGCGCGCGACGCGCGGGATGCGCGGGTGCGGCGGCGCCCGTGCAGCGCGCAGCGGCTCGGAGGCGGCGGCGCTGACGAGGACGCTGCTGCTGCTCTCTGGCGGCTGGTCACCGCACCGCACCGCCTCGCGCTGCTGGTGCTGGCTTGGCGGTGTCGCGACGCTGCCCGCTGCACTGCACCCTCCTGTGCCCACGCTAGCGACGCTTTAGGCTGTGAGGCCTCGACGCAACTTGCCGGAACACATGCAGCCTGGCTTGTCCCTGCACAACGCCAGGCACAGCATGCCGATCGACAGAAGCGGTCCGAAGGGTCAGGTCATGCTGTCTGCCAGGGACTGGCGTGCACAAGCGCGAGTCTGAGCCAGCCGCAGGCCGCAGTCGCGCGCGAGGAGATCTCCTACCCGCGGGGACCAGTCGCTCGGGCCGGCACTCTGTCACTTGCCACCGACTGCGGAAGCGCCGCAGACGTGGGAATGAGGGAGGCGAGACAAGCTCGGGACGCCTTGCCCAAGGCAGGCAGACTGGCGTCGGGGCTGCGAGACCGTGCTTCCTCGAGTCAGGCTAGGCTAGGCTGCTGCGCTTAGCACGCCCGTTGCGGATAGCAAGCGTCTTCCGAGCAAGGACTGGAACGTGACAAAGCATTCTGATTCTATCTCCCTCCACCTCACAAGCGCGTTGCCGCGCCTCTCTCTCTCCTCTATATCCGGTCGCACGGGCACTCATGCCTTGCCACCAGAGTGAGCGCTCTGGCGGTCGACGCCACCAAGGCCCTTGCGCGTCTGGTTGACGCCGTGCGCCTTGAGGCGGATCGAGCTCGTGGCGATGAAGCCGCCGGCAGCCTCGACGTCGAAGCCCTCCACCACGTCCATGGACGCAGCGTCGGCGCTGTACAGCGTCTCGGACGACGAACGGCCCTCGACGATCGTGTTGCCCTTGTACAGCTGCAGAAGGCGCGAGGTCAGTTCTCTGCAGCGCCGCCAGGCTGCTCAGGCACGCTCACCTTCAGGCGCACGTCGCCGTTGACGTTCTTCTGGCTGGCCGGAATGCACGAGCGCACAAACTCGCACTCAGCCGAGTAGTACAGGCTGCGGGGACCCATGTGAGCCCGACTGCATGCGTTGCACGAGGTGCAGTGCACTCACCCGTCGTAGAGCTGCTGCGAGAAGCTCTTGGAGAGCATGGCGTCGCGCAGCTTGCGCAGCTCCTTGTCCATGACGAGGCCCTCGAGGGCAATGTGCGCCGTGCGCAGAATCGTGCCGGCCGGCGTCTCGTAGCAGCCGCGCGACTTGAGGCCGAGCAGGCGGTTCTGTGGCAGGTGTGAGCACGAAGCACGACGTGGCCCTGGGCGCGCGCGCGCAACACGCACCTCGACAATGTCAATGCGGCCAATGCCGTGCTCGCGCGCGAGCAGGTTCAGCGTGTCGAAGATCTCGACGGCGTCCGTGACCTCCTTGCCGTTGCTGCCAATCTTGACCTTGGTCGGGATGCCCGTCGTGAAGGTGATGACGATCTTCTCGGGCGTGTCGGGCGCAGCCTCGGGCGACTTGATCAGGCCCCACATGTCCTCCGGCGGCGTGTGGTCCGGGTCCTCGAGGATGCCGGCCTCGTACGAGCAGTGCATGGCGTTCTCGTCTGCGGCAGTCACGCTCAGCGTGCTGTGAGGCACAGCACATGCCAGAGAGCACTCACCAGTGGACCACGGCTTGGCCTTGCTCTGCGTGACCGGGATGCCCTTGGACGCGGCGTAGTCGAGCAGCGCAGTGCGGCCAGCGAAGCGGTTGTAGAACTCTGTGCGATCGCAGCGAGCGTGAGCGGCGGTCTCTCAGCGGAACCTGGCGCACTCGGCGACGGAGGAACTGCCGAGCACTGCCCGCCTCCGTCTCTGTACCACACCGCTGCCGCTCAGAATCACTCGCAGGTCAAGCGAACCTGCCGGCTCTCCTAGCGGAGGATCGCGGCACTGCGGCGCCAGCAGGGCAGTCATTGCTGAGCTGCACCGCATCGCCGCGGCAGTCTGAGCGCCTCAGGCGCCCCGGCGGCAGAGCCTGCGAGTGCTAGTACCTCGCGCGTCCGCTGGCTCTCCTGGGTGCGCGGGCAGACCCCTCTCCCTTGACCCCTGCCTTTGCCGTGTTCGCTCAGCTCCGTCTCTTCCTCCCTTGCAACTCACCAGCCATACGCCAAGGCGCGATCACCTTGATGTCAGGCTTGAGGCCGTAGAATGCCAGCTCAAAGCGAACCTGGTCATTGCCCTTGCCCGTGCAGCCGTGCGCCACGTACTCGCATCCCGTGCGCGCGGCCGCCTCGATCATGCCGCGCGCAATGACGGGGCGCGCGAGCGAGGTGCCGAGCAGGTACGTGTCCTCGTAGATGGCGTTCACTTGCACGGCGGGGTAGATGAGCTCCTCGATGAACTCGCGACGCATGTCCTGTGAGAGCAGTCAGGCACTGCGCATGTGCGATGTGAAAGCAGCAGGCTCACCTCGAGGATGAACTCCTTGGCGCCGCACTTGAGCGCCTTGTTGCGCGCGACCTCGAAGTCCTGGGCGAGAGGAGGGCGTGAGTTCTGGCGCCAAGGCGAGGCTCTGTCTTTGCGCCAGGTGCAGTGAGCGAGAGCGCGCGCCTCGCAGGCTCTCAGCCTGCGCTCGCCCCCGAGGCACGGGCAGCCGGCGAGGCACTCGGCTCTGCCCGCCAGGCGGCGCCCCTCTGCAGGCTGTGCGCGCCTCGTGCGCCGCACACTCACCTCGATCTGGCCGACGTTGGCCATGAAGGTGACGACATCGTAGCCCTCGTCGATGAGCCAGGCGAGGATGGTGGACGTGTCTGCGTGCGTGCGCACTGATCAGCCAACGCTGCGCCGGCCAGGCAACTGATAAGCGCATCGCGGCGCCAGCTCCACTCACCGAGACCGCCGGAGTAGGCGAGCAGGACCTTGCCCTTGGCAGCAGTGGCGGCAGACATGATACAGTGGCTGCGATGTGTGTTGAGGGATGCGGTGTGGGTGTGGTAGTGGGAGGGGAGAGGAGATGGGTGCGCCAGAGGCTGGAAGAAGCGCGAACTCGCCGAGCGCCGCGGCGCCGCGGCGCACGCCAAAAGTTGGCCCGCCGGCCGCCGGCCGCGCTCGGATGCGCCGCGTGCGTGACTCGGCGCCAGCACCACAGATGCAACAGCGCAGGCAGCCCCGCACGATTCGTTCCGTCGCCAGCACCAGCGAACCCTCAAAGGGCGCTGCAGCCCCTGGTCCGATGTGCTGCTCGAGCGCTCCAAAGGGGCGAGGGAGGCAGCGCTCAAACTTCGAGAGGCGCGCCAGCTCGGCGCGCGCGCGCGCGCGGCGCTGTCGGCCGGCCGCGCCGCTCGGCCACGTCGGGCACCGCCGGGGCGCGAAGCACCAGCCTTGCTTTCGTACGAGAGCTCCGCTCGCGCTCCTCCCCCCCCCTTGCCTCCTGCTGCCTCGACCGGCCGCTCAAGCGACAACGACGGGCCAGAGCAGCACTGTATTGCTCTCAATATCTCCGGGACGGTCCTGGGGGCTGAGTTGCACGGCTCTGTGCCGTGGTCATGTATGCATCAGACCGATGCCATGAGCCCATCACGGCTGCGTGACGCTCAGACTGCTGGCGCTGCCTCGTCTTCTTGATCAACGCAGCGGGCAGTGAGTGCGACAAGCACAGCTGCTGAGCCTCGACGCAGAGTCAGCAGATGTCTGTCTCGTCAGAAGTGCCCTGCTGCTGTGTCTTGACTGCGCGGCTCAGACCGATCCGAGCAGAGGGGTAAGCGGGCCGGCCTCCTCACGCAGAAGCGCGGGGCGCGTCCCCTCCGTGCAGCAGCAGCAGCAGCAGCAGCAGCAGCAGCAGCAGCAGCAGCAGCAGCAGCGCGACGCGCCGTGCCCTGTCGTCCGGCCACCACCCACGTCTCACGCTTCACATCCACCACGCAGCTCGCGTCGCCATCGCAGTCACACGGCAGTGAGGTGTGGAGCACAGCAGACGGGCAGCGACGAGCAGCAAATGCATTGGACGCATGGGCAGCGACAGTGACCGCGTCGAAGCGGGAGGGGAGCAGCAGGGGATGGCTCGTGAGCGAGACGTGAGCGCGGCGTTGCGGGCCGCTTTTCTCGTGGTCAGCTTGAAGCGACTGCCGAGACTGTCGTGTGGCGTCGAAGAGACAGGGAAGATGTGAGCTGCCTGCTCCTCTCAGTGGAACGCAGCCTGGTTGGCAGTGCAGCTCCACGGTGCGCCCACGCCCTTGGCAAAGCTGGTGCAGCGGATGAGGCTGTCAGCGACGCACATCTAGCTAGCGGCCAGCGGCCGGGGGGGGGGTGGGGGGGGGAGGGAGTCACTCACGTCGCCATGAGGTCCTCGGCGCTTGCATACACGCCGCACACGAGCAGGATGGCGCCCAGCACGATGGCGCCGCCGTTGAGGAAGGACCAGAACTGATGGGCGAGAGCGGTCAGGAGCGGCAGAGCGCGCGAAGCAGCGGGGTCGCGCTCACCAGGTTGGAGCCCTGGTACCAAGGACGCTCGTCCTTGAGCAGCATGAACCACATCAGTCCCGGCGCCCAGATGGAGAAGCAGGAGATGAACAGCGCCGAGACTGCACGAGGCGCGAGGTCAGTTCTCTTTCGACGACGTCGCGCAGCCCCCGCGGCCTCTGCTCACTCAGTCCGAGAATGCCGCCGAAGGAGGGAATGGACTGCGCCACCACCCAAGCGATGAGCTGTGCGAGAATGCATGCGTCAGCGCCGGCCGCTCGTCTCGCGCCGTACAGCTCTGCCGACGCACCGTGAGGAAGAGCACGATGAACAGCCACATGGCGTAGCTCTTCTTGGTGCGGCGCGCAGCATCCAGGCGGTGGATGCCCGACGAGTAGATCTTCTCGTGGATGTACACTGGCAGAGGGCGTCAGACGAGGCGAAGGAGAGGGGGGGGGGAAAGGGTACGTACGGGCGGCAGTGGTCGTGTTGATGGACCCCGAGATGAAGATGACGGGCAGGGCCACACCGAAAGCCACCTCTGCAGAGGCGCAAGAGCAAGGGGAGAGGTCAGCATTGCGACCGGGGAGCACCGCAGCGCGCTGCGGTCACGCACTCTGCACCATAGGACTGGCGGACAGGAGCGACGGGCTCTTGACGTCGTTGCCCACGAAGACGTAGATGACGGCGCCGATGGTCGTGTAGAGGAAGATCTCGGTCTGGCAGCCGAGGGCAGTCAGCAGCGGTCGACACGCGTCTGGAGCGCAGGAGGCACACGCACCAGGCCAAGCGTCCACAGCGCCTTCTTGTACTCGGCCGGGTGCTTGAGCTGCGACGACATGCTCGGCAGGCACTGTGCGAAGGCGTACGCGAACGCAATGTTCGTCACCGCCAGGAAGGCCTCGGCAAACGTGGGCTGCTCGTCCGCCGGCCGGAAGGCGTGCCACGTGGTCGCGCCCATGCCGCCCGGCTGCTTCGTGGCCTCGATGCCCGTGGCGACCATCGTGATCAGGATGGCCACCGAAATGCTTAAACAGTCAACATAGCCCAGGATAGACATGTCGTGGAAGTTGGTGGGCAGCGCGAGGATGTAGAGCAGCACGGCACCGATCATGGAAAAGACGATGCTGCAGATGGCCTGCAGTGTGCGAGGCATGAGCGAGGAGCAGCAGTGAGAGAGGGTGATGGACTCACGTTGGTGGACAGCACGTTGAACGCAATCACGCTCGTCAGCACGTGGCTCGCCGTCGTGAGCGTGAGGAGGAGCACAAAGGACACGGCAAAGTAGACGTATCCGGCCTTGCCGAACATCAACTTCCCGATGCCGGGGTAGTCCATGACCTCGGGGTAGCGAAACTTGACTTCGCCGACGTTGAGCGAGCAGTACGTCGCCAGGAAGCCCATGAAGATCGTCAGGATCACGCCGGGCACGAGACCGAGCGTGGCCATGCTGGCGGGCATGGAGAGGGAGCCGAGCGCGATGGCTTCGACGATGAGGCAGATCGTGAGGCGAGGCCAGGAGAGCCTGGGCCAGCAGCGTGAGCAGTGCTGAGCGCCGACGAGCAAGACGCGCGCGCGATCTCACGAGTGGAACTTGGCATTCGTCTCCTCGAGATCCTTGACCGTCACTTCATAGCCGCCCTTGATGGAGCCGGGCGTGGAGTCGGGCACGTACTCGCGCTGGTACTTGTCGCGGTACTCCGTCATGGTGGACGAGGCGGTCAAGAGGTGGAGCAAAGAAGAGTGCAGGTGAAGCGCGAGGGCAAAGCCAGTTGCGTCGCGGCGAGGCTGGTGTGGTAGAAGGCGAAGAAAAGAGCAGAGGACGAGCTCGGCAGAGGAAAGAAAAGATGAGGAGCGAGCCGACCGAGGCCCACCGGGTCGAAGCTCGCTTTATACCCTGCACCCACGTCACACGACCGAGCAGAGATGGCTATATTTGGCTGCCTGTGCGTCACTCACCCGCCGCACAGGCCCTGAGCGCGGCTGAAGCTGGGGCCTCGGCGTGAAATAGACTCGGCGAGAGGCCGGCAAGCTTGCGCCCACCTCCTCACCTCCTCTAGATAAGCTCAGGAGCACGGCTCCGGGCGGCGGGCGGAATCAAATGAAGCGAGCACTGCCGCGGCGGTGGCTGCTTGCGCCTCAAGGGGCTGCGGCCGCGAGGGCTTCCTCTTCTTCCTGAGCCGCGACAGCGCTGTATTCAGCCAACAGGTGCGCTGCCGATGATGTGTCATCTCGGCTCCCCGCAGTAGAGTGTATGAGCCTAGATCCGTGTGACGTGCTCAGAGCTCGTAGCGGGAGTGCGGCAGCAGATGTAGGGGCGCCCGGCACCCGGGCTGTCGAGGGGGCTCGAGAGGCCGAGAGGCGGGGAGCATCCCATTGCTCTGCAGCCTGCAGGCAGGTCATCAGTGAGGCTGCAGCTGCATCCCATGTCGCGTGACGAGGCCGAGCTGTGCTCAGCCCCGACCGACTACGCCCACGCGCCGCATGCCGCACTGTGCCGCCCGCCATTCACTGGCCGCCAGACAGGGGTGCAAGGCTAAAAGCAGCGGAAGTGCCGCTGCGGCAGAAGAGGAGGCATGGTGTGCTTGCTGTCCATCGGTCGTGCGAGAAGGAGGGGCAAGAAGAGCGAAAGAGACGAACCTCATCAGCGAGCGAAGGCAGAAGGGAGCAAGCGCCTCGAGCTTGCTCAGGGGCCTTCGTCAGGGGCACGCGGCTGGGCGCGTCACGTGAACGCCGCGGCGCCGGGTGCCGAGTGCCGAGGCTTCAGTGGGGCGCCGCGCCGCCTCCACATGGCCTGCCTCTCGTCCGCCTTGGCTGCGCTCCACCATCCCCTCTCTCATGGCATCTCTGGCCGCTCACGCAGCGCTGCATGCCTCTCTCTCGCCGCTGCAAGATCTGCCGGCGCGTCAGCAGGCACTGCAGGCGGACGTCATCGATGCAGCAGCAGCGGCGACCACACAGCGTGCGCACGTCGAGCGCGCTCGCAAGGGTGTCGATGCTGCGCGCTTGGCGCTGAGCGGCGGATGGCTCAAGGGGCTTGGCAAGAGAGGGAGAGAGCGCAAAGAGGCGCTGCGAGCCGTGAGTGGACTCATCAAGGCCGCACATCTCGTGGCGCTGAGCCGCGGCACAGGCGCAAGAAGCCCACGCAGCGCAGCTCGAGACGCTCGCGAACATCGAGCGCCGGATAGAGAAGCTGCGCGCGTTCGACGAGGATGTGAAGCTGGGCATGTCGAAGCGAGAGGCGCTGCTTGGAGAGATCGATGCGTGAGTGACGCGCAATGAGGCGCTCGGGCGGTGTCCTGATGCTGCGACACAGCATGGACGACGTGCTTTTCGCTCGGTGCTCAGGCGGTACGTCCCGCTCCTGTCCGCCTCCTTTATGCGCCGGCTGATGTCTCGCATCCTCAGCCTACCCCGACGTCACCTCCGCCGAGGTACGCTTCCTCACGCTGCGCAGCGCAGCGGAGCTTTTGCGCGCCGAGATACCGCGCGAAGCACGCGCTCGCTCCCATGTCTCGGGCGCCGAGAAGGCGGCAAAAGAGATGGTGAAGGAGCTCCAAGCTGCTTTGCAGCATGGAATAGATGTCGGAGTCGCTTCAAACACCAAGTACACTCGACAAGTACGCGGCCTTTCCCTGCCGCTTTCGAGTCATCGCTGATGTCGGTTTCGAGCAGATCGGACGAGGAGCGACACCCCACGTTACGGCCAAAGGGATGGAGCCCCGGGTCCGCACCGCCAAGATCCTGTCCGGACGCATGTACGAACGCATGGCTGAAGCACGCGTGATCCAGCCCGAAGTTCGGCCTCTGCCTACACTCGACATCGTCGAGCTGTACAAGCTGCCCGGCCGACGACGACAAGACTCACTCAGCGAACAGGTGAGCCCGCTCCCCCGCCTCCATGCACAGTACTGTGCTCGCATGCTGACACCGCAGCAGGACTTTTGTCGATCCATAGAAGCGAGCTATGCACAGGCAAGACACTGCGCCTCGCATTTGCGTTACGGGCTGCGAGCGTCAAACGCGCGCGAAACGGCCGCCCGAAGCGCGTTGAGAGCGCTCGAGCTCGAAGTGCTCGCGGCGCGAGAGGCGCTGAGGGAGTGTCGACGCGCCGTGGTGGCGGAGGCAGTGCGTGTCGGAGAGACGCAGTTGCTGCCGAGAGCGGAGAAGCACGGGGGGAGGGAGGATGAGGTGGAGCAAGGAGCGAGAAGGAGATTGAGGGAGGTGCTGAAGCAGTGCAACGAGCTGGGACGCGCGGCGGATGTACCGCCTGAGGATGAGGATGGCGCGGGATGGGACTTGCTCATGGCCTGAGGACGCCTCCCCTTCTCTCGCCACGCGTGGATGGTCAATCTATACCCTCACCAGTCCATCAGCACGACGTAAGGGGGATAGCGTGGGTATGATTGCTATGTACTGCCAGCCCTGGCTGCGAGGGGAAAGACTACAAGACACGATCTAGGGGCACGAACGAGGCCAGCGGGTCCGAGCGAAGGGATCGAGACAAGAGTCATGGAGCGCAAAGGAGGGCGAAAGGGGCAGACGCTGTGGGATGAGTGTGCTGGCGGGCGGGCGCGAGTGGCTGCGTCCGAGGAGAGAGATGATGCGCAGGTGAGAGGGCACGGAGAGGGACGGAGCAGCGGGGTTGGCGAGGCCCTGCGCTCTACGTCGGAAGATGCATCGGGCGAGGAGATCGGCTCGAGGCAAGGCAAGCGGCACGTCGTCAGAGGCGGCGAATCTCTGATTTGTGCGCTTGACTTGTTCTTGGCGATGTCCAAGCTTGCACTTTGTCCATGTTGCCTTGTTCTGTGCTCTCTCTCTCTCTCTCTCTCACTGCGCAAGAGCAGCGCGCGAAGGCTTGCGCTTCGGCGTGCGAGCGCGAGCTGCCGCCGAAGCAGGCGACGAGGGCATCGGCGGTGCGCCGCTCGTTGCAGCGGCAGCCATAGCGGTGGCCATGTTGGGCGAGCTCTTGTGGCGCTTGACGGCGCGCGGTTGAGCGCTCTCGTCTCCCAGCGGGCTACTTGCATCGAGCGAGACGGAGCCATCCCGACGATCCTCCCAGCGCGGGCCCGAGCGACGGGCGGCGCTCGTCGAGGCGGTCATGCCCTGCGAGCCAAAGTCGCGCACCGGCGATCCCTCGTATCCCGCGTCCGCAGCAGGCGATCCCGATCCGTAACCGCGGAGGGGAATCTTGTAGCTTCCACTGGGAGCGACTGCCGCGCACAGCTCGTCGGCATCCTCAATGCCGTAGTTGACGAAGCTGATCTTGCCGGGGCGAGGGTTCTCCGGCTCCGGAGCGTACTCGGGCGCAGCGCGACGACGGGCAGTCTTGCTTCCTGAAGCACTGCTCGTCGTAGAGCTGCGCGCACGAGAGCCAGAGGCGTACTGCTGGGGCATCTCGGGCATCGGCGGCTCAGCTGCAGAGGCACCGAGACGACGATTGCTGGCGATCTTGCGGATCGTGGGCGTGCCGGTGGGCGGGCTGCGCAGGTTGGGAGTGCTCTTCTGCTTCTGCGGCGAGCGCGGCGGCGAAGGCGGTGCCAGCGAAGCGAGCGAGTTCATCGAGTTGGGCGCCTTGTGAATGCCCTGTTGGCGCTGCATCGGCTGTTGCTGCAGCGCAATAGGCGCAAGCGAAGGGTTGCCAAACACGTGGCCATAGACGCTGGCGTCGACGGCATGCTGTTGCTGAGCGGGCAGCGCAGAGAGACCAAGTGCGTTGCCGAGGCCGTTGCTGGGACGACGAGCGGCGCCGCTGATGCTGTTGCGCGGCGCACCAAGCGTCATCGTCGAGTAGCTGAACGGCACCTCTGCGCCGCCAGCCGACTGGGCAAAGTCGTCGAACATGGGCGCGTAGTTGAACGACGGGCTTGCGCCAGGACCAGGCGCCAGCGGGTGCATGGGCGTGATGGGCGTCGGCAGACCTGCGCTGCTCAAGCCGGAGCTAGAGTTGCGACGCTGGCCCACCGGGCTGGTCGTCGGCTCGTGTGCCTCCATACCGTACAGCAGCGCAGCCTGCACCGCACGCGCAGCGCGCTCACTCGACTCCTGGCCGGTGAACTGCTGCGAGGGCGTGACGAAGTCGGAGTAGACGCCGAGACGTGCGGCCGTGTGTTGAGCAGTGTAGACGCGCTGCAGCTGTGCTACGCGGTCTTGCTGCGCCGGCGTGAGGTTGGCCCACGTGTGCGAGAGGGGGAATGTGGCGCTGCGAGAGTGCTGCAGGCCAGGGTACGGCAGAGGCTGGCACATCTGCGGCGCCGACATCGAGCCTTGAGCAGGCGCAGTGTTGACGGGCGCAGGCTGCGGCATCTCGCCGTCGTGCGTAATGGCACGACGCTGGAAGAGCGCTCCCTGCTGCGGCGCACAGGCGGCAGAAGCGAGACTTCCCTGGGCCGCAGACGAGGAGGAGCCGCCCGCTCCGCCTGCGTTGCTGCTGGACGAGAAATTCTGCTGCTGCTGGTCTGTGTCCACAGGCTCGTTTGTAGCATCCCAAGCCACGTCCTCGAAGAGGTTCTCGAGCTGACTGCGCGTCGAGGCAGGCTCGGGCAGCGTGGTGGCGCGCTGCAGCTGCGGCGCACTGATGGTGGAGCGCAGAGCACGCGGCGAGGTGGCCTCCTCAAAGAGACCGGCTGCCGAGCCTCCGGGCAGCGAAGCGGCGCCGGGCGAAGGCGGCGAGACCTGCATGCCTGCCATGCCAGCTGGAGCACGACGAGTGCGGCGCAGCGAACGGCCGGAAGTGGCCTTGAGCCAAGCGGCGTCGGGCGAGTCTTCGTCGTCCGAGTCGGCTCCGGCCAGTGCGGCAAGGTTGCCGGCAGAGTTCCACGCGGGCAGAGGCGCGAAGGTGGCAGAGGCAGAAGGCGCGTTGGCGCCGTAGCTGCTCTCCGACGACGAGCTGTGCGAGTCAAAGACGAGGTCGTCGACGTGCAGGCCGTCGATGGAGTACTGCGGCTCTGTCGTGGAGTGTCAGCCAACACGACGGCGCGGCACACATACGGCAACCCTGTCTGCCCTCAGCTCTCGTCACGCGGCGCACTCACCAGCAGCAGCGCCCCACAACTTCGCCGCCGTCTCGCTATGCGCCTGCAGCAGCGGCGTCCAGCTGAAGCTAGGGCTGGCCTCGCCGGCAAAGCCCTTGTTGCCGAGCAGGTCGAGATGGCTCATCGCCACGCTGGCGTCAAAGGAGAGGGGCGAGAAGAGGGCCGAGTCTGCGGCAGCGGTGCCCGTGGCGGCTGGACTCTGCGGCGAGCGAGCGCGCAGGGAGGAGGAGAAGTCGGAGGCGTCGGGCTGCGGGAAGCGTGCGTGGGGCATGCTGGACCGAGGCGAAGGGGAGGCGCTACTTGTACCAGTGAGCCAATCGGTGTGAAAGCAGCTGAGCGGGCGCCGCAGCGGACCGTGGCTTGCCTGCTGCGCCCGCATGTGACACTCACACGAGGGAGAGGGATGCGGCCGGGCAAGCTACGGAGAGCACGCCGCGGGCGGAAAGGGTCCAGCCGCCGCTAGGGCTGGGAAGCGGGAAGTGGAGGGCAGGGCCAGCCTGCAGAGGGCTACGGAAGAGGCGCGACGATTGTGGGAGAGGAGCAAGGAGCGTAGGAAGCGGCGGGCAGCAAGGTGCCGTCGCTGGTCGGGGCAAAAGGACGTCGGACCGGAAAGGGCAGCACACGCGCGAGCAACGAGCGGGCAGCCACGGGAAACGCTGCGACTGGCGGAGATACGAGAGGAGCCTGCCTCTTGCAAGAGATGCAGCAGTCGAGCGTGAGAAGAAGGAGAGGAGACGGAGGCGAAAGAGTGTGGGAGAGGGCAGTGGGATGCAGGGTGGAGGCGGGAAGGAGGGCAGGATGGAGGCGCGGCGCCGGATGCAGCCCAGGCGGGCGCGGGCGCGCGCGCGGGGCGGCCACGCGCGCGCGGCAAGCGGCGCGGCAGCGCCAGAGACGGCAGCGGCAGCCACGCCGCGCCCCGCGGCAGGTGTTGGTCTTCGACGCGCTGCCGCTGCCCGCTAGAATCCGCAGCAGCAACGCGCCGCAGCGGCACTCGCCGGCATCGGCCTCGTCTGCGTCGTCTGCGTCGGCGGCCGGCACAGGCAGGCAGGCTGCGCCATAAGTTGGCCCGCAGTACCACTTGCGCCCGCTCTCCGCAGGCGCCGCAGGGGGCCGAGGAGGAGGAGGACGTGCAATGGATGCGCGGCGAGGGAGCAACGCGACACCCGCGGCCGACTCCGCCCTCGAGCCTCCGACACCGCTGCATGGGACGACGCAGTCGCCTGCTGCAGCTGCTGCTCGCCTCGCACCTCTCCTGCTGCACTGCAGCGGGCTCGGCATTCGGCTCACCTGCCGAGCAGCACGCTCGTGTGTCTCGCTGCTCGTGTGCGCGGTGGCGCCGTGTCGAGGCACCTTCTCCCTCTCATGGAAGCGTGAGAACGCCACTTGCGACATGCCCATCCATGCAGGCACACTTCGCAGCGACGCAGCGACGCCGCATCGGCTCGGCGGCGCTGGCGGCAAGTCGGCCCACCCGCTCCCCGATGCGCGGCGGGCAGGGTGCGGCGACGATGGGCGCAAGCCGTGGCCCCTGGCGCTGCGGCCCGGGCATCGGCGCCAACGGCGAGGCGCTGCTGGCGCTGGGGGACGAGGCCTCCGAGTCCGAGTCCAGCTCAGCATGACATCGCAGCACCTGCGCTGCTGGGGTCGACACTCCTGCTGCGCACAGCATCATGCAGGGACATGCAGCGCAGCAGCGTGCCCGCAGCTGCGGCCGAGACCTTCCCCATGGACGGGCATCGCGACGCCTCGAGGCGCAGCACGGGCAGAACAGCAGTGAAGCCGTGCCTCCGATGCCTCGAGTAGTGAGACGGGCCGTGTCAGCACCACGAGCAGGCCCGCCCGACAGCCCCCCGAGCAAGCAGCTGCGCTGCACAGGGGCAGCGCTGTGTGGAAGACACTTGAGAGGGAAGATGAGATGCTCTGCCCTTCGTGCGCGACGAGGTGGGCTAGCTGCATGCACCGCGGCTCTTCACGTGCGCGACAGACACAGGCGAGATGCCTCGACTCGACTGCGCGACACGGCGTGGATGCATCGCTCAACACCGCCTGCCGCCTGCTCGCCGCTGCGGCGTGCCTGCCGCTTGCTCCGTCCGAGCTTGCGCCGGCGCAGCACGAGGCAGCAACCGGCCGAGGCTACTAGTCCGAGGCAGAAGCCCAAGAGCCGGACGGACTCACAGAGGCCGAGGCGCAGGTCTGCAGTTGCTGAGCAGCGTGCTGGGCGAAAGGGCGCGACAGACCGCGTCGCGCCGCCGCCGCCGCGCGGCCTCAGCGCGCAGGTGCCGGCACGGCCTCCGGCATCCGCCCGAGGCTTTCGCTGCGACAAGCCCGCACGCTGAGCTCGGCATCCGGACTGCGAGCAGCGCTCGGACAGCCTGCCGTCGCTCGGGCGAGGGGAGCAGTCTCTCAGCACGCCGGGAGCGCTGCACAGCGACGCCACTCGTCCGCCAGCCGGCGGCTCGTCATGCTCCGAGAGGGTCCGCTCGCCCGCCTCATCGTGCTCACGCAGGCAAGATGGAGGATGCCGCGAAGCCCATCCGGCGACAGCGCAGCGTCAGGCGCTGGCGACATGCCCGTCGGCGAGCGTGCCTTGCGCTCGGGGCGTTGGTGCGACAGCACGCAGCGCCGTGGCGCTAGCGAGTTGTCATGCGTCGCTGCGAACTCGGGAACGGGAGCGGGCATGCGCAGGAGCGACCACGCCACCGTCAGCGTCAGCGTCGGGCCAGTCAGCGACCAGCTGGGCCAGGCCACACGAGAGAGGTGGAATGGGACGAGTAATCATTAACAAAAGGGTGACTGCGCAGGACCATGTAGGGTGGTGCGCGCGCAGCCAAGGTCAGCGAGCGAGCGAGCGGGCGAGGTTCTCGTATCCTACAGAGTTGGGTGTATAACAAGGGGAAGGGAGGGAAGTGGGAGTGGTCCGATCAAGACATACATACGAAGAAGATGTGTGTAGGTGTGTGCAATGTATCGCCGCGTGCGGAGCGAGTCTGAAAGAGGGGCCAGAGGAAACGGCCACCCGCGAGGTAACTTCTCCGCACGAGAGAGGACGCGCGCGATGCAGATGATGACGGGACGACAGTGAGGTAAGTTGGGTATGGAATGGACAAGAACGAGAGAGAGGTGGAGGGGTGAGCGAGCGGTGGGACTACCAAGACGAGATCTATCAGTGTATGTGGGGCTTGCGCTGGTAATAAAGAGAGAGATGGAGAGGCCGAGTGGTGGATGAGTGACGGCGCCTAGGCAAGCTTGGGCGAGGGACCGAGCGGCAGGCTGGGGTGCGCAATCGTCGCGTTGACAGCGGGCGCCGAGACCGTCTTGGGCATGCTGCTGACGGCCGGTGCGGCGCTGACCATCGGGCGCGGAGCAGCGGGTGCAGGCGCGGCGGCGACGCCGGCGGGCTTGACGGGTGCGGGGCCAGCGACGGGAGCCATGGGACGCGCGGCGAGAGCGGCCTTGGCGGCCTGGGCAGCCTGGTTCGCCGGCACGGGACGGGCGGCGTTCTGTGCGGCAACGGCAGCCTGGGCAGCGGCGGCGAGCTGCGCGCTCGTCAGCGTGTTGGTGCTGACTGCCGGACGGCCCGTGGCGCCGTCCACGCGCGCGGACTGCCCGCCGCCGTTGGAGGAGAGCAGGGCGAGGCCGAGCATGCCGTGCGAGCCCGAGTGCAGGTAGTGGTAGCGCAGGCCGTTGAGGTTCTTGTAGCGCTTGCCGCACGCGCCCACCTGGCACAGGTACATCTTCTCCACCTTGTACTCGGTGTTGGCGGCGAGCGCGGCGGTGGCAGCCGTGCGCGGGCTCGTGGGCGCAGACGACGTCGGCGTCGGCGTGCCGGAGAGCGCGGGCGAGGCCGCGCCAGCCTTGGCAGCGACGCCAGTGTTGATCGTCGGGCGTGCCGGCGAGCCGGCGACGGGCCGCGTGGGCGTGGCGGCGCGCGAGCCGGCGGGCGTCTGCTGCATCTGCTGCGACGGCGGCAGGTTGTTCTGGTTGCAGTGGCCGTGCAGGCGGTGGTACTTGAGGCCGTTCATCTGCTTGTACGCCTTGTCGCAGCCGGGCGCCGGGCACTTGAACGGCTTGTCGACGACGAGCGTGGCGCCGGGGCGCGAGATGTGGCTCTCCGGTGCGGCACCGGCAGCGACGGCGGCGCCGGCAGTGTTGATGCGCTCACGCTTCGTCGGCGGCTGCTGGGCGGCGCTGGCAGCGGCGCCGCTGCCGCCCGAGGGGAAGAAGAGATTCGGCGGGGCGCAGCTCGGCAGCGTGTTCTCGGCATCGAAGCCGCCGCGCAGCGACAGCGACGAGAACGAGGGCGTGACGCCGCCGAAGAAGGCCGCGTCGTCGGCGTCGCCGATGGGCGTGCCGGGGATGGACGAGTCGGGCGTCGAGAAGGGCGAGTTGACCGAGTAGATGGACGGGGCGCCGCCGGCGCCGGCACGGCCGACGCCGCCGTCGATGAGCGCACGGCGCAGCGACTGGTGCACGGCGCTGTTGCTCGTGCCGCTCGAGTACTGGCCGAAGCTGCGCTTCTTGCCCTTGAGGCCCGCAGCGCCGGCGACGGCGGGGAAGGCGGATGCGTCGTCGAAGTCGGCACTGCGGCGGGCGCTGGGAGCGCGCGGGCTGGGCGGCTGCGACGACGACGAGGCCGAGGAGCTGCTGCCGGAGTGGTCGTCGTCGGACATCATCGTCGGCATGTCGTCGTCCTCGAAGCGCACATGGCACTCCTCGTAGTGCTGCAGCAGGTCGTGCAGGTCGTCGAGCGCCTGGCCGCAGCAGGTGAAGTCGCGACAGAACGTCGTCTCGAGCTTGCGCGGCATGGATGTCGACGGCAGCGCGGTCATGTCCGAGTCGACGGAGGAGGCGAAGCGGTCGGAGAAGCGGTCGATGGAGTAGTCCATGATGCTGGGGCAGGGTCAGCAGGTGCTGACGAGGTGACCGCGTCGTGTGCTGCGGCGGCATGCTCCACCGACGGCCGCCAGTCCACCAACGAGGGCGCTCCGCCATCTGGCGACGACACTCACTCAGCAATCTCCTTGCCCGTCGAGAAGGCCATGGCCTCGCGGAATGAGGCGCTGTTGGGCGTGGCGAAGCTGCCGGGCTTGAGGGCGCCGAAGGAGTCGAGGTGCGAGGGCGAGCGGGCGATGGCGATGGGCGCGGGCATGATGGGCGAGGGGTGGGTGTGATGGAGACGAGGGTGATGGATGATGATAAGCGAGAGCGAGCTTGAGAGGTCGGGTCGGGGACGGGTCGATTAGGTGCGCAGTTCAGGGAAGGGTGCGCTTTTGGGGGGCGGGCAGACAAGGTGCCTTTTGAAGCGTTGCTGCAGGTGAGCAAGCTAAGAGGTGTGGGTGTCGAGAGTCGACTTTTGGGGTGCGGACGCCGGGTGCGCAGTGTAAGGGACGGGGTGAGGCTGGAAGCGGGGGTGGGTGAGGGCAAGAGGCAAGCAGCATCCGCGCGAGGCGGGTACGGCGCGGGCGGGCGCCGTGCGGTGACTGGCTGCGCGCGGCGGCCGCGCCTGGGGGGCAGCGCAGCCGGCGCCGCGACGGTGTGAGGCGAGGGGCAGCGCGCGCGCCGCGCGCCAGCCCGGCCACACAGGCGCAGCGCCCGGGCGTGAGTGGTGCGCCGCGCCCGCTGTGCCGTCACACTGCGAGCGTGCGAAGGTCGGGCGGCGCAGCGGCAGGCCGGCAGCCGCGAGCGCAACGTCCAGCCGCGGCAAGGTCTGACGCAGCATGCAGCGCCAGTGCCCGGCTTCGCTCCTGTTGGCTCTACACTGGCGCCACGCCCAGGGCCATTGCCACTGTGAGCGGCACCTGGGTGCGCCCGCGGCGCGCCTGCCCGAGCGCTTGCACGCTAGGCGCCGCACACTGCCGCTGCGCCTGCGCCGTGTTGAGCCGCCGGAACAGCTGCGCGGCGGAGTTTGAAGTGGTGAATCTTATGCCTGCGCAGCCGAGGGCCACGGCACACAACCCGTCTCGGCGCACGCGCAGGCGTTCTGGGCCAAGAAGCGCGGCGGTGCCGGAAACGGGCCCGCGCCAACGGCTGCAGCCACGGCGCCGCGACGCTCGGGCGGCCGAGCTGCACGCTGCAGTGGGCCCTGCGCCGCCGCCGCGCCTCCGGAGCGGGCGCATCTCCGCCCGGGCAGCGTGGCACGGCACGGCGGCGGCGGCACCGGCAGCGGCGCTGGGCGCGTCCACTGAGATTCGCGCACAGCCGGTCCGCCACGCCGGCTGCGCTCCTCTTTCCACGGGCGGCTTCATTTTGGCGCTGCGGGCACCCTGCGCCTACTTGCAGGCTGCATGCCTGCAGCCGCTCGAGGTGATCCGCCGGGAGCCTTGCTGCTGCTGAGCCTCTCTCCGCCGTCCCGAAGAGCGCGCCGCGCCGCCTAGGAGGTCCTTCCCGAGATGGGCTGACGCGGCCTCTTGTCCGTGGCTCCTGAGCGCGTGCGGCGAGGGGCGCAGAGTGCAATACACTGTGACTCTCCTGGCCTAAAGGGCAGCCACAGCGGCGAGAGTGCGCTGCGAATAGACACGGCATGACGTCGGAGCCGAAGCGCGAGGCGCGGCTCTCGCGGCCCCGTCGACGCTGGGCGCCTCGCAGGCGCCCAGCGTCGACGGGGCCGCGAGAGGGGCGGTGGGCCGGTCCCGAGCGCCATGGCAGCGGCTTGGCCACAACCGCGGCGCCCGACGGCTCCCCTCGCCTCGCTCGGGCGACCTCCTCCATGATTGGCCCGCCTTCTCTGGCGACGAATGGACGACGAGGGACGCCGAGCAAGCAACCTTCGGAGGCGTCCCATGCGGGCACCCTCGGGCTCACCTGCAGCGCCGCCATTGGATTGGCGCTCAGAGCGCAGCATGCAGGCGGCTTCTGGCTGCATCTCGTTGCATGCTTGTGTGGGTACAGCTGCAGCGCCGAGTGCGCTAGGAGCAGCGGGAGGGGTGCGCAACAGAGACGCAGGCATGCGGCGCGGCGCAGACGCCGCACCCGCACCGCAGCTGCGCAAGCCAACGACCCGACCCGGCATCGCCTCGCCGCCTGAGGCTCTGCGCCAGCTGCACTGCACCCGACGTTCTCGCAGTGCCAGCAGGCAGCATGCACAAGCCTCCAGCTGAAGCCGGCATGCACGAGCAAGAGCGGGTGCACGGAGCGGGCTCGCACCCTCACTTGCCGCACCGCCGCCCGCCGCGACAGCCGCCACGATGGAATGCTCCGCGCACCGCACCGCCGCAAGAAGGGCGAGGCTGGACCCACATGCCAGCATGCAGCACCCCGCTCCGAGTGGGTGCACTTGCATGCTGCACGCCCCCGCCACCGCTCGGCACGCTCGGAAGCGGCGAGGGCTGCTGAATCAACAGCATGCCGCCGTCCGAGCCTCGCTGGGTGCGCGCTCGGCGTTGTCGCCGTGCGGATCCGGATGGGCGCGACGGCGGCGACGCCCACGCTCTCAGACAGCGCCCGGGGTTCAAGCGCGCGGGTGGCGGCTGCAAGTGCGTCCGGCGCTGCTGCCGCGCTCGCGCCTCTCCGGAGAACTCGACGCTGCGAGACGGAGCCAGCCGTGTGGCTCTGGCGCTGCGCCGGAAGAGTGGCGTGTGGTGTTCCGGGCGGAGTGCGAGCCACGCCGCCGCCGCGCCTTCGCCCTCGGAGCCGAACGCGCCTTCGCCATGGTCGTCTGACCGCGTCCGTCGCACCCTCGGCCCAAGCAGCATGGCCCCGCACTCACAGATCTTGACAGCGCGCGCTTGAATACAATGCAGCGTGTGCATGTGGGAGCGCGGTGCCCGTCTTGGCTTGCGCCGCAAGGAGGTGTGCGCCAAGCGAGGCCCGCCCGTCGTTGCAGGCTCGGCAAGCGCACGAATTGACAACGACGAGCGAGCGTCCGCGAGGCGAGTCTTGATGAGGGCACGGCACGGCCGCGGCCTCTCTCGCGCTGCGCGGCGAACTCGAGCGTTCGGCGGTGTCGCCGAGGCCACGCGGTGCCGGGCAGCCAACGACTCTCGGAGCGCTGCCCGAGGCGCCGCCGCGCCGAGGCTCCGCGCGAGCAAGCTGCACCTGCGACGGCCCGGCGGGCTACGAACGGCCGCTGCGCCGAGGTGCTCGGGCAGAACGCAGCAGCTCTGCAGCGCTGCTGCTGATGCTGATGCTGCCGCTGCGCTCTGGGCGTGGGCAGCGCCACACACAGCGCGCAGCTGCCTTGCAGTGCTGCAGCACCACGGCACGCTCGGCAGCAGCGCGGCAGCAGCCGGCTTCGAGCGCCTCGCAGCCGCGCTCCGACTCGACCTGGCCGCTGTTTGCCGCGGCAGCACGAGAGGGCAGCGCAGCGCACGACATGACGTCGGGAGCGTGGCGCTAGAACGCAGGCCCATGGGCCGCATGAACGTCGGCCGCGCAAGCAAGCAGCTTCGCGAGAGATGGCCGAGCGCCGAGCCACCCGACTCTGCGCCTTGGCTGCTGACGCTGGCCCGCCCACGTCACAGCCTCCGCACCGCAACCGAGCGCCCTTGATAGTTTTGAGCGCCCAAGCTAGGCACGGCTGCATGAAAGGTCGCTCGGACGCTGAGCGTGACCGCGGCCAGCAGGTGCAGCGCCGAGCTCGCCGCCTCCTCTCATGCTGCTGCCTCAGCTCGGAGGCTCGGAGAGTAACGGCAGCAGCAGCAGCAGCAGCAGGGCCCTCCTGCTGATCAGCGCCAGATCACCGCTCACTGTTGCGCTGGCCGCCGCCGGGGGTGGTGCTGCTTTGGCTTGGCCCGCTGGCCGCAACTCTGCGGCGACTAGGCATGGTCCAACCTTGTCCAACAGCAGGGCGTTACGCCGACGAGAGGTTCGATTGAGCCGCCTGCACCGCACCCGCACGAATGCACCACCCACATGGCGACCACGTCGTGCGGGTGCACGGGCGCTGCGGGAGACAGGCGCACCAAATGAGCGACCCACACCTGCGGATGCTGGCGAAATACTGATGGCGCTCCACGCTCATGCGTGACGTTCACCCTCGCCCGAGCGCCGGATGTGGAGAGAGCATGAATGCCCATCTCGGGGAGATGTGATAGGCACGGGCATGGTCGCGTGCACACGACGTTGCGAGGCGGGCCGCTGCACAGAGCCCGGCGCCTCGAGGTGCGCCAGAAGCTGCGGTGACTTTGATGAAGAGCGATCTCACGGCTTGCGTGTCGCGTCACACGACGTCACTCGACTCCTCGGGAAAGCGCTCCTTCGTGTACACTGCATGCCCATGCTACCGCGCTACCCGGGGCGCCACGAGCTGGATGAAGTCCTCGATCTGCGCGACGTACGAGTCGGGCAGCGAGTGCTTGGCCACGAAGGCGAGCGCTGCCTCATGGGCGTCATCTGCGTTGCGCCAGGTCAGCGACTGCCACCGCGATGCACAGGTAGTCCGCTTCTGCGCACCGGCAGCGTTGAGCCCGAGCTGCAGCGGCGGCGCGTCGTCGCTGACGTCGATGCAGAGCACGGCGTCGTACGGCACACCATCGAGCAGCTGCCGCTCATTCTGCGGTGCCGCATCGCCGCTGGCCGCGATCACCTCCGCCGTAGGCCTGTGGCAGCGTGAGCGACGTGCCAGCGCGCTCTGTCGCTCGACTCACCCGCCGCTGCGCTGCGTTCGCTTCACTACTTCCGCGCAGGCCTCGTCGTGCGCGCGACGCTCTGCCTCGTCGACCTCGCCATCCTCGGCGTGCCCAGTCGTGTACATGCAGATCCGTCCGGTGTTCGAGGCGGCGGCAAGGTCGCCGCACGGCAGCAAAGCTACCGCCCAAATGCTGATGCTCGGCTGTGCAATCGTGTCCTGCAGAGCCGCGCCTGTTGGACGTTCAGCACACGGTCGTCTGAGCCCGGCGCTCTACTCACTCTCCCAGCTCCACAAACGTACCGCGCCTTCTTCGCCGGCAGTGGCAGCCAAGCTGCCCTGCGCAGCCGCAGCGTAGACGAATGGCTCGCGCGGCGTGGACAAGACTCGCAGTGCCTCGCCGCCGCTCGTGGGCACGCCAGGTGGGCTGCGCCGCTCATCCAGCGACCATACTCGCGCACTGCCGTCGTTGGACGTCGTGAGGAAGAGCGACTCTGCGGCGTAGAACTCGGGCATCGCTCCGTCGAGTACTCGAGGCTCGTTTAGGGGGACTAGCGCTCGCACTACGTCGTCGTGTCCAGCCCACACGCGCACGAGCGACGAGCCATGGAAGAGACGCACGAAGCGATCAGCGCCCGCTACAGCGCAGCGCAAGTCAGCTACGGCTTGTCCGCTCGGCAACTCCCACTCACAAGTCAGCACTCGTGGCTCCCCCTCGTGCACTCCGCACACGCTAGCGTCCCAGACGGCACAGTCATGCCACATGGTGTCGAGTGACGTCCATGTCTCCTCATCATCGGCACGGCTCCAGGTACGTGCAGAGCCGTCCCAGCTTGACGACACGAGAAGATGGCGTGTGCCGTCGACGAACGAGTGGAGCGCAGTTACGTTCGCCTCGTGGCCCGAGAGACGGAGCCCTTTGGAGACTGGAGCGCCGCTCTGCGCCGCGGCTGGGAAGGGAAAGACAAGCACCTCTCCCGAGAGGCCGGCAGTGAGAAGCTGCGCTATGTCGCCTGTCAGCATTCACTCCTGGCAGCCGATCGTAGCCATACCTACGTCGCGAACCGCCCACAAAGTGTACAGCGTTGAGATAGCGGCCTTGCGGATCTGCCCATGCGCCGTGCTCTCCCCATGGCCCACGCCGCTGCTCGCCGTCAGCGCCGCAGCTGAGCTGGCGCACCCATGCCCGTGCCGTGCCGTCGCGCGAGGCGGAGAAGAGCGCCTCGATGGGCATGTCTGCGCCGTCGATGATGCCAGGCTCGAGCACGCAGGCGTGCAGCGCCTTGACGTCTGAGGTGTGCTGCGCCAGGACGTGCGCGAGACGCCAGGGCGAGCTGGGCCCTGCCGCTGCCTCGCGCTCGCCTGCAACAGGCTCGTTGTCGCCCATGCTAGTCGAGACGGCTGTGGTGCGGCTGCTTGCGATGTACTTGAGGCGCTTGTGGTGGTGGAAGGCAAGCCTTGCCGGCAGCGTCTGCTTCAAGGTCGAGCGCTTGCGCGCCACGGACGCGCGCACGGTCCGCGGGGCGCTGCATCCCGATGCCCCTCGCAGACCCGCGCTTCTTCTCGACACGCGACTCGCTCCTCACCACCACCTCATCGTTGCGCCGCCCAGAGCACCCCACTGCCAAGCATCGGCGCCGCTACTGCTGCCGCCCTCGCATCACAGCGCTGCAGGCGGCTCTGCGGCCCTCGCCGTCCCTTTGTCCTCTTGCGGCCGCCGCCCCTCCACTGCCCAGCATGCCTCGCGCTCCGCCGGGCGCGCCGCGGCGCCTCGTCATGAAGCCCGCGCCGCCGCCGGGCCCGTCGCGCGAGCTGCCGCTGCAGTACACCAGCTTTGCCGTGCCGCCGCCGGTGAATGCAAAGAGTGAGTGTGGAGCAGCGAGGCGAAGAGCGGCGCCGTGAAGGCGGCAGCGGCACGGCGCCATCGTCGACCTGCGTGCGCGCTGGCAAGCTCAGCTGCTGGACGCTAGACTGAGCCGCGGTTCGCAGACATGGCGAGCACATACCTCAAGACCGAGGCGCAGACATGGCTTGGCAGACAGGCGCCGGCGCCGCCGCTGGGCCAGGGCGTGGTGCCGAGCCGCGGGCGCAAGCGCAAGCGGCCCGAGGCGACCAATGCGCGCGTGGCCGAGGACGATGAGGAGGAAGAGGGCGACGAGAGCGGCAGTGAGACGGATGTGAGTAATCTTCTTGCAGAGCGTCAGACCTTGCGGCTCACGCTCTGGCAGGCGGCGGCAAATCCGGCGCAGCGCACACTCGTGATTCACCCAAGCACGTCGTTCCTGCGCATCGGCCTCGCCTCGGATCTCTATCCGCTCACGGTGCCCAACGTCGTGGCCCGGCGAGACCGCGAGGGCGCACCTCCACGGCCTGCGCGGGCGTCTGCCTCGCCCGAGGAGGAAGACGGCGTGGAAGAGGCTGAAGTGGAGGAGGAGGACGCCGAGGAGGAGGATGCAGACGGCAAGCGCAAGAAGAAGAAGGACCCGGTGAGTGCGCCTTCACGGCGGGCACGGACACTCCGGCTGACTCTGTCGCAGCTCACGGTCAAGATCGACGTCTTGCGTGCCGACCTGCGCAGCATCATGCGCGCCATGAAGCTGCGGCCCGTAACCAACGGCCGTGGGCTGGCAGCCGCGTACAACGAGACGTCACGAGCGGAGAAGGTGCCAGAGCACAACGACGTGATGGGCGTCGAGTGGACCAAGACGGCGGCGTCGGATCCGGATGTGCTGCTGGGCGAGCGTGCACTGCGCCTGCCGGCCTTCTCTGGCGAGGCGCAGTCCGCGAGCCGGCCGTGGGAGCTCTTCTATCCCTTCCGCCAGGGCCGCCTCGACATTGAGCCATACGTGGCACGCTACGGCTCGGCTGCGGCGCAGGCGCTGCTCAGCGACGTGCGCGCGATCCTGATGCGCGCCATCACTGCGCCACGCGAGGATCTCGAGGCTCGCGACGACGCCGCCGGTCCGCCGGACTACGGCCTCGGCATCGACGCCAAGGAGCTCGGCACGTACAGCGTCATTCTCATCGTCTCGGACCTGTACAGCGCGACGGACATCCAGGACTTGACGGACCTGCTGCTCGTCGACATGGGCTTCCAGGCGATCTGCATTCAGCAGGAGAGCGTGAGCGCCACTTTCGGCGCCGGCCTCAGCAGTGGCTGTGTCGTGCGCATCGGCCGCGACCACACGGCAGTGACGTGTGTCGACGAGGGCCTCGTGCTGGCCGAGTCTCGCATCGGCCTCGCGTACGGCGGCGACGACGTGAGCCTGTTCTTCGCACAGCTGCTGCGTGCCGCCAACTGCGCGTACAAGGAGCTCGACTTCTCACGACGACTTGCCGACCGCTGGATCGTCGAGGACCTCAAGCACCGCCTCCTCACGCTCGACGCGACGCAGCTCGGCCTCGTCATCTCGGACTTCCATGTGCGCTTGCCGGGCCGGCCAACGCTCAAGTACCAGGTGCGAACCTACGACGAGGTCATCCTGGCGCCCATGCTGCTGTTCAGCCCGCGCGTCGTCAGCTTCAAGGGCAAGCGCTCGTATGCGGCGCGTCTCGGCGGTGGTCTCAACCAGGCCGAGCGCGAGGATGGCGAGCGCGGCGCGCTGGGCACCGGCGCCGACCTGCCCGTCACTGCAGCCATGCAGGGCTCTGTCAGCCACCTTCTGCCTGCGGCGCCAGATGCTGCCGCAGCGGACGCCACTCCTGCGCCGGCTGCACAGGCGGCGACGAACGGCACTGCCGCGGCCGGTCGCGAGGCCGGCGCGAGCCCGCATCCGGTGAGCCTGCCGCCGGGCATGGAGCAGCTGGCGCTGCCCGACTTTCACGCACGCATGGCCGCGGCCTCTGCTGCGGGCGGCTCGACGGGGTCGCCGATCAAGAACGAGATCTCGAGCGGCACGGCCGGCCCATCGCGAGCGCTGACTCCTGCACGCACGGCCGGCGAGTCGACGCGGCCATCGCCGTCTGCTGGCGGTGCACGCGGACCGAGTGCCACGCCTCTGGCGCTGCCGAGCATCGATGTGCAGTGGGAGGCGGCCAAGGTGCCGCTCGACGTCGCCGTCTGGAACTCCATCCGCGCCGCCGTGCAGCCGCAGATGACGACGAGCGCGCAGGAGGAGCGCGTCAAGCGCATGTCCAACAATATCATCTGCATCGGCGGCACGGCGCAGCTGCCCGGCTTGGGCAGCGTGCTCGAGGCACGGTGAGTGAGGGTGACCCCACGCGGAGTGCAGCAGCCGTCCGGCACGGTTTGAGCAGCGCGCTGACCCCCTCCTGCAGGCTCAACGTCCACCTCGCCGCCTGGTCGCAGAGCGTGCTCGGCAAGGACGCCGAGTCGAGCATCTCGGCCTCGGTCATCCCGCCGCCGCGCGACATGGACCCGCGCCTGCTCGCATGGAAGGGCATGGCGGTGCTTGCACGCCTCGAGAGCGTCGGCGAGATGTGGCTGCAGCGGCGCGACTGGGACGCCTTTGGCTGGCGCGCGCTGAGGGAGAAGAGGTGAGTGAATGTGCCCCGCTCGAGGGCGTCCGGGCGCCTGCTGACTCGGCGCTTCGCGACGACAGTCTGTTCTTGTGATCAATGCGATGCGTCACCCGTGTCCCGTCTGCGCGTGCCTCACTTGCCCCGCCATTTGGCGAACGTCTCCTTGACGCCGCAGCCCGCCTTGAGGTCCTCCATGCACTTGGCATCGACGTCGCGCCCCTCCTGCGCCAGGCGCAACACGTCCTCGGCCATGCTTGGCGGCACAACGACGACGCCGTCGACGTCGGCGAGCACGAGGTCATGCGGGTTCACGACGGTGCTGCCAAAGGCTGCATCGGCAGGCAAAGTGGCGTCGCGGATCGTGATGGGCACCTGCAGCTCGGACGGGCGCGTGAACGGCGACTGCCCGACGGTCGAGTGGCCGCGCGCAAAGACCTGCGACTTGATGCTCAGCCGGCGGGGCCTCGTCAGATGGCGCCTACTCACGGCAAAGCCTGCTTCCCGATGCTCGGACAAGTCGCGGCAGCGCCCGTCGAGCACGACGCCCTTGACGCCGATGGCCTGTGCCCGTGCAGACATCAGGCCGCCCCACACAGCCGAGCGGGTCTCTGACAGCGGACGTCAGACAGGTCTATCTGAGCAAGCACAGGGACGCACCCGGTGGGGCACTGACGACCATGACGCTGTCCGGCTCAGCGGCATCGACCTGAGGCGCAGTGAGCACAGAGCTGGCACACCCGCTGCCCTTGCTTGTCTCACAAAGTGCTGCGCCGGCTTCGGCGCGTCCTTGTCCGCCTGCGAGACCATCTGTGCGCTCTCCGCGATCAGCTCCGCTCCGTGATGCGGTGCATCGCGACAGCCTCACCTTGACCGTGAAGGCTGGTCCGCACACTCGCGCGTCGCCGTCGACGTGGCGCGGCGACCACATCTCGATGCCAGCGAGCAGGCCGCCCGTCGGGTGCTTGAGCTTCACCAGCGCATCAGAGACCTGCGCTTTCGGCCGTCAGCGCGGCGCAGCAGAGCGCGAGAAGGCCACGCGGCGCGGCGCACCTCGCAGGTCGAGAAGCGCGCAAGCGCGGCGATGAGCGCTGCGGATGTCTTTGCTGAGCTTGACGCTGCCATGCTGGGCTGCTGCGCGTGGTGGTGAGGAGGCAAGGAGCGCCACGTCGGCGGGCGCTGCCATGGCACCCCGCAGTCGCCGGCTAGTCCGTGTCCCGAGGCGCCGCCGTGGTATCTGTGCTCGGACCACCCTCTCAGGTCGGCACACGTGACCCCCGCCAGCGAGCAGCCCAAGTCGCCGAATAGATAGTTGCAGTTGCGAGAGCAAGGGTATGGCCGCAGGAGCAAGTGTGCGGCACAGGGAACAGAGCAGAGGCAGGGAGCAGAGCGCGCAAGGGAGCGGCTGGGCGCAGCGCCTACTTCTTGCGGAACAGGCCGCCGAGGCCGCCCTTCTTCGGCTCGGGCGCCTTTTTCTCGGCAATGGACGGCGGCGCCGAGTCCTTGGGCGCCGCAGCGCTGGCAGTGAGGCCTGCATCCTTGGGCGGACCGCGTGCGTCTCCCTCGCGCCAGCGCGGCAGGCATTCGCGCAGCGCATGCTGGAAGGCCGGCATGACCTTGCGCAGTGCTGCAAACTCCGGCACGGGAGCCGAGGCCATCTTCGGCTCGAAGAACAGCTGCGGCTCCTGTCCGCCCTCGGGACGCAGATGCTGGTGCAGCGGATCGAGCGACGAGAAGTAGGCCCAGGGAAACTCGGCCATCTCGCTGCCGCGCGCCTCGGTGCGCACCGTGCCGTCCTCGACGGGCATGCCTTCCTGCTCGAGCAGGATGCGCATGAGCGAGTCGAGCTCCTGTATCTCTTGCCGCATCGGGCCCTTGGGAATGTCGTCCTCCGTCAGGCCGCTGGCGGGCGCCGCGTCGGGCCGCGCGAGCAGGAAGTTCTTGCGCATCTCCAGCTCGTACCAGACCTGTGTGGAGCAGCGCTCAGCTCAGGCACTCTTCCGCACTGGCGCAGCCGTGCCACGCACCTTCTGCCAGCGGACATACTCCGCCAGGCGGTCCGTCTCCTTGAGTACGGCATCGACGTCTGCGTTCGTCAGGCTGTCGTCCTGCAGCAGCTCCTCGAGGTCGACTTCGATCTTCTTGGCCTTGCGGTTGGCCGGGTGGTACGGATCCGTCGTGCCCATGGCCATGTAGTCGGCGCCAGCCTGCAGCCAGCGCGTGAACGGCTCTGCGATCGTGTGGCACTCGCTGAAGAGCATGTACAGGCTGTTCTCGTGGCGCGCACACAGCGCAATGTAGGCCTGCAGGGCTGGACGGCGCAACAGCATGTCAGCGCAAAGGCGGCGCGGCAGACTCGCAGCAAGGCAACGAACAGTCGTCCTTCTTCTTTTTCATCTTGATGAGGTCGTCGATGAAGTTCTGCAGATCGCCGAGGCGCGCGGCGAGGTCTGCCACCTCGGCCACCTGCCGGATCGTCTGGTAGAACACCACCTCGAGCGAGTCCTTCAAGATCGACGGGATGAGCGCGCCGCTGGCCATGGCCACCGTCTGCTCGCGGTCACGCTTCTTGAGGCACTCGCGGAGGTGCAGGCGCAGCTGGGCGAACTTGCGCGCGTCGGCAGCGACGGTGGACGAGGCGTTCCAGTTGCTCGGCTCGCCGGCGTGCAGCTTGCCCATGGGCGACTTGGGCGGGTAGGCGAGGTTGAGGTTGGTGAGGTACGGCGACGCCGCAAAGGCGCGCTGCATCTCGAGCACGTGCTGTGGCAGATGGTCAGCGTGTGCTGCTTCCCACGGGGCTCGTGCTGCAGCTCACCTGCTGCTTCGACTGGCTGAGCTGCGAGCCGCTCGAGTAGAGCAGGATGGTCGTGAGCACATCCTCGCCCGTGCGCTCAGCGCGCGAGCGAATGGCACGGCCTTCGGGCCGACTGGCGCGCTTGACGTACTCCTCGATCTTCTTTGTGAGCTCTGCATCATCGATCATCTTGCGCAGCGGCACAATGTAGTCCTTGCCAATCGCCGAGGCCTCCTTGCCGAGCACGTAGGTGAAGATGCGCTGCACCAGCGACTTGCTTCCCGCGGGCCGCGCCAGCAGCAACGAGAGGATGCCCTGGATCATCGTCTGTGCATTGGCAACGCGCAGCAGCTGACGGGCGCCCCAGTATGGGAAGAGCGTGTGCACGCCCTTGACGACGTCGAAGATGCTGTCGGCGGCCGGCGACGTGACGAAGAGCGTGTGGAAGATGTATGCCGCATGCATGCGAGCCCACTCCTCGGCGTTGCGGAAGCGCGGCGGCAGGTTCTTGATGTTGCTGACCTGCAGGTAGGCCATCGTGTCCTCGAGGCCCGTCTCCGTCTCGATGTTCATCTCCTTGAACGCCTGCCAGTCCTTGCGCACACGCGCCGTCTCCTTGCCCGCCAGACGCCACACTTTGCCTTCCTCGCCCTCGAAGAGCGCATCAATGCGCGCCATGAGCTTGTCGTCGATGCGCGCCGGCTTGTCGAGGCCGCGCTTCACGGTGCCCTTGCCCCACTGCTTGCCCACGCCCCACTTCTCCGAGCCCAGCTCGCCGCGTCCAGGTCCGCGCAGCTCGCCCTCGCCGCGCACGCCAAAGCCACGTGCAAAGAAGCCGCCGAGGTAGCGCGTGAATGCGAGCGTATAGAAGCGCCGACTCGTGATCTCGCCGCGCTCCATCGACGTCGAGAAGTTGCGCGCCGCCGTCTCGTCAAAGTACGGCTGGATGCGCTTCTGCCAGTACTTGAGCGGCGCCTCGTCGAGTCCCGGAAAGGGACGCAGGTGCACCTGGAACATGTGTCGCAGAATCAGCGGCTCCGCGAGCTTCTCGGCACGCCGCGCCGCGTCCTCGTCGGCGTAGGGATCGTCGGCGCCGGCGGCAAACTCGCCCTTTGCGAACTCGGAGTCCATGTCCAGGTCGTTCTTGACGCGCTTCAGCTGCGGTCGCTCGAGGGCAAAAGGATAGCCGTACTGCGTGAGGGCGCCGAGCTTCTCCAGCTCGCTCCACTCGGCTTGCATCTGCAGCGAGACGAGCGCCTTGAGCAGGTAGTGGCGCTGCTCAGACGTGAGACGTCGCACGCGGCCGGCACGCCTGGCACGAGTCTCTTGTGCGGCTTTCTGCTCCGACGCAGCACGCTGGTCTGCCGCACGCTGCTCCTCGTCGATGAGCGCAGCTGCGTCCTTGGTGGGTCCGCCGTTGCTGGGCGATACGTCCTCGTCATCTTCAATCTCCTCCTCGTAGTCCGGCACCTCGAGATCCTCTTCGCCCTCGGGCCGCTCGAGCTCAGACGATGCGGCTGCAGATGGCTGAGCAGCGTGGTTCTGGGCAGCGGCGCAAAAGGGTCAGCAAAGATGTGCTAGACGAAGGAAGGCGAAGAGCCAGCACGCGAGTCGCGTCACACAGCCAGCTTGGGTGCCAGGAACGGCCCCGCAAGCGGCCCACCTGACCCCCTCAGCTGCAGCAGCGAGCAAATGCATCTGATTGCCTCTTGGGAATCAGGCGAACCTGAAGGCGCCAGGCACGGCAGGCACATCTGGGCTCTCTGGGCATGCATCGCGCAGCGGGCCCAGGGCCGGCGGTCGGGCGCTGGGCACCTGCTGCGCATGTGGTTCTGCAGCCTGAGGCACTCTGTTCTCGCCGACGGGAGCCGGCACTTCATCCAACGGACTGAGCGCTGGAGTCGCGCCAGACTGAGCGCTGTAGCGACTCGGTGAACTGGCCGCCGAGCCGCCCGCCTCGGCCTCCTCCTCGGACTCCTGCGGATCGCGCAGCTGTACGCCGCGAGGAGCGTTGCGCCTGCCCAGCAGGGCATTGAGCGTTGCCTCTTCATGCTCGCGGCGCGACATGACGGGCAGGCCGGCACCGGCGTCGGGCGGCTGTGCCGCGGCTTGCGCCGCATGCCGCCGCTGGGCGCGCAGCTCGACGGCCTCGGCCTGCGCCTGCTTTTCGCGGCGCAGCGCGAGCCATGGCGACTCGGGCGCAGCGACGGGCGGAGCTGCGGCCTGATTGAAGCGCATGCGGCGTGCGCCGTCGGTGCCTTGGCTGCTGCCGGAGAGCGCCGAGCCAGAGCGCGGGCGCGACGCCCCGGACGCATCGGCCTCGGGCGAGCCGTCGGAGGGTGCACGTGCGTGGCGATGCGCGGCAGACGACGGCGAGACGCTCACCCTGTACTGTGCGTCGGTGCCGGCGTCGCTGGGCTCGCGACTGCGGCTGCTGGCGGCCAGCTCGGCGGTGAGGCGGGGAGCGGCGGCGGCCGACGAGGCGGACCGAATGCTGCTGCCACCGGCAGCGGCGCCGCTGGCGTTGCGGCTGCCACTGCTGCCGCCGAGGCCGCTGCTCATGGAGCCGAGGATGGACTTGCGCGACGGCTTGTGCTCCGGCATGGCTGGCTGCGTGAGGGTGGTGGTGAGAGGAGAAGCGGCAGATGCGGGGGGGGGGGGGGGGCTGCCGTCTGACGCTGAAGGCTGCCCCGCCTGCTGATGCGGAGTGCGGCACGGGCTCGGCAGCAGCCTCTCAGGCACGCAATGTCTCACGCGCAGTACACTGCTCAAGTGCCTGACCCCGCGAGCCGCTGCAGGCTGCTGCTCCACCCTTTCAACGCCGCAGTCGCGCCGATCCCCCCGCAGAGCCGGCTCAGCGGCCTCTCTCCGCAGCCATGGGCGGGCGGCTGGCGGGAGCAGGAGCAGCCTGGACCGCCGAGAGCATTGCGGCACATGGATACGCCAGAAGGCATCTGTTGCGGCAGTGTAGGAAGAGCACGGCTGTGAGACGGTGTGCAGCAACGTCGTGGTGCGTCTTGCCCTCTGCGCCAGAGTCTGCTTCCGCCTCGGCAGCAAGTGCTGAGAGGCTCGGAGGCGCGCATCAGCGGGCGCCAGTCAGGACTGTTTCGCTGCTTGGGTGTACGTCGTTCTTTCCTCCTGACTGAGCATATCCTCAGTGCCAAAGGCGGGCGCTGCGAGCAGCCAGGCCGAGTAGCGGGCGGTGAGAGAGACAAGGGTGGTGGGTGGTGCGGGGCGCTCCGCGGGCTCCGCGGCTTGCCATGTTCCCACGAGGCACGCCCGTCAGAGGGCTGAGACCGACGAGGAGCATGCGTGCCTCTTGCTTCCTGGCCACAGCCATGCACCTCCCACCTCTTCTCTTGGCAGCACCGCTGCTCGCCGCCAGCGCCTTGGGCGAGAGCGTCGCGAGCTCAAGCTCCTCCTCCGGCTCCGCCTCGGGCTCGGGCTCGGGCTCGGGCGCGGGCCATGCGCCTCAACGTCTCGGCAAGCCCGGCTCAGGCGCCGCGGGCCTCGGCTCCTCCTCTGCACGTCCATTCCCCGAAGACGTCTTTGCGCACCCGCCCCACCGACTCTCCTTCGACGGCGCGCCCATCAGGAACGGCAGCGCTGCTCGGGTGGTGGAGGGCGAGGAGACGGTGAGTGAGGGCGGCGGGGTGGGGGGGGGGGGGGGGCTAGCAAGGGGGAACAAGGCAGAACGGCTGACGCACAGCGCCCTCCAGGTCGCTTCGGGCATTCCACACCTCTTCCGCGGTCCAGACGGTGCCTATCTCTGCCATCTGCCCGCTGCTCAATCCCGCGCCGCCTCTGCACCGCCTCTGTCCGCCTCCCAGCTCGCCGCCGAGCGATCCCGCGCCCTCTCTTCCGGCCTGGCGCTGCTCGAGCCGCTGCGGCAGCAGTGCATCTACCACACGCTCGACTGGTTCACCTACGAGTTCTGCCATGGCCGTTCGGTCCGACAGTTCCACGCGCTAGCGTCCTCGGCGCTGCCGGGAAGAACACCGGTGCCGGATCCGAAGCAGGACAGCTATGTCCTGGGGCGCGCGCCGGCAACGAGGGAGACTACGGATGTGGCACATCAACGACCGCAGGGAGAGGGAGGCACGGAGCTGATGGAAGTCGTGAGCTTTTCCGTCGGCGAAGCGGGGAGGAACGAGGACTTGCATGGCCAGAGATACCTCTCGCAAGTGTGGGGCGGCGGCACGCTCTGTGCCATCTCCAACGAGCCGCGCAGTATTGAGGTGCAGGTGAGTGACTGGAGAGAGGTGCAGCAGGAAGAGACGCTGATGAAGGACGGCGCAGTTTCATTGCTCGAGAAGACCGGGCGATCGCATTTCCCTGGTCAAGGAGACGACTACTTGCAACTAGTGAGCTGCATCGCCTCTCGCGGCAAGGCGGTTGGCACGATTCCTGGGACAGTCGGGGCGAGAGGGCGCTGTGCCATCGCTGATCACGGAGCACCCTTTCGCGCAGCGTTCTGATTGTCGACACTCCGCGCCTCTGTGCCGACTCGGTCTTTGCCGTGCCCGAGGAGCAAGTGCACGACATAGTCTGTCGTCCGGTAGTCTCGGACACCTACACCTCTCCCATCGCCAGCCGTACAGCGCAGCAACTCGACTCTGGCGCCGCGGCGGCAGCGAGTTCGCCGACGGTCGGCGAGGCAGGACCGAGCGAAGAGGCAGATGAAGAATCCGGCTTTCATACGAGGGGAGATCCCTTCTCCCTTGGTGGCCTGCCGGATGGCGGCGGAGAAATGTGGGCGGTAGACGTAGATGAGGATGGGCAGGTAGTGATGGAGCGTTACGACGAAGACTTTGACGCTCCCGAGTCCGACTTCGACGACCAAGGCGCCTCGAGCGATGCCGAGGCAGCAGGCATCGGCGGCGTGGGAGACATTGAAGTGCAACTGCTCGAAGGCGACATGGACCCGGCGATTCGCGCACGCATCCAACAACACATCAACGACGTCGCCGCGCGTGCGGCACGCGAAGACGCGGCGAGTGCACAGCCGCGCTCGGCGGAAGAGCGCTGGGCCATGCTGCAGGAGGCGCTCAAGGAGGCCCTCGCAAAGAGCGGCATAGAGGCCGTGGTGCAGGAACGACCACCGCCTGGTACGACGCAGGATAGAGAGAGGGCGATGCAGATGGCACGCCAACAAGAGCAGCAGCAGCAGCAGAAGCAGGAAGCGAGAGAACTGCCGAGGGCGAGACAAGGGCTGGCTGCCGCACCGGCCGCTCCTGCTCAACCCGTCGCTCCTCCGCATGCACAAGCACAGCAAGCGCGTCAAGCACCTCCGCCGCCGGCACCGCAAGTGCAGGCAGCTCGTCCCGCCGCGCCTGCAGCAGCAGCGCCGCCCCTGCAGCAGCAAGCTCGAGCGCAGCCTCAAGCAGCAGCAGCAGCAGCAGCCAACGCGCGCCTCGAGGCGGCAATCGCAGCGGCACTCGAGGCGACGAAGAAGCTGCGCGCTGGCGGCGCCGCCGTCGACGGCGCCGATGGTGGTGCCGCAGGCGGCGGTGGCGCAGCTGCGGCTGCACGTGGCACCCAAGCTAGGACGCAGGAGTCGCTGGGAGAGAGGGCGGAGAGGTTTTGGAGGGAGAAGAAGGAGAGGGAGAGGAAGCGAGAGGAGCTCTGAAGAGGAGAGGAGAGGAGTGAGAGGCACAATGTCACCTTTGTCTGTTCGTTTGGTTGGAGAGCTCTGCCCCCCCCCCCCCCCCCCCCGGCTCTCTTCCTGCTGAAAGAGAGGCCCGAATGCTTCGCTGTCCCGCATGTGTGTCGCCCTCTGGGCCAGAGGAGCCAAGGCACTCGTACGCATGCGAGCCTGATGTCTTTGCTAGCGCACCGAGCGTCAGCTGCAGCTTCGCAAGAGGTCTCTGCTGCGCGTTGCGGTGCCAGGCTTGCTCGCTGGACGAGCAGCGCAAGGGCTTCGGCCGTAGCGAGCCACCGCAGCGCGGCGCGCCGGCGGCGGCGCACGTCAGCGCAGCGCTGCGGCGCTTGGCTCGCGCCGGCGGCCGCTGCGGCGCGAAAACTACAAGCAGTCTTCGCGCAGCGACGTTGCCTCCACTCCACCACGCCGTCTCTCTTGCCCAGCATGTTCGCACGCGGCATCTCTCGTTCTCTCCCCCGGAGCGGCGCGCTGCGTCGCGCCATGTCCTCCAACGCCCCACGCTCCTCCTCCTCTGCGCAGCAAACGCGCATCGCCGCCGCCGCCGGCGGCGCAGCGCTCGTGGGCCTGCTGGCGTACGCTGCTTCCAGCCGCGACACTGCAGCCGTCGAGGGCGGCAAGGCAAAGCGATTGAGCTACTCGGAGCGCATGCGGCCGAGAGGCGATGGAAAGATTAGCATCCCGTGGCCCAAGGAGGAGCCGGAGGAGGAGGAGCAAGAGGAGGCGGCCGTCGAGGAGGCGGGAGGTGAGTGGCGAGAGGCGTGTGGCAGGTGCAAGGGGAAGCGGGTGGAGCGGCGTTGGCAGTGGAATGGGAAGAAGGACGGGGCGAAAGCGCAGGGGCGGGCTTCGATCCACTGCCGCAGCAAACCGCACGCTTGCGCAGACCCTGAGCATCGCACTGACCCCCCCTTTCTCAGAGCCACTGCAAGCTCTCGAAGCCGAAGCCTCGCAGCAGTCGGCCTTCGATCCCGAGACCAACACGATCAACTGGGACTGTCCGTGCCTGGGCGGCATGGCCGACGGGCCGTGCGGCGAAGAGTTCAAGCTGGCCTTCTCCTGCTTCGTCTTTAGCGAGGCCGAGCCAAAGGGCATCGAGTGCGTCGCCAAGTTCCAGGGCATGCAGGACTGCTTCCGCCGGCATCCGGAGATCTATGCCGAGGAACTCAAGGTGCGTTTTGCGCTTGCTGAGGAGCGCGCGATTTGCGAAAGAGGAAGGAGAGGTGCTGATGGCTTGAGCTTCGCTGCCTGCAGGACGAGGAGTGGGAAGAGGCAGAGCGCGATGGTGCCGCGCCCGAGACGGGCAGCGATCTTAGCGCCGCCGCGCCGGGCACGCAGGAGCACAGCGACTAGGCGCCTCGCGACTAGATGCGTCGCGCCGCTGCAATGCCACCACTCAAAACGGAGGAAGAATGACGTCGTGATTGCGGTAACAGGCCAGAAGTGACAGTGACGGGGAGTGCCAGACGGGACAGCTGCGGGACGGTGGTGGTGCGTGACAGGTGAGGACGAGGCGTGCAGACGGGCGAGGCGAGCAAAGGCGCCTTGCACGGGCCGGCGTGTGGCTCAGCGAGCACGAATGCAACGGGGAGCTTCTACGTCTTGCGGCGCAGCGCAGCGCCGTGCTCGATCATGTAGCGCGCGAGCCGGGAGTGGCTGCGCGCCTGACGAGAGTTGAGGATGCTCTTGTCGCCGAGGTAGTGCGTGCAGATGAGGTGTCCCGCGGCCGGCTGCACGAAGAGGAGACCGTAGAACGTCGACGTGATGGGCATGGGATAGTCGGCGTTGGGCAGCAGCACAGCCGTGCCGCCGGGACCATCGCCCGTGTGAGAATCAGTCTTGCCGCTGACGGGCAGCGAGGCGCCCGCGGGAGAGGTGAAGGCCAAGACGCCGATGCGACAGACGTAGTCGAGCGTGTGCGCAAAGTCTGGAGCGAGAAGGCGTCAGCATGGCAGCTTCGAGGGTGCCGGTCGTCGACACTCACGCTCGACGTGAGCAAACGGCGGACGGCCGGCCGAGTCGAGAGGCGAGCTAAAGTGCGACGCCGCGCTGCGAGGTGCCGGGGGAGGGAGATCAGGCGTCGGCCTTGCGCAACTCTGCCGGCCACGTGCGATGCTCACCTGGCGAAAGTGTACACCTCGAGCGCGCCAAGTACCTCACGGCTGAAGTCGGCGAGCAGCTGGTCGACCCAGGCCGAGGCGATGATGCCGCCCTGAGAGTGCGCAATGAGCACCACCTTCTTCTTGCTGCCCATCGCCACGTCGTTGAGCGCCGCCTTGAGCACCTCGTAGCCCGCCGAGGCGTCGCGCGTGGGCCTGGTAGTGGGTGCAACGTTCAGCACTGCTTGCCACCTCTGACGGCGCGCACACTCACCAGCGCAGGTCGCGCTGGATCAGACACTGCGCCAGATCCGCCAGCGGGCCGAGCGAACGATTGTTGATGCCGACGACGTTGCGGCTGATAGGGAATGTGAGCGTGCGCGAGTGGGGGTATTGGCACGCATGCACGCACCCGAAGAGCTCCTTGAAGCGAGCGAGGGCCTTGCGCGTGCCCGAGGGCGTCGTGGCGACTCCGTTGATGCTGCATGGCGGAGGTGAGTGCGGAGCATGACTGCACCTGTCGCGAGCCCCTCACAAAAACCACGCCTCGTCGGCGTGGCCGTCGGGCGCCAGGTTGCGGCCGAAGACGACCTCGGGGCCCTGCGCGAAGAGGAAGAGCGACGCGCCCGCCCACGTGGCGACGAGCGTGGGCACGGGCGCCGGAATGCCGACGAAGAGGGCCGAGAAGAGCACGGGCAGCACGAGGAGCGAGCAGGCCAGCGCCAGAATCTGGAAGACGACGCCCTGCAGCGTCATGTCCTGGAACGGGTAGGCGCCGCGGTTGAGGTTGAGCGGCACGAGCGCCGTGGGAATGTAGGGCGCCTGCCAGATGAACTGGCGCAGACGGAGTAGAGTGGTCAGCCAAGTGTACGACGTGCAGCAGCTGCAGCTCGCCACGCCTCTGCGGCGGCCACGCACCAGCAGCAGGTCGGTGAAGAGCACGTAGAGGGCGCTGCCGCGGTACGGCACGGGCGCGGCCTTGATCTCGGCGTCGTCGGCGGGGATGGAGGCGAACATCTTGACGGCGCCGCCCTGTGCGGCGTCGGCGGCCGCAGTGGCGGCGCTGCTGCTGGCATTGGCGTGGGGCAGCGGCGCGGCACCGTCGGCGGCGATGACGGCGTTGGCCTGCATGCGCGCCACGCTGCCGCTGCTGCCGGCGAGGAGCGCGTCGGGCACGCCCATGCCCGCGAGGGCGCTCTTCTTGGCCTGGCTAGCGCCGGCGCCGATGCCGTCGAGGAGGCTGAGGCTGTGTGCCATCGTGAGGAAAGGTGCGGTGCGGCGCGGTGCGGCACGGCAGTTGGGGTGGTGGTGGTCGGGAGCAGGAAGCGAGCCCGCGGCGCGCTGCTTTATGCGCCTGGTGGATGGCAGGCCGCAGGCCGCAGCGCCGTGCGCTCTCGCTGCCCCTGCGTCTCTTTCACAGCACAGCAAGCCAGGCAGCCAGGCACAATCGGGCTCCGTGCATGCTGCACTGAGTGCCTGCTATCGGAGCTGCAGTCCGAGCTCGCTCGCAGTCGGCTCGCCTGAGTTCGGCTGCTGCGCGTGCACGGACGTGGGCTGGCCTTTGCGTGAGCCAAGTGTTGCTCTGCGCAGGTGGAGGTGTGCTGGGGCTGGCTGTCACGCGTGGGAACGGGCGCCTGGCCGCGGCGGGCATGGCCGAGGCTCGGGCATGGCGCGCCTCTGGCTTCATAGCTTGGTGTTGCGCTCGCTGTTGGCCTGCCTTTGCCCTGAGCACGGCTTTAGCCTGAACCGGCACACGCCGGCAGCGCTCCCGAGGCACCGGACCGGAGCGCTCCCGCATCTTTCAAAAGGCAGCGAGCGCGCGGCACGGCTCTCCTGGCTCGCACTCATCAACACCGCGCACCACGGGCGCCTCTTTCGCCGCCTCGCAGGCCGCACCCAAGCTCTCGCAAGTCTCCCCAGCGTGCCGCCTCGGCCGAGCCGCCGCCGCGTGTCCAGCGCACCCTTGCCTCGCTTCAGCTTCAGCCATCGTCCTGCATCTGCCACAATGTGCGTTGTCTCTCCCGCCGGCCGTTACGGCGCGTCAGCTCATCATGGCTGACTCGCCTTGTCGCTCTTCTCCTGGCATCGAAGCGATCTGGCACATCATGCCACCCTCACTCGCGCCTCCCGCCCTCGAGCCTCCCGCTGGTCTGCCCGCCGTTGCACCGCCCTGGACGCTCTCCGCCTCCTCCTGGATCTTCCCACACTGGACGTCTCCCTCTCACATCTCCTCGCAGCGCTCTGCCTCCTGCTCCGCCGCCGCCAGCTCCGCCTCTTCGCTGGCGCAGCGGCAAGGTCTCGATGCTGGCTCATACGCGCCTCGCGAGGTGCTCTACTTGGGCGCCGAGGCCGATGTCTTCAAGGGAGGCCTGGGCGGATGGATCATCTATCGCTACACGTCCAGTCCTGTGGGGCCATACGATGAGCTCATCCACGTCGCTGGCAGCTTTGCGAGTGCCGAGACTGGTCTCACCAGTGCGTTGGACACGCGGTGTGGGAGACAACACACCTTGTGGGGGCCCAACAAGTGATGTGCTGGAAGCTGACATCGCGCTTTCGCTTTGCCCAGCTCTGCGCATCACAAACATCTACGTCTCGACGGATGTCTCGGTGTGGAATGGTCGCCGCAACTGGAACATCCCCAAGCATCGCGCCGTCTTCTGCTTCGACGACGACACCTCTTCTTCTTCTTCTGCCGGCAGCGGCGGCGCGACGACTGTGCGCATCTCGCATCCGCACCACGCCGCCTCGCCGTTCTTCGCCGCGAGGCTGGCGCCGCGGCGCTGGTCTCCCTCGCTGCCCGTGCGGCCGTGGATGCTGCCGACGCTCGCGTTGCTCGGGCCTCCCTTGCTCACGGGCGCATACGAGAGCGAGGGCGCAAAGCAAGTCGTGGTGCAGTCGCAGCCAGAAGCAGCTTGGCGCATCTCTCAGCCTACGTTTAGCGGCTCGATGCGCCTCGCTGCCGCTGAGCCAATGCTGGTGCGTCTTGCCGGTGCAGGCAACGCTGCGCCTCTTTCTTCTGCGAATGCAACCTGTCACTCACCAAACGTCACTGCCCTGTTGGCACAGGACGGAGCATTCGGCGATGGCGAGAGCTTTGCAAAGCTGCAGCGCACGTGGTGCAGCTTTGGCTTCTACGTGCGTTTGCCGGCTCCTCTCCCCCGGCCCCCCTTTGCGCATCTTCTCTCTGATCACGTTCCTCCAACCTCTCCTGGCAGTTCCCGCAAGTCACAGTGACGTTTCCTCTGGCCCTCGAAGTAGGCCCAGGCGCGCGCAAGGCAGAGCAAGAGGGCGGAAAGACGAAGTGAAGCTTCACACTCAAGGCGAGAGGCGTGGGGGGGGGCAGTGGAAGATCGAGTCGAATGCTTTCAATGACGAGTCAGTTTGCCCTTCCCTCTCTGGTCTCTCTTCCCCTCTCTCTCTCCTCTACATGCGCACGTGTCTCCTGGCCGCCATGCTACTCCTCGGTTGCGCCTCGTTTCGCTCTGCCTGCTTGGGCCTCTGCAGATGCCGCACTGCGCCGGTGCGATGCAGCAGCAGCAGGCCGTCTCTGTTGAAGCGCACCGCGGCCAGCAGATCGTCCTTTGCGCCGTCGCTCGGCGGCGGAATCGTGTACGAGGCAATCGGCTGCAGTTCGGCCACCAGGCCTCGTCCGGCCGCCTCGTGCGACACTGCATCGCCTGCCTGCGCGAATGCCGAGGCACCTCCGCCGCTGGCGGAGGAGACATTGCCGAGTTCGAGGCCCATGGACGCGCGGCGAGCGGAGAGCGAGGTGCGTCGAGCCTCGGAGAGGGAGAGCGTGGAGCCGATCGAGGGACGCTTGTGCGCTGCGCCGAGCGCATTCGAGGAAGCGCCGTGCGACGAGGACTGGGCGTGCGCGTGGCCTTTGGGACGATGAAGTGCAGCGCTTGAGAAGTCCCACTGGTGAGAGAGCCGCAGGAAAAGGTCAGTTGCTATGCAAGTCAAATCGCGCGTGCCTTGCAATGCCCCCCCCCCCTTCCAGAGCTTCCAGCAACTTGCGGTACCCCCCCAAGGTCGGCGGCGAGCGATCAGCCACTCACCAGGATGATGCGATTGTCCTCTCCCACACTGGCAAAGCGGTAGATGCGATCGTCGGCGCCCCAGCGCCACGGATCAAAGGCGATGCCGCGCACGAAGCTGGCGTGTCCGGGACAGCGCGCCACGATGCGTCCTTCGCGCGGCGCCCAGATCGTCACCAGGTCGTCGCACTGTCGGGCGACGATGAGGGAGCCCGGGGACGGGGGGGGGGCCCAGGCGTGAGCAACGGGCGAAGCGAGGTCGAGGGAGAGAAGGGCAGGAGCGGAAAAGGCAAGAGAGAGAGAGACACACGCACGGAGCCGGTGAGGAGGAATCGACCATCGGGCGACCAAGCGAGGCATGTGAATGCGCCAAAGTAGGAGCCGAACGAGGCCTCGAGACTGGGGTGGGCCAGGAGGGGAAAGCAGGGCGCCTGGCGTGTCAG